TCTCTCTGTCTCTCTACCTCTATAGGATAAGTTAGATGGAGAAATGAGAGAGCGGGCAACATAAAAATAAAATATGATAGAAATAAAAATAAAAGCAGATATACTCGTAGTACCGTGTACTCGTTACCCGTACAGCAGAATAACCGGTTGGTACCAGTATCCGTACCGAGTACCGTGTACAATGGGCAACTGAGATTGTCTGCATACTTGTGCATGTACTAGCAGCCGAGCCGCCAACCCGCATGCCATGGAGCTGAGCCCTGTGTGTTTTTTTTTCTTTTTCTATTTCTTTCTTTTTCTTTCCTGGACGCACACCCACCCCTAAAGAATCAAGCTGTGGTTGTCAACTATCAAGAGGGAGAGAGGGAGAGAGGGAGAGAGAGAGGGAGAGAGCAAGAGAAAAGGAAGGACAGCACAGGACGGTGGGAGGTGGAGAACGCACGTACACCCAATCTTGACATGTACAAGATAGTTAATCTGCACACGTATCCGCAATGTGTAGGTAATATTATCACTACAGTACGACACGCAATAATACCCCGTAAGCTGGACGCATCGGTGTACAAGAAGCTCGTGCTCAGCAGAGTGTCGTGATGTGGCCTCGCTCCATCAACGACGTACTCATCATGGGTCGCAACGCTCGTCTTCTTTCTCTGTCTTCCCCTCACGTCCAGCTACTGCGACAGCAGTTCACGGCATAGAATCTATATCACCATGCCTGCTGCAGCCCGGCTGCGTCTGTACCCTTGGACGTGAGCCGTTGTTGCTGTTGTTGTTGTTTTGGGGGGGAGAGGGAGATCTCGACTCACCGGTCTCTCGGAACAAGTCATGCGACGTATCGGGTACCTGTCTTCTGTCTTTCGGGGCCTGGGCTTCGCCTCGACATCTGCCGCACCGCCTTATGGGTTTCGCGTGCTCTGTACAGGCTGCGCTGGACCTTGGCCGGAGCATCTGGCCGTGATGAATATTCGCATCGGTTGCTTCCCATCCGTACATGTTACTTCGTGCTCGTACAGCTACGAGCTCTGCCCTCTGCCCTCTGCCGTCCCTGGCGGCCATCGTCATCTCATGCACGGCTCGAGCGGAGAGCAGGAAAGAAGAGAGATGAGAGGGAGAATAAGGTGCTCCGGTGGATATTGGTGGTTGATGGTGCCATCAATCCAGCACATAATGCTGTCCCCCCAATGGCAGATGCCCATGAGACGCCTCCTCATCATACATGCAGCCAGATCTTTTTTTTTTCGGTTCTTGATTAGTATTTATTGTTAGACGTCTCTTTTTCTCCTCCTCCTCCTCTCTCTCTCTCTCTCTCTCTCTCTCTCTCTCTCTCTACATGTACACCGTAATAGTGAATGATGGGTTGGTCTCGAATAGCGGTGACGCCAAAAACAATTGGTGTGTTGTGCTGTGTACAGATTACAATACGTACATACATACTCGGCAGTACTCGTACTCATAGGAGCCTTCCCCAAGCAAGTAACATGTACGAGTACGAGCTATGTATACGGTTTCACTCATCATCGTTCTCTCGACTTGGTACTACTCGTAGAAGAAGACGCAAGACACGGATCGTCCAATGTCCAATCTTGTTTCACAACATGAGAGACGTGGTGAGATGTGAGACAAGAAGAAGAAAGAAAGGAATGAGGGGGAAAAAAAGAAGAAGAGAGGAGTGGATTGGATTTCCGGTAGGACAAGGAAGAAGAAGAAGAAGAAGAAGATCATTTCGATCTCTACATTTTTTGGGGCATGATGCGTCTGAATGAGCAAAGTCTTGGAATAGGGTACGGTCTAGCGATTGCGCAGTCCTTCCGAGACCATCGTACATGTAATACATGTTTATCCGTAGACCGAGATCTGATGTGCAGCTGCCAGTCTGTCCAGGCAGTCTTGGTTGCCTGCCCGGGCAGAAGCAAGGGTAGATTTGTTGATGGAGGTAGAGGCGGTCTCCGACAGAGTTGCCATCAGTCTTCCTCACACGCCGATCAGTAGCTCGGATGCAGACCAGGGGACAAGCGGTATGCGTAGGTAAACAATACTTGCATGGTGAGCGTCGGTGATCTGCCGCAACGGTCGGGCAGTGCCGGATGGCCAGTGCTTTCTCTGTCTCTGCGTGGATGATATCAGCCGTCGAGAGAGGGGGGGACCTTGTGATGCTGATCTCTGCGCAGTTGTGCAGAGAATGTTGGATGCAGTGAGTGTGTGCGTGCATACGAGTATATATGCGTGTGTGTGTGTGTGTGTGTGTGTATGCAAGAGCAAGAAAAAAAGAGGGAGTCGAGTCCGAGGCAGCGGCAGTACAGACTGTCCTTGTCCCCGTCCCACTCCACATAGTATGACAACTCGGCTCGGATACGACATACGACCAGTTACAGGGCGCATCATGACTCCTCCTTGGATAGTATACAGACAGGGCAAGACTACGAAACGATGACAGCAACATCGGACATGCCACCTTTACCCCTTCCTGCGTAGTTGCATGATAGGAAGCACGGAGCGAGATGGGGGGAGGAAAAAGCCTACCAGCATGGAGCATCCACAGAATACGACCACGGAGACCAGGCCCTTCAAAACGTTCCGAGAAACGACAGTAAATCATCGGCGCAGGGTAGCTGAAGATGAGACGATGCAGATTGGCTCCCGCGAGATCCTCTTCCTCCCTTTTCCAGCTCTGACGCCGGCCAAAGTTTACAGCAAGAGCTCCACGAAGCGGCGTCTCGTGCTGCTACGTGTACGGGGAGCAGGGAGTATCGATGAATATCACATGTATCATTCATGTAGCAGGGGTAGGCCAATCTTCATTCTATTCGTTCGGTTCACGGTTGGGAAAATGTTCGTCCCAAGGATCATATCCCAAGGATCATATCCCATGTACGGCATGGTTATCAGGGCCTGCAGTGGGTAAGGAATAGTGTACCGTTCGTGTTCGTCCTAGTACAAATTGACCCTCCGGTGTTCCCGTCCTCTTCCAAAGTTCCAAAACAGGGATTTGTTCAAACCCCCCAACCCCCCAACTCTCCCCTTGGACTCGGCAGTCGAGAGGGAGAGGAGATGGAAATTGTTCCCTTTCTGCCTACCTTGTTTTCAGAATTCCATCATCCCCTGGACCCCTGTGTCCTGTCATCAAGGTCGTACACTCTCCCTGGCAATGGACAGGACACCAAACGTATATTATACCCCTGGTATCATCGGATCCTTGCACGTTATAATAATGCTCCGCAACTTATGATCCCCCCCCTCTCCTTTTCCGGAATGGCCACCGGAAACTGTGAACAGGATCTACAGGACCGGACCCAAACTCACGGACCCGGTAATGCATGCGTCAGGAGAGAGAGAGAGAGAGAGAGAGAGAGAGAGAGAGTAGGGCATTATGTGACTACGTCGTCCACACCCACGTTATGAAGTAATGTAATATATTATTGCTATCGCTACACTGTAATACTCTTGGAAGGGGGAGGGGGGGGGATTTATTATTCCATTGATTATTCCATCTACTAGCCATGGTCTAGACTTATGGTGAGCGAACAGAGTACGGGTATGGTCTTATGGTATGTATTGCATCTAGAACCTGCCCCCCAAGTCCATTGTCATTCTTCTTTGTGAACTTGATTTCAAAAAACATGACGATGATGATGGGGAAGGAAAAACAGAACAAAGAAAAGAACAAAAAAAGAAAGGGGGAAAAATGTCTCTCCCTGTGGTTCAGAGGTTTTTCATGCTTGTTTTCTTTCCTCCCACGTGGCAAGACTTGGGATTGACCACAGATTAATACTCGTACTCGTACAATTACAATGACGATTATAACTACGAGTAATAGTTGTCAATAGTTGTCAGGTAATCATACTAATCTGTAATCTGTAGTTAGTACCAACAAGGGAGAATTTGATTTTGAGCCTTGACCAACAGGAGAGAAGAGAGGTCCGAGTGTTGAAATCTCTCGTAACAACTGCCCCCCCCCCCAGTCATGATCCAATTTGAACCGGTGCAAGGGAAATAGCAGTGATGAGGAGTGCAGACGTATCGCGTCGTAGCTATCAATACGGAATAGCTACTCGTGACTTCAATTGCATGTCGGGTGGCAGCTCTCTGTATTATCCGTACTCGTACTCATACGGGTTCATACAGATTACTCCGTAATACTCCATATTACATATTACATACATGCACGAGTACAGATGAGAAGAGTCTGCCGTTACCGAGTCATCGGTCTCCAATCGAACCCTTGCACAAGGGAAGACTCCTTGTCCCTTCAATAAGATGGTATTTGATACCTGCAACCTGCAATCTCTATAATAACTCCCAACACGGGTTCTAACTTGCGAGCTTCGGATCCACCATTTCGGGGGGAACCTCGAACCTCTCCAACCCTTGGAATCCCTGTCTGTCCTTGTCTGTCCTGTCTGTGCCCTGTGCTTCCAGCCTCTCTCTAGTCCTCGTTTACTCTCTCTCTCTCCCTCCCTCTCTTTCTCTCTCTTCCTCTCTCTCTTCCTCTCACATGTACTGCCTCTCCCTCTTTCTTCCTCTTTTCTTCTTTTCTTTTTCCGTCTTCCTCTCCCTCTCTTCCCCTCTACGAATACAACCCCTACCTCCCTTTGCCAATCTGTTGAGAAGGAGAGGGAACCCCCCCCCAGAGACCGGAGCTCTGATAGATGACAATTGATACTGCTCATTACCCCCCCCATGTCTTGACACTGACAGCTTTGTCTCGGAGAAATCCCCAACTGACATATCTTGCGGTAGCTTTCGGATAATATGTCAATATGTGTCACGGAGACGGAGGGGGTATTGGAACATCATCACAACGGCAAATATACGACGAGTTTATATGACAAAGACGAATAGCAATTTAAAGCCCACACGTAGAAAAAAAAAAAAAGTAAACATGCTTTATCGAATTACCCTATACGCAGAACCCACTTCCATATCCGGCCTCTCTCTTCTTTCTTTTTTCTTCATCCTCGACCATTCCCATCAAGTATCAATGATACTGTACGCATCAACTACAGGTTGCTGTGCAGTCCCTTGATCACCACCATGGCACCCCAAGCACCGGGGTCGGGAGGCATCTCGCTGTCGTCGCTGGACCCGGCACCGACATACGTGGCACGCCCTAGCTTGGGCTTGAGCGTCCTGGTGCCCTCCGCTCCCTTGACGGCAGCCTCGGTGCCGGCGTCGAAGTCACCCGTCGACACGCCCTCGGCAAAGGGGATGAGCGTGTCCATGACCGTGCGGTCGCCCACCTTGGCCGGCGTGTAGCTCCGGAGGCTGGTCAGCGCCGCCGTCAGGGCCTTGCCCCAGAGAGCGACGGGGCCCTTGGACCTGGCCACCTCAACGTTGCTCTCGACGGCTGCCCGGAGGGAGACGAAGAAGATGCCGAGGATACCACCGAGGGTGCCGCCCATCTTGCTCTCCACAATGTCTTCGAGCTCGTGGAGGAGCTCGACGACGGAACCCTTCTCGGCGAGTCCGCCGTCGAGGGCGGCGAGCAGGGCCGTGGCCCCCGTCTTGAGCGTCTCGCCGCAGTCGCCGTCACCCATGACCGTGTCCCACTTGGTCAGGTCGGGCTCGGCCCTGACGAGGTCGTTGCAGGCGGCCCGGACCGCCTTGTCCAGCAGGGCCGGGTCGACCTTGAGGTCGCGGGCGTCGTCGACCTTCTTGGGCTCCTCCTTGGGCGCGCGCACCAGCTGCTCCTTGCGGCTGCGGCGCAGTGTCTGGGAGCCGGCGAGCGACTCCCAGTGGGTCGTGGTGCGGACGTCGAAGAAGGACTTGATCTGGTCGACGGAGTAGCCGCACTTCTTGGACGCCGCCGTCAAGTTGACCACCGACACGCTAAAGGCGGGGGCGTTGAGGGACGTCTCGAGGAAGCCGGAGACGACGCGCGTGGGCGTCTGCTTCCAGTCTCTCTCGAGCTGCTCGAGAATCTCGTCCACCAGGGCCGACGTCTCGAGATGCGACATGCCGCCAAAGTTGCTGACGAACAGCATCGTCTCGTCGCCGGGGGAGAACCTGACAAAGCCCCGCTCAGGATCCTCCTCGTCGAGGCACAGCTTGAGGATGGACTTGACCAGGTCGGCGGCGGAGGGCTGGGGGGTGATCTTCTGGTATCCCGGCTCGTTGTGGGGGCCCGTGCCGAGCTCGACCTCGTCGGGCTTGAGCGTCGCATGCTCGGCCCGGCCGGGGACGTGGCAGTGGTCAATCGTGGCAGCGATGGAGACAATCTGCTGAGAAAATGCCACGCCCAGGTCATACACCTCGTCGAGGGAGCCGCCGGCATCCGAGGCACCACCCATGACCTTGAGGACGCCAATCTGGCCGGCGAGACCACGACGGCCAACCTTGCCGCCCTTCTTCCTGCCGACCGACACGTCGTCGCCGCAGATGATCATGCGGCACTTGTGACCCTTTGCATTTGCCTTCTCGTTGGCCAGGCCGAAGTGGAGGCAGTCACCCGTGTAGTTCGTGACGACGAGTATGGTTCCCTTGTCGCTGGGGACCGCGTCGATTCCCGCGAGGATCTGCTTGGTGCTCGGGCTGGCAAAGATGTCACCCTGGACCGCGGCCGAGAGCATCTTGTCGCCGACGTAGCCGGCCCAGGCGGGCTCGTGGCCGGAACCACCTCCGCTGATGAGGCTCACCTTGGAGCGTTCATATCTGCTGTTGTATATCACGCGGTTGGACTCGTCCAGGTTGAGCGAGGGGTTATAGGCAATGACACCCCTCAGAGCCTTGTCGACGAGGCCGTCCGGGGAGGTGAAGAGATGACGGTTGGACATGATATTACTCTCTGTTTGGAGAGGCGGGTAGTATCAGGTAGACAGAGGAGGGGAGGAGATGGTCAAGGGAAGGAGAGAGGAGAGGAAGGAACGAGGTGAAGACGAGGTGAAGAGGTGAAATTCGAAATAGTGAGAGGAGTAGAGAGGATAGAGAAGAGTAGGAAGAGTAAGGTGATAAAATTTGAAAGAAAGCCTTCAGAGGGAAGGAACGGGTGGCCAACACTCGTTAGGTGGGAAGGTGCAGAGGCTGCTCGAGGCGTTGCCTATTACACGTCAGTTACAAGGTCCAGCAAGCTTGGAATAGTGGATGATGGGGTAGGATAGGTGCTATGCGGCTGGTGTTTAGTGGGGAAGGGGCTTAAAACTGGGGAGGAGGGGGGGGGGGGGGGGGGGGGGTGTATTCGTAGCACCCGGTAACGGGCTTAAGAGGATGATACTCACAGTACAGCGTATTGCGGGGTAATGCTACCTGATGATACTTGGTAGAGCAGTAGCTGGTGGTGTTGTTAGTTCACGGGCAGGTGCAACGGGTGTGTCAAGCACAGGTCAGTCTCGGGATTCCCGTATGAGTTGAGGTGGCGGTCAGGGAAGGAGGGGGAGGAGGAGGATTACGAGCACTATTTAATCCAAAAAAGCCGTATGGTAACCAGCAGAAGAGGAATCAAGAGTTAAGAGAAGAGGATAGGGAAGACAGAAGGAAGGAATTGACGAAGAATTATTAAGAAAAAAAGAAAGAAAAAAAAAAAAAGAGAGAGAGAGAGAGAGAGAGAGAGAGAGGGATACCTCTAGCCGCACGCGTAAACATGGCAATGATGGAATGATGGAAGCCATCTCTGTTTTCCCCCATTCTGAAGCTTGTCCCACGCTCTCGTCTAAATTCCAGACGGGGAACCGCAAGCGACACTCTTTACCCGTAGCTTTACGGGATAATAGGACCGGCTTTTCGGTTTCGGCCCCGCTCCGAGTGCAATCTGTCCCGTAGAGATTGCAGCGCATAGGCTTGCCTTAAACTGTCGTCTTTCCTCTTCTTGTCTCTTATTATTTTACGTTTTGGCTATTTTACTTTGAATTGTTTGTCACTTGCTTCTTCCGATCTAGTCAATTCAGCTAATTGACAGCCAATTGTCCCAGCACGGGTCTTTTTTTATTATTATTCTTAGTACCGTTGATGGGGGAGGAAAAGGCAGAATCATCATTCAGTTCCTGGGTCGTGGCCTATACCCCCTCCTTCCCTCCCCTTCTCTTCCTCTCTTTCTCTCTCCGTCCCCGAATTAGAGAAAATCTTAGCTGGCCATATGACCTCAACGAAATGGGTGTGAGATGTTGAGTGGATCTTTGTCCGCTTGAGAGTCCCCGGGGGGGGAGGGGGTGAGTGGGGGAACTAGAATTCGGATTGCCTAAATAGGCAAATCGGCATCACCTCCACTTTCTCTACGGCGTACTTACTCGGTCAGCGTGGGATGTCGGACACGGAAGAATTAGCTACGCTGTGAGTATTGGGCGTCGGTTGGTGGTAGCCTGATGGCTGTAAATTTCGTCTTGCCTCTCGGTATATACATGGAGATACTTGCTACCTATGTACTCTATATCTGGGTGCTAAAGGGGGTAAGGTGGCGATCTATAATACTTGTAATGCGCATGTGGCCCGTTGCATTTGGTCCATAGTTCCTCGCTCAGTGTTTGATCTCGTAGACGTCAGTATCCCATGCTCTAAGATGCAGTGGCGAGCTAGAAAGGTCATGTGCCCGACATCAGCAGGTTTACTTTCATCCTTTTCCTCTCCTTTTCTTCTCCTATTCTTCTTCTCTTCCCCTATTCTTCTTTTCTCTTATAGTAATATAACTCTCTGATTGATAAGAATCAGGTCCTTAAGGAAAAGAGGGAAACTACTGTATCGAACAAGCTCCTTACGTGATTTACATTAGACAGAGACATGGCAAAAGGCGGGGAAGGGGGTAAGCTTCCGCTTATGGGGTCCCCTCATTATTCTATGTGATTTCTCCCGATTTTTTTTTTTTTGTTTTGGTCCCCCATCTCAAAGATCAAAGCAACGCATATTTATTCGTAAGAGAAGAAGGAAAAAAGAAAGAAAGGACAAGAAGAAGAAGATATCTAGGAGAATCGATCCATTGCTCCATCAATCTCTCATGCCTCGAGCTGGCAAATCTCATCCACCTTCTTGGCGCTGGCGCTGGAAGGGTCAAACACGTGGTCGAGCCAGTCGCTGGCCAGCTTCCTGGCGAGCTCGACGCCGATGACGCGCTCGCCCATGCAGAGGACCTGGGCGTTGTTGCTCTTGACGCTGCGCTCGACGCTGAAGGGGTCGTGGGCCGTGACGGCGCGGACACCCTTGACCTTGTTGGCGGCGATGGCCACGCCCAGGCCCGTGCCGCAGATCATCAGGGCGCGGTCGGCCTTGCCCTCGGCCACCAGGCGGGCGGCGGCGGCGGAGCGAGACGGGTAGGGGGTCTTGTCGTCGCTGGCGTTGGAGCCGACGTCGATCACCTCGGAAACGCGGGGATCGGCCTCGAAGTCGGCCTTGATCTTGTTCTTGTAGTTGACGCCAGCCTCCTGTTGTCAAGTGTCAGCAAGGTATGCCCGGTCCAGCCATTGCTCGGTCCGGTGACATGGCCATCCTGCTACCGCTGCCACTGCTGCTTCTCCGAGATTCACGTACATCGCAGGCCATGGCGATTCTCCATGTGGGGGCCATTGTGAATGGTGTTGGTTTTGGTGGCGGTGGGAGGAGATTGGGAGATTGGGAGGAGGTGTTGTACGTGTTGTATGTGCTGTATGTGTTGATTGTGAGTGTTGGTAACGGTGATGTATACGAAATAGGAGGAAAAGTAAAGAAAGGAAAGGAAAGGAAAGATGAGATGGCGAAGAGAAGGACGTAGAAAAAGGGACTGGTCGGGATTGGAAGCAGTGGTATGATGACTTAATGGAATCTACATCACTGCTACCTAGTAGCATTGATACCAAATAGTCAATACGATAGTAACGAAAATAAAGTGACATTAAAAGAACCTAATGATGATGTATTTTCTGTTAATTATATGTAGAGAGTACCGATATCTCCTACCCGTATCATCATCTCCCTACTGATCCTACACGGGTTTGTGCCTAGGTTTCTTAGCTGTCGCAATATGGAAGAGTCATACTGTTTCGTATATGATACAGGTGAGAGTACTGAGAGCGTATGATAGCTGCCTCCTGAAAAGGCATACATTGCAAGTATAGACTCGGGGTGATGCTATTTCTTTCTCTATGGAAATGTGGCGGTACGAATCTGCTCTTTCCGAAAACGGCAACGTAGCGGGATGTTTTTTTGTTTGTTTCTCTTTCTTTCTCTCTCTTCCTCTCTTCCTCGCTCTCCCCTCTTTTTAGTCTTTCCCCCTTTGTTCTCGATCAATCAATACTACCGTCAGCAATCAGAACAATGGCAACAAGGCGGTGGCAATGCAATCGATCATAGACCCTAGTCGTAGCATCATGTGCCCTGAAAATTCGAGCGACCAGAGCTACGAGGAGCTACCGTCAGGTACACATACAGCTTCACCGTTGGCAAGTTCAGCGATCCAACCCCCCGCCCCAGAGACAAGACAAGGCTCCTTCTACACATCGGGATGCCTGAACGGGAAAGGGAGGCGATGGAACTTGTCCGGAAAGCCAGGACCTGGATTGGAGGGACACATGGGAGAGCTTCTCTCAGTACTTCGGGTCGGTACTGCGGCGTACTGCTCCGTAGCAATGACACCGCTAGCAGCCCCAGCCGTGCGTGGGTGCTGTGTGTCCCGTGGCTCGTGGCGTGGGGCGGCGGGGGAGGGGGCAGCAGGGGAAGGATCGAGAATAGCATTGTCGAGGCACCGTACCGAACCGGAATGTGTCCGCGTCACGAGGCCACCGGGTACGAGAAATGAAAGCAGCTCATTGAGAGAGACACGACACGGTGGCCCTTGATAAGATTTTCCCAAGTTCTCTGTACATATGTATGTAAAAAAAAAAAAAAAAAAAAAAAAAAACCAACTTATTATCGAATTTACGTTTTGGGGGTTCTGCCATATCCTGCATTCGGCCACCCGTCTTTTAGCTGCTTCTTGCCTTTTACCCATAGCTCCTTCCGCTTCCACGGCTCCTTCCACAGCTCCTTCCCTCAAGCTCCTTGGCTCCTTCCCCACGAATTTCGAAACAAATTCCACTCTCTATACGCTCCTCTATCTTTCTCTTCTCCCCCCCCCCCCCCCCCCCCCCTTCTTCTCCTTCCTCCATCAATCAATCAGTCTTTCTCTCCGTCTCTCTTGATCCGCCTTCCTACCTCTTCATTCATCATGGCTCCATCACCTCGCAGAAGGCTCGTCGGCCTCTCGACCAAGATGTACTTTTCCCTCAAGCGCACCCGCGAGTACACCGACGAGATGATCGAGGGTCTCAAGACCATCCCCGCTGAAGAGCTGTCGACCGTCGATGTGTTCCTCATCCCCGACTTTGTGAGCGTAGTACCGACGGGCCAGCAGCTCCGAGAGGCCGGTTCCGCCGTGTGGCTGGGCAGCCAGGATGCACACTGGGAGGACGGCGGTGCCTTTACGGGCGAGGTGAGCCCCTCAGTGCTGCGCGAGGCCGGCGTGCGCATCGTCGAGGTGGGCCACGCCGAGCGCCGCCGCATCTTTGGCGAGGACGACGAGGTGACGGCGAAGAAGGCTGCTGCCGTGGCCCGCAACGGCATGGTGCCCCTCGTCTGTATTGGCGAGAAGACGAGGGGTGACTTTTCCGTTGCCGTTGACGAGTGCCAGGTCCAGGTTGACGCCGTCATGGCTGCGTGCCCCGATGATGCAGACGTCGTCCTCGCCTATGAGCCCGTCTGGGCAATCGGTGCGTCACACCCGGCCGGAGAGGAGCACGTCCTTGCTGTTGCCGAGGGCATCAAGAAGCTCGACTCGGTACGGAATAGAAAGGGTCCCACTCGCGTCGTCTACGGCGGAAGCGCCGGGCCTGGTCTTTTTGACCGTCTCAAGACGGGTGTCGATGGTCTGTTCCTCGGTCGCTTCGGACACGACGTTGATCAATTTGTCAAGACTGTGAAGGAAGTCATCGAATCATGATGATGCATGTCTTTTTTCCTTTACCTTTTATTTTTCCTTGCATTGCAAACCATATTAAGATTAATTCTACACACGACTTCACGATCACACTATCTTCTCCACGTTCTGGGAGTGGCGAACTTGGGAATGTCCAAATTTGGGAGTGTCGACGCCGGGAACGTCACCTTTGGCAGTGCCAACTCCGCCATCGGAGCGGCCAGCCACGGCTACTCGAGGCAAGGAAGAACAGAAAAGCCAACGGAAAGAAGAAAAAAAGAAAAGAAAAGAAAAACAGGGGGGAGGAAAAAGGAAGAAAACAAGGACGAACCAAAACTCCGCGCTCCAATCTGAATCTGACTCTGGGAATCTACTACCTAAAACCGGAGCATACCCTCCCAACATTACCTCTAGGGCTTCCGACGTGTGCACTCCTTATGATGTCGTGGTCTCATCGTGTGTCTGGGCATCCGAGCACGGACTGTCGTCGGTGATGCCTTCTTGACCTTATGGACCGGCCGGTAACACTCGGCCCTTCTCGTTCGGAAGCAGAGCAGAAAGAAACATGACATCGACGATGGAGTCTTGCGATGGCAAGTTGACGAGATTCTGGGAAGAGTTCAGTGAGCGAGGGATATGAAGTCTGACGTCATTCGCCTGCTGCGGAGGATTCCAGCACTGCGCACTCCTTTTTTGAGAACATGCGGAACATAGCCGATAGAGCCTTTTCACTGTTATGTTCTGCCGACAAAGTAACGGGTGCGATTTGCCTTTTAAAGTCGGGGTGGTGCGACGTAAATGCAAACAAGAGCTACAATGTCCACGATGACTTCTGAGAGTGAGATGCTGCATCGGGTAGTGCTACCCTAGAGAAGACGGACCAAGGTCACACTTATTCACACAATTGGGGCCTGATCAGCCTTTGGTCTCTCGGGTCTCGCTTAGTTGGTATTAGTATCGCTAAGACTCATCCAACAAGAAGAGTTCAAATCAGAATCGAACGACAGGTCTCATTCCCATGCTTGAGCTTCTGGTTGATGCCCGGTAGCATTCATGGTCGATGGGTGCTACCAAGTTGACCATCATCCACGGAACGGGATTGTATGTAACCAGCTGTACGAGGACAATCATCACGCCAGTTATACCTTCTTCTCCTGTCCTTCTCCCCCCCCCCTCTATCCTCCCATCCCCAGCAATGGCTGTGTGTGAGCAGAGGGATCGCGGGACCACGATCTGGATTGCAGTACAGCAGTCGTTACTGTTTTGAAAACAGTCAACAGCTCATCCTCAACCCCAGTCCTCGACTAACCCCGCAAGGGCAGCAGGCGAAGAGAACGATTCCGTTTCTGGTTAACACGCTCTCACCGGGTGGGTATCAAATTAGTTGCACACATCGACCCGCGTACTCGGATAGGTAGAGAGAAGGAAAGAGAAAAAAAGAAAGAAGAGAGGAGAAAAAGAAAACAAGCTGGTCGGGGCGGACCGGCGGTGTGACGGGCGGATATCTCTCTATGCGGCTCTAGAACTGCTGCTGTCGAGAAAGTCTGCTCGGCATCATCCAGTCTTAGCCTTTTGTTGACAATCGTCATCTAACAGACCCCGGCGGGCGATCCACGACATTTCTCAACTCTTCTTCACATGCCGAGGAGCTCTGATCTACCGACATCAGCTACGCCGCTATGACTCCGGTTCTCTTGTTCCTGCAACCTCTTGTCTTCTTCTTCTTCTTCCTGTTCCCCCCCCAAGCCCCTTTTGCTGAATCTGCATGCACATATTGGAGATTTTTTTTTTCTTTTCTTTTTTCCCTACCTACCCGCCCCATATTAGTTATTGTGGACTGATGAGTTATGAATGAGATGACCCTGGTTAGACTACCCTCCTGATCCCTGTCTTCCTGTCCTGCCGCCGGTTGCTAGTTCTCACCGGAGGGGACGTGTGGTTGACGATTGCCAAATGGCATGTGAGGATGGATCCTCGGGCGCCATTCGTGAATAGAAACTAGCAATAGAGGAGGAGCCCCGTCCTGTCCGGCTCCGAACCTTGCCCCCGAGCTGGCTGGGCTTGTCTCGACCTGTTTTTTGTTTTGTTTGTTTTGCTTGTTCCTCTTCATGCTAGCGGAGATGAACGGGGGAGGGGCTTCTTCTCTTATTCCCTCTTCTCTTCCTTTCTTTTTTGTTTTAGTGAAAGAAAGAAAAGAAGGAAGATGGAACAAGAGAAAGAAGGTGAGATGCCTTTTAACTATACCAGCCTCTTCTCTCACTGTCTCTCTTGTCTGTCTGTATCTCGCTGCTCTACGCGTATCTTGATGCTTGATCTTGTCTCTTGAAGATTTGGTACGAACAACGAACAGGTTGAGCAGCGAACAGGTTGAACAGCAAACAGGTTGAACAGCAAACAGGTTAAACAGCAAACAAGTTGAACAGCGACAACCTAATGCTACAAGGGCAACGCAACCGCAGAATACAGACGACTCACGCACACGCAACACCATGGCACCACCTTCACATCATTACCAAGAAATCGACTCGAGAGCCTTAGTCGACAGCCTGCTAGTCAGAAACGTACCCAGCCTCCAACCCCGCGACTCCGCCCACACCGGCACGGTAGCCGGTACGATAGTCGGCTTCATCCTGGGTATCCTCCTCCTCGGCGCCGCCGTTAGTTTCCTCATCGTCCATCTCATCAAGAGGAGCCGTCGCGACAGGGAGGCCACCAGAGACGGCCTCAGCACCGAGCCTGCTGGCGAGCCTCACACCCACGACAAGGACGATCTGGAGAGGCGGAAGCACGCCAAGGCTGAGCGTCCAAATTCTGGTCCGGCAAAGGCCCTCAAGAACAAGCTGTCCTTGTCCTGAGAAGTCTCTGGGAACGGCGACGCCAACCAGAAATAACTTCTTCTCATCTATTATCCATGCCGCTTTCTTGATATTTTTTTCATCTACCTCTCCTCCCTCCTCCCTCGGACCATGGATATTGATTGATTGATTGATCGATGGAACGGGATGGTGGTGCGTAGAATACGATGAATCTCGTTTCCATCCATATTCTTATACCGCCTATCATTACTACAGCAGAATAGACAGACGATTATAATACCCCGAATAGATCAAGGTCAAATACGAGTTGAGCCCACTCAGCTCTGAGTACATGTAATGCTGAGCACTGCTACTACATGCAGGAGGTATTACCTGCTCATCAGAGGCCGTAAATCATCTCTACCGAGTACACCATCTCGTTACGAACCATGCGAGGGCTGATCATGTCACCGGCCAATGTGATATCTACTCATATGAATTATGAAGATTGAGATCCACCCCGGGGGCCGAGTCGGATCAGTCGGATCCGCTACCCGGAGCGATTCGGCCTAGGAGGACAAGCTCCGAGCAACGTAATGGATACACATTATCGCATGTATTCGTTGGAGTATCACTCAAACTCATAGGCCCACCCAGTCCTCTCCTCCCCCCAGAAGAAAAAAAAGGGAGAGGCTGTCTGAGACTGGATAGAGAACTGAGCTTTCCCCCAAGCCGGGCGGTCCCGGTTATATGGGACGTGCGAAAGCGTGCGGAGACGGCCGGGCGGAAGGGATTGATTGGTCCGATCGGTTTCATCTGGGGAGAAGTCAAGGTTAAGTATGGGACGTCATCGGATGGATGGAAGACTTTTTCTTTCTCTCCTCTCAATGTCACCGAGAGACGGGAGAAGCGCTGGGTGTTTGGGGACTTTGGTTGACCATGTGTTTCTCTCCACCTCGGCATCTGATCCGGGTGATGTTTTCGGATGGTAACCGAAGTACTTGTATACCTTGCTAGTACTTATGATGTATGATGCATGTGGTTGAGCTTGTTGTGCCGCGGTAACGAAGATGGAGTAGATTTTAAACAGAGCATTCCCCCTCTCATCCTTCTCATCTTCTGCTGCTTCTTTTCCATTCAATTGATTCTATCCATCCCGGGTTGTTGTTGTTGTTGCTGTCATCATCAAATACACACAAACACACACGCATCATCCATCATCAACATCACCAAACAGAGAAGAAGAAAAAAGAAAAGAAAAAGAGGTACGCAGGTGCATACATAAAAGCATACACAAAATCGCCCAACATGGTTCTTCAACCTCATCGCCCGGATCAAATCTCCATCGTCGGAGACGTCGACAGCAACTTCTCCAAGATCCTCACCCCGCAGGCATGCCAGTTCCTCGCCGTCCTCCACCGCACCTTTGAGTCGACGCGCCAGGAACTGCTGTACAAGCGTACCCTCCGTCAGAAGCGATGGGATTCCGGGGAGAAGCCCGACTTCCTCCCCGAGACCAAGGCTGTCCGCGATGATCCTCACTGGCGCGGTGCCGCCCCCGCTCCCGGCCTCGTCGACCGCAGAGTCGAGATTACCGGTCCTACCGACCGTAAGATGGTCATCAACGCTCTCAACTCCAATGTCAAGTGCTACATGGCCGATTTCGAAGGTACGTCCGTCAATCCCGTATGCTCCCGAATCATGATCGGAACACAGCTAACCTACGGCCGCGCTCCTGCAGACTCGTCGACGCCCACCTGGAGCAACATGATCAACGGCCAGCTCAACCTGTACGATGCCATCCGCCGCAACGTCGACTTCACCACCGGAGGCAAGGAATACAAGCTCCGGACCGACCAGGCCCTCCCCACACTCATCTGCCGCACCCGCGGCTGGCACCTGTACGAGGAGCACTTCCTCGTCGACGGCCAGCCCATCTCGGGCTCGCTCTTCGACTTTGGCCTGTACCTGTTCCACAACGCCAAGGAGCTCATCGCCAGCGGATCGGGTCCTTACTTCTACCTGCCCAAGATGGAGTCTCATCTCGAGGCCAGGCTGTGGAACGACGTCTTCAACGTGGGTCAGGACTACGTCGGTATCCCTAGGGGAACCATTCGTGGTACTGTCTTGATCGAGACCATCACCGCCGCCTTTGAGATGGATGAGGTAATGTCTTCACTATATTTTCTTTTAAATTTTTTTTTTTTAAAAAAAAAATTCTAACAGGAAAAAAAAAACACCACCACCACAATATCAGATCATCTACGAGCTTCGCGATCATATCGGCGGTCTCAACTGCGGTCGCTGGGATTACATCTTCACCTTTGTCAAGATCTTCCGCAACCGTCCGGACATGATCCTCCCTGACCGGGCGGACGTGACGATGACGGTCCCCTTCATGGAGGCCTACGTCAAGCTCCTGATCAGCACCTGCCACCGTCGTGGCGTCCACGCCATGGGCGGCATGGCGGCCCTGATACCTATCAAGAACGACGAGGAGGCCAACGCCAAGGCCATGGGCAACGTCAGGTCGGACAAGCTGCGCGAGGCCCTGGCCGGCCACGACGGCACCTGGGTCGCCCACCCGGCCCTGGCCGGCATCGCCCTCGACGTCTTCGACACGTACATGGCCACGCCTAACCAGATACACTACCGCACCGACCACTTCCGCCAGATCACCCAGGACGACCTGCTCAACCCCCGCGTCGCCGGCTCCATCACCCTTGAGGGCGTCAAGAAGAACATCGACATCAGCCTCATCTACTCCGAGGCCTGGCTGCGCGGCATCGGCTGCAGCCCCATCAACTTCCTCATGGAGGACGCCGCCACCGCAGAGGTCTCGCGCAGCCAGCTGTGGCAGTGGGTCCGTCACGGCGTCAGCACCGTCGAGGGCGTCCGCCTCACCAAGGATCTCGTCCTCGGCCTCCTCGACGACCAGACAAAGGCTCTTGCTTCCAAGGCTGGCGCTGGCAACAAGTTTGACAAGACTGCCCAGTATCTCGCTCCTCAGATTGTCGGAGAGGACTACACCAACTTTCTTACAGAGTATGTTTTCTCTCTCCACTCTCTCCCTCTCACCTTCCCTGCTAACGCACCATCATAACAGGCTTCTGTACGGTGAGGTGACGACAAAAAAGGCCTCCAAAGAGAGCAGACTGTAAGAGGTGACGTTACTGTAGGATATATGATTTGATGCTTTCAACGATTCAAAAACTCGTGTGTTGTGCTCTTCTTCGTTCTTTCCTTTCAGGCATGGGATTCTTTTCTATTTTCAAGATATGCGAGCGAAACACAGAATGAATAGCTCAGAGTTAATGTAGCAAGAGAAGAAAAAGAAAAAGATTTTTTTTGAAAACCTCTGGATTCATTCACGAGATATACATATACACCTCAATTCATGGAAAACATCTTTCCCACCTCAGCCCAGTCCAACTCGTCAATACCCGTGAGCGGCAGGCTGGGATCGTTGTAGCAGGAGTAGATGGTTCCCATGTCAAGGCTGAGATCGGCATTGAAGTTCTCCAGGTCCGTAAACCCGGGAGCTCCGCTGTTCCAGTCGCTCGTCGCCCCTCCAGCCCACGCAGCCATGATGGGCGGCGATTCATGGTACGGGGTGGCAGGCGTCTCGGGCATGTGTGCGGTTCCGCTGCCGGTACTCCCTGGTCCGACATCTACCATCCTCCCAGCCTCGCCCGGCTGGGGAACCCAAAAGGCGGACGCGGGAGCCGCAGCAGCACGGCTGCCAGCTCCATCCGACGACGTCTTGGAGATATCCTCCTTCAGGATGCCCCACTCATCCGACATCTTCTCCGGAGGCCACACGTGGTGGCAGAACTGCAGGAGTTCGTTGAGCCTCTTCCCAGCGGCTGCGCTGCCAGACTCGGACAGGTAGTGCATCATGTCGGCTGCCTGTCTCAGTCCTTCAGGGGGTTTCTGCAGGTCGCTGATCTCGAGGAAGCCTTTCATGACGAGGATGAAGGCGGCTGAGAATGTGACGTCGAGGTCGAAGCAACCAAACAGGCCTATTGGAAAATATCAGCAATGGGAATTGGCAGGGAGAGAGGTTTTTTTTTTTTGGGAGGGGGGAGGGCAGGGGGGAGGGGATCATGATAGGGGAAAAAAGAGAGAGAAGAGAAGAGAAAAAGAAAGTCTCTTCTTACCTTGCTGCTGAATGGCTGATAGGATCCGGATGCTCTTGATGGCAGCCCCACGACATGAATGACACAGAACCGTCATGGACGGCGACTTCGCGGGCGGCGGCAGATTCTCCCTCCAAGACTGGACCTTGTCCTTCACGCGCTGCAGGATCATGGGCCGGATGCAGAGGATGATGGCCTGAAACAGCATGAGGTAGAGCGAGGCGCTGGTGCGCGTCACGGCCGGGAGCTGCGGCTGGGTGAAGTCGATGGTAAACTGGGCGGGGATGGAGCGCTGGGTCTCGTACAGGTCCTGCATGGTGGTCTGGATCTTGCGGACGATCTGGGTGGAGGAGACGGCCGTGTTGCCGTACAGGGACGTCATGATCTCGCCCGTCTTGCGGGCGATCTGGATGTTGATGATGAGGGGCATGGGGTCGTCGAAGCCGGGGGCCGCCTTGGGCAGGTCGGCGCGGATCTGACGCTCGTCGGCGCCCATGGGCACGCCCAGCGCGGCCGAGAGGCGGCGGTCGTGGATGTAGGTGGTCCACCAGACGCGGGTGCGGTGCCAGCGCGTCGACGACAGGCCCTGCTGCTCCTTGATCGGGAGGGCGCAGCCGAGGGCGAGGGCGAGCCTCACGGCGGAGCCGATGTAGAGGTAGGCGTCGTGCTTGCGGTCGCGCCACTGCAGGTACAGGCTCGCCAGGCAGAGCACCTCGACCGACGTGATGCCGTGGGAACCCATCTCGTGCAGGGGCGGCAGGCGGCCCATGGCCTCGTTGAAGTAGGTGTCGGCCGTCGCCGAGCCGGCCAGGTCGCCGTCGCTGCGGGAGCATATGTGCTTGGCTATGGCGACGATGAGGAGATACTGGCTGAACCACATGGACTGCATCAGAGAGGAGCGCGACTCCTCGTCCTGGTACAGCATATCCAGCGAGTCGAAGAAGGATCGCGGGTCGAGGAAGTGCTGGTTGGCCCCGATGCGCGAGCTGAAGACGTCGAATAGCCGGTGCGACTCGTCCTTTGACGGGAGCTCCAGAGCCGTGGTCGAGAAGCTCGATAGCTTGCGCGCGTGCGCCCACTGCTCGCCTGCCAGATTCCCGCCACTGTGCGTCGTCTCGAAGGGTGTTGATGAGTTCGCTCCGGATGGTGATGCTGCTGCCGCCGACGACGACGACGACGCCGCTGCGTGATGTGACTTGGAACCGGCATGCTGTCGGATGATAGATCTGACGCGGGACTCGAAGGCGGCACCCGAGGCCAGCTCGGCAACTTGTCGGTGTCAGCCTTGAGAACACGTACGTTGTCGTTCCTCAGTATGAGAAGCTCAGCTGCATAGAATGAAAGGGAAGTTTTTCTGTAGAGGGGGGGGGGAAGGTATAAAAAAAAAAAAAAAAAAAAAAGAGAGAGAAGCATGGAGAGAATGGAGAGAGGAAGGAAATAAAAAGGTAAGGTATAGTGCTTACCAGGACTTGAGCCTCTCTCCTCTTCATCAACACTCATGTCCGGCTCCTCGGCCGACAGCTCCCGACGCGGATCCAGACGCGGCGAAGCACTGCTCATCCCTTCCCGGGAGGGGAATCTTTTGAGCTCGTCATCCTGCGTCTTGATGGTATCTAGCAGACGCTGGACGTATCTGCAGGTCAGCAACGCAATACCAAGCGGTTAGTCAGGTAAGCCGAATCGGAGGAGGGATATCGAGGTTGATACGTACGCTTCAGAGTATCCGCGACGGCCCACGAAGCCGAATTCGCATTTGGCTCCTCGACGAACACACGCCTGACATGGTCTTGCGCCGGAGCATTTGACCTTACGCTGACGACAGGCATCACACCTGCGAGAGGGGAGGGGAGGGGAGAAGGGGGGAGGCAAGTCAGTCACCGCGGTCTGATGAGGGAAGGGTCTCCTCCATAGAGGCACAAAGAGGGGTGATCCACATACGCATTGGTGGACCGCGTAAAGTGAGTCGCAGGAGCAGCTCCCATTGTCAATAGAGAGAACGATAGGTAGCAAGGACTGTTCTCCGTTCTTTGACTCGGCTCTCACCGTTCTTCACTTTCGGAAGAGCGAGTCGGAGGTCCGTCCGAGCGCCGGCGGTTCATCCAGAAGCGCAACCCAAAGCTCTGATGGGCGTATAGCGGATCTAGAGCCGAGGGTGAGGAGGGTCTTGATGGTCAGAAACTAGACGAGAAGAGACAAGCAAAGCAACTGTAGATGACGCTCCCCTCTCTCTCTCTCTCTCTCTCTCTATCTCTCTATCTCTTTTCTTCTTCTTCTTCTCTTCCCAAGATCTGAATATCCCACTGCTAGAGAGCAATATTTTCCATATCTATTCCGAAATCGGCCATCAGAGATAAGCGAGAGATTGATGACGAAAATCTTGATTATCAGTTGCACTATCTTCTGGTCCGGATCATGTTCGGATAATATCCCCGCATCTTAGCCTCGGATGACAGCCGATAAGCTATCCGTTCGATTGATTCTATTAGTCATCGTTGATTCAGTTGTCTCGGTGCTTCATTACCCCGCCGAGATATAGAATAGTAATTTAATACTCCGTACCCGAGGTCTTCTTATATCTACCCGTACATGGGCTGCTGCTACTGACTCAGCAAGAGTCTTCTACCCTTCAAACACATGCATATTCCCTTCTCCATGCGAATCGGTCTCGTATGTCGATCGAGGAGCATCTGGTGATGTTGGGGGTGGGGAAAGACGTTGCCTCAAGGTCATCCGAGACAATCCTCCGTGTTATCCCACCAGCATGCCATGCACCCCGCAGAAGAGACGTAGCAACTACCAGGATATCATGTTGAAACACTGGAGCCAAACCCCCGGAAATCTTTATCTGTCAATCTAGCAGGAGCGGTTCAGGCCTGTGGAGAAAAGTCAGGTCTACCGTAATCCTTTTCACTTTTCAGTAGAAGAGGCTCAACTCCATGAGAGTCCTTCCACGTAATACTTCCATGTAATACTTCCATGTAATAACTCGTGTTGTCACATAGACCACGAAGCCACTGACCCCCTCCCCGTCCACTCCTCCTCTCTGTACATGACCATGATGCCGTGTTCGCATATCGACCGTCATTGCCGAGACTGTGGCTTATAAGCCACCCCATACAACCATCCCGGTGTCTGCTCAACCTCTCGGTAAATGTATCCATGCCGGTTCAATAGTCTTCTTTTTCTTTTTCTTCTTTTTCCTTCTTCTTCTGCTTCTTCTTTTTGAAGATCAGAATCCTCGAACTCTAAGGGGAGGCAAATCCCGTCTAGATTCTCATGTAAACCCTATAAACAAACCCCCGTGGGTTCAGTTCAATTCGAAACCGAACGTCAGCCACTGTCATCGCCAAGCAACGGCACATGTCCACGGCTAAATCGACCTTGTCTATGCACGCGCAGCACGGTACCGGATTCGGAGTGCGGGGGACCTTGAGGAGTAATACGAGTACGTCGTCTCGTTCCTATCCAACGAGGCAACTCTAACCATTGACAGCCGCAGGTAAAGCCGAGTCTTGTTCAGAACTGAGAGTGGCTCGTGGGGAGGAACATCTGAGAGGACGACCGGCTCGGTCCGTATAATCAGTCCATCCAGAACCATGTGTTGCCGACATAGCGGTCTATAGATCAGTACCAATACACGATACAGATGCAACACCAACAGGATCGTGAGGGGAACGGCCCGATTCCACTCGGGCTTTCATTGACCATCGCCACCTCCCTCTGTCCAGCATCTGGTGACGGGCCCCAGACGTGTCTCCCGCATCCCCCGCATCCTGACCATGCTGAATCATTCATCATTCGGCAGTCTGTATATGCATCCCATCTTCACTTCACCCCTGGTTGAACCGAGCCGAAGCGCAAGTAGCATCATGCTGAATACTCTCGCGTCGTACACATACATGTGCGCCCGAGGGCAGATTTCTGCGCCATTGTCCAGCCAAGCCTGACGTACCACTGGCTTTCCGCTTTCCGGTCCGGTCTGCCACCGTGCAATATCATGCCCCTGGCTGCAATATACTCCATGCCGTGTATCCACAGCTCCCCGCCCCCCCCCCCCAAAAAAAAAAGCACATGATGATTCGAGAGCAAATTGGGCATCATCCGGATGTGCTTATACGGGCTGTCGTTCACGGGGCGTCGTTTAGCCGACAATAGGTTCGGGAATATGACGAAGAGAGGGAGAGAGAAGGAGAGGGGGGGGGGGGGGGGTTGGTTGCGAGTCCATTCCTAGAGATGGTCTCTTGGTTTTCAGGGTAAAAGGCTAGAGTATAAGAACTGGGGGCTGTTCCATCATCATAATCATAGCCAGCTCTGCAGGACCTCTCAATACAACCACAACCACACCAAAGTGTACCACGTATATCATGAAGGCCCCTTCAACAGCAGCATTGGCCTTGGCCGTACTCTCCACTGTCTCTGGTAACTTGATCCTACCTGCTCCTGATCACATCGTCGTCCTACCGCGGTCCGCCACACACACGCACACACACACATACACACACACTGACATGAAGAAAACAGCCGAACTATCCTGGGACGAAGCCTACGCCAAAGCGAAGCTCTCCCTGACCAAGCTCTCCCTCTCGGACAAGGTCAATCTAACCACCGGCACGGGGAGCGGCAACGGCGTATGCGTCGGCAACACCCGGGCCGTACAGTCCATCAACTACCCGGAGCTGTGTCTCCAGGACGGGCCCCTGGGCGTGCGCGAGGCCCCCCACGTCACCGCCTTCACGCCCGCCATCCAGGCGGCATCCACGTGGGACCTGGAGCTGATCGGCCAGCGCGCCCAGTTCCTTGCCGAGGAGGCCCGCGCGCTGGGGGTGCACGTCCTGCTGGCGCCCGTGTGCGGGCCCCTGGGCAAGATCCCCGAGGACGGACGCGCCTGGGAGGGGTTCGGGTCAGACCCTTACCTCGCCGGCCTGGCCGTCGGCGAGACCGTGAGCCGCATGCAGGCCGTCGGCGTGCAGGCCACGGTCAAGCACTTCATCGCCAACGAGCAGGAGCTCAACCGGACGACCATGTCGAGCAACATGGACGACGGGACCATGCACGAGGTGTACCTCTGGCCCTTCTACGACGCCGTCAAGGCCGGCGTCGCCTCCATCATGTGCAGCTACAACAGGATCGACGGTATATGGGCGTGCGAGAGCGACGACGTCCTCAACAAGCTGGCCAAGGACCACATGGGCTTTCCCGGCTACATCATGACCGACTGGGGCGCGCAGCACTCCACTGCGCTGTCCGCCCTCGCCGGGTTGGACATGACCATGCCCGGCAGCGACGACGCCTCGGCCGACAACGCCTACTGGGGTCCACGGCTCGTCTCGGCCGTGCGTAACGGCTCCGTCCCGGAAAGCCGCGTCGAAGACATGGCCACGCGCATCCTCGCAGCGTGGCACAAGATGGAGCAGGACGCGGACTACCCCACCACCGATCTGTCGCGCGAGGTGGCGGCCGACCACGCCAGCAACGTGCGCGCCGTGGCGAGGGACGGCATCGTGCTCCTCAAGAACGAGGGGTCCATCCTGCCATTAGCCGCTGACCGGGGCAGCATCGCCGTCGTCGGCTCCGGCGCCGTGGCGGGGAACCACTCCGAGAACCTGTGCCAGTACAACGCCTGCAACGACGGCGCCCTGGGTATGGGGTGGGGCTCCGGCGCAGCTACGTACCCTTACTTCGTCACGCCCGAGGAGGCCATCACCGCGCGCGCTGGCGAGGAGGCCGTCACTGTGGCGGGGACCGACGACCCGGATAGCGGCGCCCAGGCCGCCGGGGGCGCAGACCTGTCGCTCGTCTTCGTCACGGCCGACGCGGGCGAGGGCCTGAGAGGCTTCACCATCGAGGGGAACGAGGGCGACCGCAAAGATCTGGACCCGTGGCACGGCGGCAACGAGCTCGTCGCTGCTGTCGCCGGGGCCAGTGACGATGTCATCGTCGTCGTGCACAGCCCCGGCCCCGTCATCCTGACCGAGATTCTGTCGCACCCCTCTGTCAAGGCTGTCGTGTGGGCTGGCCTGCCGTCGTCGGAGAACGGCAATGCCCTGGTCGACATCCTCTGGGGTGATGCCAACCCCAGTGGAAAGCTGGTCTATACCATTGCCAAGAGCTCCGACGATTATAACACAGCCGTTGTCGATGGTGACGATGACTATGCCGAGGGCGTCAATATTGATTACCGTCACTTTGACAGTGCTGATATCGAGCCGGCATTCGAGTTTGGTTTCGGTCTCTGTACGTTCTCTCTGACCTCTTCGTCTCTTGCTCCCCACCCTAAAATCCTCAGTTGTTTTCCAAGACGTCAAACTAACAGTGCTCAGCGTACACGACATTCGAATATGGCGTCCTGAGCACCCGCCAGTCTGTCACTCATGGCCCCATCAACGGCCCCATCACGGCTGGCGGCCCCGCAGATCTCTTCGAAGAGGTTCTCTCGGTTACGATCCCTGTGACCAACACGGGCCCCGTAGACGGCGCCGAGGTGGCGCAGCTGTACCTGGCTTACCCCAAGGGCATAGATCAGCCTCCCAAGCAGCTGCGCGGCTTCGACAAGCTATACCTGAGGGCTGGTGAGCGCGGTGAGGCCAGCTTCTCCCTACGCAAGAGGGACATGGCCTTCTGGGATCAGCAGCTGGAGAAGTGGGTTATCCCCACTGGAAGATTTGAGGTGTTGGTTGGGTCCAGTAGTCGTGACATTCGTGCCAGGTCGGACATCAATGTGGTGTAGGTAGGACGATGGTGCTGTAATGTCCTGTATTATTGCTGTGGTATTATCTATCGAGTATGAGTGTCTCAATGCTTGAGCGGTTTACCGGTATGATGTCCTTTTCCTCGCTTCCTCTGCACGTGCGCATATCACCTCTTCGCAAGAGATTCGACCGTCGTCTTAAGAAACGCCTGGAAGCTCTCAAAGATGACAGGATTGTGGCCCTCGAGCCAGCGGCAGTCAACACTGACGTCATCTCTGCCGACGTGAATAGAGACGCTGAATCCGAAGCCGATCTCGTCGGGGTCGTCGTCGGTCACGTCCGCTGTGCGCTGCATCTGCCTCTGCCTCCTCCTCCACGCTCTGTTCCAGACATTGCCCACAGCGCGTCCGGTACCCTGCAGTTTGTGCTTATCCCACGACCAACTGACCAGATCGAGTTGACCGAGTACCTCCTCAAGAGCACCGGGGAGAGAGGCCAGGATGCCGTCTGAGAGTGGCACGACCACGAGGCGATGTGCCTCTGTGTGCGGCGGCAGGAGAGACCTGTCGTCTATGGAATTCGTGCCCCGCGCAACAGCCTGCGCAGGTCTCATGGGTCGAAAGCTCCAAGCCACGGCCCACCGACGCGTCTTGGACCCCTGGACGAACTCTGTGACGGCGACATTGTCCACCCCCAGATCGCGCAGACGGGACAGCACGGCCGTGACGCTCGACAGGAAGCCCAGCATGGCCGTGTACCATGCCACGCTGGTGCGCAGGGTGAGCGACTCGGTGACGATGCGGTTGACGAAGGCGACTTCGCCGCCCCGGGTGACCATTTCCACCGGGTGGCCTGTACAGGCAGTGGATGGCGGGCGAGATTTCTGGGCGGCACGGGTAGCCATGTCGGATTCAGACTCGTAGAAGGGCGGGTTGGTCATGCAGAAGTCTATGCTCGTGGAGGTTGCAGGGATGAGGGTGTCGTCTGGTTGACGGCGGAGGACGGTTATGCGCGAGTCGAGGTTGTTGAGATGGATATTTTTCCGGGCGTAGGTGATGTTCTTCTCATCAATGTCTGGGCATCATCACAATTTTGGCCGGTCAATGGTGAGACTGATTTTGAATTATGAATTATGGGGATACAGACCCGTGGCGATGAAGGACCAGGGACGCTGGGCGCATCCAAGGAGAGGATAGATGCAGCTGGCGCCGGTCCCGATGTCGAGGCCGACAAGGTGGTGATTGAGGGGGCCGTAAGAGGTTGTGTCTGTGAGTTTCTTGAGCCATATAATGTAATTGTGTCTGTTGGCGACCTGGAGGGGGTGTCAGATGTGTGTATGTATGTATGCACGCATGCATGTATGTATAGAAGTATGTGAGAGAGCTCATGCATGAGAGCCTGTGGTGTGAGAGCGTGTGTTGGTGACGAGCATACAGGAGGACACAGTCTGTCATCGGGCAGGTCAATGACAAGACCAAAGTCTAGTCTGAGCAACGTCTTTGTGAGTTGCTTGACAGCCCTGGCATCTTCGAAATCGAGATGACGACCCTTGACGCTATCAGCATACATGTTAGTCTTCCCGAGAGCGACAACGAAGACGGGAGGCTCTCACACAGCTGCAAAGTCGGCATCGAGGACTGCCAGATCTTTAAAATCTCGTGATTTCACATAGAGCGACTCGAATCGTTTGTCTGTCGCGACGCGTGTTTCGGCGGAGTCGATGTCGCCACGGATGGTGATTTCATCATGAGGTTTAGAGGATAGGGAGTCTGCGTGTTTGCGCTTCATGGTGGTATCTCCATGCCAATGTCTCTTTCACCGGCCCCCCCTCCTTCTTCGTCTCTTTCTATCCTTTTGGCTCGCTCCTTGTGGGTAGACAGGAATGAGAGAGTCAAGAGATATGAAAACAAAGAGCAAGTGATGGAAGGAATCGTTTTGGGGATTACAAATGCCCTTTTGGTCAATCAATGCTGTGAAGAAATGAATGAATGCTATGCTAAAAAGCCGAAAGAAAGATGCAACCCTATAAGGAAATATACGCAATACATGCATAGTACCCATGCTCCTCTTTTTCCCCTCTGTATATGCATATTACCCATCATGACGTAATATATGCCAACCACATCAGGCAGCATACCAGAAACCCAAAAGAGAAGAGAGAAAGAGAGAGAAGGATGAAAATCACCACAACAGAACCCTCCATCTCCAACCCTGCAGAACCTTGAGATCTCTCTCGTCTATATCCGCATAGGCACCTTCTTCGATCCTGGCCGTGAGCCGTCTCAGCCTCTTCTGCAGCGTCTTCGCCACGCGCAGGGTAACCTCGTTCTGGAAGACGTACAGCACGGCAAAGACGAACATGGCCATCTTGGCCCAGCTCCCCTTGCCCAGGACGCTCTCCTTGAGGTAGGAGACTATGCGGCTCGCTCGACGAAATGCGTACTCGGTGTCGTTGGAGGACTGGACCTGCCCGCTCTGCTGATCGGTCTCATGGTCATTTCCGCGGCGAAAGATGCGTCGAACGAGTGGGATGAATGATGCTCTACAAAAAAAAGTGTTAGTTTAGCCATGTTCAAGAAGACGGAGAGGCTCAAGGTTGAACAATAAAAACGTAAAAAGGTGATGGGAAGGAGAAGGAGAAGAAGAAGAAGAGAGAGAGACGGGGCAGCAGAGAAAACGTACATTGCTCCCCCAAGTAACCACTTCCTCCACCGGTGATTCTGCGCCTCCTTGAGCATAGAGTGCACCTCAATCTGCAGCTCACCCAGACTATGCAGCACAGCCATCTGCTGACCCCTCAGCCTGGCATCCAGATCGGCGACGGACGTGGCGCTCGCCTTCCGCCGTCTCAGCAGCCCCTGGTACTCAGACAGTATATACCGACACTGAGTGAGGAGCTGCGACGCGTCCACGGCCGAACCCGGCGGCAGGACTCCCGTCTTGAGGTGCTGCTGCTGTTGTCCGTGACCCCGATCATATTCGTACCCGTCGTGGTGGTCGCCGTGGTGGTGATGTGGGCTGAAGTAATCCTCCGGAGGACCCGGATACTGGAAACCACCGCCGGGGGTCAGCCCCGGCGTCTGTGGTTGCGGTTGATTACCCCCCGACTTGCCGTAGCCGTTGGACCGTCGGGGCACATCCCACATGCTGCCCGGGTGGTCGGGGATCTGAGACTCGGGGCCTAACCGAAGTGCCAGCGGGGGCACCGAGCTCGTCTCCGACATTGGCACCGGGTCTATGGCGTCGAGCCGAGAGGTGATGCTTGCCATAGTTTTCTTCTTCTCTTTTCTTGTTCCGATCTTTGCGGCCCTTCCCTTCGTTCAAGGCGCCCTGATTTATTCTTTTCTTACCCTTCGGGCGTACGCACACACATACACACACACACACACACACACGGAGAGAGAAAGGGACAGAGAGGGAGAGCGGAGGAAGGACTATATGAGTAAGGTCGAGATGGAAACCTGGTGGCTGGGGACGATGCGTTGGGTTGCCGTGCTGTATGCACTTGGCGGGGTGTGCATATGCACAAGCTTCGCATCCCACAGCCCATTTCCATCACATTTCTGGCTCTCACCCTCACGAGTCTCACGCTTCGCATACGCGCCTTGGCCTGTTACAGGAATATCATAATCTTTCTTCTTCTTCCTCTTTTTTTTTTCTTTTTCTTTTTTTTCTTCTTCTTCAGCGATCCTAATATAGGAATTGCAGCTCGGTTCGCTCATTCAATGACCGGGTCGAATCTCCTTCTCAACTTACTAGATTCTCTCATCGTTTCCTCTATTGCCTTCGTAGCCCCCCTACTATCGTTGGCTGCCCTCGTCTCGCAGACCGATAGGATGGGGACTTGCCAGGGGGTTAAAGACGGTGTAAGAAGAAGATGGAACTACAGATGAGAGGAGAAGAGAAGAAGGAAGAGGAAGGAGTGTGAGGAAGAGAAATAGAGATCCAAGTGGACTCGAATCTACTTATTATTCCAGACCGACCCTTGTGACCCTCTTCTCTTGAGTAAACACCCAGTGCTCTGCATACTTGCAGGTTACCCATAACAAGGCGTCGGTATCGGAATGTCCCCGACTACGTCACTTTGCATCATTACTTCAGCTATACCTAGTCCGTATTACAGATGAAACGGAGCATCAGTACTCCCTATGAGTACATGGCAGCTATAATCAGCACACTTTCACTCCGTCAAGCATACAACTTTGGTGATGCAAGGCGCCTACGCGCTCTCGAGGTTGAACACATTGACCGGAATACCGTTTTTTGATGCGGGAGGCTGGAAAAGGAGGGGGGGGGGGGGGGGTGTGAGCGAGCAAGCAGACAAACCAATGGACGAGATGAGATATGGAATAGAAGTATATATGGAGAAAGAAGAAGAAAAGAGCAAACACTCAAGTCTTAAACTGTCCTCGCTTCGTCTTGCCGCGGCCGTAACGGCAATGAGCTGACCACTCTTAGGCTGTCCTCCGAATGATGGCCCGATGCGGAGTATATGTACGGATATTGGTAGATATTGGTACGGAGTGATATGATGATATTACTGTACGTCGACGGTAATAGTACATATTATAATCTTGTACAGATTAATACACGCCAAGTTGGCCAACACCTCGGGCAATCGGTCTACACGGCAAATGCATTCGTACCACGGCCCACGAGTGGCTGTACCGTACGAGATCGGCAATTGCTGAGATTGGAGGCTGTTGCTGTTCGATAATACCTAAATGTACTCGTATAGGAAAGATGAATGAAACCGGAGACGTCACGGAACGAGCAACTGCCTCGACAACTGCTTTGCCTGACAGCCCGAGTGGTGCCATGTTTTCGAGATTTCAACCTCAGGTCTTTCCCCCCCACCCCCCCCACCCACATGAGGTGGCTGTGGCGAACAGACGGCAGGTTTCCGAGGGCACGAAAAAGGATGCGACAAGGGGGGGGGGGGGGCAGTAGGGGAGAGAGACAGAGAGCGGTTAAGAGAGATGCGAGTTGATATTACTCGTGTACTATGGTAAGATGATCTGAGTGTTGGGGAGAATTGCAAAAAAAAAAAGACAAGAAAGAAAGGGTCGGGAAGAAACAGACCGAACCCCCCGGCCGTTAATATTATTAGCGACCGGGTCAATGGAGGAGGGGAAGGGGGGGGGGAGGAGGAGGAAGAAGAGAAAGACGGACGGAGAGCTGCATCATGTCCGGCGCGTTATTTTTTTTTTTTGATGGGCAGCCTCAGGCATTGACATCTCGGGAGGGTACTAATAACCTCGGGCAGGCATCGTCGTTATCGGCGTGTGTCTAGGCCAGGGACTCTCTGGGTGGGTGAGCAACTGAGCACTAAAGCACTGAAGCACTGAAGCACTGAAGCACTGAAGCACACTGAGACGTCTTGTCTGTCTTGCTGCCGAAGACGGGCTGACGGGACAAAGCGGGACAGGGCAAGACAAGACAAGACAGGGCGAGACAGGGCCTCCCTTCTCCGCTCCAATGTCCTCTCTGTCTCTGGCTGTATCCGTATATACGTATATGCAGTAGTCGTGCGAGTCCCGCTGCAAATGTGCGGATCGACAAAGCACTCCTCTCACCTGTAGGCTGTAATCTGTACATACTCGTATACTCGGCAGCATTGCCAGTGTCACACTCACCAACAGCCACCGAGCTCATGCGCTGTCTCGTCCTGACCTCTTGAAGGGGAGTCCAGCCCAAGACTTTCATCTCTCTCTCTCTCCCCCCCCCCCGGGACCGGAGGATGACCGGACCCTCGTGACCCCATTTTTCTTTCCCTTGGCCCCAGCAGACCCGGAGCTACGAAGCGGCCCCCGAGAAGGTCGGAATAGTGCAGAGATGCAGATAATAATCACTCGGTTTGAGGATATCTAACCGTATCGTTTTCGTACTTGTGCTGGAAGAATACAAAGTATAAGAGAGAGAAGACAGAGAGAGTGAGTGTGTGTGTGTGTGTGAGTGCGGCGTAAGAGACGAGCGGTGAAAAGCCTGGCCCCCGGTAGTCGTCGACAATGGTCAGTGGTATGAAGCCTCTCGCCATTTTCAACTTTTCCTCTTCTTCCTTGCCTTCTTCTTCTCCTTCCCCTTCTTCTTCCTTACTGGACGGTGATGTGGTACGAGCGTGCGTACTTTTAGGAAAAGGAAATGGGTGAGGACGGGATTTTTGAGTATGGCTGTCAACGTGCCGCTCTGAACCGAAATCGTCTTCTGACTACCCCAGGCCACTCACCTCTGACCCTTCGACCAAGCCTAGACCGAGCAAGGCCGAGAAGGGTACCGATGTGCGAATGACACTGAGCACGGCCCCACACAGGGTCTTCCGAAGTCTGGGGCGGGTTGGGGGTGGCGCCCTGACCAGTTGACCAGTTGATTGCTTTAATTTCCACAGAGTGGATCCGTACTCGTACCTGTACTCCGTGCCTGTAATCTGTATTCCGTACTCGTCTGCTGGCCCGATGTCCGGGAGACCGAGTTGGTATCATTACCATTTACTCGTATTACTGAGAGAGAGATACCCTTTGCACCTCCACGGTAAAACATCGGCAAAACATGCCCTCGACCTTTGAACGTACACTAGGAGAATGATGTATACGCATGAAGAAGACGCTATCTACTATTACTCGATTCACTCTGCATGTACGGAATACTAATATTGATATAATTTTCTATTTAAAGAAGGAAGAAAGAAGAGAAGAGAGAAGCTAGCTGTACGAAGGAAAAGTTTAGAATGTACGCGTAGCGGCGCAGCGTGTAGAATCCCAACGCGATATCACGTGATGTAAATGATTTGTCATATATGGGTCCATGGTAGGGGTACGTCACCTTCTAGCCTCTAGGTGCTTTTGGCTAGGGCCTAGTACGGAGTGCTGGTAAAAGATTAGTTTGATGGAAGAGAGCAACAGCTGTCTATTATACTGCTACACATTACGGAGAGCAAGATGTGTCTGTGGGGTGGGGCAGGCCAGAGACCGAGAATGGGCTGGAGTGACATTCTGCCTGTGGAGCCCCCGTCGGCTGAGGGAAACTGTCCGGTGCGTGGAACAGGGCAGATGAACAAGCAGGATGCCGGAGTCGACCGCCTCCATGTTCCGGACAGCACATTCGGGCAAGCCCTTGTTCCCCTCTTTTCTCTCTCTCTCTCTCTCTCTTTTTCTTTTTTCCTTCTTGCACTCTTCATGTTTGGCTCCTACTCTCACCTGTACCTCCCTTTCTCTCTCTCCAATGAGGTGACAACGCTCTCGACAATAGAGTGGAGCCGAGAGAGGCGGCCCCGGAGACAAGGGAAAGGGAAGGATCGGTACGAGTACAAGTTGCGTGGTAATAATACTTGGTGGAAGATGCGCTGGTCGGTCGGAGAGAGAGAGAGAGAGAGACACACACATACACACACATGCACATACACGAAGCATAGGATCAAGACGACAGCGGGTCATGCAGTGATAATAATAATAGAAAAGTACTGGTAAAGACAAGAAGAATAGAAGAGGACAGATAACAAATCACTGCTCATGTAACGGAGTAGGCCGGTCAAGTTCTTGATACTCAAAGGTCGTACAACGTACAACGAGGCCGAACGAACAAGGGGGGATTGTGAGAGGAGAAAGGGGGGCGGCTTGGGGGGAAGGGGAGGAGGGAAGGAAGGGAGCGCCCCGGAGGTAAGCAGGAAGGAAGGTAGGTACATGTACCTGGGGGAGGCGCGACCGGTGCAGGCAGGGAAGGCGCGGACAGGTGCTCAAACCACGGCGTCTCCTGTTGTGGGAATATGTGTATATGTACACGACGGGCCTACGAGTGCAGAGCATTGCATTGAGAATATGGGGTATTGTACTTATAGAGGACGGGGCATTATCGCTCTTATTTCAAGTTTCGAGTCTCATCATCATACGAGTACTCGTACGGCAGTAGAGTAAGATGTACGGAGTAAACTGGCCATACTCATGTACGAGATGGCAGACGTAGTCGATACGTACCTGTACCGCAACCCAGTGATAGTACCACTGCCTCCACCCCACCCCCCGATTCTGGCCTGAGAAACCGGGCGTCGACGGCCACCTGTGGACACGAACGCTGTAACTCTGGGGCAAGAAGGCCGCCCGTGGCCGCCGAAGTCGACGACGCCGTTCAGGCCGTTTCTTCCTTCAAGGGCCGCCACCCGCCCTCCGTCGCAGACATTGGACACACGCACGCACGCACGCACGCACGCACGCACACACACACACACACACCATCACGCGCGCTTGCTTTTTTCCCTCTCTTTTCGCCGCTCTCCTCTACTGTCCATTCATTTTGTTTGCTTTCCCCCTCCCTTTCTCGCTCTTCCCACACCACATATTACCACCCGTAACCCCCGGTCTGGCGCATGCACCGTCATTACTCGCCCTTCTCTTTTCTTTTTTTTTTCTCCTCTTCCTCTCTGGCCGTTTGTACGAGTAATATTACTCTTTCATTGCTTCGCACAGAGAGTACTGGTAGAAGAGAGCAGAAGAAGAGAGAAAGAATAGGACCGTTGTTCCTTCCTTCTATTGTTGCACTTCCCTCCCTCCTCCTTCTCTCGCGCACCTTCCCTTCACCCCCGCCGCACTCTTTCCCGACCGGCCCCCAGTTCCGATAAAAAAAGAAGGGAAAAAAACAAAAACACCTCCACCCAACAACCCCCTAACGCTGGACACAATCACTCCCCCCCCCCCCCCCCCCCCCCCCCCCCCCCACCCGGGGCCCAACCCCCCCCCCCCCCCCCCCCTCTCCGAAGTCCCAGAAAAGCCTCTGAAGCATTCTCCCGTGCCGATCCATTTCAGCGTCCGTTGGCGCTGACTGTCCACTAAAACGGCCTCCGCCGCGTCTGCCGCCCAAAACCTTGAGCTACTTCCGAAGCCCGTGCTGACTGCTCCAGGTCGGCTGTCCGCTTCCCGTTTCCCCCCCAAAAATCCGCTTCTCCCCCCAGGCCCCAAGGCTCCCCCCATCACTCTCTTCCTTGGCCTCCGGGACCCACGGGTAGCCAGCTCCGGAGGTAGCAGTGCCTCATCTCTCACCACCACCAATTACCACCACCGCCTCTTGCTTTTCCCTTTTCATTTTCTCCATTTCTCCATCCTCTTTGACCTCCCCCCCTTCCTGTCTTAATTTATGGCTTTCGAGGCCTCAGAGGGCATCAGATAATTACGCCGACAGTGAGGGAGAGACGACGGCCTCGCCATAATCGGCCTCGGGTTTTATCTCTCTCCTACGCACCACTTCTCCTCGGTCTTGTCCACCACCGAGACCCTCACGCCCTTATTACTCTCAGCTTTTTCTCCTCGCTCCCCCCTTCCCCCCCCAGTCCCCTTCCACAACCAAGATGTCCTCTTCCGGTGTCGTAAGAGGAACTGCCCTTAGAGCCGGCGGCGCCTGTGTGCGTTGTCGCAAGGGCAAGACCAAGTGCGTGTACGAGACTGGTCGTCCGCCATGTCGCAACTGCGCCAAGGGAATGCACGAGTGCTACCTCCCCTCGGAGAGCATGGCCCATCATCACGGTCAAAGTCCAGCTCGCCATTCTAGCGCTCATCGCTCCTCACGCGACTCCCTTCCGGCTTCGGCTACCACTACCGCCGCCGCTTCGGCTTCCAACGATTCTAGGCAGTCTGGCGCTGTCGGCCCTCCTGCTGGTGGTCCCGCTACTGCCTCGCGCTCTGTTCCGGCCGTCGCAGCTGACAAGTGAGTTGATTCATTTCTCTCTTTCTTTTCTCCCTCTGTTATTCTCATCATCATCGTCACACCTATCTATCACTACCCCCCCCCCCCCCCCCTTCGCTCCTTCCATCGCCCTCATCCCGGCGCGTCCCGCTTCGGCACAACTCCGGCCCACACAAATTTCTCCATTATCCACTATTACCTGGAAAACTGCCGAACTCTGAACCTCGGGCGGTTCTCGGGCGGTCCCATCGGCCTTCCTCCCATCGGCCTTCACTACTAGTTCGCTAGTAGCTTGGCGCTTGACGTATACTGCCTGGACCAATGGCTATGGCTTCGCTTGACTAACAGGCACATCCAGACTCACCCCTGAACTCCTCGCCGAGTGTGAGCGCGTCGTCTCAAAGACATTCCCCGCCTGTGTTGCCTTTCACAAACCCTCATTTGTCCAGCAACTCAAGAATGGTACTCTCGAGCCTTGTCTCGTCTATGGCCTGCTCACGTGCGCCGCGAGGTAGGTTACAACCCATCCGCCAATAGCTATCTATACAATTGAGTCGGTACCACGGTCAATCCAGTAATCGGTTGACCTGACTATTGAGCCTTCACATGCTAACAACCCTCCCCTCCCTCGCAACAGGAGCTCCCACAATCTCATCCGCCGATATGGCAGCCCTTCGACCGCCGCCGAGACATTTGCCGCCAAGGCCATGGCCCTCATCAACCAGAACCTAGACCACCCTAACCTGGCCGACATCCAATCTCTCTGCCTAATCGTCATCCACGAATGGGGCTCCCGCAATGCCGTGCGCGCTTACATTGTCCTTGGCCAGGCCGCCCGCATGCTGCAGATGTTCCGCATCCTGAACAGCCACCGCACCGACCCAGACCAGTTCCTGCGCGACGAGTCCTTCCGTCGCACCCTGTGGCTCATCTACATACTCGACTGCCTGCTGACCAGCACACCGGGGCGCTACCCCTGCCTGTCGGTCCAGGACTCGGTCGACACGCCGCTTCCCTGCTCCGACATCAACTTCGCCTTTGGCAACGCCGTCTACGTCAAGACGCTGACCCAGGCTGTAGACGCCGACCCGCACAGCCGCCACCACCCCGTGAGCCCTCCGACGGGTGAAGTCGGCGAGTTTGGCTACATCGTAATCGCCTCGACCATCTGGCGCGACGTCGTCGGCATGCTGACTGTCACCACCCTGCAGAACTTCCGCGAGGAGGCCTGCACCGACCTGATTTCCAAGATTGACGGTCTGCGCGTGTCGCTGCCTATGCAGTTTGTCGACAAGCCAGGCCAGATCAACCTGCACATGACCATGGGATCAGGCTTCACCTTTGCCATGCTGCACTGCCTGCTGCACTGTTCCAGCATATTTGTCCACCGTCGTCGCCTGCTACAGGACGTCACAGCATCTGGCTTCGGCCTGGACGCCTTCCGCATGACGCCTCGGTGCCACGACATTGTCGACCGCCTCTTCACGTCGTGTCACGCCATCATCTCGTTGTTGGCTGCTGTCGAGGCCGGATCGGAAAAGGACCACGTCACCTGCTTCCCCATCTTCATGCTCTTCTCGGCCTTTACAGCTGGCGCTACGGTGGCCTACCTGTCGCTCAAGGGCCTGACCCCGCACACCACGGTCGAGACGGCCGGCCACATAGTCGGAGACAGCCTCCGCTTCATGACCGACGGCACCGAGAACTGGCCTCTCATGGCCAGTTGGCTGCGCCACTTGACAGTCATGCAGCGCGTCCTGCACAATGACGCAGCAGCTGCGTCTACCCTCGCCACGGTCGCCGCACCCCGCCACAACTCAGCCCCTCACATTCCTGCTACCGCCAGCTCTGTCAAGGACGAAGCTGTGTCCAGCACTGATGGCAATGGCGATGTCGCCATGGACTACGACCACCAGCAGCAGCATCACCACTCCAGTGCCCCTCCTCCCCACGACCTGGATCGTGTCGGTGGCGGCGGCCCCCCCTCCGCCCCCCGGTCCGTGTCGGAATCCCCCCGCGACGACAGCGAACCCCCCGTGACCATCCCCCGCAGGCCAGGCGTGACAACTATCAACGGTAACACCACGGCAGTCAGTGAAGCGACGGCCACGCCGCCGGGGACCAGCTCTCCCCCGCGCCAGCAGTCGGTGTCTCAGGGTGCGGCCCCGTCGTATGCCGGTTCATATGGCCACCCGTCCGAGGCGAAGCACAGCCCCGATGTGCCGAGTGTTAATGGGCAGGCGCACGGGAACGAGACATCTTCCACGAGTCAGGATATGACTGCTCCCGAGCTCTGTGCTGTTTTTGAGAGGCAATTGCTAGAGATGGATGACCTTGCAGCGTTTATGGGAGGTGGTGTATAGAGTCGAACTCGGTGCATAGGTGTTGAGGTTTCTTTTATTTTTTATTTTTTTCCCCTTTTGTCCTGGTCTTTTTATCATCACTTGACCGTTGAATCTTGTCTTTTCTCTCTTTCAACTTGATTTTCCTGATTCTGATTGTGTCGAATCTCGGCTCGACATGGCGCTGGTATGCAATGGCAATGAAAATGGATAGGTGGGAGCGGGGATTGATAGCTGTAGTATTAGTTTTACTTGGTCTTTTTCTCCTTTTTCTTTCTTGTTTCTTTCTTGATGTTTCTCTGAGCCCTTAATACTGTTTTTTTTGTCTCCCAGTCTTGTTCACTCTAGTCTCTTGTGCTTCTTTTTCATGGTTTGACATCAAGGCGAGGAGCGATACCCCGGAATGAGTATTTCTTCACTTTCCCTCTTCTCATCTTACATGTGTGTCACTGGTGTGTTATGGTTGTAGGATATGTATTATCTGGTGCATCATGTCATTATATTATTGCATTTTATTGACCGTATTCCACCGACGTTCTCGTCAAGACTATCAATGCTGAAAATCCAGTCATCATGAGTATATGAAGGGAACGAAAAGAACAAAAAAGACGAATGCTGGTATCTTTGAAATGCTAATCAAAAAATCCTCCCCCTTCTTCCCCTCCCCGGCGCAATCCTCAATGACGACCATGGTGGCCGTGATGACCGCCATGGTTACCACCGGGGCCACCGAAACCACCACCGGGGCCATCAGGACCGTCTCGGCTGAAGAAATGGCCACCGCCGTGGTGGCTACCATGGCTACCGTGATGACTGCCGTAACTGCTGTGGTGACTCCCAGAGCTCCCGAGGCTGCTGTGACTCCCATGACCACCGATGAGGCCGCCGAGTCCGCCGCCGAGTCCGCCGCCCATCCCACCGGTATGGTGGGAGCTGCCGTGGTGGGAGCCGCCGTGATTGCTGTGCTTCCTCTTCTCAAGCTTGTGCTCCAGCATGTTGGCGCCGATGGCACCTAGCGCACCGGCGCCCAGGGAACCCAGAAGACCAGTCTTGCCTATCTTGCGGGCTCCGTAGGCACCCGCTGCGCCACCGACGATGGAGGCGCCTAGGCCGCGCTCATCATCCTGACCTTGCTGGGAGGCATGCGGGGAGGCGTGCTGAGAGGGATGGTACTGTTGTTGCTGTTGATGCTGAGGGTATGCCTTTTATTTTGAAGAGCCAAATGTCAGTATGGAGATGGAGGGAAAGAAAATGGGGGAGGGAAGAGCCGTGATGATTAGTTACCTGGTGCTGTGGCTGGGCATATTGAGGCTGGGCGTATTGAGGCTGGGCGTATTGAGGCTGGGAGTACTGGCTGTTGCCACCGTTGTAGCTGGCGCCGTTGTAGTAGTCTCGATTAGACATTTTGAAGTTGAGAGATGCTTGATGTTTGATGAACTGATGTAGTTTCTCAGATGGGAGTTTCGAGATGATGGAATATAGAAAGAAGGAAAGATGGAAGAACCAAGAGAATATCAAAAGACATATATATATATATGTATATAGTACATATACATATGTATTTGATTGTAGAACCAACGAATGCTGATGAAGCAAGCGCCTGGGCATTGCATCCGTGGCTTAGACGGCGCAGTCCGCAGTAGCTGCGCCACGGGAACGGGCTAGCTAGCGTGAGGCGCTGCGTCCGGTGACGCCGGTCGGCATTCGGCTTTGGCGCATTCCGGGGGTGGTGATTGATCCGTTGAATGGCACAATCAATGTATGCGCACGCGGGCTTATTCGACACTGCTACTACGTAAGACCTGGGAAGGCCCTAGTTAGGCTGATGATTATGATGCTATTTTTATTACTTTTGGTCCATGTGACTGTCCTAGTAAGGGGAACATGGAGGAATAATTAACGACAGAGATGAGCTCATGTGCGTGTGCAGCCCTTCACGCAGAGATCTGTAACCTCTTCGAGATGAAATAGAGAGGGGGAAGGGGGAGAGGGGGGAGAGGGGGGAAGCCCTATGTAGAGCCAAGGACAATGCCGTACTTCTCATACGGGAACCCTTCCAGAGTAGCAAGGTAGTCAGCCCAGCCGTCGCCCTCGACACCGACCTGGTGCATATCGACCTCGCCCGCCTCCCCCGTAGCACCGGCCAGGACCTGGGCCTCCCTCCCGTCGTACTGCGCCTTGAGTCCTGGGTGGGGGCACCAGACGACGCGCATTCCGGCTCTCCTGCCGGCCTCGACGCCGGGGACCGAGTCCTCAAACACCAGACACTCCTCGGGCTTGATGGGATCCTTCTCCTCCCCGTCGAGGTCGAGAGACTGGTTGATGGTGTCGAGGGCGAGGAGGAAGATGTCGGGCAGCGGTTTCCCCCTCCCCGGCCGCAGACGTGCGTCATCGCCCAGGACGCGGCGGTGTGGGGGGAATACGTCGAACAGCTCTGTGAGGTGGTCGGTCTTGAGCTTGAAGTTGCCTGCGTGGGAGCTGGTGGCCAGCGCGACGTGAACCTTGCGCCCCCCGGCCGTCGCGGCAGCCAGGTTGGCCAGCAGTTCCGGCACGCCTGGAAGCGGCTGCGCGCCCGGGAACAGCTCCCTCTGCGTCTCCGACACCTGCCGCGTGTACTCTTCCACCGAGATGGGCAGCTTGGCCCAGTCGATGAAGATCCTGGTGGCCTCCGGGCCCGGACGGCCCTGCAGCTTGGCCTTGACTGACCACGGCATCCCCGGCCTGCCGTAACGGGATAGCACCTCGTTCACGCAGATGGTGTAGATGTCCTCCGTGTTGAGTAGCAGGCCGTCCATGTCGAAGAGACAGGCTCTGACCGGGGGGAAACTGCAAGGTTGTCAGTGTGGGGGGGCAGTCGACTCAGACGTGAAGAGGTCATCTGTAGAGAGGGTGGTATGGGGGGGCCTTACTCGGTTCTGGGAGCCATGGTTGTTCGAAGTTTTTTTTCCAATGAAGAGGCGAGGTAATACGACAAGAGAGCAGAACTTGATGTCGCATATCAGTCCCGATCGAGCTTCAGGAGAATGTCGGGATCGAGTCACTCGTCGGCCGATTATCGCGGGGTTGATTTTCCTCTCCGGGGTGTGCGCACACAAACAAGCAGACCCCTCCCTCATCCTCAACATAACCTGAACACCCCCCCCCTTACCCCCCTCCCCTTTGTCATTTTAGCTGGCGGACCCCTCCCGCTAGGAAAAAAAAAAGCGTTTCCCTGAATCCCTCCCAAATCCGTTCTGGGTCGATATGGTATTAACACCACTTTTCTTATAGTCTTATTAAGAGATGCTCAATTTTTCTACTTTTCTTATATATAAGTACCACCACCCACATATACCTCCTAAAGAAGCGTCATATGCTATATAGCTACTTTACATCTCATATATTCATCTTCACCATTCACCCCGTCAATCCTGTAAAATAATCCCTTGTAATAATACAGATTACATTGAGCTCCTTCCTCGAGTTCTTATCGATAAGACTGCGCTCCTGCCCTCACCACATTGCTGCCTGGCATGCACCATCATCGTCATCATCACCACCCTCAGGTATCAGACGTCGCCACCATTACTCACCAAACATCCAATACTATCCATCCTTTTTGATTGATAGTGCTTATCCACATAACCAAGGGATGGCCGACACACATCCGTCCAAGGACACCCATTCCAAGGACACCCAGCCCGAGCTCAACCCCAACGACTCCAACCCCCAAGACGTTGAAGATGAAGTACAATACACCCCGGAAGAGGAAGCAGTACGTCCAACCCACCCCGGCCAACACCCCCTGACCCTCCCTCCTTCCTAACCTCCCCAGGCCGCCATGGAAGAGTCCCAGTCCCTCAAGGCAGAGGCAACAGCCCTCTTCACCAAAGGCGACATCCACAACGCCCTATCCGTCTACGAAGACGCCCTGATGCCTCTGCCATCGTCGGCCCGGTACGCCCGTGCAGTTCTCCACTCCAACATTGCCGCCTGCCATCTCCGGGTCGACCAACCCACCGAGGCAGTCAAGGCTGCCACCACCGCTCTGAATGAGCTATCTGCTATTGAAGATTCAACGTCCCGATCCAAGTCTGACAAGTCTGACCCTGACCTCAATGCCAAGGATGAGAAGAATGATGATGATGATGATGATGTTACGAAAGGAAAGGGTCGAAAAGAAGAACGAGAACGAGAACAAGAACAGGTAGATGAAGAGATCATCAGCTCTGGAGCCAAGACGGCTGCACCGCCGCCGCCGCCGCCGCCGCCACCGGCACAAGATGACATCGCCCGCATACGCATCAAATCCCTCCTCCGTCGTGCCAGAGCCAACGCTTCAATCCGTCCGGAGACGTGGTCGTCTCTGTCTTCCGCGCAGACAGATTACCAGGCTCTTTCGAAACTTCCGCCGTCGGCACTCACCGCCACCGACGCGCGGAACGTTCGCGATATGCTTCGGCGCCTTGAACCGAAAGTGAAGGAGGCCCAGGAGAGGGAGATGGGTGAGATGTGGAGTAAGCTCAAGGAGATGGGCAACGGCTTGCTCAAGCCCTTTGGACTCTCTACCAACAACTTCCAGATGGTCAAGGACGAAGCTACGGGCGGGTATAGTATGAACTTCAATCAGAATGCAGGAAAATAGGGTAGACGCAAGGGGATCACAAAGGACTGGCAAACCGACCTTGTAGCCATAGGAGCCGATAAAAAATATAACAAGGCGAAAATAGAAGGAGATGGGCAGACACTATATATATGCTGTATATTGGCATCAATATCCTACTCAATGTACCATTATGCTTTATCCCAATTCAAATATACGCTTCGCTAACCATGTCAAAGGAGTCTGCCTCAACCCGACAGGGGCTTTTGACCATAGACGATGTAGCTGTCATTGTCAAGTCAGCAGACGTTCAACCGCCAAGGCCGAGATGCATCTCAAGAGATGGGCAAAGGGAAAACGGGCAAAACATACTATGGCCACCACCCGTGCATCTTGTTGCTTCGGATATCCTGGCGCAGATGAGCGAGGAACACAGCAGTCTGCTCCTCGGTCCAGCCCAGGCCCTTGTTAAAGATGCGCATGACCAGGCCCTCGAGGTTGGTGAGCAGATTGTGCTGCTCCCAGGCGCCGATGAGCTTGAGCCTCTGGTCCTTGGCCCAGGGGGCCGTGGGCAGCTTATAGATCTTTTCCGTCACCGACTCGAACCCGCGGTCGGTAAATTGCTGCTTCCACCGGGTCGGGTCGTCGACGGGGGTGCCAAAGGCGATACAGGAGTCGCGGAGGCAATCGGAGAACTTTTGAAAGGTGCTGTCCTTGGGGATTGTGCCATCGTCGCAGCCCAGAACACCGGTGATGCAGTGGTATTCGATCCAACCTCCGGGCTTGAGGTGCCTTTTGATGGCTGTCAGTGCGGGAGTCTCCAATGGGGGGAGGTGGGAAGGTGACAGGGGTTAAGCGCACTTGTAGCACTGGTCGATCAGCTTGGGAAAGTCCCGGATGGCAGTAATGAGGTCGCGAGAGAAGATGAAGTCGGCCGAGTTCTCCTTCCACGTCCACGGCTGCTCTATGTCGTCGAGTTCGAAAGAGCAGTTGGGAGGAACCCTGGATCTGGTTAGAGCGAGCATATGCCCAATGGCCAACAGTATTGACTTACCACTCCAGCTGGGTGGGTGCAATATCGACACCAACAACCTACGTCGGTCAGCACAGTGGTCGAGAGATCAGGGGGACGATACTAAACTGTTAGGAAGCATCACATAGTAGAACAACTAAGGATGAAAGAAAGCAAGCGTGAGAGAAGAGAAAAAAGACATACCTGAGCCCCGGGATACTTGTCGGCCACGTCGATACTCCAGATACCCGTTCCACATCCAAGATCCAAGATCCTCTGGGGGTTGTCCCCGATGGGAGCAAAGAAGTGGTGCTTCTCGAGGAGAGCAAAGTACTTTGTGTGGGCAATGTCCATACGCTCCAGCTCCTGCTCATCCATAGGAAATCCATACTCTATACAGTCGAACGTGGTCAGCTGAAATGTACGTTGCCAAGCAGTCAAAGTGGTGCGATTGGTTGGAGGGAAGAGCAGACGGAGTGGCGCAATGTTAGGCGCCAAGTTTCCTTCTCCCTCTCTCAAAGCTCATACAAATTGTCTCGTAATAGAGCCAACGTCCACTGCGAATAGAATGATTCGAACATACCCTCCTTTCCGTAGGCCGCGTAGGTGCGACGGCCCTCACCGACAACACCCTGGACTATCGAGGGGCTGAGCGAGGTGAGCGACGAGACGAAGCTGCCAGTGTCGGAAGCATCCTGGACCGGAGGACTATTAGCATTTATTCGTTGCTGTTACTGTTGTTGTTTTTTTTGCTTCTTTTTTTTTTCTTTCTTTTTTTCTTTCTTTTTTTCATGTCTTAGCTTAGCCATGTGGGCGGTGGGCCCTGTCAAGAGAAACTCACCTCGTGGTCTGTTTCTTGTGCGGGCTGTGTTTTTGAGCGTTAGCAAAGTCATCCACTTTCTTGACCGCTCCGATATAATGGCTCGATGGAAAGAGATGAAGCGGTGCAAGATGGAGCGGTTCAGAGGCCAGGATCAAAGATGGGTGGGTATTCTAGTACAGTCGATACTCACATCGTCGGCGACAATGGGATCTGAAGCCGGGACAGCAGCAGGGGGAGCCGGAGAAGACATGATGGATTGCGATTAGATACAATCGATGAAGTAGACGTGGTTGAAGCAAGAAGCAAGAAGCAAGAAGGAGGAGAGGATGAGAGAGAGAAAAGAAAAAGAGAGATGGGAGGGAAAGAGGGAACAGGTGGAGATGAGAGGACGAGAGGATGAGAGTATCGTACCCAAGTCGGTACTGAAAGCAGATTTTGATAGGGCCTTTTCTTTTTTTTCTTCCTGTCTCACTCTTTCTGTGACGTGGGGAGTGGTACGAGTCAACCGACGTAAGCGTAGTAGTAGTAATTCTGAGAAATCTGTATAGAGTGAAATGTGCCGGGGGNATGTGGACGTCTGGCGGGGGGGGGGGGGGGGGGGGGGGGGGGGGGCCGATGTCAACTCCAGTGGCTCTGAGCAGTGGTAATAGTCTACTCGTGCGTAAGAGGGTATGTTGTAGAAAAAGAGGGGAGTGTCGGGGACCCATCAGGGGGGGGGGGGGGGGGGGGGGGGGGGGGGGGGGGAGGGGAGAATGCGGAAATGCCACGACGTTCGTACTCGTAGATGAATATACAAATGAGGCAAGAGCGACGGGAAGGGTGAACAGGGGAAGGTGCGAACGCGGGCCGTAGAACCCAGGGCAAGAGCGACCAAAGCACTCTCCTACCTCTTACAAGTAACAACGGTATACCATTCATTATATTAGCAGATTTCCTGTCAAGATTAACTAATCCAGTTGCTTTTCATTTACTTTGCTCCTTTTCAACTCTCCCTACGTTTTCTTTTCCCACTCTTACTGCTCCGGAATGCTCCCCTTTTATAACTATGCAATAATACCACTCTTACTAGCGCTCCCCCTTTTGGAAATAAGTAAAAGTTTGGACCAGAAAAAAAAAAGACTTTTCCCCTCTGCTAGAGAGAGGGTCCGTGGGGCGGTAGAGGAATGAGAAAACAAAGAAAAGCTTTTGCATGTACAGACGTGATATGGCTATGGCTAGTTCTATTAGTTCATCAGTTCAGCCTAATTACTAATATATGTGCTCGTGCTGTAAAAGTGATTGATTGGAACGAGCATCACGGTACAGTATATTGATACATGTGATCCATCATCTCGATTATATGACCGCGACTGTCAGTTCGGAGTGTTACGTGTTGGTCCGTAGCAGCAGGGTATTCATTCCGAAGCAGGAGAAAGTGAAAATGAGACAACGTGCGTGTGTAACCCCGCCTTGCTTCAGTGTCAGCTGTCGGTTAATATTGGTTCAAGTCATTTATCGTCCTGATCATTGGTGGTTCGCATGCCTGGCTCGAATGTCTGAGCCCGATACTGATTCGTGCTGGATGCAGGGTATGATAATTCTTTAGCGTCTACGAGCACATGTATTGCTTCGTACATAGACGTCCGACGTCGTCGTGAAGACCCCTATTCATACGACGTTGTGCCAGCAGTAGTAGATTTAGCAGTAAACAGTAATAATCTGCATCAGTATTCAATATACAGGTAATCTGTACATGTACGAAGCAGTGGAGCCGAGTGGTACCCCCGGTACCTGCCTATTAGCTTTCCGTATTATTATTCCGCAAAGCTGCAGCTATTAGCTGCGGAAGCGTAGAGAGAGCGCGAGAGCGCACAAGCGCACTCGCGGTCGTGTTCGTACCTTCCTTGCCAGGGTTAGTAGAATCTGTAACGGCAAATGCGGCCGGGGGTCGCACCTTCCTGTACCACTCTGCCGCTATACTCTGCCGCTCTGCATCAACTCAGCGTCATCTCTACGTTATACATCTGTATCTATCCGTACTCCTCCGTACCTCCCATCACCACCGGATACACGACGATACATGTGCGCCTCGGAACATCAGCTCGCTCTATCCCCCTACCGCCAAGACGGAAGCTCCATATTTCTTTCCACTCAACACATGCATACGGTAGCATCCAGTACCTGTACTCATACATGTACAAGGTTGAATAAACTCGTGGCGAACGGCTTAGACGTATATCGGCCGTCTGCTATACATACTCTCTCTCATCTCTCCCCACCCATTATTGCCTTGGCTTCTTGGTGATGAGTTGACTCTCTCTGCTTCCCTCTCTTCTACGACGAGTACTCGTACGATAAGTCTACCAGCATCGGTAAAATTGGCTTACCAGCCTCTTTCGCTACGTATCGAGCGATCAGAGACTCGCCTACCAACAGCATTGGCCAAGTTTCCAAACTCCACAGACTTCTGCAACATGCTGCATCCCCGGCTGTATAGTAGCGGCTGCCCATCGTGGACCTTGGCATTCATCACTGGTCATAAATCAAATCCTCCGGACCCCCTCCCCGTTATCTCGATGCAGCGCTTTGATCCCTCTTCTGCACGGAATCAGCCGAGTATCACACTGTAAATCCCCGCCCGCCTCTTCATATGCTTTGCCCCTCTTGTTCCGTTTCCTGACCTCCTCGGTCCATCCCCTCTTTCATAATTCCGGATACCCTGACAGTGGTTCTCACATCTTCTCCTGGTTCAACACCTTTGCTTTACATACACCTCTCTCCACCCTGACAGTTCCGTTGGTCAGTCCTTCCCCGGTGTTAATCGTCTGTGCGTTAGGTCCGTCGCTGTGCTTATACGACGTAACAAAAACTGACAGATTCGATCAAACCCAGTGTTACTGCACGGCGACGAATACAGCAGACCGAAAAGGAGGGAAGAACAGAACAGGACAGAACAGAAAAGAACCAGACCCTGCCGCGACGTCAAATCATGGACAAGGTATCCATCGAAAAGGCCCTCGTCAAGGCCCGCGAGCTGGTCTCGTCGCTCGAGTCGTTTGATGGCACCACGGCCCAGCATTACGAGCTCCTCGGCCGCGTCGACGGCGTGCGTGATTCCCTCGAGCAGCCCTACGACAAGGGCATCCATTGGTTCGAGGGCACCACAGTCTCGGCTGCCCTCAACATCCTCGTCCGCATCGGCGCATACAAGCACATTCCCACCGATGGAAGCAGCATCACCGCCGCCGACCTGGCCGCCAAATGCGGCGTCGACACCTCCGTCACGTCGCGTGTGCTCCACGTCACCGTCAACAAGGGTATCTTTGAGGAGACGGGACCGGGCGAGTACAAGCACAATGAGCTGTCGCTCGCCTATGGGCCCGATTTCCTGGGCGGCTTCCTCGACGTTTGCAATGAACTGACAAAGGCGTGGATCTGTCTGCCCGATTATTTCAAAACCCACACGCCAGAGGACCTTTACGACCCCAAGAAGACGCCTGTCGCCTTCGCCAACGGCCGCGAGGGGAAGACGTACTACGAGGTCATCGGCGAGGACCCGGAGCGCCGTCGTCTGTGGAACCTCACCATGGAGAACATGCAGAAGAACTTCCCAATCATCGGCATGTTTCCCTTCAAAGATCTGGAGCCCCTGGTCAAGGCCGAGTCGGAGAGGCCCATCCTCATCGATGTCGCTGGAGGCAGGGGCCAGGCCCTGAAGGCTATCCGGAACCACTGCGGTGACGTCTTTGACGGCAGATTGATCCTGCAGGATCTGCCCATTGTTATTGACAGTCTGAACCCCGAGGATCTTCCGGGTGTTCAGCTCATGGCCCAGGACATTTTTATCCCTCAGGCTGTAAAGAGTGAGTGGTGTTCTCCTTTGTCCATGTCCGGGAGAGACAGCGACAGGGTGGGGGGCAGAAGAAGGAATAGAAGAGAGACAAAGAGTTCCCGCTAACAGACTCAGATGCTCATGTATACTTCCTCCGCCGTATCCTTCACGATTACTACGACCCCGCAGTTGTTGAGATCCTCAAGAACACAGCCTCGGCCATGGGACCCGACTCCCGCCTCGTCATCTGCGACATGCTTCTCCCCGACAGGACCAAGGTGGGCGGCAACATGACGCTCTGGTGGCTGGACCTGTCCCTCTTAGGAATCGGAGGCAAGGAGCGCTCCATGTCCGACTTTGAAAGGGTGCTTGATGCCTCGGGCCTTGAGCTGATCAAGCTGTACAAGGATGGGAGCAGTGATGTTGTCATGCTGGAGACGAGGCTGAAGAGGGATGGTGGTGCGAAATGAGAACGCTATCGGCGGACACTAGTCGGCGGTTGATGATGACAGGACATACCGAGGCCTAAAACTGGTGCCGGATGTCTGTTTTTTATTTTTTTATTTTTTTGACATGTTCTTGTTTTCTTGGCAATATTGATGATGATTGTCTGAATTGTGTTGTTCTGTTATTAGTGTGTTGGACAGAGAGTCACGTGGTTGATTTCTGATGTTAGTGCGAGGCGGGGCTCTCCCACTATCGCTTTTGTACTCTACATGTCTACATGGCATGCTTAATGTTGTAACGCCATCATATGCAAGATGACTTGAATCGATCGTTTTCTTTCCCGTTTCTTTTCTTCTTCTTTCCCTTCATTTCCCCTTTCATCTCCTCACATACCTCACTCCCATCCATTTTCTGTGTTGTCTCTTCTGTTCCGCCTTACGTCATTGAGAGGTGCGTGACCTGGTCGACATGGAGGCAGCACCCAAAAACATCCTCCGCGGACATAAATCCCAAGTCCACTCGGCCATATTCATCAGGAACAATACACGACTTGCCACCGGAGATGCAGATGGGTACGTGGTCCTGTGGGATCTGACCATCGCCAGACCTAGGGCCGTGTGGAGAGCTCACGGGGGTGGAATATTGGGTATACGAGGGTGGGGAGACAGGATTATAACGTGAGTTGCAGGAGGAAAAGAAGAGCAGGATATAAAGAAGAGGTCGGAGGGAGAGAGACTGAGAAGCAAGAAAAAAAAAGAAAGAAAGAAAAGGAGGGGAGGGGGGAGGGTGAGAAAGGGAAGAAGAAGAAAAGCTGACCATGACTCTGATAGACATGGCCGTGATCACAAGTTGATAGTATGGCAACTAGGCGAAGAGGATGAAAAGAGACTCAGCGTATCACTACCCCTGGAGGGTACGACGTCGTCAAAACAGTCAGAGCACAGGCCAGACCCTTGGATTCTGCACGTTATAGAGGTTAATACGCTCAACTTTTGTGCGTTTGCGGCGTGTTCTGCCAGGCTGGAGGATGAGGGGTGTCGGATAGATGGGGTCGATGAGGTGTTGGTATCTGTGCCGAATACGTTGGCATCTGATGCTGTGGGTTCTCGCTTCTCTCTCTCTCTCTCTCTGCCACCTCTGCTCTTTCACCTTCACTCTCAATAAGAAACGATTGTGGAAGGATTGGGTTGAACTGCTGCTGATTACAAAACGTAGATTGACATATTCTCGCTCCCCTCTCAATCGCGAATCCACACAGTCAAGGATACGAGCAAACGAGACACGGGAATGGCCATGAGCATCAGCCTACTCAACCTCGAGGGACAGATTACCCTCATTGCCGCCTTTGAAAACGGCCACGTCTCTGTGCGGAGACTACTGGATACTCGGGATCAAGACGGCGGCAACAGCTCGCAGCAATGGGTCACGACATACCGCACCCAGGCGCATAGCCAGCCCATCCTGTCTCTCGACGTACATCCGACGCTCGAGTACTTCATCTCCTCCGGTGCAGACGCCATCATAGCCAAGCATCCCATCCCGACGAGACAGCAGGAACATATCATCCTTTCCCAGGACCAGGATCAGAATCAGAGACAACACTTCGACCCGGACAACCGCGTCGTCCAAGAAGTCGATGATGAAGAAGTGGAGAGGGCGACGACGACGACGACGACGACACTGAAAGAGTGGGAACATCCCCTCAAGACAGTCAATACAAGACACTCGGGTCAGCAGAGCCTTCGTATACGATCCGACGGCAAGATCTTTGCTACGGCCGGCTGGGATACCAGGGTCAGGGTGTACTCTTGCAAGACTATGAGGGAACTTGCTGTGCTGTCGTGGCATCGAGTCGGTTGTTATGCTGTTGCTTTGGCGGGTGTTGAGGGGGCTGCGGCAGAAGCTGGAGCGGCTGCAGCAGGTACAGGAACGGGAACAGCAGTGTCTAGGATCGGAGTGACTACCAGCGTCAAAGATAGAAGGATACATCAGGCTAAGACGGCACATTGGGTTGCGGTGGGGGACAAGGATGGGAGGGTAAGTTTGTGGGATATATATTAGGTGCGACCCTGTCATTGTCTATGGATATCGAAATGAATGGAATGGGGTGAATTCATCTCAATTCAAGATGCTCAGCCTTTCATTTGTAAAAGCATCGCATATGTTTTCCAATGGGATGTTGGCCACGTCACGTCGCATAGGTTTAGTTGTGACTGTGATGATACTAAACTAACACTAAACACCAAGTAAAAGAGGTGAACAACATCACCAACAGCTATCGTCATGAACAAAAACCGATCAAAACAAATCTAAACTGAACAAAATCAATTAACCAAAGTAGACAATATCAATTGATTCATCAGGTGAGTAAAAGTCCAGCATGCGCTTCCAACCCAGAATATAACCACCCCCCCAGCCTCCCCCCCCCCAAACCCCCTAAACCCCTAACCCTGGTTCAGGGTATCCAGGTGCCGTCCTCTAAAGTTCAGCGCAGAACTCATCATCACGAATGAAATAGGCTATTAATATGAAATAAAAAACATGACCAGGTCCCTCATCTCCTCTCTTCTTCTCTCTCTTCTTCTCTCTCTTTTCCAACTTGACTCATAACTCACTCCAATCAATCACGACCCATACAAAACGTTTCCTCATTCCCTCCCCCCCCAAAAAAAAAATGCTACCCTCCATCTCCCGGACAATGCCTCCGGGGTCACGACTCTCCCGATCCCTTCAGCTTCGTCAGCTCCGCACGGCAACACGGCGGGAGACGCTACCGTCGAGTGCGATCCGCATATTCCGATCCGTCGACTCGGTGCGGTCATGGCGGGCCCCGCTGACCGAAACGCGCCGTACGGTGGGGTTGGTCCCGACGATGGGAGCCCTGCACGCGGGCCACCTGGCGCTGATCCGCGCGGCCGCACGTGAGAACCACCACGTCGTGGTGAGCGTGTACGTCAACCCGGCGCAGTTCGGCAGGACCGAGGACCTGGAGTCGTACCCGTCCACGTGGGAGGCGGATGGGAGGATCCTAGCCGCGCTGGACCGCGAGCTCGCAGGCGACGGGGCCAACCTCGGCCGCATCACGGCCGTCTTCGCCCCGACCACGCGGGACATGTACCCTGGTGGGTTTCCCGGGCAGGACGTCGACAGCAAGGGGAGCTTCGTGACCGTCACCCCCGTCGGCGAGGTGCTCGAGGGCGCCAGCAGGCCCACCTTCTTCCGCGGCGTGGCGACGGTCTGCATGAAGCTCTTCAACATCGTGCAGCCGACGAGGGTGTACTTTGGCCAGAAAGACGCGCAGCAGACCGTCGTTATCCGCCGCATGCTAGCCGACTTCATGGTGCCCTCAGACATGGTGGTGTGCCCTACCGAGCGCGACGCCTCCGACGGCTTGGCTCTCAGCTCCAGGAACGTCTACCTCGGCCCGCGGAGGAGGGCCGTCGCGCCCGTCCTGCACCGTGCCCTCCTGGCTGGCGCCGACGTCTACGCCCACGGGGAGGGGAGGCCGGATCGCCCATCCATCTTGGCCGCCGCTAACCGTGTGCTGGATGACGTCGCCGCCGCCCAGAACGCCCTGCCGCCCAGCCGGAGGGCCCTGTTCGAAGTCGACTACGTCTCCCTCACCGACCCAGATACCATGCTCGAGATTGACGCCGTAGACCCGGAAGTCGGTGCTATTCTCAGCGGGGCCATCAGGATGCCCAAGCTGGATGAGGTGAATCCCGGTGAGGATCCTGGTCACAGTGGTGGTCCGTCTGTGCGGCTCATAGATAATGTCGTGCTACCACCTAGGAGGGATGATTGAACAAGAGAGAGGGAGAAGCAAAGAAAAGAGGAAAGGAAAGAAAAGAAAGAGGAAAACAAAAACCCCCCATGTATAGATACGGATGAGAAATTAAATGGTATATAGGCGTGTGTATCCTAGGTATTAAGAGAACAAAAACCGCTACAATCCTTCAACACTCCTCATTACCCCATACTATGAATAAAAATGCACCTTCTAATGCAAGTTCCCATGCAAAGTGTTACAAGCCAAGCACAAGTCAAGTACAAGTCGAGTACAATGCAAGTACAACTCTCAGGACTACAGATGCGCCGCATTGTCCATCTTTCCTCTCCTCCTCTTGGAGGCAGCCCTCCTGCTCTGCACCGCCCTCGCCTCCTCGTCTGTCAAGCGACTGGGGACCTTATTCTTGGCCCCGTCCTCATCAGCCAGGACAAAGAGCTCCTGACCCAACTTGTCCGCCAGCTTGAGCACGTGGTCGCTCACCGTGGGCCCGTCACGTCGGTTCTTACCTTCGCGACGGGACATGGCCACTCTCTCGATCAGGTCCCACAGTCTCCCTTCTGCTAGGAGGGCGCCCGTCTCGGGGTCACGAGGTGGTCGCCACGACGGGTCGAGCTGCGTGCGCGGCGGGACCTTGGGGTCCTTCGATTTGACGACGTGGAGGATCTCGTCTTGTTCAAAGCGCGCGTACGAGTTGCCCAGCGTCTCTTTATTGACGGCTTCAAAGTAGGACAGGTCGCCTTGGTGGTAGAGGGTTTTGCCGAGCTACGATATCGTTAGACATTTGTGACGGAGGCGGAGATTGTAGAGGAAGGGAAGAATAGGAAAGAGAGAGAGAGAGAGAGAGAGAGAGAGAGAGAGAGAGAGAAGAGAGACCTACCACTTGAGCCATGTTCTGAGACTTTCTCAGCTCAACCCATATATCCTCCCTCTGTCCCCTCGGCGGCGTCAACCCCATGAGAGACACGGCAGCCAACCAGGTAGACTCGATGAATGGCCAGATGAGGAAACAGTAAAAGTCGTAATTCTCCCGCCCGACCTTGCGCTCGTGGTCCGACAACCCCACCATGGTGATGTTTCCCTGCTGATCACGGTCGAGGCGGACGACATGGTCTGCCTCCAGACCCCTGAGGGTCTTGTCGAGGTTTGCCGCGAACCCCTGGGACGAGAAGATGAACTCGCCCCGGAAGAGGGACGACAGGAAGAGGACGTACTCCCTCAGCTCGTCGTAAGCCATATCCTGGTTGGAGGGACCGCCGCCGCGCTTGACGCGCGTGTACAGCGCGGCGCTGACGAGGGCCTCGTACACGAAGAGGTGGATCGTCATGTTGCGGTAGAAGGAGAGCTGAAAGCGGTCGACGGCGTAGTAGGTCTGCTCGGGGAGGTTGTCGACCACGCCCACCAAGTCCCTACCCAGGACGTCGAGACCGCGGTCGACAATGTCGGCGACGGACGAGCTGCCAAAGTGGGCGACGCGGCCGCCCTTGGCGCGCACCCGGGCAGCCAGCCACTCCACTCGCCGGATCAGGGCGGGCTTGCCGACGCCGCGGCCGCGCAGGGTCAGGAGGACGGTGCCGATCAGGGCGGTAGGCATGACGACGGACACGGCGTTGATGTCGCCCAGAACCTTGTAGCCCAGGGTGTACAGGAGCTTCTTGCGAACGGCACGGACGGCAGGATCCTGGTGGTCGGTGTCCAGACCGGGAGGCACCTTCGGGAGGCGGGACAGCTGGTCCTCGATAAAGGCGCGCAGGCTCCAGGGTTCGTTGAAGCGGACGTCGACGCGGCCCAGCTTGAGGGAGAGCACGCTCGATCCGTTGGTAAGCAGGTCGGTCAGGGTCTCCTTCTTCTTGGGCACGCCTAGGAGCTCGGTGACGTAGCCCTCCGTCTCGATGACTTTGTCGTACTGCGTGCTGACGGGACAGATGATCGTGTCGTTGACGCGGCCGGACAAGATGCTATCGAGGACGAAGCCGAGGATGCCAAACTTGGGAGGGAGGAGCTTTCCCGTGCGCGACCGGCCGCCCTCGATGAAGCACTCAAAGTTGTAGCCCTCCTGCAGCAGCGTGTCGATATACGACTGCACAAGCGTCGTGTAGAGTACGTCCTCACCAAACGACCGGCGGATCCACATGGCGCCAGCATGCTGCAGCATATTGCCGACGAGCGGCAAGTTGAGGTTGTCACCGGCGACGACGACGGGCAGTGACAGGCCTAGACGGTAGCATATGATTTGTAGGGAGACGTAATCGACGTGCGAGCGGTGGCTGGGCAGGAAGATGATGCTCTGCTTCTTTCTGGCCGCCATATCGGCCACGCGCCGCAGCCGGAGAACCTCCTCGCTTGAGACGTGAATGCCCTGGTGGTACGCGCGCGTGAGGAGCTGCGTCATGACGTAGTGCGCGCCTCTGACAAAGGACTTGCTCTCCAGCTTACATATCATGTCGTCGGTCAGCTTCTCAGCCACCTCCTGCAGGGAAGCGTCGATCTGCGCACGACGCTGAGCCCGCTTGGCGTCAAAGTTACTGGATAAGTTGTCGAGCAAACCTTCGCGCTCTTCGATGCGGACGCGCTCGGCTGCCAGGTTGGCGATGCATTTCTGGAGTAAGGGCGAGGCCATGACCATGTTGCGCATATTCTCGGAGAAGCCTGGGTAGAAGATGGGTTGGCCGATGATGCGGTCGTAGGCTCGCCATCCATGGCCGGATACGTAGAGGGACACTTCGCGGAGGAACCTGTCAGGGAGTGTCAGAGGTGGGTATCGTGAGGAAGTAGGAGGTTGTAAATGGAACCTCTCAGGAAGGGGAGAAAGAAAGCGAGGAGAGCGTACTGTAAAGGTTCGGACCGAAACGAGGCAGACTGGTTCATGAGAGGCTTCTCCTCTCCATGAGGCGAGCTGCCGCTGGGTTCGACGTACCCGCTAGGCTGGAGGGTGACAGCATCGCCGAGGATTTGGAGATCGGGAGCGGCCCTTGAGGTTGAGGGGGCGATGCAATCGTCATTGTTGTCGTTGCCGTCGTTGCCGTTATCGTCGTCGTTGGGTTTGATCCTGTCGTCGGATGCCATGTTGGCGGGTATATATCGGCGAGAATGGGAACACGGATAAAGAGCCGAGCTTGAGACTGAGGATTATGGTGATGCTAGGGAGAGGGGATAGAGAGAGGTAGAGAGAGCGAGGGGTAGAGAGTAAGATGGCAGGTCGAGGGCTTTGAATAAGAGGTCAACGGAAAGGGAATACTGCCATGTCTGAAAGAACGGAAAAGATGGTGTCTAGAACAAGGAAAGCATTGTACAAAGGAGAGAGCGGGCTTCGGGATTAAGCATGAATATGATGCAGACGAAGAGAAGAAAGTGTGGGGGAGGCGCTGCATATGCCGACGGCGAGGAGTGGATTTAACATTCAAGCCACAGGTTGGGCCAAGCATTAGTGTGTAAAAGCCACAGAAATGTTGAAGTTCAGATGAACGTCAGCCACAGATGCGATGATATCGATGCTGACTCATGGTCCATCATGTGGATTCCGTACAGATTACTCTCTGTACGGGGAGAAGAAGCAATCATCGTATTTTACATGTGCATGATTACCGTCAACAACAACCACCAGACGTTCTGCGTTCCTTCCACTATTCCACTGTCCCTTCACAGACAAGGGACGTTAGAGTTATGGCATCCTCAACCAACCTAGCGACGCACCGGCAGATGACGCGCGACCTGCTCTCCCGCGCCCACTCCCCCGACAGCGTGGAGCGCATCTACAACGAAAAAATCCTGCACCGAACTCTGCACCTGCGCCCGTCTTCCCCTCCTCCGGGCGTCATCAGCGCGAGGACGGCGCGTCGGAAGAGACGTCAGCAGGAGCGCGACAGGACGCGCAAGCAGAAACCCGCCCCGCTGTCTGCGCGCGAGCGACGCAGGCTGGGACTCGACGAGACAGCGCGGGACGGACAGAGGTATGCCACGTACGAAGGCCTGAACAAACTCTGGATGGGATACATGCGCGAGATACTGGGGACGGATGTGCACGTGGGCGGGGTGAATGCTGCGGCCAAGCTGGCCAGTGCAGAGTTCCACGGGGCGCACGTCGAGGTTGTGCGGAGCCGATGTCCCGGACGGGTGGGCATAAGTGGCATAGTAGTAAGAGATGGAAAATACGCCATGGACATTGTTACGAGGAAGAGGGGCGTCAAGATTGTTCCCAAGGAGGGGACTGTGTTTCGGGTGGCGGTGGCGGTGGGAGAGGATGAGAAACTACCACGGCAGGACAAGCGACAAGACGGACAACAGCAGGAACAAGAGCAGCAGAGGGGAAATGACCGACAAGACAAATCATTCGTATTCGACATCCTGGGGGACCAGATGATGTTGCGGTCGGCGGACAGGGCCACACGCAAGTTCAAGGGACACTTTCTCAAGAATCTATGATGGGTGGAAGGAATGCAGAAGGAATACAGGAGCTATGCAGAGACATGGCAGACGAATCAGCTACGAGATATGATACCCGATGTTTTTCTACTGTACGAGTATTGGGGGTTGCAGACTATCGAGGACTAGGTTGGAGTTGGACGAAGGGAGTGACGACATGGACTTTGGTGTATACATATAGGGACGAAACCAGAGTATCATCTCAAGCACGTACGACTACACGTTCTATGTACGCTACAGATAATGAATATACCAATTTCATCCCCTATAAGTCATCCCCACGACACTGAAGTAATATCACATGACTTTGTGCAGTTGAGTTTGTTGGTATACGGATTATATGTACTGGTATTGCGCTTTGAGATGACCCCATGACATTTACCGAACCGTTCATCGAAAGATTGTATCATACGACATCATCCGATATTGGCCATGCCAGACTGGCAACTTGAGGATAGAAAGTTGCCATTCTCATGTCGTGATTCTCTACCAAGTTTCCGGCTCTTGAGAGCTCAAACTAGGGCAAGTATCATCTGTTAGTGTAAGATAGTATTGGCCTGGAGTCTGTTAGTAATCTGGTGTGATAGACCAGTATCGGCTAATGTTTGGATAATCCTCGAACCTCACCACATATCGCCGTCACTTTGAAAGTAGCTTTCAGCACGTTTCCACTCTGTTTTGGTGTAGCAAAATGCCAAAAAGCAAGAGCAAAACCCTCGTGGATATTTCCTTCAAGAGCCAGTCACATTTTCCATCTTGTCCAAGGCTCGCTCGTCACGCCTCTTCTCTCTCTCTCTCTCTCTCTCTCTTTCTCTCTCTCTCTCTCTCTCCTCTCCCTCCTTTTCTCTCTCTCTTCCTCTTTCTTTCTCTCTATGAAATCCCCTTCCCTCTTTGCTTCTTCTCTTTTGCTCCTTCCCTGATCTTGACTTCGTTCTTTCCGAAACTGGTAACTTATTGTGAACCACCAACTGCATCATTCCAACGGCGAGAACAAAAAAAAAAAGAAAAAAACTTCTTAGTCATCTAGCGGCCAATAGGTCTTTTCAACCTCTTTTTTTTTCTCCTTCCTCTCAACCTCCAACAAAACAAAAATCCCACCGCCCATCGTCATCCCTGTATACGAACGATCCCAGACAGAATACAAGAAAGCATTGCAGCGATTCGAGAAGGAAAAGGAAGCGACACATTTTGAAAAAAACTCATCAAAAAAACAAACTACCAAAGTTCGGATTTTGTTCGAAACACGGAAAATCACCAAAAAACAAACCACAGTCACCACAAAAGATCAAACATTTGGTTTTTTTTTTTTTTCCCCTTCTTCTTCCTCTTCTTTTCATAAAAGGAAATATATCGAGCGAAAAAAAAAATCACTATTACCAGAGAGGATCTATACTGTCCTTTTGTTGTATATCTGACTCAAACTCAATCACCACCACCACGACTGCTACAACGACACGTTTCAAAACATGCCTACCAATCTTCCATCGAGTTTTGCCTCTGCTGCAGCTGGCCAGAATGCAAACCGGGGCTCAAGGGGAAATACTGGAGAATGGTGCGTCACATTATATCATGCCCCTTTTTTCTAAGGAGCCTCTGGGGAGAGACTCTGGGGAGATTCTCTGGAGGAGACGCAGAGATATCAAGAGAGAGCTAGAGAAACAATGCTAACAAACTCTCAACCAACGCAGGCCTCGTCGCGATGGACGCTCCGCCAACGGGACTCTGACCCTCCGCCGAACCTCCACCACCCCCCTCAACCAGACATCCCAGACGCCTGCACCTTCGGACAGCACCCCCCATTCCCCAACAGCTGCTGACCCCCCAACCTTGTCGTCTTCCTCGGCACAACCTCCTGCTCCCCCTCTGCAGGAGTTGGCCCCGGCGCGCTACACCAGGGAGGAGTTGTTGGCCATTGCCCAGAACTCGAGGCCCGTCAACCAGGTGTCGCGTCTCTTCATGCCAGGGTGGAATCCGGGCCAGGTCAACGGTAACGGTGGCCCGCCGTCCAGGGCTTGGGGGAAGAGCAACGAGAACCATGTCCCGCAAGAGCCTGGTGCTTGCTGGGATGAGACGGCTGAGAGTACCCCTCTGGGAGTTCAAGCCATGTCGCCAGACGAGAGAGAGGTACATACATAAACGCTATTCTTGCTGTTGCTATTGCCGTCGTCATCGTTTCCGTTCACTCGTCTCCCTTACTGACACAATGACCTCTCTCGGCCCCTCCAGATCTTCGCGAGCGACATAAACTCCCCCCTCAAGCCGCCGTCCATGGTCAAGGACAACGCCGGCCCCGCCCCAGTGAATGGTAGAAAGACATCACTGTCTCAGGGAACTGCGAATGCCTTTGGCTTAACCTCGCCTTCCTCCGCCACCCGACCGGGCACCCGCCGACGAGAGACGGGAGACTCCAACACTCTCTCAGGTCTCAACTCGCCTCCAGCTGCTGGCCGCACTCCGCGCGAGGACTCGTCGTTCTGGTTCTCGCGCAAGACCACCGCAGACCTGAGAGAGTCGTCAGAAGCCGACGAGAGCCCGGACGCTGCCGACCTCGCCTCGCGCGACGCCTCCAATAAGTTCCCATTCGGCAACCTCATCCGCAGCAACACGGGTGGCACCACCCCGACTGGCGGTGGTATGGGCTCCATCTGGTCGCCTTCCAATCCCAGCACACCGAGCGCCGGGGCCTTTGGAAGCTTCGCCCTCGGCGGCACCTCCTCGGCCGACAAGCGCGTCGGTGGCACCGGTGGTGGCGGTGGTGGCGGCAGCCGTCTAGCCCACCTTATCCCTAAGGATGGGTCTGACAGCAACGCCACCGCGACACGACAGGCGGAAGGCCAGAATCCCCTCAACCAGGCCTCGTGGCGATCGCGGAACCGTGCCGACACGGACCCCTTTGGTGAGGACCCTCCGCCCTCTGGAAGTGCCGCCCTCGGTGGCGCCCAGGATACCGCCGCCTCTGCCCCCTCGGCCCCCAGCCGCGTCGGCACTCTGGGTACCCCTGTCAAGGGCTCCGCCGGCGACTTTGGCATGTCGGGCCTCAATCTCGGCGACACTGACCCCACCAGCCCCTCCGAGACCAACCCTTTCCGCAGCCCAGTCGACAAGCAAGACCAGGAAGACGCAGGTGATGCCGCTTCCACAGGTCGCATGTACGGCGGTGCTGGCCTCTTCCACGACCCCCTCACCTCCATGCACCCACTCCAGCGCGCCTTCAACGGAGCGCCTGACGCCCACGACCGGAGCCAGACGTCTAGCGCCGGCACCAAGGGGTTTCCCTTGGGCCACATGTCAGCCTGGGCGGCCCCCGGTGGCCCCACGAGCAGCACCCCCGACCGCGAGCGCACGGGCTTGACCAGCGGACCCTTCTCCCCGGGAATCTTCAGCTCCATGGGCGGCGCCGGTGACACGACCCCCGGCGGCAGCATGGGTGGTCTCGGCGGCTTGTTCGGCCACGGAGGCGCCGCCGGCCCCGTCGGTACCGGTAGTATCGGCCGTGGCAGCAAGCTCGGCTCCCTTTTCCCGGCCGCCATGCAGGCTCAGATGCAGCAGGCCCAGGAGCAGCACGATGATGGTGCCGCCGCCCACGCAGCCGCTAATCCCCTCGGCGCAATTGGCCGTGGCAGCTTCCCTCTGCCCCCAATGCGCGACACCGAGAGCCCGATGAGGTCGTCCCGCGGCGTCTTCGAGGAACTCTTTCCCTCCAGCGACGCTAGCAGGGGCCTCCACGGCGGTGCGGCTGGTGACCCCGGCTCCGCATCCGCCATCCCCCAGTCCTTCACTCCCGTCAGCGGCGGAGCCATGGGGTTCGGCGGCGCCGTGGAGCCCCCCACGGCCCAGACCCGGACAATGGTGATGCCTGACCGTATGAGGTGGGTGTATCTCGACCCGCAGGGCCAGATCCAGGGCCCCTTTACCGGACTGGAGATGAACGACTGGTACAAGGCCCACTTCTTCACCCCAGATCTGCGTGTCAAGAAGGTCGAGGATCCCGAGTTCGAGCCCCTCGGCCAGCTCATCAGGCGCATCGGCAACTCGCGCGAGCCCTTCCTCGTGCCCCAGGTCGGCATCCCCCACGGCCCGCCCTCCCAGGCCAGCGGCTTCCCCGCGGCCAACACGGGTGGCGTCGTGCCTCCTCTGAGCGGTGTCTTTCCCAGCTTCGGCAGGACCCTCACCGCCGAGGAGCAAAACAACCTCGAGCGCCGCAAGCAGGAGGAGCAGTACATGATGGCCCAGCAGCGGGACTATGCCATGCGCCAGTCGGCCATGTCACGCTTCCAGGGCCAGCAGCCGGGACTGCAGCACCACTCTAGCGCCCAGAGCTTGCAGAGCCAGCCCAGCTTCGGCAGTATCGCCTCGCCCATGGGTCAGATGTCTCTCGGCCAGCAGCAGCCCATCGGCGGCGGTGGCCTTCCTATCGGTGCCGGAGCCCCCTCGGGAGCCGCTGGCTTCTTCGACCCCGCCACCGCCGGTCTCGACAACCGCCCCGGAATGCAGTTGGCTTCGGGAAACGACCTGCCCCCCGTGGGGGACGATTTCCTAGCCCACCTTTCCGTCAATGAGCGTCAGGTTCTGGCCGCAATCCAGTCTGGTCAGGTCTCCTCCCAGCAGGGCATGGAGGCTCTCCAGAACCTCGGCGGTCTGCGCTCCGACCTCCCCAGCATCGACGACCTCGGCGAGGATGGCGAGGGGTTTCGCGAGCGTCTGATGGAGTTCCAGAACTTGCGCGCTCAGCGTGATGCCGAGGACGCCGCCGCCGCTGCCGAGCAGCAGCAGCAGCAGCAGCAGCAGCAGCAGCAACAACAGCAGCAGCAGCAGGTCCCCTCTACTGCTGCCAAGGCTGCCGCCAAAGCCGCCGGTGAGGACGGGCCGGCCTCCGCTGCTGCGCCCGCTCCCGCTCCCGCTCAGCAGCAGCAGTCCGAGCCGACGTCGTCGCACAGCAAGGCCAGGGGCAGGAAGGACATTGACGAATCGAACCTCTCCCTGACACAGCAAGTGCAGAAGGCCCAGGCCGAGGCCGCCGCCGCCCAGGACGGTTCCCCGGATATGCCCATGCCCTTCCCTCCCCCCTCGTCCTCGACCCCGCTGCCCGCCCCGACAGCTCAGCGCGCTCGCTCCAACCTCCCGGAACAGTACAGTCGGCCGCGCACCCAGACGCCCGGGGATGAGCACGCCGCCGCCGTTGCGCCCTCGCAGCCTCCCCCGCTTGCCCCGTGGGCCAAGGAGACCGCCAACTCGGACGCGCACAAGGGTCCCTCCCTGAAGGAGATTCAGGAGGCCGAGGCCCGCAAGGCCGCCAAGGCCGAGGAGGCCGCTATGGCCGCCCGCAAGGCAGCGCTGGAGCAGGAAGTCTCGTCCATCCGTGAGAAGGAGAGGCAGGCCGCCTCGGCCGCGGCAGCCGGTCTCCCCGCTACGAGCACGTGGGGCCACGCCTCGCCCGTCGCCGGCGCAAGCCCCTGGGCTACCAACCCCGGTGCTGCCAAGTCATCCCTCGCCCCTGCACCATCCGCCTCGGCTGCCAGCAAAAAGACTCTCGCCGAAATTCAGCGCGAGGAGGAGTCCCGCAAGCAGAGGGAGAGCAGCAGCAGCAGCAACGGTATCGCCACGCAGCAGCAGCAGCAGCCGCAGCCGCAGCAGCAGACCCGTGCCGCGCCCGGCGGCGCTGCAAAGAGCTACGCCAACCTCGCCTCTCCCTCTGTCGGCGGTGTCCTCGCTCCTGCCCCTCCACCTGGTGCGGGATGGGCCACCGTCGGTGCGGGTGGTAAGGTCAAGGTCCCCACCGGACCTGCGGCCGTGCAGCCTCGCTCGGCTAGCACCACTGGTGCCAAGCCTGCTGGCACACCCGTCGCGTCGCCGTCGGCTGTGAAGCCTATGAGCAGGCCTGGACCTGCGGCGAATGGCAATGTTGCCATGGACGAGTTCAGAAAGTGGGTTCAGCGTGAGCTGAGCAGGGGGCTGAGCGTCAACGACAGTAAGTCCCCGGTTACCTGCCTCTGACTATTGAACCATCTTGTCCATTCGCAGAGTACCCTGGAAAATAAATGCTAACCTGATCAAACAGTCTCCGGCTTCGCTTCCACCCTCGAAGCCCTCCCACTAGACAAGGGCATCATCGCCGACGCCATCTACGCATCGTCCAACATCATGGACGGCCGTCACTTTGCAGAGGAGTACGTCCGTCGTAAAGGACTTGCCGAGCGCGGCGTCGTCGAGAAGCAGCCCGTCACGTCTCTCTTCTCAACCGTTGATGCTGGCAAGGCCTCTGGCGCCTCGAGCGGCGGATGGTCCGAGGTGGCCAAGAAGAGCGGAGGAGGCAGTGGCACTCCCGGCGCTGCTGTCGGATCAGCCAGTCCGTCTCCCGCTGGTGTCGTGGCTTCCGATCCCATTCAGGCGGCTGGATTCAAGGTTGTTCCTAGCAGGAAGAAGGGCAAAAAATAGAAGGTGTTCTTTTGCCTTGGCTGGGACAGCTGCAGTTGTCTTTTCATGTTTTTTTTTGTTTCTTTTCGAGGGAGAGAGAGAATATAGTTAAGAGATGAGGTATGATGAAGCAAAGGAAAAAGCGTAAATGGTTTGAAATGAATAGTTAGTTGCAGCGACAATTTTGATGAATGTCCGATTCTGTCAGTTCTGGTATGTATCAAACACTTCGATGCAAAAAAAAATTTGAAGTGTGTTTTCTTTACCACTATTGTATGCTGTAATCCTCAAAATCTATATCCAGTGTTTCTATTCATGTATTCATTTTGAAGAAAAACTTGTAGAATTCGTCAAGTCTTGAGCCCGTCCATGATGCCCTGAAGCCTAACCCACCCGGACGTCCCCTCCCACGACTCCTTTGCTCTACCGAGCACGCTCCTGACCGCGCTGCGCACCCTACCCTTCCACTTCGGTCCTATGGCTTCGACATCCGAACCCCAATTCTCCAGCATGGAGGCCAGCTCGTCTGTCCTGTCCACCACGACCGCCCACGCCTCCTTGTCGGTGGTCCAGTCGACACCGTCAGCACCGGACGAGGCGGCGCTCAGTCCACCGGACGATGACCCCATCGCTGCGCGCCACGCCCGCTCCGCCGCGTCAATGGCACCGGCGTAGTCGCGCGTCCAGGCCCTCACGCGGGAGACCAGGCTCCACAGGTCGGAGCGGCGGGTGATGAGCGGGACTACGTCCTCTTCTACCATCCTCACTACGAGGCGTTCTGGCGATCCGCGCGGCAGAACGTCGTTCTTGTCCAGGGTGGACGGCAGATCCTTGGCTAACACGACATCCCGCACCAGCACCGAGAGCACGTCCGTGTCTATGGCATCTTCCGTCGCTCGGATGCGGAGGATGTGGCGCATGGCCAGCACCACTTCCGCCACTGGGGGCGGCTTGATGCGTGCCGACAGCGTGAGCACGTTGTCCCAGATGCGCCAGTTGTCGTGTGCTATCGAGGCCCCGCGCTTATAGGCTGACAATGCCTGGGATAGAAGACGCGCCGGGTCTTTGCGCGAGATGGTCATTTCTTTGTTGTCGTCTAGGTTTAGCGTGGTCATGTCGTCTTCTTCTTCCTCTTCTCGTGGAGCTTCTTCCTTGATAGGGTCCTCGCACTTCTCCTTGATCACTTCGAGGTATAGACTCCAGAGAGCACTGCCGAGGTTGCTCCACGTCTTGGCTCCCTCGCCACCGCCGAGGTCTGTGGCACAAGAGATGGCGCGGCTGTACGCCTCGGCGGCTTGCTCGAACGACGCCAGACCGAGGTTGATGTCGCCTAGTCGGCTCCACATGTCCGAGTTGAGGCGGTTGACCGAGGTGGCCTTGTTGTAGGCCTCACGGGCGCGCTCCCAGTCGCGCTTGGCGACGTAGTGCTCTCCCAAGGAACGCTGAGCACGCGCATATCGGTGATTGGACACCTCCCAGGCGCGCTCGTAGTGCGCCGGTTGCGACTCGATGTCACCGAGGATGCACCACAGACGGGCGGCGTTAGGGGGCGCGGGGGTACGCTCGGGGCCGGAGAAATCATCGCCACGGAGCTGAGTCACGTCAGCGATGTCGTCTTCACTGTCTGCGTCGGACTCTCCTGGGGTTGCAGAGCTGCCTGTCCTTTGGAATAGGCGCCACCGGATGATTCCGCGTGCCTTGTCCTCGCCGCCGCCACCACGGCCGTCCTCGTCCTCGACGGCGGCACGGCTGGCAAAACACAGAGCCACCTCGGCCCATAAACGAAGACGTTTGAATATTTCCAGAGCAGACGCCAACGATCCTACCGACACCCAGGCGAACGCCAGCTCCGATTCAAGGTGCCACCGAGGCGGGGTGGACAGGGAGTGAATGTACTGCAGTCGGACGTGGGCGGGGGCAGACTCCGAGGCTTTGGGTGCTGGAAGGAATGACGTTGGCTTGTCCTGGGCAGGAGCTGCACTCCTGGGGTCGGCCTGCGTCACCTGGATGGCCGGGACATCGGTATCGGCATCCTTCTCCTTCTCCTCCTTGATATCCTTCTCAACGGCCGTCGTGTCGGCAAGGACCTGGTCAGCGACAGCCTGGAGCTGCAGCACACCTCGCTCGAGGGTCCTGCTCCTGTGCAGCTCGATGCGCGACCTGACCAGCAGGGCGAGGGTGTAAATCTGCCAGTTGGTAGACTTGTCGGCTAGGACGCGCACGGCATAGGGCATAATCTCCTCTGACGTGAGGGTGTCGACAGGGGAGAAGGCATCCTTCAGGGTAGCCTCGGTCAGGAGGATGATCTGGTCTAGGGGGGAAAGCTGGGGCTGGTTGTCAGGAGACAGCTCGGCCAAGGCTGGGGGCAGAATATCCTCCTTGGGTTCCAGCCCATCGGCCGTCTTTTCCTTGGTGAAGTGGATGTTCTCCAGTAGAGTATCGTCGTTGAGCTGTAGCGCATCAGGCTTGGAGTTCTCCTCGTCGTCTCCGTCGTTTTCGCTGCTCTTTTCAAGGGCGGTGTTGCTCCTGGCCAGGACGACCATCTGACTGGTGCTCTTCTCCTGGTAGCGCGTGCGCTTGCCCATGGCACCGGAAAGTGCGTACTCGAGATGCGTCATCTTAGCTGCCCGGGTGAGCAGGTCACGCGTCAAGTCGTTGCGGCCAAGGAGGATGTAGTAGTTGGCTGCCTCGACGAGAAACAGGGCCTTGTCGTCTGCTGACCACTCGTCTTCGCCACCGCTCGTGGCCCACACCTCGTCATCACCAAGGATCTGGCTAGACACGGCAACGATTCCGGCGGCGATTTTACCAGCCAGAGAGGGCGCATCGCTCCATTGAGAGCTCTTGGTGAAGTTGGATCCATGACCGAGGGAAGGCTGGGTGAGCAGCTTGTAATGCCAAGTGTCGATGCGCAGCCTGGCCCAGGGCATACTGTACTTGACCTCGCCCCGTTCCGGCGTCTCGAGCTTGATGACGGCCGGAGCATCGGCCAGGACGGTGGTGATTATGTACTTTGCCAGACTGAACAGCTCAGGGTAGGGCATGTACGCGTAGGGACTCACGCCGTCGACCTCAAGGTAGTCGAGACATGTTGTGCGCAAGGCTCGCAGGCCCGGCGACGAGGCCTTATGTGCTTCTGTGAAACGATGCTGAATGCTGGACACAAAGGAGTCAGGGAGGACTGGTCCCGTGACATTGGTCTGGAGGAAGGCGTCGAGAGAGGCCATGGCCAGGCGAAGGAGGTGTCCATGATTGGTTTGAGCCTCCGTCCCGGAAGGAGCAACGGTATACAATAACGGAGAGGCGACGAATGACTTGATTATGTGGTCTAGAGATGGGTCACTGTCTGTAAGGACAGACAGGGCGTCGATGCCCGTTTGCCATGCCATGGAGATAGTGAATAGATCTTGTCTCCTGCTTTTTTCCCCTCCTCTCTCTCTTTTTTTGTAGCAGTAGTATTGGCGCGGAATATTGAAGCTCACCGAGGTCAACCTTGAGGTACGTAACCCTGATGTGTGAATTCAGTCGAGATCCAAGACGCACCCGCAAACAGAGGAGTACTCTTGGCCTCCTGGCGTAGTATTTTATGGCGAATTTTTTTTTTCTTTTTCAATATGAATATGCGATTGTAGTGGGGGCGGGGTACAGAAATCGCAAGCTACCCCTCGATGCGTCACGCCAGGTTGGCCTAGGGTAAGTTGTTGCGACATGATGCTGACTCATTATGGATCACGTGATGTACCGGCAATGCAGAGTCTAGGGTACTCATCCAGTCAGACTATGTTAGAGTACAGAAATGCAGGGTGTTGGACACCTCGTATGAGATACGGAGTACAGATTACAGGGTTGGTGGTAGTCTTGCAGAAAAAGAACGAGTAGTGATACTACTAGTGATGAATGACTGTGGAGTCGTGTCTTGGCAAGATGAAGCCTCGAGGTGAGTGGTGAGTGAGGGTGGACTGTGTAATAGCTGGTGGTCTGTGCGTGTGTGTATCCAGTGGATCTGGTGAAAATTTTGCCAATACGGGAAACTAGGTGTTACGTAATCCCTGTCAAGACTATTACCCCATATTCTCAGTTTCGTATTAATGACGTTGGCCGAAGCCATGCTGGGCGCATTACCCCGATTCTCTTGAAACCATTATCTACATAATGAGCACGTCTCTGCAGATAAAGAGGAGTGAGCTAGGTACATAAAAGGTCAAAGGATAAAAAAAGAAAACCCTTGAGCCGTTGAAGAGGCGAATTCCTGCTGCACGGTGAGTACTCAGTTTCGCACCGTATGTACTACACGTTGACGACCAATTATATTTAGTCTGGTTTTATGCACACCGGTGTTTTACCCGCGTCCATGTCAGAGGAAAGGAAAGAAAAGCGGTTGCCTAGAGGGAAATCTGAGGCATGGGTGTACTCGCTCGTACAATTTTTCTTTCTTCCAATCCTTGTTTCTCGTGTGCTTATTCGTCGTCTGCAGGGGTGGATAAGTACGACATGCATCTTGTCCTTCATTGCTCATGTCGTACCACGGTAGATGTCACTGTGCCGGTTGGGCTGGGCGTCGAGAAGGAACAGATGAAGATTATACCCTTTTTTTTTTCATCTCTCGCGCTATCCCATCCATTCCCCGTTTCTCAATCCTTTCCTCTCTTTCTTTTCTCGTATCGAAATGAACCAAGACAGAGAGACGAAGCAGAGAGTTGGAGAAGAGGCTGCGTGTGTGGGGGGGGGGGAATGGTTGAGCGCGCTCGGACCAAGCTTTGGGGCCCTTTGCTTCTACCCCTCTTGACCCTCCCCCTCTTTCGGTGTATTGTCGGGGGAGGGATGCCAGATATGAGATAGGATTGATCATGTTGATCGGTTTTTGGAAATAATAATACTCGTGATGATGACGGCGGTGATGATGGGAATTGCGCCTATCTGTGCAGGTATTCGGGAGTGAGCGTGGGGAGTGGTCTGGTGGCCGGTCACGTGATCGCTGACCGGAAAATTGGTCCGTCCCGCTCTATGTTTGGGGGCTGGGAAGGACAGCGCGGAATTGATGTTACCATGTAATGATCCCTTATCGCACATGTGCTGGGGGGCCACAGTCGCGTACATGTACAGTCATACGAGTGTGAACACTTGGACTCGGACTTGATCGCACCCGTACTCGAGCAATAAAGCCGCAATAGAGTATTGCATTACGCAAAGCACACAGAAATGGTCCTATTTAGAGTTGGTTCGCAGCGCGGGGCGGCGAATCTGAACTCTTGTGGCAAACGGCCTAATACTTCCTGTCATGCGCCGGCACTTACTTTACTCTCAATCGTACGAGGAGTAGCTCACAGCGTTCTATCAGCGCCGCTACCGCGCATGGACAGAAGTTAGGCCTACCTGTGTCGATAGCATTTATCCCTCCTCGTGCTCGAAAATTGGCAAAGTATCATGACTGTTCATACACCTACGCGGAAGCCATCGTCTTGGGACTCTGAGCGGAACTGGGAGGAGGCAAGCTGCAGTGAGTCCAGGGAGTAGTAATCTACCGAGAATCGATATGTGGTGGGGTATTCAGTGCTTGGTTTCATTAAAAACGACCGCCAAAGGCCCCCAGCAACCGTTGAAAGCAAGGCCTACTGAATATAAAGACCCTAAGACAAGGAAGGTGCAGTCAGAGTGGGTGGAGGGTGGCGCTCCTTCCTTGATTCTTCTGAGCTTAATCGGTGGCATGTCCATCTATATGTCTAGCATTCGCCTGGTGATAATACGGGTTTCTTCATGAATGGCATTGCCTTCTTTATCAAATCGACGCGGCTGTGATTGCAATTAAAGCAGTACTGATAAGTACGGAATATTGGTGCTTGTACTCCGTACTCCGTATCGTAATGATAAAACATGTGCTGCTAGTCGTCAATCTCTGGGTGCAACGTATGCTTATCTCTTGCAGCATTCTACCCGAGACTTACGCAACAGTACAGAGTACAACTCCAGAAGAAAATAGCGCTAACATCGTTCCTTCCCCTTGTTCTTTCCCATCTTGCTAAGAGCTGGGCGCTGGGCGCTGGGGCGTAGACGATATACATACTGTGACGAACACTGTCTATATCGGTCAACCTAAGATACTCTGTACAGTGCGTATAAAAGCAATCTCTTGCCTCTTTCGGAAAATACTCGTAGTCCCATGACCGAGTGACATCACTCTCGGAGTATCAAGAACGCTGTGCTTACGTCCCTTTCTCTCTCTCTCTCTCTCTCTCTCTCGCTTATCCCCTTACAGATCACGCTCTGTATGGGTACAGCATGAGCAGGTTGAGATGACTATTACGGCTTGTCCACTGTCCAAATCCATCTGGTGGCCAGTTTCGTCATGACCAGCTATGATGGACTACTCGTGACCGTTCTTCCGCCGTTCCATCGACTCAGAACACGCCCGACCTGTATCGTGGTAATCTGTACAGGTACGAATAATACATAGGTGGGCAAAACTAGAGACGCATAACAAGTACCGAGTACATTCAGCCTTCGGGCGTCTTTTTCGTGAGAGTCCAAGCCATCTCATTGTCTCATCATCAAGAGACAAGGCAGAGAAACGGAGACTAAGGCGAGAAACACCCGGCAACACAACGGCAACAAGAATGCAAGCCTTTCTGTGCCAAGCCTCGCATGTGGCGTTGGCGTGTTATTGGTTGCGAGCTGATCAATACTATGGCAGGGATCCCTCTTTTTTCTTCTTCATCTTCTTCCCTGTCTACGGCGTACGGTACAACAAGTATGGACTACCTATTGTACGGGTAGTCCTCGTACTCTATCGTGGCCTCCTCTGCCATTATCAGCCGTACAGACATTGTGTGCGATACAGGAAGCAAGTACAAACTCCACAAGTACCTCTACTCTTTCTTAGACTCACAGACTTTAGTTTCTACCCCATTGGAATGTCCCACCTAGAATCCACCCTGGTCAGCATCCTGGTCGTCGCGGCCCCACGAGTCCCACAACCCGCCCATTTGCGTCCAACAAACAAAGTCCTGCTAATACCTACCCTCCTTTACCTCCTCAAGCCTTCTGCTGAACCAACTGAGTGAGTGAGTTGAGAGAGTGAGTGAGGCTGCCGCACTGCCACGAATGAGTACAACAGGCTAACAGATTATTCGCCGTATGCGACATATATATCCAGCCAGTTTTCTCCCTTTCTCTTATCCTAGCATCCTCTCTATCTCTACTTCCATCCTTCTGTTTTTCTCTCCCTCTGCTCTCCCCTCCTCCTCTCTGATCCACCACCATACTTTTCTTTTTGTGGTCTCAATTCAACCTATATCCGATTTTGGTCGCAACTAAGTCAATCCCATTCCCCTCCTACTGCCATTCATTGGCTTCGAACAACGCGGTCTGATCGCCGGTTCCCCCAACGCGACGGCAATATTAACGGTCAACGATGTCCGACACAATGGTCGCCGAGAAGAAGTACGGCAGCCCGGCCTTGCCTGAGGTCGAGACCGAGCTCGACCACTATGGTGACAACGCCGACGGCTTGCAGCGCCGTCTCAACAACCGCCAGATCCAGCTCATCGCCATCGGTGGCTCCATTGGTACCGCCCTCTTCATCAGTATCGGTACAAGTCTCGCCCACGGTGGCGCCGGCAGCCTTCTCATCGCTTACGCTCTCTACCCGTGCATCCTTGCCCTCGTCAATAACTCAATTGCCGAAATGACGACATACATGCCCGTCTCTGGAGGTTTCATCCGTCTTGCTGGTCACTGGGTAGACGATGCCCTTGGCTTCATGGCTGGCTGGAACTTCTTCTTCTACGAGGCTCTCCTGATTCCCTTTGAGATTACTGCCCTCAACCTCGTCATCAGCTTCTGGAGTGACAAGGTTACCGAGCCCGGCCCCACTGCCGGCATCTGCGCCGCCGTCATCATCTGCTATGCGTAAGACTGATTTTTTTGACCTCTCCTCCCCCCTCCCCCCCTCTTAAGAAACGACCTGAAAGAGGGATGATGAGGAGATACACTGCGATCCCGTCTCCGGTGACTGCCATGGTGACGGTGACGGTCCCGATGTGACTTAATAATTGCGTCCGAACTGATCCTAGGCTGAAGCCCTGAACTGAAGCTTGTGCCTTGCTTTGCTCTGCTTTCGAATCGAAGCCGGTGTCTATGCACATACTCCCTCAACCCGGCCCCCCCCCCCCCCTTCCCCCCTTCTCCTTCTATTCTTGCTTCGTGTGTGAGATTGCTTCTCGTTGTTTGTGAAGGGCTTCGCAAATCTGGACGGGATCTGCTAATGTGCTCCTGCTCTCTCTAACCCCTGCATTCTCCTCTACTTCCCTACTTGACAATGAAGGCATGCTAAACTTCTTCTCCTCGTGACAAATAGTGGCCTGAATCTGCTGGCCGTTCGCGGATATGGCGAAGCCGAATTTTGGCTCTCTGGTGGTAAGGTGATCTTGATCTTCATCCTCTTCGGCTTCACCTTCGTCACCATGGTGGGTGGCAACCCCCGCGGCCACGCCTACGGCTTCTATCACTGGCAGCAGAGCGGTGCTTTCCGCGAGTACATTGACCATGGTCACCTTGGCCGCTTCGAGGGATTCCTGGCCGCTCTATGGGGAGCGAGCTTCGCCGTCGTCGGTCCCGAGTACATTTCCATGGTGGCTGCCGAGGCCAAGCGCCCTCGCATCTATCTCAAGACTGCTTTCAAGACGGTTTACTTCCGATTCGGCATCTTCTTCTTTGGCAGCGCCCTGTGCGTTGGCATCGTGCTCCGCTCCGACGACCCCACTCTGCAGGCCGTTGCTGACGGGAAGTCGAGCTCGTCCGGAGCTGCCGCTTCACCTTATGTCATGGCCATGTCCAACCTCAACATCACGGTACTGCCTGACATTGTCAACGTGCTGCTCATGACGTCCATCTTCTCGGCCGGAAACACGTACACCTATTGCGCCACTCGATCGCTGTACGGCCTCGCCCTCGAAGGCCGCGCCCCCCGCTTCCTGCGCAAGACGTGGAGCAACGGTGTGCCCTTTTACTGCTTCTGCGTCGTCATGATCTTCCCGCTCCTCTCGTTCCTCTCGGTCAGCTCCGCCTCGTCCAAGGTCATTGACTGGTTCGTCAGTCTCACCACGGCCGGTGGCCTTATCGACTACATGATCATGAACATCACCTTCATCTTCTACTACCGCGCCTGCGAGGCGCAGGGAGTCGACCGCAAGAAGATGCCCTACTATGGCTACTTCCAGCCGTACGGCGCCTATGTTGCCCTGGTGGTGCAGACGCTTATCTGCATCTTCTACAACTACGAGGCCTTTTACCCCGAGTTCAACGTCGAGACCTTTTTCCGCGGATACACGATGCAGTGCGTCATGCCCTTCTTGTTCATTGGGTGGAAGCTCCTCAAGCGCACCCGCTTTGTCAAGCCTCACGAGGCGGATCTCACCTGGGAGGCCCCCATGATTGACCGCTACGAGGAGCGCTTCACGTCTAAGCCTCCCGGTTTCTGGATGGAGATTGGTTGGGTGCTGGGCATCAATCGCAAGGCGAAGGCTGAGTTGGCGGATGACATATGAGGAGACGGGCATTTTCTGTCTTTCCCCTTGAGCTTTCTCCTGCCTAGTTTCCAGTGAAGGGTGTTTCATGTGTTTGGCCAGGTATTGAATGACATCTATGATGCATATTTATGTGTTGGTATACTGATATGTTTGCGCGGGGGTGTGCCCGTGTGTTTGGTGTCTGAAAAAGTGCATGGAAAAAAATTCCGAGAGATTCTTGAAGAATTAAAAAAAAAGGGGGAACGAAATGAGTGGTGAGAGGATCGAGATGATGATGAGGAGGATGTCATGCCATGCATATACCCCAAGATACCAACGAAACGAAATGAAAAAAAAAAATTTATATAAATAAATAAAGGGGTTAATCTAAGTCAAGGTGCAGTGAAGGTGCAGTGATTTGTGTCGAGAGATGATGTAATATTGCACCCATACCAATCAATCTCTTTATTTCTACCAAGTATTACGGTACTGTCAGACCCACTAAGCACCACGATATGGTTTTTTTCTTCATCTTTCTTCTGAAGAGGGATCGATTGCGAGATGGGCCTTGATGACAGCTGATGACTCTGCTCTGTCTACGTCCGTCACATAGCTCTAAGACAGCTGGAAGGAAAAGGATCAGGACTGCACCGTTTCCGCACGCCCTCTGCGCATCCTTTGAAGAATCCATCTGCTTGACACTGGGGCAGCTGCATGGCAGTTGGCAAATGTTGGCAGATGCCGGCAGATGTCTGACAGTCATCGACAGCTGATGACAGTCGTTTGTGACTGACGGAACAGGAGTCACGAGGTATGGATTTTCCTAGTATAAAACAAATACCGTGGTATCTCCCTCCCTCTCTCTCTCTCTCTCGCTCTATCTCTCTACCTTTTCCCCTCTCTTCCATTCTCTTTGCTTTCCTTCCTCTTTACGTGCAAACACCCACAAGCACATCAAAGGAATACACAGACTCTCCCCGACAGGGTTCACGATGATATGAGATCAAAGGCACATGAGGCACCGAGTAGTGCAGTGCAGCAATCTGTGTATATCGATCTTGGGTTTCTGTTTGAATCAGGCTGCCAATTGCGGCCGGAAGAAGGGATAACCCGGTACCGGGGTTGTTGCCTCAGGATGACTAGGCACAGCGCGTACATGTTGCGTACATGTTGCTATCACGAAGAGAGTCATCCTAGAAAATAGGGCATCGATCATCACAACCGCAAAGGCTCTTCTTGAAGAAGGAGCTGATGCACCTGTGATATCGTACGACGAAGCAAAAAGAGAGAGAAGACGATACCGACAGTTTCCTTCTACCTTGTCATCGGGCCTTCCCTTTCTATGCCCTTCCGGACCTGTTCTTCATTCCTTCCCGTCTAGTTCTGATGGCTGATGCTTCTGGAGGTCGTGGCGGTCGGCCCTGCGCGAACGCCCCACTCGTCGTGAGCGCCTCTTGGCCCAGGCACGCGTGGCGTCTTCCATCGCAAAGCTCATCGGCGGTGCTGTGGATCCCGGTCCCGGCAGAACTACCTGCCGGGCACACACCACACGTATTATCCTTATTATCTGCTCTGCGTAATGAAGACAGCTTCGAGGAGAAAAAAAAAACAAGCAAGTTACAGATCACAGTAAGAAGGCACCTTTTGCACCCGTACTAGCTGGCACGGTGGTGCAACGCCTATCTGTGATCCCACGAGCAAGAAGCACAGTGCGCCGCGCCGCACTGAATCCGACGTCGCCTCTCTTTCTTTCTCCCCGCCACCGCCGTGCCGTCAGCACGCTAGGCGGCCGCCAATAGAGCCAAGGCCCCCGGGGTCGCCTTTTCGGCAATGCAACCGGCGGTTCGTCCCCTTAGGTAAGCCGGACTCGACAACAAAGCTATCGAATCCGACGCAATAACAACAAAGAAACAACAAAGAACCCAACACTACATACATAGCACACCTAACCTACGTTGAATGTAATGTTGGCAGTGTCCGTAGTGTGTGCTCTCACACAATGTTCCCTGTTGTTCAAACCTCATCTAAAAACCTTTTTATTGTTTAGACGCCTTCTTCCTACACGCCTCGATCCCTCGCACGCGATCTTGTTTGTGTCGGCTTTGGCGTCTATATAGTCGCTAGACACTTTCCTTCCTCCACTCCTACCTTCTATACTTCCGCCTACCCTTCTTCCCCCTCCCCAGCGGGCAGGATGGATAAGGGAGGAAGGAGGTAGGACCGCTAGGATGGACCGTCATGAGGGACTGTCATGAGAGGGGGGAGTGCAATCTACCCGCTGCGAGTTCTAAGGGGGCCGATGACGGCGTACCCGTATGTTAGCGACGTATTAGCGATAGATTCGTCGTAAACCGCGTCGTACACCTAAGCGCTCGAAGATGTCTCGAGTCTTCCATGACGATGACGATCCCTTCACTGAAAAAAATCGCCCGAGGCCCTGTCACTCCCAAGCCTCGTTCTGCCCCTTCCGTGTAAGCCAGCACTACTCCCGCGCGGCAGGCCCAGACAGTGGCTGCTCGGCGGGCCAAGGCCGATAAGCGGATCACGAGGGAAGTCTCTACTGTTTCGGACGCGTCTGGTCCGAGGCAGTTCACCGCTGTGTATGCCAACACTTGACCGAGCTAGCTATAGGCGAGTTGGCTCGAAGCTCACCGCGACCTATTAGCGAACAAGTGACGCCACCACTGAAGACTTAGAACAGTCATCCGCACACTCCCCCGTTGACGAGGACACCAAGGCGACGCAGGCAAGGCACAGCGTTCGGTGCAGTCGGGTGCTGCATGTCGCGTCGATCTGTGTCCGCCATCGAAGGAACAGGTTCACCTGCAGTCGGAGTGCGAGTGTCTTTTGAGGCACGTATCTGGCCCATCAACGTATTCGTCGTCATCGTAAAACAGCGTCGTCGTCGTAGTCTTCGTCCTCTTCTCCGATCACGGCAGAGGAGACGCGGCGCGCCTTACTCGTGCGAGTCGGCGTGGGCTCAGCGGACGCACGCCTCTTCATACGACTTCTCAGTCAAGGAGGCAACAACTATCAAGAGAAAGAAAAAAAAAAGATCCAAGGTGCCCTCCCACTCATCGCCATCTTTTATCCACGCCATAAGGCGACTGCACAGAACACAGGGCACATCACGGCTATCAAGATCAAGCTTCTTGTTACCATGGAATATAACAAGGCCATGTTTCCCCTGTCCCTTGGGACGTAGTAAGTCTTTTCTCCTGTCTCGGTAAACGGTAGATTTTCGCCGACTTTCTGTAACCGATTGCGAACCTCTTGGGTCGTGAGACCCTTCTTGAGCTGACCCGAAGAGGCTTAATGGCCTCTGGACGACCTTTCACCGCGTGAGGAACCCGATGGCCTGCGCGAGGTGCATCCTGATGTTTCCCTCCAATGTCTCTGAAAGCGGGACAGCTATCCTTCTTTCTTCCTTTCCAGGAGTGTGTCTCTCTGGAGAAGCCGAGTCTGGACGGTCGCTGTGCCACTTGTCAATACCACGGGTACCCAAACTGTGAGTGGGCTGATGGTGGCGTCGGGGAATCACCTCGCAGGTGGTCTCATACGTTGTGGGTATCATGTTCACCAGCACAAGGTATAAGGTCGGCTTGAACACGGAAAACTCTGCCTCTATGCAGTATACGTTGGGAGGTCGGGGCCACTCGTCAATGGATTTAGCTTCTAGCCATGCCTATATAGAAGCTGGCGGGGCCGATTGGGAGGTCTCGCTCGGCATCTCTCATGTAGGGCGTCGTCCGCCCATGCCTGATACTTGGCGAGGGATTCCTCCCGCCGAGACACAGAGATTCAGATTCATGATCCGCAATTTGCCCAACAGGTAGGTGTGTAAAAAATATAAGATTTCAGAGAGAAAGAACGAGGACGGTAATTACAAGAGATGACTGTACAAGAAGTAGATGTAAAGAAAGCAACGAGGGATTGTTAAGTAGAGACGGAGAGAAAGAAGGAAGAAGAAGAAGAAGACACTGTGATAGCTGTTGTGAGTATGTTGGTCACGTCCAAGGTCAGAAAGTTCTAGACTGGTGTGATCTGTTCCTTCCCTGTGTTTGATCCTTTCTTGTGCTTCTTCGAATGCCCCCTCCCTCCATTCACACCTCCCTATCAGCTATTAGCCGGCTGCTCCCAACACACAAGCGACTACATTATAGGTCTAAATTCGACCTTATCCTGTCCGTCCCAGCCAGATCCAGCAGTAGGGTAGTACCTCGCAGGATGGAGAAGGTGTCCCATTCGACGCTTGGCCACTGCCGGTGTGAGTTGGAAGATGCAGTGACAAGGCCACTGGTGAGGCCGTTTCAGGTCACAATACACTTGGCTCTATATCAGCTATCTTCTCAGTTGACCAGTACCTGTGCGTTGGGATTCCATAAAGACAGATGTTGCAGCTACGGAGTATGTGGGCCATGGCTGAGGTCCTGTTAAGGAGTGCACCTGATACGGCACGACCGGACTAACGTCGGGAGAAATGAGTTTGCCTTGACCACAGATTAGTCGGACCGGAGATATTCCAAGTAATTACTTGATGGTTAAAGTGATGGAAAATAGTAGAATCAGTGGTATTCGTGCTATTGCTTATCTTGTTTCATAAGAAATTGGTGACCAGAAAGGTGTTTGAGGGGTAGACTCATCTAGAAGTAAGGTTTGCCCGTTGTCCGTCACCCGGTTTGCTCCAGCGGTCACCGTAGTAATACGCAAAAAGTGTAATACTGTACACTGCCTTAAACCGAGTAAGCGGTAGGAGATCGGTCGAACGGGAGGAAACTGCGGTGCAGATACGAGTGGCAACATAATGGACGACAATAAAAGAAGCTGAACAATCACAGTCTGACTCAATCCATTTATTATTACGTGGGTAGTACGCCTGGTGAGATTCGGTAGCGAGGTGGCAACGGTATGACCCATTTCACGTACGGACTAACTGTGGCTAAAAGACTGCGACGAAAGACCGTGTCCACCAAACGCCATAGTAGAGCACACGGGCTTCCACCGGTCGCGTCTTATGGGCTGGTGGCCAAGCGGCGGTACTGATGGGGCTGACCAGATGGAGGGTCGAGGCTGACTAAGAATGTGCGAAAAAAAAAAGAAAACCCTTCACCGCCTTTGCCGCTAAGCCCTTTCTGAAATTAGCGCCACATGCGATAACGCTGCGATAAGCCCCGCCAATGGAGGGGCAGAGATTTGTGTTGTGAAGAGGGAAAAAAAAAAAAAAACTCTTGTGGTGCCCTTTTTCTCTTATTAGAGGGAATGAGCCGAAAAAAAATCTTGCCCCAGGTCCCATCCCACCTTCCCTCCCCCTCCTTTCTCTCTCTTTCCCTCTTGAACCCCCCCCCTTCTGTCTCTCTTCTTTCTCCTTCCTCCTTCACGCTGAAATCTCCCTCTTTGGTCGTCATCCTCCAGACGAACCTTTTTTTCTCTCTCTCGGACTTGACATATATTTGTCTGGTCCTTTCCCCCCCCCTTTATATCTTGCTGGACTGTTTTTCTAAAACAGCCTCGCTCCAATAGTGTAGAGTCGAATCCCTCCATCGTCTCTACCTTTGTTGTGCTCATAGACGTTTGTTCGTTCTAGAGCTTTCAACCCCGTCGACCAGTTTTCACCAACTCGTCGATCGTTCGATTACCTCTTTCCCCCTCATATATACCCCCCTTCGAGAAACAACATCGCCCAATATGCCTTCCGAGAACACTCAGTCCGTCAAGGTTCTTGACGAGCTCTTCCAGAAGCTCACAGTCTCCAAAGATGCCGCTGATATCAAGCAGTCGTCGGCCAACCTTGCTAGCTTCGTCAACGGCCCTATCGAGGACCAGGCTGTTCCTACCACGTAAGTCATCGTCAGATGTTTTGCTTCTGAAAAATTTTCACCTTAATGCCTTGTTCTCTTTGTTCTATTTTTTTTTTGTTCTGCATCGCCCCGCCGTTGTCGTTAGGGCATGTGGTCGATATTTCCCTGCTCTGCTGGACTGTCAAACCAAGCCCTGCCTCTGGTGGTACATCACAGGAAAATATCGTGTTCCTCTCTTTGCCGTCTTGCTCTACCTCTGTACACTTCTTTCAATTTTCTTTTCTGCCAATCTTGATTTGCTTCTTTTGTCATTTGGCCAGACGAGGGGTTCTTGAAAGAATATGCAGCGGGTCTTACAGGGGGGGGGCCCTCCTCACAAGGGTCGGGTTGATTGCCCCTCAGTGGAGAGCTCTTTTTGGCTTACTTTGTTGATGCGTAATGCCACTCCGGTGAGACTCTGGCAGACTTTTGCCCTCCTCGCTCGGCAGCAGTGGCCTGGATAAACATTATCTTTTTTTTTTGATACTCTCTTTGATTTGGTCCTTGATTGAAATCGAACACAGGAAAAGAAGAAACTGCTCGCTAACGTGCAAACTTTTACTTCAGTCTGATCGACAACCTCAAGAAGCAGCTCACCAGCAAGAAGGATGCTGCTGCCCGTGAGAAGGCCGCTGTTGCCATTGAGCAGATTGCGTCGCACTCTGACGTCTCTGCCCACATCGAGCCTTACCTCGCTGGTCTCCTCCCCGAGCTCCTGGCTGCTGCCGGTGACAAGACCCCTGCCGTCAAGACGGCTGCCCAGGCTGCCACCCTTGCCATTGCTGGCGCCATGAACGGCAACGCCTGCAAGATCGCCCTGGTCCACATCATGGAGTCGATCCGCCACGCCCAGAAGTGGCCCGAAAAGATTCTTGCCCTCGACTTCATCGAGGCTCTCCTCAAGTCGGCCCCTGCCCAGCTTGGCTTCCGTGTTCCCGAGCTCATCCCCGTCGTCTCCGAGGCCATGTGGGACACCAAGAAGGAGGTCAAGGACCGTGCGTACCACACCATGGAGCAGATCTGCCAGCTTATCGTCAACAGGGATATCGAGCGCTTTATCCCCGAGCTCATCAAGTGTATTGCCAAGCCCGAGAACGTCCCCGAGACTGTCCACCTGCTCGGCGCCACCACCTTCGTCACCGAGGTCCAGGAGCCCACCCTGGCCCTGATGGTCCCCCTTCTGGACCGTGGTCTTGCCGAGCGTGAGACGGCCATCAAGCGTAAGGCTGCCGTTATTGTCGACAACATGTGCAAGCTCGTCGACGACCCCAACATTGTCGCTCCCTTCCTGCCCAAGATGATGCCCGGTCTCCAGAAGAACTACGACAACCTTGCCGACCCCGAGGCCCGTGAGAAGACCAAGCAGGCCCTCGACACCCTGACCCGTGTCGGTAACATCAAGGACGGTGTCATCCCCGAGGCCCGCAACGATGGCGACATCAAGGTCGTCCTCCCCAAGTTCAAGGAGGTTGCCAGCAAGTACGCCAACTACGTTGAGAAGATGGAGCCCGTTGCCGAGTACATTGCTGCCATTGCTGGTCAGCTCGTCGACGAGAAGGAGGTTGAGAACGCCGTCTGGGTTGAGAACCTCAAGCCTTTCGTCTCTGTCATCACCGGCATCGACAACGCCGAGGCCATCATCGATGCCCTCCGCAGGAAGGCCACCCCCGGTGACCGTGCCGAGCAGGAGGCTGAGCCTGATGAGGAGGAGGGTGAGGATCTGTGCAACTGCACCTTCTCCCTCGCCTACGGCGCCAAGATCCTGCTCAACCAGACCCACCTCCGCCTCAAGCGTGGCCAGCGCTACGGTCTTTGCGGTCCCAACGGTTCCGGAAAGTCTACCCTCATGCGTGCCATCAACAACGAGCAGGTCGAGGGTTTCCCCAAGCAGTCCGAGGTCAAGACCGTCTTCGTCGAGCACGACCTTGACTCTGCCGACACTGAGATGACCACCATTGACTGGACCCTGAAGAAGCTTGCCGAGGCTGGCGTCGACCAGACGAAGGAGTCGGTCGAGAAGCAGCTCATCGAGTTCGGCTTCACCCCCGCCATGATCTCTGGCGAGATCACCTCCCTTTCCGGTGGTTGGAAGATGAAGCTGGCCCTGTGCCGTGCCGTCTTCGAGGCGCCCGACATTCTGCTGCTGGACGAGCCCACCAACCATCTCGATGTCAAGAACGTCAAGTGGCTCGAGGACTACCTCATCAACTCCCCCTGCACCTCGATCATCGTTTCCCACGACTCCGGCTTCCTCGACAACGTCTGCCAGCACATCATCCACTACGAGCGCTTCAAGCTCAAGCGCTACCGTGGCAACCTGGCCGAGTTCGTCAAGCGCGTGCCCTCGGCCAGGTCCTACTACGAACTCGGCGCCTCAGAGATTGAGTTCACCTTCCCCGAGCCCGGCTTCCTTGAGGGTGTCAAGACCAAGGCCAAGGCCATCCTGCGTGCCACCAACATGTCGTTCCAGTACCCCGGAACCTCCAAGCCCCAGATTGAGAACATCACCTTCCAGTGCTCCCTGGGCTCGCGTATCGCCGTCATCGGCCCCAACGGCGCTGGAAAGTCTACGCTGATCAACGTCCTCACCGGTGAGCTCATCCCTACCCAGGGTGAGATCTACCAGCACGAGAACATCCGCATTGCCTACATCAAGCAGCACGCCTTTGCCCACATTGAGAACCACCTCGACTGGACCCCCTCCGAGTACATCCAGTGGCGTTTCCAGACCGGTGAGGACCGCGAGACCATGGACCGTGCCAACAAGGTCATCACCGAGGCCGACGAGAAGGCCATGGACAAGGTCTTCAAGATTGAGGGTACCCCCCGCCGCGTCATCGGCATCAACGGCCGCCGCAAGTTCAAGAACAGCTACGAGTACGAGTGTTCGTTCGCCCTGGGTGAGAACCTCGGCATGAAGTCGGAGCGCTGGACGCCCATGATGTCGGCCGACAACGCCTGGCTGCCCCGCTCCGAGCTCATCGCCTCTCACCAGAAGATGGTTGCCGACGTCGACATGAAGGAGGCCCTGGCCTCTGGTCAGTTCCGCCCTCTTGTCCGTAAGGAGATTGAGCTGCACTGCGCCCAGTTCGGCCTCGATGCCGAGCTCGTCTCCCACTCGCGCATGCGCGGTCTCTCCGGTGGCCAGCGTGTCAAGACTGTCCTCGCCGCCTGCTCGTGGCAGCGCCCCCACCTGATTGTCCTTGACGAGCCTACCAACTACCTTGACCGTGACTCCCTGGGTGCCCTCTCCAAGGCGCTCAAGAAGTTCGAGGGTGGTGTCATCATCATCACTCACTCTGCCGAATTCACCAAGAACATCACCGAGGAGGTCTGGGCCGTCCTCGACGGCAAGATGACTCCTTCCGGCCACAACTGGGTTGCCGGTCAGGGTGCCGGTCCCCGTCTCAAGCAGGACGACGGTGACGAGGAAGAGAAGTTCGATGCCATGGGCAACAAGATTGTCTCGACCAAGAAGAAGGCTAAGCTGAGTTCTTCCGAAGCGCGTAAGAAGAAGAAGGGTATGTTTTCCTTCCTACTCACACACTTCAACCCGAAACCCTGTAGCATCTATACTGACTTTCACCCTCCTTTACAGAGCGTATGGCCCGCCGCAAGCGTGGTGAGGAGGTCTTCAGCGACGAGGACGACATATAAGCGTTCCCAGCCCTGCTCCTCAACAACACACGAACCCTCCCCCCTCCTCCCTCTCCCTTGCGCCACGCATTGATGTGTCTACGATGCCCATCATGACGTGCTGTCGACGAAGTACACGGTATTCTTCCTTACGACAAGCCTACGAACATAACTTTGAACCATTTCCTTTGTCAGATGATGAATTTTTCTCTTCAGCAAAAAAAGTCGAATGATGCCTTTTCTTTTTGATTTCTCTTGTGATTTTGGTCTCTCTTGTATTGCTCCTCATGCTGTCTCTGGTTTTAGATTTTAGAGTCACCCCTTTCAGGATGATGTCAAGGAGGAGGGGGGGGGAGGACACAGAGAAGGTGATTGTATCGGAGTGTGTGTTATGTGGAAAGTACCGGGGAACTCTCTGTTGCAGGATGTACAAGGTGGGAAAAGGTGAAGAAGACTTGGGGTTGGAGGACCTTTTAGTCGTTTTTGCATTTTCACGCACGAGAAGCGTCCTCGGGGGCCCCGTGAAGCCATGATGGCACCTCCTGGGATCGCTGGCTGGCTATTGCGCCCCCCGCCCTCTCCGATTGAGAGGTGTGAGAGACATTTTGGGTGTGATTCAAGGAAAGATATAGAAGAGGAAGAAGAGAAGAGACTGACAAAAAAAAGTTTAGAAGAAAAGGAGGGGGGGTTTAGATGAAGCCAACTGAGTTTCCTGTTCTGATTATGCTGTGCTGATTGTGATGTAGGTAGTTTTGCGTCGTGATGAGGGTATTGGTGATGTCGTGACTTACGAGGTCAGAACTGTCATGAAAGGGGTGATTTGTGAGTGTGAGAGATTGTGAGATGGGAAATAGTCGGCAACATGGAAGGGTGCCGCGACATGGCTCCCCTTGATAGCGAGTCAGTAGAGGAGACAAGGAGGTTGGTTGTTGGAAGAGTTGGGTACAATGGTATTACTGTACGTAGTGGTGGTTGGTGGTGGCACCTATGATATTATATATGGTGGGCCCCGCCCTACGATGGGAAGTCACGATTGTAGACGTCACCGGTTTGTGGGCATTTTTGTGTGAGCGTGAGCGATACGAGTTTTGGTAAATGTCGACGAGCTTATGTCGAGAATAGCATGGTGACTCTGTGATTAGTTTGTCAGATGTCGTTTTATGGTTGGTAGGAGTGAGATGCAGGCTGTTGCGTGGTGAGGCTTGTGTGTCCATTCATCAATTATTCCCAGGACCCGTTTTGTCCATCAGCTCTTCAATGGCCGGTTTGCTCCCACAAGTGGCTGTTTCGGATTCTTACGTTATCTCTGATTGGAGACATGATGTGTGGATGTGGTCATGAACGATGCACATGGGTACTTGGCATTGTCGATTATTGACGTCAGACGACCTGCTTCGTGGGCCGGGAGGGGCAGGGCAGCTTGCAACCGTCATAGATGGTCGGACATTACCACGGATGATGATTCGATTCCGTCAGTGCCTTTATCTGGGGGGACATGTGGTTTTGAGAATCGGTATAGTAATACTATGTATATAATGCTATATATATAATATTATGTATACAACATTATGTATATTATATACATACGTACATATATATATATATATAACATGAGCACGCCAGGCCCGCGGTAGATGCCCGTCCTTTTCCTCGTCTCCCGGTGAATATTCATGAACAAAGACGGAATAAGAGTTCGTACGATAACTCTTCCCATGACCATGTCCATGTCTCAAGCTGCCAACCTCGTCAACGAGGCACTAGGCGGGCACGATGACAGTTCCATCACGAAGCAGGACGTATCGACGTATCGAGAGGAGGGCGAAGGAGAGGACCGGACCATGAAGGCTCTGTGCTGGATGGGCAAGAACAAGGTCGAGGTGCGCGACATGCCGCGGCCCAAGATCATGGAGCCGCGCGACGCCATCCTGCGGGTGACGGGCAGCACCGTGTGCGGCAGCGACCTGCACCTGCTCCACGGGACGATTGCGCAGCTCCAGGCCGGCGACATCCTGGGCCACGAGTTCTGCGGCGTCGTTGACGAGGTAGGGCCGGGGGTGGATGCCTCCAAGGTCGAGAAGGGCAAGCGGTACGTGGCGTCGTTCCAGATCGCCTGCGGAGAGTGCTTCATGTGCAAGCGGAAGCTGTCGTCCATGTGCGAGAGGACCAACTCTGACGCGGTGCCGCGCGCCATGTACGGCGACCAGCCGGCCGGCTTCTTCGGCTACTCGCACCTGACGGGGGGGTTCGCGGGCGGCCAGGCCGAGCGCGTGCGCGTGCCGCTGGCCGACGTCAACCTGCTCGAGATCCCCGACGACGTCCCCGACGAGAAGGCCCTGTACCTCAGCGACGTGCTCGCCACGAGCTACAACGCCGTCGTCGACACGGGCGTCCGCGGGGGCGACAGCGTCGCCATCTTCGGCGCCGGACCCATCGGCCAGATGGCGGGCGTGTTTGCCGTCGGCGAAGGCGCGTCCAAGGTCATCTTCGTCGACACCGAGCCCAGGCTCACGTACGTCAGGGACCGCTGGGCACCGGAGCACGCCGGGAAGCTGGAGCTGGTCGACTACAGAGAGCTCGGGCACGGCATCACCTCCAAGCCCACCGTCGTGTCGAGGCTCAAGGAACTCTGCCATGGTCGCGGACCGGATGCCGCCATCGAGGTACGTTCAAAAAACAGAACAAAAAAAAAATCCCCAGTTACTGGGGAAGAGAGCATGTTGGAACAGAATCTGACAGATCGATGGCTACTCGCAGTGCGCTGCCGGAGAGTACGCCCGGGGTTGGCTGCACTGGCTCGAGATGGTTGTCGGTGCTGAGATGGACACCAGCGAGATCATCAATGAGATGGTTGAAAGTGTGCACCCCTTTGGCCGCTGCGGTATCACGGGCGTATATGCTGGATATGTTGGTCCCCCCCCAACGCGCGCTCTCTCGTCACCCGGGGAGAGTACTATTATTATCTGGTAATGAACAACCATCAAGTCAAGACTGACCGTCGTACATACATACAGACAAACCATTTCAACATCGGCGCCGTGATGGAGCGCGGTATCCGACTGATTGGAAACGGCCAGGCACCAGTGCACAAGTACTGGCATCACCTGCTCTCCCTGATCCAGAAGGGACAGCTGGATCCGCTGCAGATGGTCTCGCACCGTGCTCGCGTGGAGGACATCGACAAGGTGTACTACGCGTTTGAGAACCGCGAGGACAGTATGCAGAAGGTCTTTGTCCAGACCAAGTTCTCGTTTCCGGCTTGCGATGGAAGCCCACCGTTGAAGCTTTATTGACGGTCAGGAGGTGCATGACGATGATGATGATGATGTTGTTGTCGTAGGACGGATGTAATGCTCTCTCCTTACCTGATAATTCACTCACCAATATTACTACCGGGTAGCTGTTTTCTTGTGGCTGTGATTCAATGTGATGATGTAATAATATAAGAATAAAATATTAACCAATACCTGGCTGTATTAATATTACATGTAGCATTTTCTTGAATGGCAGGGCTGATGTTACCAGTCGTTTTTTTCTTCTTGTTGCTTATGCACTTCAGAAAAAAAAAGACAATTATCTGAATGTGAGTAAGAGTAGATGAGGCCACAGAATAAGAGGAATTATAGAATTTTCTTCTTCTTTCTTTGACTTAATTTTGCGCCTTGGTGTGTCCGGTTATGGCTATGGCGCCGACAGTATCAATATTATTACGCTCCTTCCCTCTTACGACGGAGGCAGATGGTGGGGTTATCAGTAGCGTGACGAAATTTGTGTGCCCCGCGTTCTTTTTCCCCTCCACACCACAAACCAAGAGACGGACAATCGTGTCTGAAGAGCCCACGCATCACCGAAATAATGGCCATCACCGTTATTCTAGGCTCCCAATGGGGTGAGTCCTTCTTCATCCCGTCGACCCCCTCGAGGCTCCTCGTCGCGCTCGCCCTTCTGGTACGGGAGGGAGGGCGGCGATGTGATGCCGTCCCTGCCATGGGCCTCGACGCCATTCGTTCGGTCCCACTGCTAACCCGACGTCATTTACTACAGGAGACGAGGGCGTATGTCTTGGCCCGTTTCTTCTGGATCGAATACCGACCAACCGGCTGACGGATTTACCAATGTGTAGAAAGGCAAACTCACCGACATCCTTGCCCCCGAGGCGCAGCTCTGCGCGCGAGCCGCTGTAAGCAACCGGCAATGATGTACGATCCGAGAAATGGACGAGATGAGGAAAATACTGATGGAGAATCTCTAGGGTGGTCACAACGCTGGTCACTCCATCGTGTGAGTTGGTCCCTCGGTCATCGGTCTTGGGAATGAACCGTCTGCTGACTCTGCTGCCTCCCCACTCAAGTGCCAATGGAGTCTCGTACAGGTGCGCGCAAACATGGACGTGACAGCCCTTATCCCAAGGCCGACGAGTTCTCATCCTTATGAATAGCTTCCACCTACTGCCGTCCGGCCTCATCAACCCGAGATGCATGAACTTCATCGGCTCGGGTGTCGTCTTCCACGTCCCCAGCTTCTTCAAGGAGCTGCAGGAGCTCGAGGACAAGGGTCTCCCCTCTGTCCATGACCGTATCCTCGTTTCCGACCGAGTGCACATCGATCTCCAGATGCATGTGGCGGTCGATGGCCTTGAAGAGAGGGAACTCGGAGGTTAGCATCCGCGCAAACCCACCCATCAAAAACAGCTTATCTATTTCCGTCAAACACGTCGGCTAACTTTTCTCTCAGAGGGAAAGATTGGCACCACCAACAGGGGAATTGGCCCTTCGTATTCCGCCAAGGCCGGAGTAAGACAATATTCTAGGCATCATCTGTGGACTCTTCTTTTTTTCTTCTCTTCCTCCTATTCTCTTTTCTCTCTCTCTCTCTCTCCCTCTCTCTCCTAACCCTAAACCCTTTTTTTTTTTTGAAGAAGAAGAAGAACAAGGATGGGAGGAAAGCCATGCTGACCCTTGCACAGCGCAGTGGAATCAGGCTGGCTGAGGTCTTCAACCCCAAGCTCTTCGAGACCAAGCTCCGACGACTAGCCGATGGCTACCGCAAGCGATACGGAGACCTGTTCGAGTACGACGTCGAGGAGGAGCTCGCCCGTTTCAACGAGTATAGGCCCAAGCTGGCCAAGTACGCCGTGGATGGCGTCTCGTTCATCCGCTCGGCCCAGGAGAGCAACTCGAACATTCTGGTGGAAGGGGCCAACGTGAGATGGCCGGATTCTGCTGCATGGGTTTCCAATGCTGATGCTGTCGTCTGAACAGGCCCTCATGCTCGACATCGACTACGGCTCATACCCGGTAAGTCCTTCGTCGATCTCTACCCTTCTGATCAGATGCCTCAGCTGTGTACTGAACTGACGCCAACAGTTTGTCACCTCGTCCAACACTACGCTGGGTGGAATCATCAGCGGACTCGCCTTGAACCCCAGGAATCTAACCGAGATTGTCGGCGTGGTGAAGGCCTACACAACTCGCGTCGGACAGGGGGCCTTCAAGACCGAGGACACTGGAGAGTACGTTGCCGACCTCCCCACGGTACGAAGGTGGATGATTGCGAGACTGACGGGGTCGCGACAGGATCGGAAACAAGCTCCAGGAGATTGGCCGGGAATGGGTTAGACTCCACCATCTCAGCAAATCCCTCACAGGACAATCTTCAAGGCTGACACTGTACACAGGGCGTGTCGACCGGCCGCAGACGTAGATGTGGATGGTAAGTGTCACCATGTCTTGTCGGAACAGAAGAAGAAGAGTCTGGCACACGGAAGACGTTTCCGCTAACTGGTCTCATCTAGGCTTGGTAAATCACGACAGCTCTGCTATGAATCGCATGTCGCCTGTTACTGACTCACGTTGCGTACCAGACCTCGTCGTTGTCAAGTACAGCACCTCGATCAACTGCTACACGGCTCTCAACCTCACAAAGCTGGACGTCCTCGACACTTTCGAGACCATCAAGATTGCCATCGCCTACAAGGTTGACGGCGAGGAGCTCGACTACTACCCCGCCGACCTCGATACCCTAGACCGCGCCGAGGTCGTCTACCACGAGATGCCGGGATGGCAGACACCCACCACCAATGCCAAGACGTTCTTTGACCTACCCAAGAAGGCTAGGGACTACGTTGAGTACATTGAGAAGTTTGTGGGAGTCAAGGTCAAGTGGATTGGCACCGGTCCCGACCGTGAAGCCATGATCAAGCGCGCTTGAGGATGATGCGGCAGTGAATCTGGAAAGGGTTGAAGGGCCGGGGGGAGAGGGGAGAAAAGAACAGAGATGAGATGACTGACTGGAACTCGCACGAAGTATCGCTATCTTGACAGCAGATTTCAGTTGCCGGACTAGGAAAACTATGGCCAATCCAGATACACAGAAAATGACTTTCTGTAGGGATGATTTCTCATAAAAGGAAAAAAAAGGAGACAAGAGATGTAATGTAGTCAACTCATAGTGTTGGTACGTTCTCGCGCGCGCAGATATCGTAGATGTTACAGATGCTCTCTTTAGCTTGTTCGGAGGAAGCACCGCGGCGGTTGTACTGATGCCAGTCGTTCTATCCATCTGTCGGATGAGGCCGCAGTTGTATGTGAGTTTCACTGTCACCGCAACTGCTGTTAGTCTTAATGGAAGGGGGAGTTTCGAGTTGATATAGAAAGTTGGACGATTAAGTATATTGCTCTAATTTGGTGTGGTGAGGCACCCATTATAGCCGTAACATGTAGAGGTGAGAAGATACATCCTCCCTAAACCCCCTCCTCCGTCATCAGGGTATGATGGACCTTGACTGAGCATACGACTGCACTGATACTACAGATGTGAAGGAATTAAGAAGAGAAAAAAAGGAGAGAAAAAAAAAAAGGACTCGTGATATCTGCCGTCTCTGTGGTGTGCCGACTTTCCTCTGTCCATTTCTAAGAAGATGCAGCGACAAAGGTCTGCTTCTCCTTCTTGAGGGACCTGGCAAACTCGATGGGCACCTTGAGGATGTTGGCCACGATGTCGGGAGGGGTCAGAGCTAGCCACTGGGTGAGCGAGATGTCGGCGACCCGGTCGGACTTGTAGATCTCGATGTAGACGAGGTCCTCGTCGCCAACGTTCTCGATATAGTGGCCTGCGTTGTCGGGGAAGACGGCAGTGTCGCCGGCGGCAAAGTCAAAGGTCCTGGCGTTGGTGTTGCCGGTGAAGGCGGTGGCCTTGCCTTTGCCCTTGTGGAAGTATAGCCATTCTTCAGCCTATTTTTATCAGGTCAGAAAGAGGGTTTTTTTTTTTTTTTTTCGTTTTTCGCTCTTCTTTTTTTCGGGATGAAGAAGTTGGTAGGAACGGAGAGAGGAAGAGAGAAGGGGGGGGGGGAGGGAGAGAGGGAAGAGGAAAACAAATGGTGAGGGAAGAGACTTACGTTGGGGTGCCAGTGAAGCTCACGAAGAGCACCGGGCTCAAGAGTGACGTAGGTGGCAGCAATGGTCTTGGCGATGGGAAAGTTGGTAGAGTCGATCTTGTAAAGGCTGCCACCTGATCCGCCAGTCTTCTCGGGACCGTGCTGCAGGGTGCGGTAGATGAAGGAGGCGTCGTCTACGATGTTGTCGTCGGGGCCGTCGGCAATGTGACCGTCACTGACGGTGCCGTTGACGATGTAAGGATTCTTGTCGGGGATGTCGGAGAAGACGGACTCGTCTACGCCAAAGTTCTTGGCGAGGATGTCTCTGGGGGTGTGGGCGAGCCAGTCGTCAATGTTGAAGGTGGTGCTTTCATGTTTTTGTGCGTGTCAGTCAGTTCTGATCTGAAGAAGGAAGAAGGAAGAAGAGAGAAGGGGGGGAGGGAAAGAAGATGAAAGAAAGAAGAGAGAAAAAAACAAGGAGCAGGAGGACATCACAGCATACCCGCTCTTCTCAAAGTCGCCATCGTCAAAGACGAGGAGGTACTCGGCATCCTCAAGGGCGTGTATGGTATGGGCGACACCCTTGGGAAAGTACCAGATGTCTCCGAAGCCAATCTTGACGCTCTGGTACGAGCCATTCTCGTCGACGGCCGAGATGATGGCCTCGCCGGCGTAGAGGAAGCCCCATTCGGCCTTGTCACCACGTTGTCAGCAAAAACACTGGAGTTTGGAATGCCATTACGGSGSGGSRRAGAAGGAGAAGAAAGACTTACGACGCGGTGCCAGTGGAGCTCTCGGGAAGATCCCTTGGTCAGATGCTGCTGAGCGCCGGAGATGTCACCGCTGGAGGGGAGGTCCTGGACGAGCTGCTCGCGGACCCAGCCGCCGTTGAGGATCCTGGTCTTGGAGTCGGAGAAGCTCCATTTCAGGTTGGGCACGATGCCGTTGTCGGTCGACTGCCTCCCCAGGTTATCCGGGTTGGACTGGTCCCTCTCACGGTCGGTGCCGCCTGTGGACCGGGGTCAGTCACTATCGGATGCTTTCACACGGAGACCTGTGACGGTATGTAGATTGTGTGGAGGAGTGTGGAAGACGGGTCGTGGACGAACCGAGGATGGGGGCACCCTTTCCATCGCCACTGATGGGCTGGCCCTGGTCAAACTTTCCACCGCTGGCCCTCTCCGCCAGGCTGGGAGGAGCGGCGAGGGTGGTCCCGGCTAGGGAGAAGGCGAAGAGGGAGAGTAGAGATGCCTTCATCTTCCGTCTTCTCGAGCAAGTGATGGTGTATGTACGGTTATGATTACCTGGTATAACGGAGAGAGGAAGTAGAGAGAGGAGGAGGGAAGAGGAAGTTTACAGCTTCTGAGCATGAAGAGTCAAGTCACCCCGCGACATCCCATCTTTCCTCGCTCCTTCACGTCCCTCTTTAAGTTATTTTCCCCCTCCTCCACTCTCTAGGCTCAGGTACCAGCGGGAAGAGGGGTGCGGGTAAACAGAGATGAACCTGGATGATATCACACTGCAATATCATGACAACATGGGCCATGCGATGGCGCGCAATATGCAATATGGCCTCGGACGAACATCGCCTACAGGTAGAGGAGCCACACCACGAATCCGGGGCCCGATGTAACCTATATCTGCCGATTGCTATTTCCCAGGACATGCATATTGACACATTCTGGCAGAGTGCTGCTGGACTCGACAATGGCCGTGACTTTTGCACATTGTTCCCAAAATGGCGACATCTCTCTCGTATGTACCTGTACAAGTCGTGAATCTGCCGTGGCCGGCAAATGTAACATGGAGAGATCCCTCCTCCTCCCCCCCCTTCACCCTCCCTTCTCCATTCTTTACTCATTCGTTACTATGTAGCTAGTGTTGTGAACCTGGTATCTTCAAGAGCTCATCATGTCCTAGTAGAAAGAATCCTAGCAAGGGAAACGGAAGAAGAAAAGAGAGATGGAAACGTACCGCTACCCCTGCCCTTGAGAACCAATGACGGCATTGGTAGAGGTGCAGTGCGGGATCGTCCTACTCGTATTCTTTCTTTCCCCTGGGAACCTGATCATCTACTGTCTACACTCAATCACACCATATATGCGTCGATGACCTCAAAAGAGATTGATCAACCTATAGGTGGGTTCCGCATTTTCCTGATGCGGGTAGGATCCAACAACGATGCAATCGCTCATTCGTCGAATCATCCAAGGATGGCACCCTTCGAACCCGTATCGGGAAACGTCCCAAGCCGTCCAGCATAGTCGACTTGTCAACTACGCAATCGTAGGACTTGATGTCTGTTTGCTCTGACTTACGGGGGTGGCCATAAGCTTATGTGATTGACAGCAACCCAAGTCGTGAGTCTAATTTCCCGTCCAGCCATGACCAACTCGTCCATGTCAACATGCCCGTTCCGCTTAGTCTACATGAGGCATATTTCCCGGCATATCCGATCAGAGTGCCAATGTAATCAATCATGCGACTGCCTGGTTTCTCCCATCAGCAATCCAGCCTTATACGGCGCCTTGTGCGAAGCGAGTTAGCGTCAATGTCTTGGCCTGCGGTCCGAGATGAGAGAGAGTGAGAGGAGAGTGCCTAGTCCAAGATCATCCTCGTCCAGATAATATTATACGGAGAAGTTGTTGCGGAGCGCTCTGACAACCCCCGTCAAAGACACGTTCCTCCGGTCTTGGCAGTCCGTCCGTCCGCCCGTCCGTCCGCCTACGCCACGCCCCGGTACGCGTAGATCTAACCCGGTATAGTGGATGTCGATCCGAACAAGGCTTCCCAGAAAGAGACATGGCCTATTGCCATCAAAGAGAAAAAGGAGACAGGACGTCTGTGCAAGTTCAATGGTCCCCGAAGCTTGACACCGATCCAGATAGCCCACTCCCCAATGTGTCTATCAGCACGTACGCAATACGACGTCACGCCGTGCTCGGGACAGGGGTAATGCTGGCCAGAGAGACAATCAATTGCACGGGAAATCCAGGTCAGCCACGGCGCGATATCTGTGCCGTCGGATCTTGCGAGGACTCTGCCATCGAGACGACGCAATTTGATTAATCGCTGTCGACATGTGGACGCTAGAGGGAACTGGTAATCAACAGCAACCATCACCAGACCCAACTGACCCCCTTCATCTGCATCGTACCACCGCAATAATCAGTTGGCGTGCCAGGGCTCGGACTCGACGGGGGTCTAGACGCGGAGGAGCGTATCTTGCGCACAGACGGGGTTTGCGGTTGATCCATCAGCAATCGCAGTCATAGCGTGACATGCGACGTGCAACACGTGAGTACCTGTAATCTCTCTGAGGTGAAGCCGGATGCTCGGTGTGCATGAGGTGTGATATCGCATATTCAACGTCTCGTGCAGGATCGACGGTTGAGCAGCACGCACAGATGACTCGACGCAACGGGTATCACAAAGGACCCCCGGCAACTTCGGCATATATCAGCAAGAAGGACCCGAAAGCTGAAATGAGGGCTGAGAGAATAGTCCGTACTTGGCATGATGATCATGATGATTGACCCGCATGCAGCCAGATGATCAGCATCTGGCTTCCCCCACGACCCCGTCAACACATCAGCCACGGGCCAATGCTCTGGGTTGTCGTCCATCACACGCCGGTGAACCTGATCGGAGCCTGACCTGCTTGTGGGGGTAGAGACCATGCACCATGCTCGCGTCGTCGGCTACCTCGACGGTGGACCGGCAGATGCGGGATACCACTTGCCGCTCCCACGCCTCCTGACCTGGGCTGGGCCTCGTGGCTATGTCGTTGTGGAGTGTAGTCCAACAAAACACCAAGGAGATCGTCCGAACAATCTTCCAATCTCGTCTCCGGTGGAGTGTGTGTGTGTGAGGAGAGAGAGAGGGAGGCGGAGGATGAAGATCACTTCATCGTCTCTATGGCTCCTCCTTCAGTCTTCCTCACGCCAAAGTCGGTAGTCCCCCACATGGCGGGAGTAGTTCTCCTGGCGGTTCGGGGATCACACCATCATCATGGCTATGAGTGCCTCTCAGTATTTGTTTTTTTCTTTCTTTTTTCTCATCTTGTTGAAGTCATCAAGTCCAATCTTACTTTCTTCGTCTTGCCATTTTAGAGCTGTATGATGCAATCACCGATGGAGGGCGGTCCGAAATCTGGATAGCATTATTTCGATATGAGATTGCAATGGCAAAGGATCAGGAACAGTTGGACATTGGAACCGACAAGGTGATGAGAGGAGCGTATATAAACATACACACACACACACACAACCACACACATATATATATACGGAGTAGAAACCTTCTCAATCCTGCTCATATTCCCTAGTCACACACACCATTCCTTCTTCTCCTCATCCCACCTTTGTTCCACCCCCTTCTTCTCCATTCGAACACTGCCTGTCATCGAACAATGCACTCCTTCACTCTCGGCGTGGCTCTTCTGAGCGCCCTCGCCTCTAATGCTGTTGCTGCCCCATCTCAGCACGCCGACGTCTCCGGCAGCAAGGACAAGAGGCAGATCAGCCTTCCTCCTCTGATCCCCTCTATCCCGGGCGTCACCGAGCTCCTCAATGATGTGGCGCCTCCCCTGCCCGTCCTTCAGGTCCCCACGCCCGCCCTGGACAGTGAGAGTTTCCCTGTGGAGAACATCAAGCCCAAGAAGATTGGCTATATCTGGACCGGCGCCGGTGACAACAAGCACAAGGACTTCCTCCTGACCCTCAGCCTCGACGATGACACCTTTGGCAGCATCATACACATCACCGATGTGCCTACCAGCGGCAACTCGCCGCACCACCTGAGCCCTTCCCTGGATGGAAAGGTGCTCATCGGCGGCGGTCTCCTGTCTCTCCTAAAGACCCAGGACACGGCCTTTTACTTTGACACGAGCGACCCGTACGCTCCCAAGTTCTCCCACAGCAACCGGGCCACTCTCAGCTCCATCCCTGATGAGATCCGTGCCAAGCCCGAGGGTGGCTTCCTCATCACCTACAGTGAGTCTTTATTCTGCAGCTGAGAAGTCGTGTCAGAGGAGAGAGCAGCGTTCCCGTATATCTGACCGAGAATCTTCGAATAGTGGGAAGTGCCGTCGGCACCGCCCCTGGCCGTGTCGTCGAGACTGACGCCGAGGGCAACATCATCCACCAGTGGCCCGAGGATGTCGACGGACTTGTAAGTTCGAAACGGCCAAGAACCGAGGAAGAGTCCAGGTACTGATCTATCCACTCAGCTCAACATCCTCGGCGAGCAGTTCAGCCCTCACGGCCTCAGCGTAGACTGGGAAAACAACATCTTCCTCACGTCCGACTACGTCGTACCCCTGAGCATCCTCAAGCCCAGTTTGGGAATTGTTCGTGCCAGCACCCTCCGTCTCTGGCAGCTTGACACCCGTACCATCATCTCCACCATCACCATCCCCAACGTGAGTGTTCCCTCCTCTCTACCTGCTCTCCTCTACTGCTCGGACGAGAATACTGACAAAAGATGTACAGGGTGACGGTATCCAAGACGTCAAGTTCATCCCGGGCAACAAGGAATCCGCCGCTCTCGCCACGTAAGCTGAACTTTTCTTTCCACTATGCATGCGTTCCATTTTACTGACGCTTGATACACCAGTGCTGTTGGTCCCGGTGAGGTCTGGATCATCTACCCCTTCCGCAAGAACGCCGACGGCACTCAGGGTGTCGCCGAGAAGCTCTTTTACCTAGGCAAGGATGCTGAGAAGTCCACGGCTATCTACTCCGACATCTCGGCTGATGGAAAATGGGCCTACTTCACCATCACTGTTGGCAACCACGTTGCTGCTCTCGACATCTCGGACCTCAACAACGTCAAGCGTCTCGATGACCCCGAGGAGACCCAGCCCATCGTTGGTCCTCACTATGTCAAGCTCTCCCCCGACAAGAAGAACCTCCTTGTCACTGGCTACTTTGTGCAGGGTGGCGATGTGAGTTTATCCAAGGCGGGATCTTGCCTCATGTGTGATACAAGCTGACCGGCAATAGATCTCTATCCTCAACACTGCCGCCGACTACAAGGCTCACTGGCTCGACGTTGCCGAGGATGGTTCCATCAGCTTCAACCGAACCATTGACCTTGAGAACATCTTCGGTGCTACCCGTGGCGGAGCTGTAAGTCTCTCTTTCCCCTCTCTTCTCTTGTTCCTTCCTTCTCTCCTGTGATGCCTTCGGGTAGCAACATGTGAAACATACATGCTGACGATGAGACAACAGCGCCCCCACAGCAGCGTCATCTACGACCTGACTGATCCCGAGAACCCTATCTACTACTAAGCTAGGAACGTCCGTACTAGGATCAGATCGTAAGCGGTTGAGGGGTTGTGCGACTCTTGTCGTCTACGAGGGAACGAAACGAGTCTGGGGTGAATTTAACAAGTCCATGATCCCTTTGTTCTATGGAATGAAGAAGATGATCATGACAATCAAAATCTGCTGCCTTTCTTCAAGATATCTATTACTACTTTCATCACTTCTATAACGAATATCAAGGGGCGGTGGATAACCCAGGGGTATCCAAACCCACTATAGACACCACACCTGGTTAATCAATTCATAATACTTTTTTTCTTTTTTAAAAAAAAATGGTCTCCTATCTTCATAACTTTTAGTGTAAATTGGAGTAGTGATTTGCAAGATCTTACCAGAAAGAAAGAAAAAAAGGATGAGAGAGTCATTAGAGAGCCTGGAATGGCGGGGGAGGAACAGTAGGCTCAGGTAGAGATTGGTGGAGATATTTAAAGGCTCCTTGAACGAGTATGGTGAGAGAGATAGATAGGAACATGGTTAAGAGTGAAGACCATTGCTTCTGAGTGCGGATATAATTGTCGTCGGACGCATTACCACATGTAGCTGGAAGTGCCTGTTCATGGAGCGTATCTTCAAAGTGAGGCACATCAACTCCGAGCCTTTGCCATTGATTCCTCCAACACACCTGTTGCCTTCAAGGTTGCGGATTCGAGATCAGATAGACATTCTTGCGCGCTCTTGTAGTCCTGTCCTTCTAGAGCTTCTCGTAGCGCCGGAAACGCCACTCCTTCGTATCCCAGCCAGAGCCCAGGAGCAAATATCTGAACTATCAGTTAGAAACCGTTCTCGGATAGACGAAGCTAGGATTAGGGACTCACCTGGTGCCGATACCATGGTCTTCCTCTTAGACCGTGTCCCTCTTCCAGGAGGAACGCTCTCTCCAGTCGAATCATGCCTTGGTTTAGTGCGTAGACCTGTCCAGGATCAGTCTCCCGTTTATGGTTGGAGACAGCTTGGCAAGCAGCGTCGAATCTCAGAGAAGCTTGACGGAACCGGGAAACTGTATCCTTGAAGCTTGAATAATCCAGCGATTCACCTGGATACTGTGTCTCGACCGTTGCGAGATTTTCTTCCAGAGACTCTGCATAGTCAGCAACGCAGAACGGGATGAGCTGCACTCCTGCCAGACCTACGGCCACAAGGCCCCACAGCTGGGCCATGGCCTTGTGCTTGGTGAAGCCGATATCGCCAAAGTTGTCGAGCCAGTAGTAGCCATCGTAGTTTGAATGGTACGGGTATACTCCCCGGCCCTGCTGGTTGAAGACCATGTCGACCGAGGGGATGCCGAGATGGTGATAGAAGGCCGTGTAGTCGCTGCCGGTCCCGACCAGGCCCAGGCTCGGCCTGACAACCACACCGTCATCCGTCACCGCCTGTTTCCCCTCCAGGTCGGCTATCCAGTCATCGTACACTGACTTGGTGCTATCGATCGGCGAACTGACGAGCCTAGTCGTAGACCGCAGGATGTCTGACAGGAGGGGACTGCCCACGGCGCCAAGGTATCGGCCTCCATTAGTCGACTCGTCAACGTTGATGTAAGCGACACAGTTCTCGGCCAAGTCACGAGCGTTGTCCTCGACCCATTCCGTCGATCCTACCAAGCCGTACTCTTCGTCATCCCACGAGCACAGAACGCTGATAGTTGACCCAGTTGGTGAGTCGAGGAGTGCCGGTCGGTACGAGGGGATGGGACATACAATTTCCTATACGGCTTCCATCCCGCCTTGAGTAGCTTACCCAAACCTCTAGCAACTTCGTTCAAGGCTGCCGATCCAGATATAGGGTCCACCGCGCCGCAGCACCAAGAATCGTGGTGGTTTCCCAGGATTATGCTCTGCTCTGTCTCGCCCGGGATTGTACCAATGACGTTGTAGATAGGTGCATATCGAAAATCGCCTTTCCGGGGCGGCGCATGCTTCACAATCAGCCGACGGATCTGCAAGACTTGGGAGGTTGGCTTGCCGTACCGTGAGAGGACAAGGATACCTCGACATTGCTCGGCCCAGTGTGGTACGTCACACCATCAATCTCGCCAAGCCAGCCGCCGGACGCGGACCCCTCCATCGTATCGGGACCCTTTCCGAGGCCGTTCAGGGCCCGCAGGAACGGTATTGCATCAGCATAGGAGATTGGCAGCGAGGGGATCTTGGGTATCGCATGATGTGGGTCGCGTCTCTCCGTCGAGTCGCCCGGAAGACTGGGGTAGCAGGGGGTGCTCGGATCGCCGACAGCGACGGAGAAGAAGTCGACGCTGCCCCTCTGAATGGTGGACGGGTGGCGGGCCGGCCCGTGGGGGAAGGGCTCGTACCCATTCTTCTCCGTGTACTGCCCATCCTCCTGCGGGTCGTTGTACATGATGACGCCCACGGCCCCATGCTGCTCGGCTGCGCGCACCTTGAGACCGCGAAAGATCTTGGCGTATTTGCAGATGACCACCTTGCCACGCACATCGATACCGTTGGCTCGGAGGTTCTCAAAATCCTGCGGCGTCGCGAAGTTGGCGTACACGAGCTCGGCTGTCACATCACCGTTGGCCGAGAAGCCGTGAAAGGCTGGCAATCCTCGGCTGGGTGACGACGTCGGGTCTTCAGGCAGGTCGTCCTCTTCCAGGCGTGCCTCGTATGCAGAGCTGGGTGCATCCGAGGCCGCGTGCAGTTTCAAGCCTGTGCTGAGCGGAAAGTTCTGTAGAACGTCGTACTGCACAAGCTCTGTGGCGACACCGTAGGACTTCCAGAGCTGGCAGATGCGCTCGGCGTGTGACTTGTCGCCAGCTAAGTGGACCTCGGAGCTGTAGAGCTTAGACCAGGACCGGAGCAGCTCCGTGTCCGGGGTCTCGAGCATGGTCCGTTCAGCATCTTGTTGTGTTGGCATGATGTAGATATCGGTGACCGAGAACAGTTGAAGGTAACTGGACAATTCCGGGAGGAACTAAGAGTGAGAGAAGGACTAATACTGAGTATATAAGCGACGGAAAGCGTGCATATGTGTATAATATCGAGTGCTGATAACGGCCGCCGTACTCGGCCGCCGAAAGATTACGAGTGATATTGGCCGGCCGTGAAATTGAACTGGAAACGGTGCTTTTGTCGGCTGACGGGACGCTTGGCACTCGATTCTATCTACAATCGTATCTACACTACATTCTATCGGCAAATGCCACCATTTACTTCCCACAGAGATCAACAATAACCCGCATGAAGAGGCGAATGCAGTCCAGATAATCAGCAATATCAACCTTTTCATCAGGGCGAGTATTGTACTTGCCGCCGGGGCCGCATATGATACCCTCCATTCCAAGAGACTTGTAAAGATGCCCGCCGTCAGATCCGTAAAAGCAGGTCGGCGGCAGGACACCCGTCGGCTGGGTTGTGTTGCGGATGTCAAGATAGGCACGGTTAAGCGACTGTACCAGGTCCGAGTCGGCGTTGGCCTCGAATGCCGGCATCGTCGGCTCCGTGCGCTGCATCAGCTCGTACCGCATCCCCGGAAACTTGCATGCGACAGCATCCAGCACCGCGCGGATATCGGCCATGACACCCTCCTGTGTCTGTCCCGGTGCATACCGCGCACTGCCATCGAGCTTACACACGTCGGCGACCTGTGCGGGCCTCCACTCCTCCAGCCGGCGACCGAGGGCACCGTGGACGACACCGACAGAGCACCTGTTGCACTTTTCATGCTCGGGACTCCGGGCACCGTTGAACTTCATACCGTCGAGGATGGGGATCAGCTCACATGCCGCAAGTATGGCATCGGTGGCCTCCTCGCGCGCAGACATGTGCCTCGTCTCGCCGATGAGGACGATGCTGAAGTGCAGGGCCTCGGAGTGCATGGTGATGGCACGGATATCCGACGGCTCGCAGTTGATGAAGCAGTCCGCCGTGTCCTCCGTGATGTGACCCTGCTCGATGAGGGCCATGGTGCCGACGCCGCCCTGCAGCTCCCCGACAACGTAGGTCAGGACGACGTCGGCGCGCGGCGACCATCCGTGCTGCTTGAGGGTCTTGACGGCGCAGTAGTACGCCGCGCAGCCAGACTTCATGTTGCTGACGCCGATGCCGTAGATGAAGTCCTTGTCCACTTTGCCGGCCCACGGGTCGACTGTCCACCCCTCCGAGACGGGATTGTGGTCCAGATGCCCATTGAAGAGTATACTCTTGGCCGTCAAAGACCTCTGGCCGGCGGTAGGCTTCCAGGTGCCAATCACGTTCTGCCGCCGGCCCTCGTCGAACTTGTGAATACCGGTATCTAGACCGATCGCCGCCAGCGACTTGGCCATGAACTCGGTCGTGGCTATCTCGCCATCGGTCTGCGAGAAGCTCTTGTGCTGGATGAGTCGGGACAGGAAGTCAAGACATTCTTCTTCGTTGATCTCCATGGCCGTCATTGTGTTATCATGTTGGTGATTTTGCTAGTTACGGAAGTACACTTGGACAACCTGAATGCAACCCCTCGCGCGCCGCCGTACTCGGAGGGGGGTGAATAGGTAACCGGCAATAGAACGGACAAGCGGATAACAAACGCCGGCAGTTTCCAGAATCCCAGATCGACTGCCGTTTAAAGATTGAGTGGGAGAGAAGAACGATATCCCTAGAGAGAGATAAGCGACCCCTGTAAGATGATAGCTCGGCGCTGATATCGTCGGGGAATTCTCCGCGAGACGGGTGTGTTAGTGATATCACATTGCTATCTGGCCGAAAAGGTTCCAGAAGGAAGTGGTAATCTTTATTTCAGGGACCGTGGGACCGTGTGTACTGTCAATCTCCCGTCGGGAGACGATGCAGATAATACGGCGAATGCCACTTATCCTCCTTTGACTCCTTTGACCTGGCCGTAGAGAACAGGTAGCGATAGTCCGCCTCGACAATTTGCTCAACATGGCGGCACAGAACGAGATTGGCCACCCTGCAGACGACCGCGCCGTGGAAGGCATCGACGATGAGAAACCCAACGGGGCTGAAGATGTTGACGAGGGATACGACCTGTTCGCCGAGGGCAGCCCGCGCGCTATCACGAAGGGGGAGTCACGGTCTGTGCGGCGCAAACTAGACCGTCGCCTGCTCCCGCTCATGTGCGTCATGTACGGCCTCAACTACGTTGACAAGGTAGCGATGGGATGGGCGGTCCTGTTCAACTTCCGCGAGGAGCTCCATCTCGAGGGAACGCAGTACTCGTGGGCCAGCTCCATGTTCTACTTTGGCTATCTCATCGCGCAGTATCCGGCCAACTATATTCTGCAGCGATTCCAGACATCCCTCGTCATCGGCATCATGACGTTGGTCTGGGGAGCTCTTATGCTTGCGTGAGCTCTTCTCAGTACTCTCTTCGAATTCATCCGGCATGGACTCGGTCGACATCTGCTGAGAGAAACACGTTCAAAGGCTGACCTGAGACAAAACAGCCACTTGGGTCTTGACGACTTTGGAGGTCTCATGGCGATCCGCTTCCTGCTGGGCGTGTCCGAGTCCGTCGTCACACCAGGCTTCGTCATCTACACATCAATGTTCTACACGCGCCAGGAGCAGGTCCTCCGCATGACAGCCTGGGCCAGCATGCAGGGACTGTTCGCAATAGTGGCGACGCTCATGTCCTATGGGCTAGGCCACATCGCAGACACGGCCCTCGACCCTTGGATGTACATCTTCCTCGTGCTGGGCATCCTGAGCATCCTGAGCGGCGCTGCCTGGATCGCTTGGATGCCGCACACGCCCAACACGGCCAGCTTTCTTACCCACGATGAGCGCGTCATCGCCGTCCGTCGCGTCGCCTCCAACATGATGGGCATCAAGAGCTACAGGTGGAGGAACTACCAGGTGTGGCACGCCGTCAAGGACGTCAAGACCTGGCTCATCCTCGCCTTCGTCTTCTTCACCATGCTCCCCAACGGCGGGCTCACCAATTTCGGCTCCCTCGTCACATCCGGAATGGGCTTCGGCACGTTCCACACACTCCTCATCGGCCTACCCTCGTCCATCGTCAGTTCGGGGTCCATCCTCGCCTGGGGCCTGATCTCTCGCCGGCACGAGAACACCCGTACCCTCGGCATGATTATACCGCTGCTCCCTGCTATCGCAGGCATCTCTGCTGTCTATGGCACCATGGATACGGGTGCCAACAAGTACGGTCGCGTTATTGCCTATTGGCTCATTAATTCGTATGCCGTCACAGTATGTCAGCTCCACCCCTGGTACTTGTACTTGAAGTCTTTTTTTTTTCTCTTTTTTTCTCTCTTTTTTTTTCTCCTTTTTTTTTCGATGATGATCCCTCTCGGTATGTTTGTCTGATGATATGTGTTTAGTGGCCCTTTGTCCTCACCATCATCGGTCAAAATATTGCCGGACACACCAAACGAGCCACGACCAACACGCTCATGCTCATCATCTTTTCGACTGGAAACATTGCCGGACCCTTTTTCTTCCGAGAAAGGGACGCTCCAAAGTACGTGTTGGCCATCTCTGTCATCATGGTCTGCCTGTGCGCCGCCCTCTTTTGCGCCTTGGCACTCCGAATGTACATGATGTGGGAGAATCGTCGTCGGGATCGTCTCTATGGCACTACGGAAGATGTAGAGGACTGTTCCGATGGTATGAATCTGGGTATGCACGACAAGACAGACTTGGAGAATCCGGACTTTCGCTACCTTCTATAAGACTAGAGTGGTAGTTGGCGATGCTATGGATATCAAGCCACTCCGAGACACCGTTTCAGAGGCGTTATCCGTCGATGATAGCCCGAGAAGTCTTAAAGGTACGGATTCAGAAGTAAAGGTCAAATCAGGGTTGACAGTTCCCTTCTCATGTCGGATTGAGCTTCCAGTATCATTCTAGACGTCTTGTCTGACTTTCTGGTGAGCCTCAATGGTGAGCTTTGGTCCCTTGGTATGCGTATCTGTAGTTGAGCTGTGCTTGGAGAATGCCTGTCTGGATGATAAAGAGCCGCTAAGTGTGGCCCACGATTCCGTCCTTCAGAGTGGTCTTGAACATGATGACGTTGATTCCTTTCATTCATGGCGTTGCTTCAAATACTAGGGTTGAACTCCTGGGCTGTATACATGAGGGTAACATGTCGATGCGCACCTATCCGATACTGTTGACAGGAGTAACCGGCTTCCCCGTGTTGAAAAAGGCCTCCACGTTATCCAGATTGATCCTCTCAAAGTTCTCCCAGCTGGTAGCCGAGCAGACGCCGATATGCGGCAAAAGCGTCACGCGCCAGTTCTCCCTAAGTCCGGGGTTGACGTCGGGCTCATCCCTGTGAACGTCCAGGCCTGCGCCGATGACGCGCCCATCCTCGAGAGCAGCGAGAAGAGCATCTTCGTCAATCATCTTCCCCCTGGCGACATTGACGATCCTCACGCCGCCTCTCTTCGCGAGAGAGAACTGTTTGTCGGATAATAGGTGATGTGTCTCCCTTGTGTAAGGTGCAGCAAGAAGAATGCAGTCGACGTGGGGGATCATGTCATCGACCGACGCGTAGTAGACGACGTCGTGCTTGAACAGCTTCTCTGCCTCTGGTTTCCTCCGCGGCCCCTGGTATCGGATCTTCATGTCAAATGCTGCCTCGCACTTTCGCGCTATAGAGAGGCCAATGTCACCCAGCCCGACCACACCGAGGATCTTGCCTGTTGGCTCGATCGCCTTGGTTCCCAGTTCCCGACTCCTCGCCCAGTCATACCGCGCGCACCATTGCGCGTAGGTGAAGAGCCGGAACGTATCCAGGATGAGTGCCAGTCCGGTATTGGCGACGGGCTCGGTGCATGCATCGGGAGTATTGCAGTACCAGACGCCGCGGGCCGTCAAGGCCTCGATGTCGACAGCGTCATGGCCGTGGCCGCTGCAGCAGATGAGCCTCAGAGATGGCGGGTAGTACGGCACGACGTCGCTCGTAAAGGGCGGGCTGTAGGCTAATGTGCTGGCTTTGAGCCATCCGCCGCGAACGACGGCAACCAGGTTGGCGTAGGGCCCGCCGGGTTGCAGGCGCTCCTTGAACTCGTCTATCGATTCGCAGTCGTAGTAAAGAAGGTTGAACTTCTCCGAGAGCGCGCGTCGACGGTCAATATCGATGGCTTGTACTGGCGAGTCGATGAATAATATGTCTTGCTTGGCGGACATGCTGCTGGCGGGGTCCCCGGTTGCAGAAGACGACGTGCTAGGATGGTAGACAGTTACTTGCGAGTGGTGACAAGGTCCGATATCTGATATTATATCCTCGGCTCGATCATGAATCTTTGGCTATATGGCGTGCTCCCAATGAGTCACACGCAATACATCACCGGCCCACACTGTTCGATACGGATCAAACCGGGCGGCCGAAGCACGATAAACCGTCCCCGAGCTCGGTCGCCGTTAGCCGATACTATCTACAGATAACCGGCACGGTCCTAATTCTCCTCGTATTGCGACTTCACAACCATTACCATCGGGCATGATAGACACGAACTGAGGTTATGGCAACGTCAATATTTCAAAATCGATGTGTTCTCATGTACCCTCATCATGAATTCCCCGTCGCAATATCATTCCTACGAGCAACACTCCCCCCATTGCCCCTGGCATTCATCGTCGACGCAGACTTATCCCCAATCTTGAAGGCCCCGAATATTTGCTGCGATGGCTTCCGAGCGGGGTCAGGCCCGTAACCTCCGCCTCCCGGCGTGAGGATGATGATCCTATCACCGGCATTCATGCGAGTTGTCGCCTTGCCCCCCAGGCTGATTGTGCGCGTGCTCCCGTCCTCGGGATCGCGGCGGACCCACAGATTCAGGCCTCGCTTGCCCTCGCCGCCGCCGGCCATCCCATACGGCGCAATAACCCGGCGCTCGGACAGGATGGATACCTGAAGAGGCATGCGGAATTCAATGTCGCGCACGCACCCGTCACCGCCGCGATTGAGGCCCGCGCCTCCGCTTCCGGCCCTGATGGAAAACTCGTGGAGGAGGACGGGGTAGCGGCGCTCGAAGATCTCCGGGTCCGAGATGCGCGTGTTGGTCACGTGCGTGTGCACTCCGCTCTCGCCCTCCCAGTCTGCTCCGGCTCCGGATCCACCAGCTATAGTCTCGTAGTAACCGAAGCCCTGCGTTACCTTGCCCGTTTCCGGGTCCGTTCCTCCGTAGCCGAATGTGAGGTTGTTGCAGGTACCTTGTGAAGCTGCGCAGGCCTGGAATGCCTTGAAGATGAGGTCCACGATACGCTGGGATGTCTCTACGTTGGAACCGACGGTAGCCGCCTTTAGTGACGGCGAGAGTATTGAGTTCCCGGGCACTTTCAGCCTGATCGGCGACAGGCAGCCCTGGTTGAGAGGGATCTCCGAGGCTATCATGGATCGCAAGCAATACTGTGTCCAGTTTAGAATTGGACACAAGACCTAGCGGTCGACGAGGGAAGCATACCATTATTCCGGAGAGCATGACTGCCGGAGGGCAGTTTAGGTTACCAAAGTGCTCAGGGCCAGTTCCTTCGAAATCAAAGGTAGCATCGCCTGTCTGCCCGTCAATGTGGATATTCAGAGACAGAGGTGTACCGTCATCAAGGTAGTCCGTGGCACTCAGGTCTTGGTCTTCGAACCTCGTTGAGAAGACTTTGAGCAGTTCGCGAACCGACTGAGCGGCATTGTCCTGGATGGCCTGCATGTAGAACTGCACCACAGGCCACGAATAATCCTTGACCAGCGCGTTGATGAGATGGATACCGCGGTTGTTGGCCGCAATGGCTGCCTTGAGGTCGGCCACGTTGTCATTCAATGTTCTTGTGCCGCTGCATCCCGGGTATGAAGCAGGTATGTCGACCAGAATCTCATGCAGACCAGCTTCATCAAAGACACCCTCCTTGACCAATTTGAACGTCTCGACTGCGACGCCCTCCTGCCAGAGCTCAGTCGAGTTCGGAGGCATCGACCCAGGCTGGATACCACCAATGTCAGCGTGGTGCCCCCTGTTTGCAACGAAGAAGAGGATCTTGCTCGGGTCCCCCTCGTCAAATACGGGGGTTGTAACGGTGAGATCGGGCAAGTGGGTTCCCCCGGCTCGGGGGTGGTTGCTGAGGAGAACATCGCCAGGTCTAAGCTCGCCGGGGCCGTAGAGTTTGGCCTGGTACGCCACGGCGTAACTCATGGATCCCAGGTGGCCGGGGATGTGAGGTGCATTGGCGACTAAGCCGCCGTCGGCCGAGAATACGGCACATGAGAAGTCCAACCTCTCCTTGATGTTTACCGACACGGAAGTCTTTTGCATCGTCATGCCCATCTGCTCGGCCACGCTCATGAACCGATTGCCGAAGATGCTGAGCTGGACGGGGTCAACAGTATCGATCTCGACATCGTTGCGCCTGACGTCTAGGATATCTAGTATCAGATGCTCAGACAGAACTGTGGCCGCGCTGAAAGGATCAACGACAACAGTCTGCGTCTTGTCGACAATCATCGCAGGCCCAGGGACGCGCATTCCTGGGATAAGATTTTCCAGGTGGAAAACTCCGGTCTCCGTCCAACCGCCCTGCTCAAAGTGAACCCTGCGCACAGAGTCCGGCTCGGGCGGTGTGGCTGGCATTGACTTCCCGACCTTCCGGAGCTCTTCGAAGGGACTGGTCAGCTTGATATCCACCCCCTTTCCGATGCTGCGTACTCGGACATCGTCAACGAGGATCTCACGAGGCTGCGTGAATCCAAACTCCTGTTGGTGGCGGTTGACGAAGGCCGCGCCGAACTCGGATATCTTGCCTGGGCTCTGTATCATCAATGTCGTGTCACTCCCGCGATAACGCATGTTCAAGAAGAGCTCGTGCTGCACATCAGCATCGTCGAAGCCTTGATCGGCCAGTCCGTCTCGGCCCTGGGCGCACAGCCTGTCGAGCTTCTCCTGGAGTGGGACCAGGGATTCGTCCGAGAAGGCGCGCGATTCCGGCTCTTGCTTGTCAAGGACGACGCTAGACAGTGCCATACCGTAGGCAGATAGGATACTGGAGTAGCGAGGGATGATGACGACCGGGATACCCAGGTCGCGAGCTACGGCCACTGCGTGCTGGCCGCCAGCGCCGCCAAAGCATCCGAGGTTATGCGCCCCCGCCTCGAAGCCACGGCCCTCGCTGAGCGTCCTGATCGGTCGGGTCATGGTGGCATTGGCTACCATGAGGAACCCAACGGCGACTTGCTCGGGCTCGAACGCGTTGCCTCCGTCTATTGTACTGGCGTTGATCGTGGCGGTGAGCTCCTGAAACTTCTTCTGCACTATGTTGTAGTCTAGAGGCCGCGGGAAGAGGTCCGGTATGATCCTCCCGAGAAAGAAGTTGGCATCGGTCACCGTGAGAGGGCCGCCGCGACCGTAGCACGCTGGTCCCGGATCGGCGCCGGCACTCCCGGGCCCGACTTTGAACAGGCCGTTCTCCCAGCTGAGGATCGATCCGCCCCCTGCAGCTACTGTGTTTATGTCCAGCTGGGGGGTTTGGATGGTGACTTCGGCAATGGTGCTCTCAAATATGTGCTCCAGAGATCCTGCATATCGCGCGACATCGGTGCTGGTGCCTCCCACTGCAGGAATGTCAGGTTCACTCCACGTTGGATGCTGGATGAATAGAGACATGGCATAGAGTTATAATGATACAGACTCACTGTCGAAACCAAGCACCGGCGTTCCATCCTTCTCGTCGTAGCAGGTCCGGGAGAGACCGATGACACCGCCAGCAGGTCCACTGAGGACGCCTCGGAGGCCGGTGAATTTTGCGTAGGTGGTCAGTCCGCCGTCCGACTGGTTGAGGAAAAGCTTTCCGGCATTGTGGTCCTCCAGTCTCCCCTTGAAGCCCTTCCTGAAGCTGTCGAGGTATGCGTCGGTCACCGGAGATAGATAGGCGTCCGTGACTGCCGATTGGCTCCGGGGCACAATCTTGCTCATCTTTTGCAGTTCCGACGAGACCGCCACCCTGAAGCCCAGCTCTCTGGCGACGTTGCTGACGCCGATCTCGTGGTCCTGGAAGGCATAAGAGTGGAGCAGAGCGACTGCAACACTCCGATAACCACGATGCCACAGTCCCTTCAGGTCCCTTCGAACCTGATCATAGTCTGGGACTTTGATGATGCGAACGACATCACCAGACAGTCCCGTGCGCAGTTGCGGGTCCGAGTCGACATCGATCGGCTGGGGTTCCGGATCCTCCGCAAAGCCTTCGATGGTGACACGCTCATCGACCTCCATTACTGTGTCGTAGAGTTTGGCCATACGACGCACTGAGAGGTCAAAGATGTTGGGCCTTGCCTGGTTGCCGATCTCTAGAATGTCCCGGAAGCCCTTGGTGATGACGAGGGCGGTGCTCTCGCCCTTTCTCTCGAGCAGTGCATTCGTAGCCACCGTCGTGCCCATGCGAATGGACTCAACCAGGTCGAGATTGAGCGGGGTTCCTCTCGGTATCTCCTTCTTTGTGGCCGTCTCCAGGATTTGGCGGATACATTCTGTTGGTGCGTCATCGTACTCATCCGGGCAGTTTGAGAGCACTTTCAAGACAAGCTCCTCGCCCGTCTCCGGGATCCAAGCCCAGGCATCGGTAAAGGTACCTCCCCTATCAACGGCGATGCGGATGCCGGAGGTTGTGGGTGCCATGGTTGATAGTGCTGCTGTTCTCTGAATGAATATTGGAACCTGGTGCAAGCAAAACAACTCTCCCGGAATAGATTTCTTCTCTTCCAAGGCGTTGCATTATTTATGTGTCCATACGATTCTTTTCGAATGGAAATGTCGCCATTTATCGGCATTTGTAGAAATGCCTATTCCTCATTACAGTTGCGCGCGAGCCGACTCATCGATTTATCCACGTTTGCCGGCATCCCTCAAGATTACCCTCTACCTTGAAGATTTCGGTGTCCTTTGCCGATGAGGAGTTGTCCATGTGGAGGAGGCGTGCCGATCCGTTATCTGTTGCATGTTCGAAGATTGGAGTCTCGTTATCTTCACTTGCCGCTCATATGCTCATCTGCGGTAAGCTGATATCAGCCCGGAAACGGTCCACCGTGTAGCATGATAATTCAGGAAACTCTGTCGGTTTGCCCGGCTAGTGGTATTGCTTCTTACGGGGATTCTAGATATGCAGTTATCGCTCATTGATTTATCGTCACATGGAGATGCACTGCCATGCAGCGTGCAAAAGGATCCAGATACCCGTCTGCTTCCTCTGGGTCCTCGGAGTCGACTCTCTCACGAGATCAACTTCCGATAACTTGAGAGACCCTTTCAAAAGGGAGTTCATCTGTCACATTTACTCATCATATTCAGTAGTTTCTACTCTGACCTAGTAACTGTACATCACGATGACCCAATCACTGCCCAAAGAGGCCACCATCACGTCCAGTGTAAAGGATGGACAGGACACAGAAAATTCGGCCTCCGAGCACTATATCGATCCCGTGCTTGAGCGCCGTATGATGCGCAAGTTCGACGTTGGTTGACCCCGAGGCTACACAAACGAACGGTACTGACAATCTCAACAACTAACGACCTTCATGTTTCAGATGTACGCTATCTCTGCCATGGGCGCATTGTATATGATGGCCAATCTCGACAGAAACAACCTTGGAAATGCTCAGGTAGCAGGTATGCCAGACGATATTGGACTTGTTGGAAACCAATTCGGCACGGCCACAACCCTTCTGTAAGTCCACCTTATGAGGCACTGCCCCCTGCTCCGTGAGAACATGAATGAGACTAATCAGCACATCGCCTTCCTTGCAGGTTTGCTACATACGTGCCCTTGGAGGGTCCCATTGCTATAATGTTGAAAGCCATTGGGCCGAAGCCTCTCATGGCAACGTGTGCTCTCCTATGGGGCTGCTGTACTCTGGGGATGTGTAAGCATCGAACCTATCAGTCCGGATACATGAATGAGAGAGGGACAGTCTGCTAACTCCCCTGTTCAGCCTTTATCCAGAACTACAATGGCCTTTACGCCTGTCGGTTGCTGATCGGCGTCTTCGAGGCAGGTCTCATCCCCTGCATCAACGTCTGCCTCGGATGGATATACAACAAGTCGGAGCGAGGCAAGCGCTCGTCGGTCATATTCGCATTCAGCGCATTCTCCAGCGCCTTTGGTGGATTGCTGGCATTTGGACTTACGCAGATCGAGACGGCCAACTTTGAGGGTTGGCGCTGGCTGTTCGTCGTTGAATCCATCATGACCCTGGTCCTCGTCCCCATATTCTGGTTCGTATTCCCCACCTCGCCTACGGAAGCTTGGTTCCTCACTCCCGAGGAGAAGAAGATGATGCAGGCCCGCTACGACGCCGACCCCAACTGGGGAAACGCGGACGAGTTCTCCATGGCCGAGTGTCTAAAGGCGTTTGCGGACCCGAAGTGGTATGCGTTTTGTGTCTATCAGTTTTCGGTGGACATCTCGCTGTACGGGTTGACGACCTTTATGCCGGCAATCATCAAGGGCCTCGGATACACCTCCGTTCATGCCAATCTGATGACCGTCCCCATCTACATATGTGCTCTGGTCTTCTTCTTGATCGTTGCCTACTTCTCTGACAAGACTGGCAAACGCGGCCCGTATCTTGCCGGTTGCCTCTTATTCCTAATTGTCGGTTACGCAATCTTGATCAGTGTCGACAACCTCAAAGTTCGATTCTTTGGCTGCTTCGGTATGTACAGTACCCCTTTCAAGAATGCAGACTCATTGTCCGTCCCAAGATACTCTACTCACGCTTTCACAGTTGCTGCTTTGGGCATTTACCCCACAACCGGACTGTCTCTCATGTGGCTCTCCGACAATGTTTCTAGGCACTACAAGCGAGCGACCATGATCGGCTTCACCCTATGCATAGGCAACACGGCCGGGGTTGCCGTTGGTCAGATTTTCACCACGGACACTGCTCCCCGATACATCCCCGGGCTTTCGATTGGGCTGGGTCTGTCCTGTGTGGCGTTGACGGTCACGATCCTCATGATGGCCAGCTTCGTATGGGTCAACCGCAAGCGAGACGCCCTTCTGCTGGCCGCAGAACAGGCGGGTACTCCGATTGAACCGAACGCAGATCTAGGTGACTACTGTCCCCATTTCAGGTATTCTATATAGTGAAGACCAAGTAGATTGCAGATGTTACTGTCGAGATTGTGAACAGACATACGCATTATGTGTGCCAGTATAGAAATGGCCCAATCCTTAGAAGTAGAATGCAACAAGGCATTTACCCCTCCTACCTGTTGCTGATCGGGTTGGAAGCTTCCCTGTACCGTCAATATCCTACTCGACGGACGGGTGAGCCTGGACTGGACTTATGGAGGATCCCAACCATCGCCGAGGTATCGGCTGGGCTTTCCCGGACTGTCTTATCAGACCTAAACAAGAAACAAAGCCCCGCGTTGATCAGACTATGACGCCGACTCCACGTCATCGGCTCTCCAGCAGCATCCATCCATTTGATATGCCTTGCCCGAAGAAGAACGTGGATGACTTGATATTCCCTATGAGCCATTTGTTTCCGTTGTTCTAGCCCTGGAGAATACACATCCTCATGGTTCTATGATCGGAGCAGTATCGTCATCTTCTCCGAGCCACTCCAACAATGACCGATGCACCGGTTGTCAAACTGCTTACGCAGTTGATGGGAATTCCATCTGTCAGCGAGCAAGAGAACAAGATTGGCGTTTGGACAGCGAAGTATCTGGAAGCTCTCGGATACAGTGTAGAGATGATACCTATATCGGAGGGTTCGGACCGACTCAACGTCTATGCTTACCTCGGAGAGAAACGAGAGTCGCGCGTTATGCTCACCTCTCATATGGACACGGTCCCACCCCACATACCCATGTGCATCAAGGACGGCATCATCTACGGCCGAGGAGCATGCGATGACAAGGGACCAATGGCCGCACAGATTGCAGCTCTCGAGGAGCTCCGTGCTGAGAAGGCCATAAAGGACGGCGACGTCTCTCTTCTGTTTGTCGTCGGAGAGGAGAAGGGAGGGCCAGGAATGCTTGCAGCCAACAATATGAATCTGGCGTGGGAGGCCATCATCTTCGGCGAACCGACGGAGGGGAAGCTGGCTACCGGTCATAAAGGCCACTACGTCTTCGAGCTTTTCGCGAGAGGCGTGGCGTGCCACTCTGGATATCCAGGGAAGGGGAAGTCTGCGACCGGGATTCTCGTATCGCTGCTCGCAGAGCTCCAGACCCTTCAGCTGCCCACGTCCGAACTCCTGGGCCCTACAACGTTCCACTGCGGAAAGATCAGTGGCGGTGTGGCCTACAATGTCATGGCAGCGGACGCATACGCCCAGTGCGGGATCCGGGTAGCTACCGATATGGCGGGTATCAAGAAGACGGTTGCCGAAGTGGTCGGCAAGTATCCCGACGTGGAGCTCAGGGATTCGTTCGCGTACCCTGAAGTGCTTCTAGACTCTGAATTCGAAGGTACGGTTCAGATAACACTCTCTCTCTCTTACAAGGAACACTCTCGTTGACCATCTCGCGCGACGCGTATAGGGTTAGACAGAATAGCCGTCTCGTATGGGACTGATGTGCCGCGCCTCAGGGGAGATCACAAGAAGTTCCTATATGGGCCGGGATCCATTCTACATGCTCATGGTGAGAATGAGCAAGTCAAAGTGGCTGATCTGCTAGAGTCTGTGAGCGTCTACAAACGCTTGACCGTGGGCATGTTGCCGTCGTAATCATTCTACAATAGGATACAATTAAAGCCAAACCCCGCTGATAAATTCCTGGCAAAGCTCTCCGGGCGAGATTACCGAATCTTATCGCAGGTCCGGTAAATGTCGGCTTCGGTAGCCGTTGCGGCGCCGAGATAAAATGCCGACGGTACCAACACTTCACTAAAGGTCAACATCATCCGATCATATCTTTTATCTGTCACGATGCCCGACGTACTAGCCCATCTTCAAGACCTGCCCAGGGATGAGGCCTTTGCTATCACCGAGGACTTCAAAGCCGATGAGGATCCGTCAAAGGTCAGCTTAGGAGCCGGAGTCTACCGTGATGAGACATCCAGTCCATGGATACTACCCAGCGTCAAGGCAGTAAGCATCTACCGACACGAGTTGCTGAGAAGCCATGAAGGATGATCAGCCCAGAAAATTAACAAGACGTGCTGAACAGGCCAAAGAGATTCTGCACAGAACGGCTGATTTGTATCATGAATATCTCCCCATCTACGGCTCAGAGCCCTTCTTGAACTCAGCCAGAGATCTTATTCTGGGACCTTACGATGTCGCGAAAAGCAATGTGGTTTCGATGCAGACGATATCCGGCACAGGGGCCAACCACCTCGGAGCCGCATTCCTCTCGCAGAACCTTAAGCCTCGCCGTGTCTTCATCTCGGATCCATCCTGGAGTAATCACCATCTCGTCTGGGAAGTCGGAGGCCCGGATGTCGAAAGAAGGACATATCCGTACTACGACGCCCGCACGCGCTCGCTGGACTTTGAGGGTATGATGTCCTGCCTGGACGGCGAGGCAGACGAGGACGACGTCGTCGTGCTGCATGCGTGTGCCCACAACCCGACGGGCATCGACCCAACGCAGTCTCAGTGGCGTCAACTCGCCGAGCTGTTCAGGCGCAAGCGTCTGTGCGCATTCTTCGACTCGGCATACCAAGGCTTTGCCTCGGGCGACGTCGACGCAGATGCATGGCCCGTGAGGCACTTTCACCAAGACCTCTTTGACGGCTCTGCAACCGAGAGCCCGCAGGCGATGTGCATCGCGCAATCCTTCTCAAAGAACTTTGGCCTGTATGGAGAGCGCGTGGGGGCATTCCATCTGGTCCTCCCACGATCAACGCCGCCAGCAGGACCCAAAAGCCGCCTTGTTCGTCTCATTAGAGCCGAGATATCGAATGCGCCCCTGTTTGGCTCCAGAATTGTCCACACCATTCTGTCCGACTCGGGTCTTCGGCACATGTGGTTGGGGGACCTACGAACCATGTCGACTCGCATCAACGAGGCGCGGAGATTGCTGAGGCAGGGGATCGCCAAGAGACCGGGTACGGGAGATTGGAGCCACCTCACATCACAAATCGGCATGTTCAGCTATACGGGTCTGACTGCGGAGCAGGTGATACGCCTAAGACGGGAGCATCACGTCTATCTCATGCTCAACGGGCGTGCAAGTCTGAGTGGTGTAAACAAGAAGAATGTCGACTATGTAGCAGAGGCCATCAGCAGCGTCATTACTTCTCAATAGCAGCTTCACGAACCATGTTAAAGGGCGAGAATTTCTCTGAATACTAGATTCCTTGGTCACTGATTGCATGTGGATTTTTTCCATCACCATACCAACCCCATGTCCTCCGCTGTCGGTACAAAAGCCTCATCCATAGTTACATCTGCGTTATCCAAAAAGGCCTGCAGGATAGGATCATCCAAGGGATCGGCAGTGATGACACCACCAGCCCCTGCCTCCCCCAGCGAGTCCGGCATCAAGAACCTGCCCCAGTCCACATTGACCAGGTCCATATCCTCAGAGGACGAAGAGATCGGTGACTCGGTATTTTCCAAGTCGACCGGTGCCGTCTCGGTCACCTCGGTAGATGTCGGGGCCGCTGCAGGTGTGTTCCTACTTGTCTCGGGAGCGCTCCGACTCCGGGAGAACTGTTTGTTGACGGAAAGCTGTATCTGGGCAAGGCGGGAGAAGTACTCGCCGGCGGACACGTTTCCGTTATCCCGCATGATCATGAGGAGTTGGAAAGCCGTCTGGACGGCATCCGAGTCTGCAGAGTTGGGCGACGTGATGGCCGATATGATGAGGACCAGCGTCGACGAGAAGAGATGGTAGGCGTCGAAGTAGCCGCAGATGGCCAGCATGCTCTGGACGAATAGCTGCGAGATGATGGAATTTGACATGCGAGCTGCCGAGATACAGGAGTCGGCCAGAGACCTCGTCGTGTCTGATATAGGAACTTGAGGGATGGAAGCCTTCTCCCGAGTTGAGAGCATGGCCCCGTTGCTTCCGGTAAAGGGGTTCCTCACTTTGAGAATGTAGAGGAGGATCGGCCGCGTGGTCAAGATGATGCACTGGTTGAAGAAGAGCTGCAAAGAGGCAACCGGTCGTGGATCGCGCCCTTCCGGCCTCCACCGCAGACTTGCCGGTGCTTCTGCGTCCCATCTCCTCAGCCTCTGCAGGATGGACCGCGTGCTCGGTACGAACTTGTCTCTGTTGGCCACCGACGCCGGCGAGTAGATGTCGGTCATGATGAGCCCCGTGATGCGCGCCAGATTTACGTGGGCAGTTAGGTGCTCCGCCAGGCCCAGTTCATGCTTGGGGGCGCCAGAGGACGGGTCGCCGGAGGGCATCTCGACGTCGATTTCCGTGTCTTGTATCGTCAACGGCTGGCCGAGCTTGGAACACGTCGATCTTTCGAAGACGTATACCGTCCACCAAAGGCGGATACGATGCTCCCTCTCAGTCAGAGACAGGTTGTGGCCGTCAAGGATGCGTCGATGGAGGCCGAGGCAAGTACTCATACGCATCGCCATTCCACTATACATGTGGGCTGATTTACATCTCCCTAGGGCGTTGGAGTAAAAGCACTGAATACATTGTTTCTCGACCGTTTGATTAGCCGAATATTCCCTAGCAATGACTGTTGCAGATTGTTGAAAGGATCTTACGAATAATAGCATTATCTCAATCTGCGTCACGGATGGCTCCTCGAATGTATCTTGCAACAGCCGGACAGCAGCCTTGAAGTATTCCGTCCCGGGGACTGCCGGGGTGGCCTGGTCGGACGTGCAAGTCGACATGACATTGGAGTACAGCTCACCCAACGCAAGGACGACGTAGAGCTTGCATACCCAGGACGTACCCAGGGGCGGCTGGAACCCACCCGCTGCGTCGGACGAAGTCGCCGGGTCGTAAGCCAAATGGAGCTGCTGAAGGAAGTCCTTGTGTATGAAGAAATGATAGTCTTGGCCGATGAAGCTGAGGGCGATGCGCACGAGCAGATTCGCGCGGATGCGTCCCGGGAGCTTCACGCCACCATCCTGATTCATCTGTCTAGAGAAGACGACATCGTTGACATAGCGGTGGTCAAGAACGCCCGAGCCCGAACCGGGCTGGGGGTTCAACGTGTGCAGCAGGCGGTCACTGAAGGCCCAGCTTGTTGACTCCCCGACGAATTGCTGTCGCGATGCCGGGTCCAGCTGGAAGATGCGTCGCGGCTCGTGGATGGGATTCTTAATCTCCGGGTCTGCCGGGGAAGGAGACTGGTCGCGCGGAAGTGCGTTGTTGGTCTCGGCTGTCTTGGACGTAGGCTGGCCGATGGGGGTTGCCGGCGTTGCATCATTGTCAGAGTCATCGCGGGATCTCTGACCGTTCCGCAGACGTGCCAGATAGCTGCACAATAGATAACACATGTCAGTTCCACAGGAAGGCAGACATGCAGTGCGTGAATGCAGTGTGTGAACACCTGCTCACCTTGCAGATACTGTCACTGTCCGGTCTCGCGCCCGGTACTCGCATATTGTCTCCTTTCTTGCACTACGACACCTTTGACAGGGTGTCCCGCCAGAGCACTTCACCTTGAGGCCGTGGCATCGTCGGCAGCTACATCCAGGTTCTATAAGCGACTGTGAGGGTGACATTTACAGGCAGACATTCACCTCACATCAAGTGGAAATGTCGCCGGGAACTGCTCCGACTCACGCGACATCAGACCGTTTTCTAATGGTAATGCGGTTTGTCCGTTCGGGAGAGGCTGCGCTCGTAGAAGAAGACATCATGTCCAATGCTCTTGTCTCAGACATAGATCTAACCATTGGATTTCGGCGGCATATAAGAGTTGTTGGGTTGAGTATCAACTGAGCCGTTCACGGGGTCGAGGGACGATACATCGGCTCAAGACAAGCGATAAGACAAACGCCATATATCCCAGTCGGTCGGGAGTGCATTGCCGACCTCGAGATAAGGACATCGGCCCACTTACCCGGCCGGGAGGGAGAGGAGAGGCGGAGGGGGGTCCCATGAGTGGCAGGATCGGACTATTACATGTATTAAGCACAGCATTCCAGTTCACTCCCCAATCCAGTATCTCTAAAGGCCACACAATGTTGGCACGCGCTTCTGGAATCATCGTCTTGGCCCTGGCTATCCTTGCAGTCTATCGTTACGGAACTATCAATGTTGTCGACGTCGCGGATTACAAGGCGCGGGCAGACAGGATCCTGAGACGCACTCCGTTGATCGACGGGCATAATGACATAGCGTATTTATTTCGAGTTGAGCTTCAGAATAAGATTAATGATGATAACATCTTTACATTCCGTCAAGGTACGTGCCATCCGATGAATCGAGGAATGATATTTCATATGTACATACGTACCGTGTACATGCATTAATGTATTAATGCATACTACGGAGTATCATGTGTAAACTTCTACTGATCGATACATCGTACGCCATCTCAGGTCTCGCCAGCCATACCGATCTCCAGCGCATGAGAAAAGGTCGCGTAGGAGGGCAGTTCTGGTCCGTTTTTGTCGAGTGCCCGGCCCTAGGGCACCTCGACGACCCGAGCCACAGCGTGCGTGACACTCTTGAGCAGGTAGACGTGGCCAAGCGCTTCATATCCCGGATTGACGACCTGCACTACTGCGAGACGTCTTCATGCGTACCGGAGGCCTTTAAACGAGGCAGGATAGCCTCTATGCTGGGCGCAGAGGGTCTTCACCAGACCGGGTCATCCATCGCCGTCATCAGACAGCTCTTCGACCTCGGCGTGCGATACATCACCGTGACGCACAACTGCGATAACCCGTACGCCACGGCCGCCTCCACCGTCACCAGCGGCGGCGCCGACGGCGGCCTCACCGAGTTTGGCGCCGCGGGCATCAGGGAGATGAACCGGCTGGGCATGATGATCGACCTGTCGCACACGTCGCACCGAGCCATGCGGCAGATCCTCAACATGACGACATCCCCCGTCATATTCAGCCACAGCGCGTGCTACGAACTTGCCCGCAGCTACCGTAATGCTCCGGACGACGTTCTGGCGAGGCTTCCGTCCAATGGTGGTCTGCTCATGGTCATGTTTGTCAAGAGGTTTCTCAACGCCGAGAATCCGGACGCTGCCAATATCGAGACGGTTGTCGACCACATCATGCACATCGTCCAGATAGCCGGATGGGATCACGTCGGCATCGGAGGTGACTTTGACGGCACCGTGACCTTGGCAGAGGGGATCGATTCCGTCGCGGACTACCCGAAACTCGTCGAGGCAGTCATGCGCCGTGGAGCGACGGATGAGGATGTCGAGAAGCTCCTTGGTGGGAACCTGCTACGGTAAGTCACCGGCCAAGATAGTGTCTGCCTTCATATCGGGCTTCGCTATAAAGGACGTGGAGCTAATGGAATGCGAATACAGAGTCTGGCGTGACAATGAAGATGTATCAAGAGGCCTTGAGGCAGAGATGCTACCTGTTGAGGACGTATGGGACGACAGGACGTTTGTCCGGTGGAATAATCCGCTGCCTACGATGATTCCAAACAATCCAAATCGTATCACAGCTAAGGATTACATATAGACATCTAGGAGAAGGGAATGAAGGGACAGGGTTCCTTGTTTTTGTTCAGTAACCACCTATACATCGGGGGCTCTTCAAGTTTGTAAATAGAACCAAGACTTTGTCCAGGCATCCTATCAGTTATTTCATCGGACCATACGATGATGGTTTAGAACTAAGTGAACTGTTGCTCCCGCGAGGGATCATCAGCGGTCGTTTCAGTGCCAACGAAACGAGTTGGCGTCCTTTCTTCTTCTTCTTCTTCTTCTTCTTCTTCTTCAAGTCTCGATATCGTTCCCCAGGTCGCCTCTTGTCGTTTCTCGTCGAACCTTTTTGTCGACCCGTCTAATTCTTCAGCCATGATGTTTCTCTTGTACAGGTTAGTATATCCTAAGCCCCATCATAAGGCCTCGAGACGGTATCTTACACATTAGTTCCACTACCGTACTTGTTCATTATTACGCCTACGGATGAGAAATCGCTAACGATCTCATCCGCGGACACACATCGCTCTATTGCCGTCCGCACATCTGTCCATTTATTTGACTGTGTGTGAGAGTCGACGACAGCGTACATATCCTTCCACTTCTCGAGATGTGAGGAAATCTGCGGCTTGAAGACCCTCATCCCATATTCATGTGCATCCTCTAGAGTGATTCTGGAACCCTGCGGCATCTTTATAATCGCATAGGACTCTGACTGGCTTTCCCTGCCCTTCGGTGACCCTTCGGTGACCCTGCCAGGGGCTTCCTCCTCGCTCCGCTCCAGTCGGCATGACAGTGACTGGAATCTTTGATAGTCTTTCGCATCGAATTCACTCTCTATTCTTGATACTTTTCAGTCGTAAAATCACTCCGCTACACCATTCCCTTATTTTTCTTTTTTTTATAACTCTTTCGCACCACTACGACTTGCCGGAATCCTCCTTTAGACTGACGATACGGTTGAGGATAATCTTGTCCTCGGTGCTATCCGAGTCGATGGCCTATAGATTGTCAGATTTCTGTTCCTATCCTATATAGAATAACTTGGGGGGGGGGGGGGGGGGGGGGATGGAAAGGGAGAAGAAAACAAGAAGAAAAACTTACAAAATAAGCAACACGCATAGCCTGGAAGCGCACACTCTCAGGACCACCCTTGCCAAGCTCGCTCTCGCCAGCAGCCTCAGGCCAGGGAGCCCTCCGACGGACCTCGTCAAAGCCGGCCTCGATAATGGCATCCTTGTACACGACCTCGCTGTCGGGGTTGATGTCGTTGAGGAAACCGCCCTCTGCGTCCTCGGGCTTCTCCGACCTGAAGAGGCGGTTGTGCACGCGGGCCTCGACGTTGCGCGACCCCTCGGTGCCGACCCACTGGATAAATGTCTTGGGCTTCTTCCCCTCACGGTCGAAGACGGCGCGGATCTCCGTCACCTTGCCGGTGGACTCGTCCTTGGTGAAGGTGGTAGCCTTGACGGGGAAGGGCGCGTTGAGCAGGCCGACCGACTTGCCGGGGGCGAGGCGGAAGTAGTCCTTGCTGTCAACCTCGCGGAAGTCGGAGCGGTCGATATACACGGTCGGAGTGAAGCGGACCTTGTGGGAGCCCATCTCGGGAACCTTGGGGGAGAAGGGGAGGTTGACGTCGACAGGCTCGGCGTCCTCGATGACCAGGCGCACGGGGTCCATGATGAGCATGAGGCGCGGCACAGTCTTCTCAAGGTACTTGCGGATCGTCTGCTCGAAGCGGTGGACGGGGATGGCCGTGGTGTTGGTTGTGACGCCCAGCTCATTGACGAACTCGAGGATGGCCCCGGGAGGCACGCCGCGACGACGGATACCGATGAGCGTGTACAGGCGGGGGTCGTCCCAGCCGCGCACAATCCCCTCTTCGACCAGCTTGAGGATCTTGCGCTTGGACAGCACCGTGCCAAAAAGGTTCAGACGGCCATACTCACGCTGCATGGGCTCGTACACCCCGAGCGTCTTGTTGAGCCACTCGTACGACACACGCGACAAGATGAACTCGGTCGTGCACAGCGAGTGCGTCACACCCTCAAAGCTGTCGCACAGGCAGTGTGTGAAGTCGTAGGTCGGGTATATCTTCCAGTCCCATCCCGTGCGGTGGTGCGGCTGGTCCGTCTTGATGCGGTAGGCGGCCAGGTCCCACATCTGCGGGTTGCCAGACGTTATGTCCTGCTTCATGCGGAGGAACACCTCGCGGGGCTTGTACTTGCCATCGCGCATGTCGCGGAACTTGGTCAGGTTATCCTCAACGGTCTGTTCAGCGTGTGCGCATCGGTATCGTTCGTTGGCGCCCTTTTCTCCACCACGTTGTTGCTTGATCTCGGTGTCTGCAGAGGAGTCGGGGTTAGGAGATGAAACAGCAAAATAAGATGAGATGTCGGGGAAATGGCCCAGGCACACCCACCATCACAAGCGCACACGTAGGCCTTGCCAAGAGTGATCATCTTCTCGGCCAGCTCGTACAGCTTGCCAAAGTTGTCACTCGAGTAGGTAATCTTGTGCGGCTTGAAGCCGAGCCACTCGATGATGTCGGTGATAGCAGTAAAGTACTTCTCCTCCTCCTTCTCGGGGTTTGTATCGTCGAAGCGGAGGTTGCACACGCCGCCGTGGTACCTGGCGAAGCCAAAGTTGACAGCGATGGCCTTGGCATGGCCTATGTGGAGGTAGCCGTTGGGCTCGGGGGGGAAGCGCGTGACCACGTCCTTGGTCGGCCTCTCATTGTACACGTCCTGCAGCCAGCCCACCTTGAACATGGCCTCCGGGTCGCTAGGCGTCTCCTCGGGCTTGGACTTGGGTGCGGCATCGGGTGCCGTTCCGGCGGCCGCCTTCTCCTGCCGTGCCTTTTCCTGAGCTGCCTTCTTTGCCCGCTTCTGCTGACGCTTCTTGAGTTCCGCCTTGGACACCATGTCGCCCGTCTCCTCATCCAGCTGGAGCTTTGGCATGTTCTGGGTGATTTCCTCAGCCATGTTTGCGGTCGATCAGCGCTCTCTCTCTATCTTTTTCTGTCTCCCTTACTCTGTGGGTGATTGTAGTTCGTACGAGGTGTGCTGTAGACAAGGGAAAAGAGAATAGTCACCTTTAGCAGACAAAATAATTCGGAAGGAGGGGCCTTATGCCCCGTCACCAACTCAGACGCCGATAAGCCAAGCTGATAAGCCAAGCTAGTGAGGGGAGGTGGACAAAATTATACCAGACACTCTCTTAACACTGCTATCATCGTCCAAGCTATCAATATTAATATTCTATTACCCGAATGGCCATGGAGACACGATTCCTACACACTCGGTCTCCTTCTCATTTTTCGTGTACTTGTTTGCCTCCGGCGGCCCTTCTGGGAGTTGTTTCCGCTTCGCTCGTTTGCATGTGCCACGGTCCTCAGGCACCCACCCGCCACTCCATCAGCTTGTCGTCACTTGTTCCATCTCTATATCCATCTCCATCTCCATCTCCATCTCCCTCATCTATTCTCTTGGCAGATAACATCAAAAGGACCGCTCTGCCACAATGTCCGTCAAACCACTCTCCAGCATTCCCACTCTGACGAGCCTCTATCGCTCCGGCACGCTCGTCGCCGCCGCCGCCTCCTCCTCCTCCCCCAGCATTGTCCCATCAACCTCCATCAACGACCGCGTAGGCCTGGTCCGCGGCGACATCACCAAGCTGCAGCTGGACGCCATTGTCAACGCGGCCAATACGAGCCTCCTGGGCGGTGGCGGGGCCGACGGCGCCATCCACCGCGCCGCCGGTCCTGGCCTGTTAGCTGAGTGCCGCACCCTGGGCGGGTGCAGCACCGGCCGCGCCAAGATGACACGCGGCTACGAACTACCGGCCAAGCACGTCATACACACCGTCGGTCCCATCTACAGCTTCTCGGCCAAGGACAAGCTGCTGGCGCAGGACCTGCTCTCCAGCTGCTACCGCGAGAGCCTCAAGGTGGCTGTTGCCGGGGGGGTGCGCACCTTGGCCTTCACCGCCATCAGTACCGGCGTGTATGGGTATCCTAGCAGGGAGGCCGCGAGGGTCGCCTGCTCTACCGTCAGGGAGTTTCTCGAGGGCTCCGATGGCTGGAAGATTGATAGGGTGGTGTTTGTCACATTTGAGACCAAAGAAGGTGATGCTTATAGGGATGCTCTGCCTGTGTTTTTTCCTCCAGAGACGGAGGATTCGCAGTAGTTCATGGGAAGGAATCGGAGTAAGTCACTCTCTTTTAGCAGTCACTCTCTTTTAGCAGTCACTCTCTTTTAGCAACTCTGGTGTTCAGGGAGCAAACATTCGGATGATGGAGTTGGTATTCAAAGGTGGCAATCTATATTCAAAGTGAATAAACGTCATTAATTTTCTTTAAATTAAGCACTTGTATCAAATCAGACCAAAAAAAAATTCGCTCCGCTCAAGCATTCTGGCCCTCGTATAAACGGATAAATAAAGTCCCAAGGATATGGGTATCCAGCACAACGGACGGGAATTCCAAAACGATGGATGAGAGAGTAAGAAGAGTGGGTGAAAGGCGGGTTTCTAAGACGAAGTAATACCCTTGTTGACATTGGCCAACAGAGCCTTGAGCTCGTCAATCTCGGAGCGCAGCTTCTTGACCTCCTCGAGCACAGGGTCTTGACCGATCTTGGGCGTGACAGCCTCGCAAGTCTTTGCCCAACCCTCAGCCTCAAAGTCCACCTCGACAGAGCCATCCTCCCACTCCTCCTGGACATTGTCGTCGTCATCGCCGCGCGCCCTGTTTCGACGGATATGCGCGGCCCTGCGGGTCTCGTAGATTCCAATGACGACGAGGAGGGGCGAGTATATGATTCCCATGACGATGTCGTTGACCTGGGCGTAGATGTCGTCGGGCAACCACCACTCGCACAGGCCGGAGAGGACAACCTCGATGAGGTTGAAGGGGGGGATGAAGACGTTCTCGTCGGGGGCGCGGACGAACTGCATCGTCTTCATGGAGAACAGGGCCAGGTACTCGTCGTCGGCGTTTCCGTAAATGTCCTCGTAGGCCGAGTTATACAGGGCAATCAGGATGTTGAGCAGAATGACCATGACGATGAAGGTGAAGCAGTACTGCAGGATAAGTCCAAAGGGGTGGCCAAATCGCTCGAAGCCCTCGAACTCGGGGCTCTGTAGGACCGTCTTGAGCATCTGCTGCACAATGAACCACACGTCCCCGGCAACCAGGTCGTCAGCCAGGTCGAGCCCGATAAAGGCCTGCAGGAAGCCGATGATGATTATGATGAGCAGCGCGAAGAAAATGACCGACTCCTTCATCATGACCTTGAGCACCACCAGCATGGCACCGAAGAAGCGGAAGCTGTCGAGGTACAGCATGAGGCGGCACCAGAACATGGGCGCGACAAAGGCGAGGAGGTTGTAGCTGAGCTGGTTGTAGTGCACGCGGGCCGCCGTGTCGGGCGCGTGCGAGATGCCAATGACCCTCAGGACGAAAGAGGCCGTGAGAAAGGCGTACAGCACGCTGTTGAAGGCGTTCCAGAAGCCCAGGATGTGACGGCCTGCCTTGTACAGCTTGACCAGCTCGTCGCACATGTAGCCGAAGGTGAAGAGGTACATGAGCAACTCGGCGCCGTCGAACTGGCCGGTCGCGTTGATCGAGTTGATGGCCAAGGTGTACAGGGCCAGGTACAGGATACTCAGCACCATCTGCGCGGCGTTCTGGTACATAGGCGTGCGCATGCGGTCGGGTCCCATGTGCACCAGGAAGCGAGGGCTGTCCTTATCCTTGTAGTCGACAAAGACCGATGGGTCGTTCTCGTCCTGGACCAACCAGCCTTGCCACAGGTGACTGATGCATCGCTGGTAGCCAGACGATGCGATGACGCGCACTTCGTGCAGGTCCACGGCCTTTTCAATGACGTTGGTCGGCGGCGCCGTCTCCCCGCCCGAAATGTGGGCGTACCGTCGGAGAAGCACAGCGTGCATCAGATACTCGCCGTCATCCTCGGTTTCGATAATCTGCTTGGCAATGACGCCGCACGCCGTCGCCTGGAGATGATGCAGGTCTGCGTCCCACAGGTTGGTGATGGCCTCGTGGGCGAACCACTTCTTGGCCACGAGCAGACAGTAGACCTATGTTTTGTTTTTCATCAGTCGTCGGGTTCTCATCCCTCCTACTCTCTATTTGTGCACATCTTTTTCCACGAGGAGAACGTACCACGCAACCTCTATTCTCGGTACCACCAGCCTCCTTGGCAGCCTTGACAACCTTGGGGGTGATGATGCGGCTGTTGGCCTTGGTAATCTCCGTCTCCTCAAGCTCGCAGGGGACACAGCCCTGGATCAGGTGACGCAGACGGAGGCACACCTTTGTGACTTCCTCAGGAGGGACGGCCGACTGGATGTCATCGTTGCGATGACCTCCGAGGACTACAGATGGATCATGTCAGGTCAGCAGCGTACGTGTTTGCAGTGTCAGGACAGCCTACTCACGCGTCTCTTCCTCCCGAAGCCAGGAATTTCCGCCACCAGAGCCGGTACGCTGTCTCTCGAGGCCCAAGAGCCTATCAACAGCAGAGTACCACCTGTTTCTGTTGACCATATCGGCGGGTTGTTTTTTTTTTTTTCGGAACGTCGGGGTGTGGGGAATGAAGCTTCCAATATGCGATTGACCCTCAAGACAATCAATACAGACCTGTTATTATAGTAGTTTAGGCCTTGTACCAACCAACTGAGCAACGAGAGCGACCTGGCCAAGGAGAAAGACAGAAAGCCGCGCAATGTCATGGACATGGAGATGGGAGAGGGGGTTGGTTCTCTGAGCTTTCCCCGTCACAGGCAATGACGTTGGTGCATCTTGATTTAGGTGGAGCGAGCTACTTCAGTATCAAGCCAAACTTGGCGGCTCTAGTACCAGCAGGGGTCTGTGCTAACAGATGCTAACATGATTCTGTTAGTATTGGTACTGTGGGATATTAGTGTCTAGCTATAGAGGGTCTCATGCAGTACATTGTATGCACCATGACTACCCCGGTAAGCATATCATGGTTCAGCTGCTAATATAAACAAGGTAAAAATCTCAGCTGAATCAGTCATTCATTCAAGTACAGAGAGTACTGATAGATATAGAAATATTGCTACTAGTAACATTCTACTCATATCTTCTCAGATGATCATGAGCTGCCCCCGCTGCCCAGTCTATTTCGCTGCTGCTAGTGCACATCGTGTGCCTGTCTGCGTCGTGGTGTCTTCGTAGTCGTATATGCATGCACGAGTATGGGTAATGATGATGAATCTATATGACTGCTTCTTAGCTTTTAATCGCGTCGTGTATTATTATATTATACAAGTACATTTAGCAGCTATCTGTGGGATGGAATGCTCTTGTGAATATCACGAGGTTTGAGTGTAACGAGATGACGCCATTCAAGCAGTTTAGCTTTCTGTACGATGCCAGTGTTTCCTGTACCGGAATAGACAGCGACACTTCTGAATGACTATTACAAGTATTCTACTTATAAGCCTCGATTGAAGAAGTATCGAATAGTAGACAACAGCAAATCGATCGCTTCCTGCTTACTTCAGATAAACACCCCAAAACGACCATTCTCCCTGTCCCTAGGGTAAGAATCAATTAGTACATCTTTGCTTACCCTATAGTAAGCACAATATGCTTACTGCTTGCGATAGCACACAATGACCCGTCGACGTGAATACAGTGGTCCCTGCCTACTGGTACGTCCCGGGCCGATGAGTGTGTGTCTTGCTGCTTGATTGAACGGAAAGAAAGGAAATCTACAGGTGTGAGTGCTCTGGCTGCTTCGTCATCCAATCTTAGGTGTCACAACACCGCTAGGTTGAAGATAAATATGACTGAGATCGACGTCAGACGTCCCAGAAAATGGCACGCAATGTGCGTCCACATGGACGCATTTAAACTCTTGATCAATCCGAACCAGATGTTTGCCTTCTTTCCCACGTGGGATGCTTATGCTATGTTGGAGGCGTCGCGTCAAATGACTTGCCAAGATTTGGACTCTGGACTCTGTCGAGCTCTCAAATCGAAAGATGCTCCTTCACCCTCCCCCCCCCTTTTCTCTGTTTCCTTTTAAGTAATACAGGATGACCAAGAACAATGTCCGGGAACTACTCCGTACCTGTACGAATAGTAATACATGTAATCCGTAGACTTTGCCAGGCTAAGAATAGCACGTCGGCTTCGTTGACGGATGATTTGGCCAGGGTCGGGGAAGATCTAATATTCCGTGGGCCACTGAGGCGCAGAAGAGGAGAGGTGGAGGTTCTTTTCATCACCTTTCTGGACACATACGAGCATGTTATTTCCTTTTACTGTACCCGACTCCATAATAGACTAAATATTGTCTTCGGAAGCTCGGTGACTACTGCTAGTATTGACGAAGACTACCAAGCACGAGCACACTTGGACTTGTCCTGAAACAAGAGCGGGGAGTGCGGCGGAGCAGCTTATCCTCGGACCTCTGTACCTCTCTGAGCTCTCTGATGACTTCTGGTGGCGTCTGACCTCTTTTTTATCTCCTTTTCCCCCCTCGTCTCCTGCATAATGATTGGTGTTAAGGCTCGTATTGTGACTCGTTGCGACAATGGTTAGCCGTCAACACGAGGAAAGGGATCAATGGCGGGGAATATTGCAACTGTGAATATACGAGTTCAGAGAATGACGGCAAGGATGGTGATGTTACCCGCCACGGCCGTACACGTATTACTCGTACAGGGTGTCATGTCAGTATTATAGCAGTACTGTTACTAAAATCATCCTAGAATTATCGTGGGAAAGAGGAGGAGAAAGACGGAGTGTTATCACTCTTCTTATTTACGCATATACTCGTATTATATTGCTCGTACAATGAACGTTCAGAGTCCTTCGTCATAGTCGAGAGAATAGTACCATACAATCTAGGCATCAAATATAATTAGTCATCATTTTCAGTACCCAGGGGCCAGAACCCAAGGACCTTCAGAACCAAGCTTTTCTGTTCCCACAACGATCCATCACGATCGGACCTCCCCGGCTGCAAGGTTGAACTCCAAGGGTACAACTCACATTGTCAAGGGAGACTTGATTCTAGGAGTAAGCTCCAATACCGACTTGAACAAGGTTGAGAAAATTTTCCATGTGCAGAATGTGTACGGCACAAACTCGGTCAATGACTCCGCATAAAAAAAAAAGACTCATGATAATAGAATCTAGAACCACAGTGTTTTCCATCTTATAGTGGGTTCCGTGCGAAAGAGAAAAGCCAGATGAGCATCACAGAAGAAAGAAGAGAAAAGGACGGGGAAACAAAGGGACGAGAAAGTAGTAGGATTCTGAGTTCAATGACGACTGACCATGAGAGTACGAGTACGTGTACAAGCTGCAAATGCGGCTATGGCGAAGCAGGGCGCAAAGAGGAGTACCGTCATACTTCGTACGGTACGGAGTAATACAGCGCATACGGTCCAGTGCCTACGGTAAGAGGAGAGGAGCAGAGAATGAAGGAGTCTGGTGCAGTGATTCTGCGGTGGTCATGAGCGGTGATACGGTAACCTGTCAAGCTTGCACGAGAGATCTGCCGAACGGGAGGAATCGAGAATTCTGGTCAACCAATTTGGTGAAGTTGATGTTATTCATTCCAGCCCAAGGCCGATAGGAGAGCCAAAACAAGTAGTAAACACTGCCTCTGGGTCGACGAGTAGTCAGTCCTACCAGTAAACACACGAAGCAAAGAACACACAGAGCTAGTAGCCCGCGTAGAGACACCGACAAGACATTGACAACACAGCACAGCACAGCAAAGAAAGGATAGCGCATCATGCAGAACCAGGTGGCTGGATTACAGTGGCTGGATAGTGGCTCAGGCCCTAGAGGATGGAAAACCTAGGGAATCTTGGGCAAGTATTACGGAGTACGGAGTACCGACTACGTGTATGTAATCTGTACAGCAGTAGAATAATACTTGCTGTTGATCCGTGTACGCGCACGACGTGGATCCAATTGGCTCTTGACCCTCACCTCCACGACGCGTGGTTTTTCTTTTGTGTGTCTCAGACTTTCTTCTTCTTCTTCTCCTTTTCCCTTTTCGTCTCTGCCATCCACCAGAAACGAAAGAAAAAAAAATCTGTTTGTTTTACGACGTATTATAACAACTCTTACACTACTCGTTTGCTTTGTCCCTTTTGTTGTATTAATGCGTCCTGCATGCATTGAAAAAAAAAGAGGCAAATAAAAAAGGAAAGAGAGAAAAAAGAATCCACAGTGGTTCGTGCACGGGAAAGACAAGAGTCAGGGAGCGGAAGGAGCGAGAAAAGGGAAGGAAGCGCTTGCACTGTCCTGTAAGTCCGACGACGTTGTCGTGGGCCTGAGGTCTCAATCCCTTGATTTCTCTACGGAGTGTTATTATGAGTGCTGCGAAGATAGTACTACTGGTGCTTATACGTATCCGTACTCCTACTCTCTGCCCGTCGTTACAGGGCATCACAGGTCCAATATCCAGCACTTTTAGGGCATTCAATCACTGATCAGGGACAGACAGAACCTAGGGGCAGGTCAGGGCAAATGGAAGGGGGGTCACATCGATGGTGCGGTGGCCCAATCACAGCGCACATGTTCCTGGGAAAACGGCGAGTTTATTTGTGTTCCTGATCCACAGCGGCCTAGCGTGCCACTGGACCTGGTGCTTGGGTACATGGCAGTACGAGTACAACGAGTCGGAGCAATAACCCACGCCGTCCGTACCTATACACTGCTCCTCTACGCCATAGTCGGGCAATTATATTCACTCTATACTATTGAACGTACGTGTAGTTATCTGTACTTCCGGTAATACGGTCACCATGTATCCCTATATCTCGTCGCATTATTTAGGTACAGCACAGAGTCGCTCAGAGAGCCGAGTACAGGCAAGTGAGAAGGAGCACTGTGCGTGCGTATTGTACCTGCCTAGGTGATGCCAAGTGGGGCACCTTCTTCCTTGTTTCCTTGCAGGCAAGTGCCAGAGGCCCGTGGACCTTCGTCCAGTGATACGTACCTTCCTTCCCCCGGTCCACGGCCGCGCACACCCCTGTTCTCTTTAATAGATCCAATCTCCCCCGTCTCCCTTCCACTTCTCCTGTCCCACAGTCTCCTTTCTTTTAACAACTCCATTTTCCAGTCACTCCTTCTTTCTCGAGCCCCATCACAGGCCACTTACACTCTCTTTTAAGCAATTATCTTTTCTTGTCTTTGCGCTCGCTAGTCGTCGCGCCCAACTCTCCTTTTATCCATATATCCCACAACGACTCAACTCTTTGTAAGAGTCCAGTTATCACGCTCCCTCAAAAACAAACCACCAAGATGAAGTTCTCCGCTTCCGTTGTCCTGGCTGCTGCCCTCGGCGCCTCTGCCCACCCCAGCCGTGTCGGTCACAAGCACGCCCACCGCTCCCTCGCCGAGCGACAGGAGTTTGTCAAGGCCGTCAACCCCGTCACCGTGACCACCACCATCACCCAGGGCCAGGTCCAGGCCGCCGCCGCCCCCACCGCCGCCCCTTCCTCCAGCAGCAGCAGCAGCAGCAGCGCCACCACCACCTCGTCCGCTGCCGCCTCCTCCACCTCCGCCGCCTCCTCCAGCGGCGGCTCCGGACAGGGCATCAGCGCCTACACCGATTTCTGCAGCGGCAACAGCAAGCGTGCCACCGCCGCCCAGATCGCCTACAAGGGCAACACAGGCACCACCAGCGACTACGGCTGCAACATGATGCTCGCCCAGAGCTCCGTCGCCGAGGAGTACGACCACGTCATCATCCTTGAGAACGCTTCGGACGATGAGCAGCAGTGCGTCTGCTTCAACAAGATCGGCTCCACCGGAGGCATCAACGGCTTCTTCACCGGCAACGAGGCCCTCAACTTCAAGCTCGCCGCCGGCGAGACTCAGCACGTCGTCGTCGACTCCAACTCCCAGGGCGGCTGCACTTGCGGCGCTGGCGAGGTCACCCTCACCGCGTTCGGCGAGTTCGCTGACACCTGGCTCGAGTTCGACATGGCTAACGAGTCCAACGACGGATGGTCTGGCGCTGACGCTTCCTGCCTCGTCTCCGCCGCTGAGGGTCTCAACATCCCCGGTCTCCGTGTCTGCGACGAGGCCAACGGTAGCGGTACCTGCTCCACCATCAACCCCGGCGGTACCGGCACCAACGCCTATCTCGGCGGCATGGAGGACCTGGACGGTGTCGGTCTCAACATCCCCGCTGGCCAAGTCCGCCTCTACGTCACCGTTGGCTACAGCTCTTAGGGACCGACTTTCCTCCAAAAGAAGCCAGGAGCCATGTGACTTTATTTCTTAGTCTGATTTTCGATTGGTGTATTTGGGTACGAATTTTTGGGAAAATTCTTTTGTTCAGGGTTTTTGATACATTGTTGTTTCTTTTTCTTATACAACAAAAGACGGGAAAGGGGTGTTTCGGGTTTCGAAATCCAATGAAGTGTGCCAACATCACATACTTGATAGACAACATTTTGCTTACTCTCATCCCCCCCTTCTTGGTCACTTCTTATGTCCGTTCCGCTGTGACTCGGGCATCCCCCCTTTTTTTCTTTTTACATTTACATATTCTACTTTTGAATACTTGACTTTTTACATGTTAATTCTTTCTGTCTTGTGACCAGGTCAATTGGCTTTGCTACTCTGATGAAGTTGCCTCCAACGGCCCTACCGGGGGTGGTCCTCACTCCGCTCACGTATGTCAGCGTACACACGGATTGTTTCGACGGCTCCTACCGGAAGTAGCCCTCGCTCCGCCACTCGCCTCTGTCAAAGTGCTGCCGCGTCGTTGCATGACTCGGTAAACAAAGCCTGACAGCAATACAGGTCCACCACACCGCACCACACCGCTCGCTCCATATTGTCCCGTCATTTTTCACAGTATACATTTTTCACTCCTTTTTTTGGTACACACCTTGACAAGTACGGGAACCATCCGGATCACTGAATAGAATTATATATATATATATATATATGGTTTATTAATTTTTTTACTCTGGGTCCTATGTACTTTGAATGGGCAAATGGACGGTTGAAGAGGGGAAGAGGGGGGGAAAAGAAGCGAGAAAGATTGAACAATAAATAATAATAATGATAGAAGAGGGATACCCGGACCTCACCGACATACTGACTCACGGCTGCAGATGGAAACTGGCATAGTTTAGCAGTTGAGGAGGAGGCTTAGGGACTAACATGAACAAGCATCCGCCAAGCACCGCCAAGCCGAAGCGGAAGAGCCATCCAGACAATGGGCCACACACTCTAGGAAACCAACCAGGATCTTTTCTTTCCCAGTGAGGAGGAGGGGAAAAAATAGAAAATAAAAAATAAAACAACGCTACGGGATAAGAGGAACAATGTGGAATCGTGGTCTTGGTGGAGTTGGTGGCGTCAAACTCTGTCTTCTGATGGGTTATGGTCCATGGAACGACAACAGACTACATGACATACTATTACTACTCCTAGTAGTAGCAGCGTCCTGCGTGACTTGTCCATCATGGCGTGGCTAGCTGCTACTCCCCACCATCGAGAAACACTGTATGGAGAAGGACCATGAAGAAGGACCGACAGAGGAGCATTAGGGTTTTCGTCCCGGATGCCATGTATTGTTCTATTCTGTATCACACTGTATTCCCTGATAATGACCAGGGTTTTAATAGCCCGGTCAATCCGTAGATGCACGTGGAACAATGGCTGACTCGCCCATACAGGGCCCAGAATCATCTTCCTCTTCTGCGGTGCAAGATCTAGACTGTGCGCTGGTGCCTTCATTGAGCTCTTGTGGCACACACATGCGTCGTGATAGTCGTTGACCTGCGCGCCGTCCTGGCATGTTTGTACTGCACCCGCAGGAAACCCATCAGCAGTGTGCTCCACCAAGGTATCGCCGTAGGGATACCGAAGGCAGTAGATTGTCTCTGTGGAAGAAATTGCCTTGGTGTAGACTGTGCGTACTGCCCCGGGCGTCGGGGTGACCACGACCGGCAGAATCAGGTGCATGGTGCATCCGAATCTGGCCTGGCTTATCATCGTCCCTGGCAGCCTCTCTAGGTTTGTTTCTCCGCCTCATGATGCTGTTGCTGGATCCAACATGGTGGTGGACGTTCCTTTGTGCGTGCTCCGGTGACGAGCCAGAGCTGAGGGAGCCATGACAAGGACGAGGGAGAGGAACATCGGAAGGATGTACATCTTGGGTGGATCGACAAGGTGATTAGAGCGAGCGAAGTGGTCCTTGAAAGAGGATGGTGAGGATTATGATCGATATTGGCACCTAGGTGTTGCTGTGCCACGATGAGGATGAATGCTGTAAAGAGGAAGCCACGGTGGACATGGGAGTGAGCATTAGCAAGGACAGGAAAATGGTAGTTTTGGAAGGAGTATCACGCTGCAACCTGCCACCCTGAAAATTTCATCACTCATTACATCATCATATTCACGACAATCGCTGACCCGAAGAGTGAGGGGAGATGGCCATAGGTTCTAGTGACTATGAATCTTTACAAATCACATTATCAGTACGAGTACATAACCAACCATATCCTGCTCTTTCAAAGGTGTCGATATGATGACCCTTGACGGTCTCTACATGAACCCGGGTATGCCCATCATTGGCTGCGGCGGCGATCCCCAGAGCATACCTTCCACTCCATCCATGGCGTCCATACCCCACATCCAGTCATTCATGACATCGATAGATATGGGGTCCGAGATGAGATCCGACATGGTAGGGTCATCCCGGAACCCGTCATGAGACGGCTGCTGCTCCTGCTGCTCCTGCTGCTCCTGCTCCTGCTGGTGGTTCGATTGCTGGCGAAGCACCTTGCCGAGCGGCGTGGCAGCAGCAGAGTTAGGTGATGACGGTTCAGGTGACACGCCCTCCCTCTCAGCTAACCTATTCAGGGCCTCGAGCGCCTTCGTTGCAGAGGCCTTGATGGCCTGCAGGATGAAAGCCTCGGTAGCCTGCTTGTCAAGACCGGCGGCCGCAGCATCGACGTGGGCCAGACACGCCTCGCCGAACTCGGCGCACTTGATATTGGTCTCGCCGGCCTCGATGCGTCGTAGGCAGAGCCGGAGGCATGCCTCGACCGTGGCGCGCAGGTCGAAGTCATCCACGGCGGGGAGATATCCTAGTGACAGGGCGTGGGCGCCGGTGCTAGGACAGGACTGGGAAGACGGCGCACCGCTCCTGTTTCTGTCCCCGCCGTCGGGTACGGTGGTGGTAGCTGCCTGCAAGAGTTCGATGACGAGCCCGGGAACCGACTGGATCGTCATGTTGCGGAACATGCCCGCCCCGTTGACCAGAAGTCTGTCGAGGTCCGTAGTCCCGGGAGCCACCTGACCTCCAGGTCCCTCTTCCCGTCGGGGCCCGGACAGTCGGCAGAGATGCATCATCTTGAGAGCCCCGTCGAGGTGCATCTTGCGTGAGAAGTGAAACTTGGGATCCTCCAATGATCGGACGATGATGGGCTGGTGCAGAGTGTGGAAGCACCGGTACACTAGGAGCTCGGCCACTGCCGTGTGGAACTCTCTGACAGGATGGGAGGGGGAGGAGGGCGACGAAGAGAGCGAGATTGAGGAAGGTGACGTCGAGGAGGTGGCAGCAGAGGCCGAAGACGAGGCATGCAGGAGCTCAACCATACACCGCGAGATGCGACGGCAAGCCCTAGTGAGCTCCGAGTTGAACCGGAGAGTCTCGTCGTACGAGTCGTCGGCGCGGAAGTCGTTGACGTGCTGCAGCAGGCGCAGACGGAGGGGCAGCGACTCGAGGAGCTGCAGTGGGACAGACATCTGCGTGACCCTGACGCCGGAAGTGCTTCCATGGGCACCATGATCCTTGCTGCCGCCATCTCCGCTTCTCCTGCGAGAATCCACCCGGCTCTCTTCATCATCAGGCACTTGGTCAGACAGCTCCTCGTCGTCAAAGTTGCCGGGAAGTTGGACGTCGTTGTCGAGGCCGCCCATGAGGGGGGGACCTCCGGCATCAAAGGCCGATTGGAGGTTGAGCTCCACGATTGTGGCCCACAGCCTGCGCCTCATCTCTGCGCGATGCCTCGTCTTAATGCCCAGGTGGCGAGGGTCCCGATGCAGACCCATGCATATTGCCTTCCGGATCAGGTCTCCGGCCGTGATCCAAGCCAGGTCCTGGTCCACGCCGCACACGCTGCGGGCCAGGGTGAGGAGGCACATGTTTTGGATGCCGGGAATGGTCATACGGTCCTTTCCCGGGGGCAGGATGAGCCACAGCTGAGCCTCGTATACCCACCGAGCCGCCTGGGACCTCAGCGAGAATCCCGCATCGTGGATCACGCTGCCCAGAGCCATGACCAGCTGTAACTGCATGATGAAGTGGGCGCACGTCGCTGGTCTCGCGCTCTCGTCATTCTCGCTGCGCCAGTACATCTGGTACAGCTCCCGAAAGGTCGGAACGTGGACGATGCGGAACACACCTTCAAAGGTGCGCAGGTATGCCTCCACCAGGTCGTCGGCCACATGTCGGGGGACCATGGTCTTTCCGAGATCTATCGACGACAGCGGCGCCTGTCGCCGCTCCTTGACCTTGCGACCGACTGACTTGCAGCGGCCAAGGAGGCTGAGGAGCTCTGGATCGCCATCGCCCGAAGGGTGCATCAGTCTCATTTCTTGGGTGAACTGTAGGCTGTCAGTACCAGCTCACATACGCTGGAGTGCTTACATGTTATACAATGCAGTGTTACAGGGCTGATTGAAAGGTGAATGGGCAGAGGGTGGATGAAACTCACGAGTCCAACACCGTGCATCCAGTGACTCCGGCCGAGATACTTAATCCTCGAAACGGGGCACTTGGCAGCTGACGCCGTCGACGAAAGCCCAGGTGTCGGGGCTGATGCGAGCGACGACCCGGTCTGCGGCTGCGGCTGCGACGGAGATGGATGAGACTGCAGTGAATGCGACTGTGCTTGTCGGTCACGCAGATGCTTCTGGACGGTAATCTCCCTCTTGTCGATGGTTGCGGTCCTGGACATTCGCTCCTCGATATGGGTGACCAGCCAATCGACATTTTCGGTACTGGCCATCTTGTTATCATGACTCTCTTGGTCGTCACTGTCCCTGCCATGGTCATACTTATTACTCTCCGGAGTAGGTAAGATGGTCAATGGGCGCTGCTGCCGCTGCTGATAGGAATCGATGTGTCTAGGGACAGGCACGTCAGGCGCTTTGGAGTCCTTCTTCTTCCTCCCAAGAGTAGACTTTGTCGTCTTTTTCCGTGAAAGAGGCGTGTGCGTGGGGATGTAGCGACATGCGGTCCCGGCGCCAGACTTGACGCAGTGGTTGCAGGGTAGGTTCCTGTCGCAGCGAATCTTGCGACGACGACATTGCTCGCATGACAGGGCTGGACGACGGCGTTTCTTGGGCGGTAGACCTGGCCCGACTGACCCGGATACTGCTGAAGCTGAAGTTGCGACTGCCTCTGGTGCTGCTGCTGGTGCAGGAGCAGATGTATCTGTCATATCAGGTGAGAGTTGTTCTGTCGTCATATTGACGTGGATCCACCAACGGGGATTGTCAATATTCGTTTGGGTGTCTTATTGAGACAAATCAATGAGTTACAAAAAAAAAAACAAAAAAAAAAAAAGACCAAAAGAAGAGAAAGAGAAGAGTAAGGCGAAGAAGAGAAAGAGAGAGAAAGAGATAAGAGATTGATTATGACGAGATTCGTAAGAGCTTTGTGAACAAGTTTAGAAATGGGAGGTATGAAAAGACCGAGATGATTCTACAAAGTGATTGGTTGGGAATGGAGGGAATTCACCGAGAGGGACGCGTGGTGAGGAGGGAAAGAGTAAGACGGAGAGAATAGATGGGACGCGACGACGCAAGCGATGCAATTAGGATGGAGTTTATGTAACGTCTCGTGAGCCACTGTATTTTGCGTGTGCGTGTCTATGTATTCCGGTCGTGCATCAGATCTCAAAGATGGGATGGTATATCGAAACATGATATGGGCATACATGTATGTATATACATATGTACGGGATGACGACGATACCAAAAGCAAGCAGGAAAAACAAATGAGCACAAAACATGGCACATGGAGATGGATAGGGTATTGGTGATATATGACAACCACAGACCAACGGATATTCATGTCATTGTACAAAGTTGTCCTACCCTCCTTTCATCACAACAACTACATTATAAAGTTGACCAAGAAACATGTAAAGAAAAAAAAGACAAGTCTGGCTAGACAAGTTACATACATCCAATAAGACTTTCCTACATGACAACCACTTGTGTCCTTGAAATAGAGAGAGAGAGAGAGAGACCAAGAAAAACAAGAGAACAAGATGGAGAAAAGAAGGGGAGTACAAAAAAGAGAACAGACAACTAGACAGCTAGATATATACCCCTGACCTTGACTTTGATCTATATAAAGAACAACGAGATTGGGGGGAAGACAGAAATAAACAATAAGAGCCTTGGTCTTGGGAGAGGAGAGGGGGGAGCGGGGGAGGGGGAGGGGGGGAGGGGGGTATATAGAAAAAAAGTCTCTTGTTCCTTCTTTCATCTCCTTCTGTTTTTGTTTCTTTTGTACACGGATTCTCCCTTTCTTTCTTCTCTCCTGTCAAGTTTCCCAATCACACATACAACCTTCCTGGAAAACCTCTTCGACGCCTTTTTTTCGTCTTTCAATATAAAGGGACGAGACAGAGTCATTTAGAGAAGAAGCTCAAGAGGGTTCTCAATCACCTTCTTGAACTCGCGAATCCACTCGGCACCCACGGCACCGTCAACGACCCTGTGGTCGAAGCTGCCGCTGATGGTGATCTGGTCCTCCCACTCCGTCGACGTGGTGCCGTCGTCGTTCTCGACGGGGACGGCAACCTTGCGCGTGGTACCGATGGCCAGGATGGCCGCCTGAGGAGGGTTGATGATGGCCGTGAAGTGGTCGATGGCGCTGTTCATGCCCAGGTTGGAGATGGAGATGGATCCACCCTGATACTCCTCGGGCTTGAGCTTGCCGTCACGCGCCTTCTTGGCCAGGGCCTTGACCTGGTTGGAGATGGACTCGAGGCCACGCGACTCGGCGCCCGTGACGATGGGGGTGATGAGGCCGTTGGGGGTTGAGACGGCGACCGACACGTCGACCGTCTTGAACTGACGGATGACACCGTCGCGCCAGCTGGAGTTGACGGCGGGGACCTTCTGCGAGGCAATGGCTATGGCCTTGATCAGGAAGTCGTTGACCGACAGCTTGTAGCGGCCGTCGGCCTTGCTGTTGAGGGCCTGGCGGAGAGCCAAGAGCTTGCCGACAGACAGCTTGCTGGTGACGAAGAAATGAGGGTTGGTCTGGACAGACTCCTGCAGGCGCGAGGCAATCGTCCTGCGCATACCTGAGATGGGGATGTCCTCGTAGGTGGCACTGGGAGCGGCGGCGACGGTGGCGGCGGCAGGGGCGCTGATGGCCTTCTGGACGTCAGCCTCGGTGATCTTGCCACCAGGACCGGTGCCCTTGATTTCCTCAACGGAGATGCCGTTCTGACGGGCCAGACGCTTGGCCTGAACCGACGCGTTAGGCTGGCGCTCGAGCGAAGTCTGGAGCCTGCCCTGGGTCTCGGTGTACTGCTCAGCAGCGGGAGCGGGGGCCGACGAGGCGGACTCGGCGGGTTTGGGGGCCGCAGCCGAGCCGGAAGACTGGGCAACGTCGCCAGCATCCTCGGCGGTGAACTTGTCAAACGCAGAGACATCGGTGCCCTCCTCGACGAGAACGGCAATGGGCTATGGAGAGGGGAAGGGAAGCGCGTTAGCATTAGTATTTCCAGAAGAGCAATTATTCATTAGATTCCAATGGGAGAGGATTCAATCTTGGGGCTATGTTGACGACGACAAGAGGGGGTATGTGTTGGCAATGGAAGGAATAGAAATATATATATATATATATATATATGCATATATATACATACCGTACCGACGGGGAGGTCCCTCTCGCCAGTCTCTTTTAGGATCTTGGCAATGACACCGTCCTCCTGGAACTCAAAGTCCATCTGGGCCTTGTCCGTCTCGATCTCGACGAGGACATCGCCGGGGGCGATGGAGTCGCCAGCCTTCTTGGCCCAGGCGCCGATGCCACCGGACTGCATGGTGGGCGACAGAGCGGGCATCCTGATGACCTGATGGCTGGGGAAGGAGGCGTAGTAGCGGACTACGTTAGCCGAGAAGCCCAAGCGGAGGGCATTGTGAGTCGGGGCGAGGGCACGCCTCCGGAGTGCGGCGCTGAGCATCTTGGTAGTTCGGGGGGAGGGGGGGGGGGGCGGGATGTTGAAAATAGCTCTTCTAGGGGTCGTTGTTTTCCTTTGCTCAGCAAGAGAGCAAAATAGGAGACAAGAGGAGTGAATTTATGAGAGGGAGAGAGAGTGAGAGAAGAAGAAGAAGAAGCGATGCCGCCAAAGGGGAGAGGAAGGGGGGAGGTGAGAGAAGTTCGGCCGTTTGGAGGGAGGAAGAAGAGAAGGGGAAAGAGAGGAAGAGGCTCGTGGTGATGGGATTTGGCTCGGACGCCCTGGGAAATCTTTTGGGGCGTTGAGGAAGGAGCGAGCTCGAAAAGCTATCGGAGGCTAAGCCTAATTTGGAAGAGAGATATCCACTGGGACTGTGTCTGGCAGAAGTTCGAGTAGGAGATGTTGACGGATAATTGCATATATGTAACTGATTTCATTCATCTCAAGTTGAAAAAGAAAGTTGTATAATGGCCATTGAGAGCTGCATGTTTTTTTCCTCCTTGGAAGAGAACCGAGAAAAACCCCCTCGATCTTCCTGTTTTGTCCGTCATTCTCGTCCATGCGCGCATTTCGGCGTCTGTCCGGAGCACGTTTAATGACAGGTAGAGCTAGTACATGTATACGTACCAAGTATCATTACATAATACAGCCATCGGTACGAGGCTGTTGCTCCGTATGCGGCGTTTGTCAATTAAGGGGAGAAGGGAGAGATTATACACAGCCTGAGGCATCGGTCGGAGACATCAGCCTGAGGCACCAGACTGAGGCATCCGTCCCGTCCAAGGCATCAATATACGTACAGATTACATGTACTCCGTACATTCACTAAGGCGCAGCATTGCAAGAGCCGCGTCTATTGAAATTTAGGCGTGTGCCGTCCACTGAGTCCAGGCTCCACTCCGCTATTACAGTGGATCTAGCCCCCCCCCGGCCCCCTGGACTTAGCCTTGGCCCTTGGAGCCCGGCCTTTAACTTGGGATCCCCTAATTCTCCGTCAGTCCAAGCAGACTACGGAGCAATACGGAGTACGGAGTATTATTACACGTACAGTGCAATACTGCTGTTGGAATCTTTTACAGCGCGTCTTCTGTATAGGTCCCCTGTATTCTGTCAACTTTTTATCATAATTTGTACCGGCGGATACTGTACAGATAGTCTGCAGCCTACCGTATTCTCTTCCGTCTGTACTCGTACTTTACGTTGCACCCCGTACAATCGATTTTCCCGTGCATTGATCAGACTCTCTGTCTATATGTATGGTAACAGTAAATTGGAGGGCAATGGTAATATACCGCATTCTGATAATACTAATAGCAAGTGTTAAACGACCTGCGTATACTCAGCCTTGCGTCCGTGCTATATGCACATCATCCTGTGCATCTCGTACTCCGTGATGTACGGTGATATATGCCTTAGGGTTCCGTCAGTTACGGTGGCTGTCTCCTTTGTCTCTACGTATCTCTGCAGATTACAGATAGAGCTGTTAATCATTCAGAATTTTTTTTTTTTTACTCGTACTCCAATGTTCGTATATGTCGAATATTCGTTAAAACAATCGCACGCAGTTAAATCTAAATTCTCAGGTTTACGCGTATGATTTTATCCGAATTGTAACCCGTGTATCCCTCCGCGTTCAAGCGGTTACTGTATATATAACCGTACACTGCACAAAAAGTCTATACAAAGCCCTGAGCACGAGTACCCAAGCCCCGATACCACCGTCTAAAACGGTATCACACGTGCACCGTTTTCAATCTTACGGACACTCGCAGCACTCGGTGGCCCGAACTCCTGGTTTTCCTCTGGTCTTGACTCTCTGCTGGCTCCAGTCCACGGCTCCAGTCCCTGGCTCCAGCTCTCTCTGAATTCTCAGGCTCGGCACAGCTGTCCACTTCTGAGCGTCTGTCACTCGTATACGACCAACGTCCATCCTATTCAATCGCCGGACACGACCCTCGAGAGTATCACCACGAACTCGCACGCTACCCATCCACACAGACACACGCGCGCAAAGACCACGGCCTGTCTCTTGTCTGCCGTGCGATCCATTGACCCTGCAAACCAAAACAGTCCCCGCCACTGTATACCCTCCCCTCCCCGCTGGAGAGCGCGCCGTATATAGTACAATATCGATTCTCGTCTCCCTCCCACCAGAACTCGAAATCTCCATATACGAATGGCCCCAACAGTTACCGCCCCGCTCCTCTCATGAGCTCTCTCAAGTTTGTCGTGTCGTCCTTGGACGCCATTGCCTCGTCCAAGGATGCACAGAGAAACAAGCAGCTCGCCCTCCTGGCCAACAAGGCGCTAGACGCCATCAAGGAGCAGGACAAGCTGCCCGACCCCGAACTCGTCTTTGCGCCCCTCCAGCTCGCCACCAAGACAAACAACACCCAGCTCATCACCAGCTCCCTCGACTGCATCGGCAAGCTCATCTCCTACTCGTACTTTTCCGTCCCCAGCAAGGACCCCAACGCCGACCCGGAGCCAGTGTCCCCCGGCGCAGCCGAGCCCTCGCTCCCCCACCACCAGCAACAGCATCAGGACCCGGCCCCTCCTCCACCCCCTCCCAAGGATGACGAGCCTGAGAACTCCTCGACCGCCCAGACTCAAGAAGAATCCGAGAAGAAGGACGAGGGATCCGCTCAGGGGCAAGAGTCTAGGGGGGACGACGAGTCCAAGGAGGACAGGGAGCAAGATGAAACCTCCGATGAACAAAAACAAGAGGACTCGTCAGAGTCGAAGGAGGGTGAAGACGAGGAGAAGAAGCAGTCTGAACCTCAGCTCGAGCAGCAGCAGCAGCAGCCCCAGGTCCAGTCTGAACCCCAGCCGAAGCCTCAACAACCCCTACCGCCGCCCCTCATCGAACGGGCCATCGACACCATATGCGACTGCTTCCAGGGCGAGACCACGGCCGTCGAGATTCAGCTGCAGATTGTCAAGTCGCTGCTGGCCGCCGTCCTCAACGACAAGATTGTCGTCCACGGTGCTGGCTTGCTCAAGGCCGTCCGTCAGGTTTATAACGTCTTCCTCCTCTCCCGTAGCACCGCCAACCAGCAGGTCGCCCAGGGCACCCTGACCCAGATGGTCGGCACCGTCTTCGAGCGCGTCAAGACGAGGCTGCACATGAAGGAGGAGCGTCTCAACCTGGCCGCCCAGGCTAACGGCGGCGCCAACCACCACGGCGGGGCGAGCACGGACACTCTCGACGGCCACTTCGAGCACGACATCCCTTCCATCATCGCCACGGCCGCCTCCGATGATCGCGATGACATAACGACGCAGGTCACCGGGAACGGCGACGAGGTCGAGAGTCCCATCTCCATCGGCGCTGCCAAGCTCACCCTCAAGGATCTCGAGCACCGCAAGAGCTTCGACGACTCCAACCTCGGCGACGGTCCCACGACCGTCACCCGCATCAAGGCCGCCGGTGGCAAGGCCAACGGCAACAGCCGCGACGACAGCGTCTCCGTCTCGGGCTTCTCCACCGCCACGGGCACAGGCACCATCTCTGGCGCCGGCGGCCCCGATGACCACGGCAGCATCGAGGCCCTCGAGGCCGCTGAGGAGGACGAGATCTACATCCGCGACGCCTACCTCGTCTTCCGCTCCTTCTGCAACCTGTCGACAAAGGTCCTCCCGCCAGACCAGCTCTATGAAATCCGCGGCCAGCCCATGCGCTCCAAGCTCGTCTCCCTGCACCTCATCCACACGCTCCTCAACAACAACATCAGTGTCTTCACCTCGCCCCTCTGCACGATCAGGAACTCCAAGAGCAACGAGTCCACCTCGTTTCTCCAAGCCATCAAGTTCTACCTCTGCCTCAGCATCACGCGCAACGGCGCCAGTTCCGTCGACCGTGTCTTTGAGGTCTGCAGTGAAATCTTCTGGCTCATGCTCAAGTTTATGAGGCCTTCCTTCAAGGTAACGTGTCCCTTCTCCCATCCTCTCACCATCCCTCCTCTGGCCCCGTCTCAATCTAGCAAGCATGACCGGTTCTGTGCTGTGCTGACACTCCACTGTAGAAGGAGATTGAAGTCATCCTCAACGAAATCTACCTCGCCCTCCTGTCCCGCAAGAACGGTCCCATCTCGCAGAAGCTTTACTTCGTCAACATCCTCAACCGACTCTGCGCCGACCCCCGAGCCCTTGTCGAGATATACCTCAACTACGACTGCGACCAGACCGTCGACAACATCTACCAGTCCATCATCGAGGACCTTTCCAGGTTTGCCATTGCTCCTGTCGCCATCACGTCGTTACACGAGCAGGCATACGAGGAGGCCCGCTCCAAGGTGTCCCCCGCCAGCGAGTGGCAGCTCAAGACCATCCTGCCGCCGTCCCTCACCGTCGCCCGAATCGTCCCCCCACAGGAGCCCGAGGCCGACTACCCCAAGGACTACGCCATCAAGCGCATGTCCCTCGAGGCCATGATCGAGTCACTTCGGTCGCTCGTCAACTGGTCCGCCGCAGTGCGGTCCGACGGCGACGGCCCGAGGGCCACGGCCAGCGCCGACGACAAGGACAACGCCAGCAACAACAATAACCACGGCCTGTCCCTGGACGAGGTGCGCCCCTCGATTGACCCGTCAATCGCCGACAGCGTCTCCACGCCGCTGCCGCCCAACACGCCGGTCCTCGACGACGACCCGGATCAGCTTGAGAAGGAGAAGGCGCGCAAGACGGCCCTCACAAACGCCATTCGCCAGTTCAACTTCAAGCCCAAGAAGGGCATAAAGCTTCTGTTGCGCGACGGCTTTATCGCCAACGACAGCCCCCAGGAGATTGCCAGCTTCCTCCTGCGCGAGGACAAGCTGGACAAGGCGCAGATCGGCGAGTTCCTCGGCGAGGGCGACCAGAAGAACATTGAGATCATGCACGCCTTTGTCGACTCGATGGACTTCACCAAGACGCGCTTCGTCTCAGCCCTGCGCCACTTCCTGCAGTCGTTCCGTCTGCCAGGCGAGGCGCAGAAGATTGATCGCTTCATGCTGAAGTTCGCCGAGCGCTATGTCCTGGGCAACCCCAAGTCGTTCGCCAACGCCGACACGGCTTACGTGCTGGCCTACTCGGTCATCTTGCTCAACACGGACCTGCACAGCAGCAAGATCCAGAAGCGCATGAGCAAGGAGGAATTCATCAAGAACAACCGCGGCATCAACGACAACGCCGACCTGCCCGACGAGTACCTACTCAGCATCTACGACGCCATCGCCAGCAACGAGATAGTCCTGACCAGCGAGCGCGAGGCCGCCGCCGCCTCGGGCTCCCTGTCGTCCCAGCAGCAGCCCACGGGAATCGCTGCCGGCCTGGGGCAGGCTCTGTCCAACGTGGGGCGCGACCTCCAGCGCGAGGCCTACGTGCAGCAGTCGGAAGAGATCTCGACGCGGTCCGAGGCCCTTTTCAAGACGCTCTTCAAGACGCAGCGCCGAAACGCCACCAAGGGCGGCCCCAAGTTCATCCCGGCCACGTCCTTCAAGCACGTCGGACCCATGTTTGACGTGACCTGGATGTCCATCTTCTCGGCCCTGTCATCTCAGATCCAGAAGGCCTCCAACATCGAGGTCAACAAGCTCTGCCTCGAGGGGATGAAGCTGGCCACTCAGATTGCTTGCGTCTTCGAGCTGTCGACGCCGCGCGAGGCCTTCATGTCGGCCCTGAAGAACGGCACCAACCTCAACAACCCGCAGGAGATGCAAGTAAAGCACATCGAGGCTCTCAAGGTCATACTCGAGCTGGGCCAGACTGAAGGCAACGTGCTGCGCGGGTCGTGGAAGGACGTGCTGATGTGCATCAGCCAACTGGACCGCCTGCAGCTCATCTCGGAGGGCGTGGACGAGAATTCGATCCCCGACGTGTCTAAGGCGCGCTTCATGCCTCCGGGGCGGTCTGAAACGCACGACTCGCGATCATCGACGCAGTCGGCGCGCCTCAAGCAGTCCCGGCCCAGGGCCGGCACGGGCCCCCGCGGCTTCTCGACCGAGATCGCCCTGGAGAGCCGGTCCGACGAGGTGATCCGCGCCGTCGACCGCATCTTCTCCAACACGGCCAACCTAACGGGCGACGCCATGGTGTACTTTGCCAAAGCGCTAGTCGAGGTCAGCTGGGACGAGATCAAGGTGTCCGGGTCCAACGAGTCGCCCCGCACGTACAGCCTGCAGAAGATTGTCGAGATCAGCTACTACAACATGGACCGCGTCAGGTTCGAGTGGAGCCGCATCTGGGAGGTGCTGGGCGAGCACTTCAACCTCATCGGATGCCACAACAACATGAATATCGTCTTCTTCGCCCTCGACTCGCTGCGCCAGCTGTCGATGCGCTTCATGGAGATTGAGGAGCTGGCGGGCTTCAAGTTCCAAAAGGATTTCCTCAAGCCCTTTGAGCATGTGCTGGCCAACTCAAGCAACCCCACAGTCAAGGACATGGTGCTGCAGTGCCTGATCCAGATGATCCAGGCGCGCGGCGACAACATCCGGTCCGGGTGGCGCACCATGTTCGGCGTCTTCACCGTGGCGGCGCGCGAGCCCTACGAGAGCATCGTCAACCTGGCCTTTGACAATGTCAACCAGGTGTACCGCACCAAGTTCGGCATCGTGGTGTCGCAGGGCGCTTTCACCGACCTCATCGTCTGCCTGACCGAGTTCTCCAAAAACCTCAAGTTCCAGAAGAAGGGCCTGGCCGCGCTCGAGCTGCTCAAGTCCATTATCCCCACCATGCTGAAGACGCCCGAGTGCCCGCTGTCCCAGAAGCACATCGACCCCGACAGCAGCGCTGCGGCCAAGAAGTCGACGGACTCGCTCAAGCGCACCAACACATCGGTCGAGGAGGGCTTCTGGTTCCCGGTCCTCTTCGCCTTCCACGACGTCCTCATGACGGGCGAGGACCTTGAGGTGCGCTCCAACGCGCTCGAGTACTTCTTCAGCACCCTCATCAAGTACGGCGGCGATTTCCCCCCGGAGTTCTGGGACATACTGTGGAGGCAGCAACTGTATCCCATCTTCATGGTGCTCCGGTCGCGGCCGGAGATGTCTAACGCCCTCAACCACGAGGAGCTGTCGGTCTGGCTGTCGACGACCATGATCCAGGCCCTGCGCAACATGATCACCCTCTTCACCCACTACTTCGAGTCGCTTGAGTACATGCTCGACCGTTTCCTGGAGCTTCTGGCCCTGTGCATCTGCCAGGAGAACGATACCATCTCGCGTATCGGCTCCAACTGCCTCCAGCAGCTCATCCTCAAGAACGTCACCAAGTTCACCGACGAGCACTGGTCCAAGATTGTCGGCGCCTTCTGCGAGCTGTTTGAGCGCACCACGGCCCACCAGCTCTTCACCGCCGCCGCCATCAACTCGACCGCGTCCCTGTCGCCTCCGAACGGTCTCGACTTTTCCACCAACGACCAGCATCACGATGCGGCCGTGGTGGGCGATAGCAAGTCTCTCAAGATTAACGGTCACGATGACGAGGTACCAGGTGCCTCTTCCTCCACGACCGGAGACGATGAAGATGATGACGAGGAAGACGAGAAGGACGACGAGGAGGTGGAGGAGAGGCCCGCGCCCACACCGACGATGCCAGCCCGCCTGGAAGAGTTCAAGCCGACGTCTAACCTGCAGCAGCAGCCGGTGGTGGTGACGGCAGCGCGCCGGCGCTTCTTCAACCGCATCATCTCACGGTGCGTGCTGCAGCTGCTCATGATCGAGACGGTCAACGAGCTCTTTAGCAACGACACGGTGTACGCGCACATACCGTCGACGGAGCTCCTGCGGCTGATGACGCTACTGAAACGGTCGTTCCAGTTCGCGCGGCGCTTTAACGAGGACAAGGAGCTGCGCATGCGCCTCTGGCGTGAGGGCTTCATGAAGCAGCCGCCTAACCTTCTCAAGCAGGAGAGCGGTTCTGCGGCGACGTACGTGTCCATCCTGTTCAGGATGTTCGCCGACGCTGACCCGGAGCGCATGCGCAGCCGGCCGGACGTCGAGGCGGCCCTGGTCCCGCTGTGCAGGGACATCGTCAACGGGTACACGGCGCTGGAGGAGGAGAGCCAGCAGCGTAACATTGCCGCCTGGAGGCCCGTCGTCGTCGACGTGCTTGAGGGCTACGCCACCTTCCCTGACGACGCCTTCAGGGCGCGCATCCCCGACTTCTACCCCATGACGGTCGACCTGCTGGGCAAGGACCTGACGCACGACCTGCGCTCCGCCCTGCTCACCGTCCTCCGGAGGGTGGGCGAGGTCGGCCTCGGCATCCATGGTCTGGCCAAGGCTGGTGGGCGTCGTAGAGAGAGCATGCTCAGCAATGCTGGCGGTGGTACGGATGCACAACACGAAGATGGTGTGCCTGTCTCGGACCAGAGTGAGGCGGCGGCCAGGAGAATGCTCTAAAATTCCCCCCCCTCTTTTCTTCTCCCTTTTATATGTCTTTGTATCTGTTTTTCTTTTTCTTTCTCTTCGTGTCTCGTCTGCTTTTTCATTATTATTCTACTCTTGTTATTATAGGCCCTCTTGATTTGGTCGAGGTTTTACCTTTTTACGTGGTATGTAGTAGATTGTACCATTAGGAGAGAAAGAATATATATATTCGAGATCTACGGACATGCCTATTGTGTAATAGACGGAGTAAATGTATAAAGACGCGGCAGGCGAAGCCAGCGGGGCTCCTAGAGGAAGAAAATTCAGCAGAGCGTTTATATCGTGTAGCGCGTTTCATCATGAAGGCATGAGTGAAGGATTATAGTACATAGATGGAGGCATGCATGGCAGCTGTCTAGGCGAGCAGCGAGCCGATGTATTCCCTCAGCGGCTCGGCCTCGTCCTCTACGGTACGATCGGGAAGAGTGCGCAGGGCTTCGACGAGCTTGTCGTCGTCGGCGACGGCGGCCTTGACGAGGGCGGAGAGAGTGGCGTCGGACGAGGAAGAGCGTGTGGGAGCAACGCGCATGACACTGACGAGGGTCTCGAAGAAGTCGACGAGACTGAGGTGCATGAGTGCATCGGAGCGGTCGACCATGGCGAGGGCGGCCCAGGGGAGCAGGGCGGTGTCGGAGCCGGATATGGCGGCCAGGTTGAGGGAAGCGAGGCGCGGCAGGAGGCGGAGGATACGGCCCTGAGACAGGGAGATTTGGCGGTCGGTACGCGGGGGGTCCGAGGGATGTTGTTCCGAGGGGGTGGCGTGCCGCGGGATGAGGGTGGACGTCGGACGGCTCTCGAGGAGCAGGGACCAGAGACGGCCGTGGCCGGGCTGGATGGCAGTCGCGCCGTTAAGCTGAGACGGGGCGACCACACAGTCCGCCTCGAGAACGTCTCCCAGCACCCTGGCCGCACGCTCGGCCACGCCTACGTCCTGGGCGTCCAGCCAGCAGCGGAGCACGTCCTCGAAGACGTCGGGCATGGTACTCAGGATGGCAGCGTCGGCGGGCGACGCGGCAGCCTTGTGCAGCACGGCCAGGGCCAGCAGGTTGGCCCCGGGGAGCGGAGACCGCAAGGCCGTCGTGAGGGACGGCGGGTCGGCAATAGTCAGGCACCGCGCGAATGTAAGCGGGCCGAGAAGCTTGACCGTCAGGGAGAGGCAGGGCGTTGGGTCCTGCGTCGTGGACTTGAGGACGGTGGTGAGTGGTGGGAGGAGCGCGGTGAGGAGCGGCGGGATGTTGTCCTCTAGGGGGGTGTTGCATGTTAGTCTTGCCTCTCTCTCTCTCTCTGTTTGTTTGTTTTATGGTGCGGAGGGAGGGGGGAGGGGTATATTATATATCAAATTCTTTACCCGTTAGCTGAAGCTCGACGTCATCGAATAGCTTGGCGTCGAATGGTGTCGAGGCATCGTTGGTGAGGTCGTCGAGATGGGTCTGCAGCTCGGACAGTCTGTGGATGGAGATGGTGTCCATGGTGGTGGACTGTGGGACGATTCGCTCCGACATTTGCGTCTGTGGAAGAGACTGGACTGTGGACGTCATGAATATTCACCATGAAGTCTGCGATGCGGGCGTAGCTTATCCGATTTATTTCATATTCCATCACGTGACTCGCGACATGCGCCTTCAGCATGGGCAGCTGCCATTACACATTCCTCCAAGACTCTTACACACTCGCATGTGCGAGAAAGCATCTATACGGACCCCGTCACCTGAGCAGGCTGAACCTCTAGCTCCTTCAAGTGTCCCAGTCTCCGCACATTCTCCAAGGATTCATTCCGATTCTCTGATCTGATATTCCGAAACGCCTATGATCTTCTACTTGGCCTGCTCCTCACTCAGATCATACGGCTCGCCCACACGCCAGCTGACATCGTCGTTGCTCCCCGTGAAATCCTTCCACCTCCACTCGTCCTCCTTCTGCTCTCCCTCCTCGATGAGCTTCTTGACCCATCCCCCAGCATTGGGCAGCATCTTGAAGGCCGTGCCCGAATCCCCCGTAGCCACGACGACGCCCTTCTTCCCGGGAATGTAGTCGATGACGTAGCACGAGTCCCTCGTGTCGGCGATCCAGCACATGTGCTTGTTGACCAGGGGCCTGTCGGCCAGCGCTGGCAGGGTGTCCCTGAGCAGCCTCCTCACGCTCTCCTCCTGACTGGAGGGGATGTACGAGTTATCGTCGGGGGGCAGCGAGATGCTGCCTCCGCGGTAGTTGGTGATGCCCGCGCCCATGGGGCATATCTTGAGCAGGCCCGTGCGGGGGTCGGGCTCGAAGAGGAAGCCGAGGTCGCGCGCGTAGGTGACGGGGATGCCGCGCAGCCTGGCAGCCTCGTCGGGCGTGAGCTGGACGTGCGCTACGGCGAAGGCCTTGGCCGTGATCTGCGGCGCCAGCTCGGGGACCACCCCCGCCACCGACGCGCCCAGGGTCACCACCACGACGTCGGCGGGGTGCAGCTTGCCCGACGCCGTGTGGACGCCCACGCACTCGTCCCCCTCGAATGCGAGCCGCTCGACGCCGTCCCCCAGCAGGAACCGGACCCCCATGTCGCAGCATGCCGCGTACACGGCGTGCATCGAGTCCGTCGCATGCACCCAGCCCGCCAGCGTGTTGAAATAACCCCTCCAGTCCATGGGGCCGTCAAACGCCGGCGCCAACTCCCGGATGTCCTGACGGCTCTCGATGGGCCTGATGCGACCCTTCCACGCCTCCCGCTGCGAGATGTTGCTCAGGGACTTGGCCAGCGTCTTCTTGGCCTTGTCCGGCGCCCCCGGCGAGTTGGCGAGCAGGTATCCCACCTGGTGGTAGTAGGGAGCGAACAAGGGGTCTTCCTGCCAGAGCTTCATGGCCTCCAGGGCCAGGTCGGCGTACCGCGGGTTCTCGTCCTCGGCCCGCACAATCTTGTTCAGATCGTGGCCAGCTGAGCTGTTGGAGGGTAGGAACTCGCTTGAGTCGATGACGCTGACAGACGTGTATCCCGACTTTGCGAGGTGGTAGGCCGTCGAGAGGCCGAATGTGCCGCCGCCCACAATGAGAATGCGCTTTGGAGTTGTCATGATGGTGGTTGTCCTGTCTGGATTAGAGGACGCGCGCGCGTGCGTGCGTGCGTGCGTGCGTGCGTGTGTGTGTGTGCGTGTGTGTGTGTGTGTGTGTGTGTGTCTTGTATATCCGTATTACTCTACAGTACTCTGCAGTAGACTTCCTTATAATTTCCCCCGCCGCATAGACCGGATGACTAACTTCCCAGTAGATCATATTTCGATCAATCACAGGTCTAGGCCGTGTACATATATGTATGCATCGTGATCAAACGACATGGCTGCATCGCCGTAATGCGGAGCCTTCGGTGCTGACTGGACCGCCTTCTCTCCGGTCCCCACCGAGGACCTACCACCCGCTCGGGTCGACCTTCCCCATCCCACAAGCACAATCACGAACTCTTTGCTGGGTTTGGTTCAACGCTCTAGTCATCTGTCTATCTGTCTATCTGCAGAGCCCCCAGCTCAGCTCCTCCTCACTCCATCCTGCACAAACGGCTTCATGGTGGAAGACGCATACCGCGCAATCTTCCACTTCCCACCCTCGTCTTTCCTGACGATGAACAGCTCCTGGTTGGCATGCGGCTCCTCCGCGCTGCTCTCCAGCATCGTCCTGGTCACCCTGGCCGTGGTTCTGGCAAACGCCCACTCCTGCGATATGACCACTACCTCGTCTATGCTGAACTCGACCCTGAGCTGCGCCGTAGGCGTGCAGGAGGGCGGTGATGTCTTCGACTCCGGACCCTGGTTCTTCTTTCTTGTCGGCGTGTGTTGTGTGACATTTGGGGTTGACACAACTTACTCTTGTTTTTTCCGTCTCTCTCTGCGTAGCTACGTACGTATATGTATATGTGTGTGTGTGTTACCACATAGAGGACGATACGGATATCTGACGTCAGGAAGGATGAGACGTCGAACTTGGGGATGAAGGTGACGTATCCTGTATTTCGTACCTGGTGGGCACGTAAGGTCTCTGAAAATGGATTCCGTGGGTATATCTATGTTCTTCTGGCATCCCATTGAGAACGGTGACGAGAATGATGCCGCCAAGCGGTACATATGAGCCGTACGGCTGCAGAAGCCCCCGGTACGGCATGATGCTCCTGGAGATGCCCTGGGCCTCCATGCCGCGACAGAAGAAGACATGGCTGGTCAGGATGCTAACTCAGTTGACCGTGCCGAAGACGGTGACTAGGCTGACGAGGTACGTGAAGACCGTGGCCGCATTCCTGGACACGTTCATGCAAGCCAGGCGGATGAGGACAGAGACGAGCATCACGCCGGCAAAAGGCACGCCTTTACTCGCCGTCCTCCCCAAGTCAGCCGAGGCCTGACCGTCGCTTGCAAGGCCGAAAAGAATCCGGGACCCGGTATATATGTCGGCGTTGGCGGCGCTGATGATGAATATGAGGAGTCCACCGGTGGCAACGTGCGAAAGAACAGGAATGCCGGCAAGCTGCGTAGCGATTTCCCGGTATTCGTCGCAAAGATCTATTCGAGAGCAACGAAGCTGCATTCATGTTCGATGTAATGACTCGGTAGAAGCCTTGCATAGACATATGACTTGCCTTTTCTAAATCAGCATTTCTTACAGCTTATATCTCATATGTCGTAGTTAGCACATGCACCAGTTTGAGTCACTCACGGTAGTCTCTTGCTCGCCTGGTTGCGGGGTTGCTCCGTCATGGCACGTTCCCGCGGGATACGAAGCCCATATCAATGCCCCGAGAGAATCGGACCAAAGAAGAATGACGAAGTATTTTCGTATTGGATCACACGTAGATGCAGAGGCGGCAATGGTGAAGCACCGGTGCGTGTTGATGAATCGATGATGCCTCAGGCACTAGATTCCTCAGAACTTGGTTGTATGGGGAAGGAACATCCCATGGAACTTCAAGCATCCAGAATGAATCACCCCTCACGAGTCTCGAATTCTTTGATATCCAATTACCGCTGATTATCGTTATATTACATGGAATAATATACATTCAATGACGCGCCGTATGAAGTTCGGAAGAAGGAACATCTAACTAAACATGAGTCCCAGAATCCCTTGGAACAGTTTACTCCGGCCACTATCCATGGGCACATGCATCGGCTCAGCCAGCTTCGCATCATGATCCTGACGAACGGGGGGCTCCAGCGACCTGAGACTCAGCGTGGCACACATGGCATCCCACGACTGGGCCGCACGCCTCGCATGGTGCGCGGGAGCCGAAGCCGCAGGGTCAGCCAGCGTGCGGGAGAAGACCTCAAACGCCATGGGCCCACGCCAGCCGCAACCCACGAGGCACCGCACAATGTCCAGGATGGGCAGGTAACCTCCGCGGTAGGGCTCACAGAGGAACAGGCGAGCGTTGCGCGACCAGCTCATGCGTGCAGGCTGGCCCGCGACGTGGAATGGGTGGCCCGGCAGGAGAGGCTTGTCGAGGCGCTCGCCATCGGCCACCTGGACGGCAAAGACGCGGGAAAAGTCAACGTCACGAGCCAGACGACGCAGCGAGGCCCCCAGGGTCATGGCGGCAACGGAAGGGTTGTCGGACAGGGTTCCGCTGGACGTGCAGGGGTCCGCATAGGCGGCGCAGGCCATGTTGAAGGTGTCGAGGACGATACCCATGTTGGGGCGGTTGACGGCACGTACCAGATCCCACGCTTGCTCCCACAGGAATACGTGGTCGGCCCAGGCGATGGCCTCATAGGCGATGCGTATGGGGGGAGACCTCTGCGCCGCCGCGTCGGCCAGGAAGCGAATGTCGGCTTCCAGGGCGGACCTGCTGCCTGTAGTGCGGGGGGCACCCGTGTCAGGGTCCGGGCCCAGAAAGTTGGACGCCACGAGCAGTGTGTCGGTGCCGAGAACACCCATCATGTCCAGCCACAGGGGGATCTCGTCCCTCTGCATGCGCTCCGTCTCATCCCGGTCTACTAGGCCCTCGTAGAACCGGAGAGGCTGGAGGTTTAGGATGGTGATGGCCAGTTTCCGGCAGAGATCGCGCGTCACGATGACGGCATCGAGAAGGGCCTTGGCGCGCGAGGCGTGGGGTTCTAGCGGTGGATTGCCGGCCAGGGCCTCAATGTCCTCGAAGAAGAGCTCGATGGATGTGATGCCGTTGTCTGCTGCAGCGCGGAGCTTGGCCTCCATGCCGTGAAGACCCGGTCTGCCCAGCGAGACTGTCGTGATGGCGGGGGTGCAGGACATACTATCGGAGGGGGAGGAGGGAGGTGGAACGAATTGGTAGGCCCCTGGATTCAACAACAGCAGCGACACAATTCCATCTTCTTTTCAGTTTTCAACATGTTCAACAAACGAATATATATATATATGCATGTGTGTATGTGTGTTTCTGGTGTCTCTTAGCTGTCTATATTGTGAAAAGAATCTTGTTGGTACCAGACGCTCAGCGCCACCAAAAAAGGGGGTATCTCACACTGAAGGGAGGGAAGGTCAAGAGTCAATATTCTTCAAGACAGTCTGTATTTGCGGTCGGCTCTTTTCTTTTCTTTTTCTCTTCAATCAAGGCTCGTGTTCTGCTGCCAATCTGTGAGTTAAACACGAGTACAAGTCAAGAGAAGTGCAGACGCATCTTGCCATGTCTCGCATCGATGCGGCTTCAGTAGACATATTACATATACTAAGACACGAGCATTGCGGCGCAGACGCAGACCTTCGTAGCCAATCCCCGAATGATGATGTAACTACGACACGATGTATCAGCTGAGAATTCAGAGAAGTAAACGGCGTTGAGGCTATGCAACACAGAACACGATATGAATATGAATGTCAGTGTCCACGGGTCTTACCAACGGAAGCAGTTCGGCGATCCAACGAGACACAGGATCGGTCTTTTACCCTTACGACTTTGTTCCCGGTTGAAGGAGAGAAGAGAAGACCGGACTTTGGCCCGCCACTCTTCTCGGATCTCAATACAATCAACAAGATGCTAATCAGACACGGGCTAAGACAGCGGAATAATGTCCTGTGATAATTTACCACATCAGCGGTATCGTTATTGGACCAGTACTCCTACCGCTGGCAACTCCAAGGTATCAGGACCCTGTAGTGTGTAGTGTACGAAGGTACATTTACTAGCAGCAATACCAACAGCAACACTAGCTGCAGGTGTCAGTATTACCGACTCTCTCTATACATGTTGATCCGGCAAGTTGCTACTGGTTGCGAATCATCTACTGTGAGAGCATCGGCTGGTCCCTTCGACTTGATGCAAGACAGGAAGGCCATGTACATGTACTCGTATGTTGTCGGATGGCCCTCTGTTAGTTTGGCCTCTGTGTATGCTGCCAGCCAGCGCCTTGAGCCAACACATGTCACTCGCCCATCTCAGCTCTCTCCCAAGATGCGAGGGGCAGCAATAAACATGGGCGCAACCTGTTTCGTATCCGCCTATGAGGCCAGACGGCCCAGGGGTTGCGAGATGGAGAGAGGCGCTTGTGCTGACCACTTCTATAGTATTGTTACGTGAGGAAAAACAGGTATATACTTTGCATCAGTCTCCCCTCTGTCTAAAAACAGATTCAGAAAGACAGCTATATGGAGCATGCGTCCTAGTAGTTACCAAGTATATAAGCTTGTATGCTGGGACGTTTCTTGTAGACGACAATGAGCTTCGGTTGCTAGACTCACAGGAGTCTCCAATACAGTGCTCAGCCATGAAATAGACCAGAGCATACTCAATTCGAAACAGGACTCTCAACAAGAAGAAGAACCAAGGCAAATTTAGCAACGGTTGATGCTCCTGAGGGGAGGGGGACAGGCTCAACTCTCTATAGCATCCTCACACCGCGGAACTAAAACGGCTTGGACCCGCCAAACCCCCGGCGGATCCAATTCCGCCCCGCCAAAAAGTCAGAACTTCTCTTTCCCCTCCACCAAAAGCAAAACGGTCATCATACAAGATCCAAACAGATTTCTCCTCTCTCACGCGCGTACGTCGTCAGATCGATTCAAGAAGCAGAAGATCCGTCTATACGAACTCTCTGGCACCGAGTCAGTCGCTCGCCACAAGGTCCCCGCCAATGTCGAGAGGCCGCGGAGGCGGGAGGGGAGGTCGCGGCGGCGGCAGAGGCGGACGACCCAATGTGTCGTGGGACACCGGCGACGAGCCCGACGGTCGACCATCCGAGCTATTCCCTGTAAGCCTATACTCACATACTCGGATCCAAAACGCAAGTCTACTGTGTATGTGTATTAAAACATGTGGAAAAAAACAAAAAGCATTACGCTCTCCCGGTACCGCGCCACCTGACGCCCACGGAGACCAACACAGTCAAGAACTTCCTCCTCCTACGACACCAACTGCGCGCCTCGGCGCTGTACACCTCTCTCCGGAGCGAGACGGACGTCGATCCTCTACGGAGAAAGCACGGCGGCGCGACATCACGGGGCACCAAGACGCCGTACGGGGTGCGCAGCCGCGCCAACCAGGACCCCTTCACGTCGATGCCCACGTACGGCCAGCGCTTCGTGCGCGAGGACCGCGCCCTACCAGACTGGTCGAATCGGCCTGTATGTCGCGAGCTGTGGCCCTCGGAGCTCCTAAACACCATTGACCCGGAGCCTGATCGTGGGAACGGCGGCGGCCACCTCGTCCTGGGCGACGACACGGGCGACGCAGCGCCGCGCAAGAAGAAGCGTCGCCTCGAGCTGTCGCGGGTGGACGCCCTCCCCAACGCCGAGGTGGCGTTCGGCATGGCGCAGGCCGGGGAGGACGAGGACGGCGAGAGGAACCTCCTCGACAGGCTAGATGCCTTGGGCGACGAGACCGGTGAGGATGGCGCCGATCTGGATGACGAGGAGGGGCTCGGCGACGCGGACGAGCAGGATGAGGCGTACGATGATGAGGATGCGGGTGATTACGATGCAGAGAATTACTTTGACAATGGCGATGAGATGGGAGATGATTATGGAGATGACGGCGATGGCGAGGGCACGTTTTAAAAATAAAATAGAAAAGGTCCAAACAACAAACATGCATATATACATATACCCCGTTGCATAAAGGAACAAAATCAAAAGAGCCATTTTTTGTACGATTTCATCATGTTCCCCCGCCCCTCCCCCCTCCCCCCTCCCCCTTCCTCCCTCTTCTTCGGGTTCATCTCGACGTGAATGCTTTCCCAATCCTTTTGTTTAGTACTATACAGCTTCTGGTTTCCTCATGCCGTCATGCCCATGGCGTACACTCCGCTGTCCAGGATGCCCGCCTGCAGCCTCGAAAGCCTCTCTCTCGTGTCAGCAATCTGACCGGCCTGGTTGACAATGGCGGATCCCATGTCGCGCAGGGCGTAGAGCACCTGGCCGAGCTGGTCGGCGACGGAGCCGGCGGCAGCGGCGTCGTCAGTGCCATCGCTGGCGGCGTTGCCGGCAGCGGCCGCGGCATGGCGGTCGCGCAGGGAGCGGATCTGCTCGTACAGCCCGTTCTCGACGCCAGGCATGTCACGCTCGATCTCGCCCCTGTACTCGTCCAGACGCTTCTTATACCGCTCCAGGTCGTCGCAGATGCGGTTGAAGTAGGTGATGAGGTCCTGGGCGTCTGTGTGGGCGCCGGCCGCAGCGTCGGCCGACGAAGACGGCGCCGCCGCGCCGCCGCCTGCCCCGCCCGCCCCGCTGGCGAACAGGCCCGTCTGGTGGTAGTGCGCCGGCAGCTTGAGGTTGTCGGTGGCCTTGAAGGACAGCTGGGCGTCGCCAATGTTCTTCTTGGTCAGGTCCTGCAGCGCCTTGACCGTCTGGATGTCGCCGTTGAGCGCCACCTGCACCGTGCGGAACTTGGACTCGACAAACTTGACGTCGCGGCCCAGCTGCTCGATGTCACGCTCGTGCTGCGGCATGAACTCGCCAATCTGGTCCTTCATCTTGATGACCCGCGCGATACCCTTGTCGATCAGCGAGATCTCGTCCTGGATCGGTTTAGCTAGGTCGTCGAACCGAGACCGTGGGCCCAGGTTGTCGTAGTTGATTTGCACGGCTGGCACTGTCGTCGTCGTCGCCGTCGTCGACTGTTGTTGGGCTGGTTGTGCTGGTGCTGCTTGGCTTTGGCCGCTGTGCAGGATTTCCCAATCAGTCCTTCTCCTTTGTTCTTACGATTCTCACCCATGAAAGAGAGAGAGGGAGAGACTCACAATAGTCCTCCTGCTGGCTTAGCCTGCGTTTGTCCACCTCCGAACAGACCACCGCCCAGACTAGGTTGCGTGCTCTGCTGCTGCTGCTGCTGCTGCTGGTTGTTGTTGTTGTTGTTGTTGTTGTTGTTCGCCGTCGACGCTCCGAAGAGTCCTCCTCCTCCTCCCGTCGCCGTACCCGACTGCTGTGTATTCGTGTTTCCAAACAGACCCGTACCGCCGCCTGTTGACTGAGCAGTCTGCTGAGCATTGCCAAACAGACCGCCGGCGGCCGGGGTCGCACCGCCAGTCTGCTGCTGGTTGTTACTGTTCGCAGCACCGCCGAATAGACCTCCTGTTCCCGTCGTGCCTGTTGCAGTACTGTTGCTGCTGTTGTTGTTGCCAAAGAGTCCGCCTCCACCGCCAGTCGCAGTACCGCCAGTGTTATTCCCGAACAGACCTCCTCCGCCGGTCTGCTGGCCACCGCCTCCTCCAAAGAGTCCTCCTGCACTCGCCATGCTCCCTACGCCTGCGGTAGTGGTGGCTCCAGGTGCTGCGTTGTTGCTGTTGTTGGAGGTGGTTACGGCGCTGCTTGGGTTCGAGCCAAACAGTCCTCCGGACAGCTGTGGTTGCGTATCGTTGCTGGACAAGGGGACCGGATTAGTTGACAGGTCAGATCGGTCTGGAAGGCAATTCTCTGTCAAGCTGAGATTAGGACAGAGACGGTCAGAGAGAGAGAGAATACCTGCTGCTGGCTATGCCCGTGTCCGTGTTGATGGAGAGGCCTGCTGGTCCACCGGCTGAACGCGCCAGAGACATTTCTCGTGGTTCTCGTCTACCCTGGGCCCTCGGCTCCGTTTTGCGTGGGACGTGACTTTTTTTTTTCCTGTTCTTCAATCTTCCGTTTATGAAGCACGTCGACAACGGCAATTATGAAGATATACTTTAGCAGTAACAGCTATCACAGACGCATTTATTTACGAAAGATATTTATCCAATTGGTACCAAGATCGACTTGTCTACTAACAATGACCATGTTTCCTGTTTTGTTCCCGGCGTAGTCACGTGCGATTGGAGCTATGACCATCCTTCATGTATCAACGTATTTACCATAGACAGTCTGTACGAGATGGCTGAGCCTGTCCATGATTGATGGAATATAGCTAGATGATGTTCATATACAGGGCTGAGATACCTGGATACAATTAGATCCATATATCTGCGTTTGGGCATTCCAATTGATACCACCAGGTGCTGTGCACCGCTCATATCTCGCAAAAGACTTCTAAGCTTTGATACCGTTCTTAACGGTCGGAGAAACGTCGGCGGCAGAGCTTCAGCGTCAGTCCCAGCAATACCATCATCGCATTTTCATTATACAGCGGCGTTGCATAATCTGAATCAACCCTCATATATATCACACAAGAATCGGCAATCATGGATATCGAAGACGAAGACGACTTTTATGCGCCCGAAGAGCCTAAGGTTCCTGCCGAGGACGAGAAGAAGCGGGATGGCCCACAGCAGCCCACCAAAACCGACGAGCTCGAGGAGGGCGAAGAGGAAGACGAGGGCGCCATGGACGAAGACGAAGAGGACGACGACGACGATTCAGTACGTTGTTCTGGATTCTCACCCTGTTTTCCGCACGACTCTTCACCGGACGTCTAACTAGTCGCTTCTGATTTCCAGGACATTGACATCATCACCGAGCGCAAAGACGGCACAGTAGCTGCCCCTCAAGCGTACGTCCCCGACTGAGAAAAGGCCCTCTGCGGCGCCGAAGCTCGCATGGTGATGTTCCCCTAGCTGACGTGGAGCGTGCGCAGACATCCCAAATACAGCGACATACGCAACATCCCCCAGCGCTCAACAGCCGACGGCACAGCCAGCCCGGCAGCATCAGCATCGGGAGAGGTCAAGATCAAGAGCTCGGGCGGCGCGGCGGCCAACGTGGCGGCGCCGAGCGCCGACAACACGTCCGCGGCAGCCTCCAAGTCGACGGTCAAGATCGACGACGACCCGATATATCCGCCCACGGGCAAGCCGATAACGCAGGTCAACATTGATCAGGACCTGACGGACAACGAGAAGCCGTGGCGCAAGCCGGGCACCGACATAAGCGACTACTTCAACTACGGCTTCGACGAGTTCACCTGGGCCCTCTACGCGGCCAAGCAAGAGAATATCAGGAGCGAGTTCGGCGCCGACGCCTTTGCCAACAACAGCAAGAAGATGATGGACGAGTTCAACGCCATGATGATGGGCGGCATGGGTATGGGAGGCGCAGGCGGTCCCGGAGCAGGTGGCGGTGGCGGTGGCATGGACGGCTCCATGCCCCCCGAGATGCAGCAGATGATGCAGCAGATGATGGCGTCGGGCATGGACCCCAGCCAGATGGATCCCGGTCAGATGAACGCCATGTTTGCCGGCATGCAGAACCCTGCCGCCCAGGCCGGCGGCGGCGGTCAGCCCGGAAACTTTGGCGGCGGCGGAGGCGGCAACTACGGCGGGAACCAGTTCGGTGGTGGCTACGATCAGAACATGGGAGGTGGCGGTGGTGGACGCGGTGGGTTTGTCCGTGGACGCAGGGGTAGGTGGTAAAGGCAAGGCAGGTAGAGCTGATGCAGGTGTTGAGGAGGCATCAACTGCAAGAACAGCGATCCGATGGGCGTTGAACGGAATGGTTATAAATCGAATGCAGATGGGTGGGGTGAGGCGTCACGATTCTGGAGCTGTATCAATTATTATCAATTATTATACCAACATTCCTTTCGTCTTTACCGGCTACTCTCCACTGAATGTGTAGCTGTTCCGAGTCTTGACCGATCTCTTGACTGGTTTCGTTCTCTCCACATGACAACCTAGCGATATTATAGTATACTACATCTACTACATAGTAACATGAGTGTTTATGAGTAGGCTCTGAGTCTGTTGAGGCGAATGTCCTGTGATGAGTCCCTCTCAGGATGTAGATGCACTCATGCTGTCTGTCCCACATACAAGTTTATCGATGCGTCGTCCTGCTGCGTATAGATTGAAAAACAGATCCCTGTTTCAGCTCACGTAGAGACATGTACGGGCCTAGTGCACATGAACAAAACCTCAAACAAACGGAAACGCCTACGAAACTGTCATGGGCCATTATGCCAAGCCAAGAAGTCTCTTGGCTTTCCTGGTGAAATTTCCAGACACAAGCATGAGCGGGCGAGCCTCGTGTGCTCGATACGGTCTCCCGGATGGATTCTGTTGAACCGTTAAACAAACCACCCTGCCAACTGATTATATATGAAAACCAGCCAGGAGCATAGAAGCAAGGAGCATGTACATGTCGAGGCATGAGCTGGTTCATGTACATGGCCGGTTGACGATCCAAACACAACCTCTAGTACTCTCGTACTGTAAACCGGAAACAGCCACATATCAGACCATTGAATCAATCATCGTACTCTGTACAAGCGCAGTTGGCAGTCGTACTGCATCATATGCTGAAGATGGTATAACCCCCCCTTTCGGTGTAGTGTCGCATCGGAGCGGAAAACCTCAAACAGGGGTTGGCCGATACTCTTCTTCACCTACATAAGAAGTCGGTGGGTCGTCGCACCATGTATAGTGCCCGCCGTTCATCTGTTGACCACGCTCGTACGTCGTATCCACTGGTAACCGGATGCCATGATATCAACTTCTGATATATGTCGTGTATTCCCGGATATATATATCCTAGACGGTTCCCCCCCATCTTGTCCGGAACACCTCCCTCATCATCATCATCATCATCATCATCCTTGACAGCCAACATTCTCTTCCCAGCTTCGTCCTCCTCAACACTGGATAGATATTAAATCGTTGCCCTCCTACACGACGGCAACATGCTCGCCCTCACCGCCGTCGCCCTCGGCCTCATCGCTGCCGGAGCTCACGCCGCCCCTTCAGCCTCGGCATCTCTCACTGAGCGCGCCTCGACGCCCAACAGCCAGGGAACGAGCAATGGCTTCTTCTACAGCTTCTGGAGCGACGGAGGCGCCGACGCTACATACACCAACCTCGATGGAGGAAGCTACAGCATCGAGTGGTCTGATGGCGGAAACCTTGTTGGTGGAAAGGGTTGGAACCCTGGACTGGATGCCAGGTAAATATATATACCTCCCCGTCCTTTCCTTTCCTTTCCTTTCCTTTCTCTCTCTCTCTCCCTTCTCCTCTTCTTCTCTCTCGACATCCTTCATGCCATTCTCCCTCTCTCCTCCATATACAACGCTGACCTCTTCCCCCCCAGGGCCATCTCCATCTCCGGTACATACCAGCCCAACGGCAACAGCTACCTCTCCGTGTACGGATGGATGCGCGACCCGCTGGTAGAGTACTACATCGTCGAGAATTTTGGTACCTACGACCCTTCGAGCGGCGCCTCCAGCATCGGCGAGGTGACGTGCGACGGGTCGACGTACAGCCTCGGCGTGGCCACGCGCACAGACGCCCCCAGCATCAACGGTACCCAGACCTTTAAGCAGTACTGGTCCGTCCGCAAGGACAAGCGCACCGCCGGCACCGTCCAGACTGGCTGCCACTTTGACGCCTGGAAGGCCGCCGGTCTCGACATGGGAGACCACGACTACCAGATCGTCGCTACCGAAGCCTACTTCAGCAGCGGATCGGCGTCCATCACCGTCGCTGATGTCGGAGGCAACTGAGTAAGGTAGCTGTTCTCGGTGTTGGAAGGATATTGTATAAAGTAAATATGTATTGAAAACAATGTAAAGGTAGTATCAAAGAACAATGCCATCTGGAAGTAGTCATTCCTATTTTCCCAAACAAAAGCAAACCAGGGTATCATCTCTCGAACCTTTTTATCATATCCCATGACGCCTCCCTCTCTCTCTCTCTCTCTCTCTCTTTCTCTCCTGGTTTCCTTTCCCTTCTCTTCCCTTGACCGATACACGCACACGCAGCTTTACGTAGGCAAGAAAGCCTGAGCATCCTTTTGCTGCTGGGCAAATGACTGGGGAAAGGCAGCCAGACCAGCGACGATGCCGATAGCCATGAAGCAGACCGAGATGATAGACCAGATGACGCCCCAGCAGCGGGACGAGCCGCCGTACCGCTTAGCAAAGACGGCTGCGTCCGACGAGTTGACCTTGCGCAGGATGAGATCGTCACAGATATCCCAGACGCTGTACAGCGACGACATGACACCGATGAAGAGGACGACGAAGCGAAGGGCCTCGGCGTGGTTGATGAACCAGCAGCCGATGAGGAGACCGACGGCCAGGAGGATGGTCATGATGGTCAGCCAGTCGCGCTTGCCCCACCACAACGTGAGCAGGAAGCACACGCCCAAGACGATGCTGAGGATTTTGGAGGCGTTGATGTTGAAGCCGCACATGGTCAGCACCGCGCCGATGATAGACGAGCCCAGGTATCCCGCCGGCAGGGTGATGGCGCTGATGCCGCCGGCCATGTGCGTCACCCCGCCCTCATGGGGGTCTAGACTGATAGACTCGACACGGCCGCCGGTCAGAATGGCCGTGATAGCGTGGCCGAACTCATGGAAGGCAATGACAAGCATCTTGAAGGGCCACAGGACCATGCGCAGGTAGGGAACGTTCCACAGGATGGCGATTCCCACCACGTACGCCGCGATGACTCCCAGCGTCACCTTCTGCGTGTGTGTTGGATCCTCCAGGTCGCGCGTGGCCAGACTGGCAGGGGTGTGGGCATCGTGAGCCGTGATGAAGCCATCGAAAGTCGGTGCCATGATAGGCCACCTTTTTGTCGTTGGGGCAGAGTAAAGAGACGGCGAAATAGCGAGTGACGGTTTTGTATTTCAAGCGGTTTTCAAACAGCAACAATGATGGGAAAGGGAGAAAAAAGAGTGACAATAAGGAAAAGAACATCCTTATTTTAACCAAGCGACCAACGTCGATCACGGGTGAAACACGCGGCGACGCATCATGGTCTGGGGGTGTCTAGGGATGGCTGGGAAGGGAGGGGAAGCCACCACAAGGAGCGTCGACTGAGTGTGGCAGTGTCTACTGTTGTTGTGTGAGTAGTAATAATATGGGCAGGAGTGGCAGATGACGCGGCCGTGCCTTCCCTCTCTTTTTTTCCCTTCTTTTTCTTACCAGGGAAGGAAGGGGGCCTCTACAGCATGTAGGGCGCTACGAGTTACAGTGGCTCTGTAAGTGCAATTCGGCGCCCTGGCTCCCAATCGGCTTCGCCTAGAGGCTATGCATCCCCTGTAGAGGCACTGGAAGCTTGGCGCTCGTGGGAGTCTACGTCTCTTCATACGTACGAGTACAGATTAATACAGATCACATAGATGTATACGCGTGTGCCACGACCTGACATGCAAGGAGATATTAATAGAATACGAATACTGCTTTTGCCGAGCATTACTCACTTTTCCTCGCAGGGCGCGTCATCAGTCAGTTCACCGAGTGTACGAGAGACATTGCTGTGTGGAGTAATACTATTCATTACCTAGGTATTACACAAGAAATGGTCTCTGTCCTTGTCAACTCACCATCTTGTTACTAACAGCTCGAACTTGCATATTACTACATGTACTCCGTACAGTGCTTTCAGAAAGAACCTACTAGAAGTTCATGTATGTGTGTGTGTGTGTGTGTGTGTGTGTGTGTAATTTACCACTACAAATGGCAGGCACGGCCCTGCCCTGCGCATCTTCCCTGTCCCGCAAAATGGTGGTTTCATGCGTCGAGAGATGCCTCAGTTCTGCCGTCGATGCCGTTGTCATCCCTCAAGACCCAGCACTCTCCTGTCCCTCCTTCGTCCTGTCGTCCCCGTGAATATCCAGGGATAGCCTGCCAGAGATGGCCGACTATGACCAGCAGAGCTACTGGCGCCGCCGTTTCGAGACGGAAACGTCCTTTGAGTGGCTCATGCCGTCAGACGGCTTTATGAACTTGATGCAGCCTCATATCTCGCACTTGGACGCCTCATCGCGCATTCTTCACCTCGGCTTCGGGACCAGCGATCTGCAGAACCACTTCCGCGCCCGTGGCCTCGTCGACGTGACAAACGTCGATTACGAGCCCCTGGCCGTCGAACGCGGCCGCGACCTGGAGCGCCAGCGCTTCGGAGACGTGAGGATGCGCTACGCCGTCGGCGATGTCACGCAGCTCGGAGCGGGGAATCCCGGCGAGTATGGCTCGTACGACCTCGTTGTCGACAAGAGCACATCTGATGCCGTCGCTTGTGCTGGTGAGATCCCCCTCCGCCGCATGGCCGACGCCATCCGTGGCCGTCTGGCCCCCGGTGGTATCTGGATCGCCCTCAGCTTCTCCCAGGACCGCTTTACGATTCCCAATCTCCCCTTTCATGTCGACATCATCGCACGTGTGCCTACGCCCAAACGCTTGCCAAACGACCCGGACATCTATCACTGGTGCTACCTGCTGCGGCCGGCGTAGTCTCTCCGCGGTGTAGTAGGTAAGCGGCACATCAAGGATCCATCTAAACAGGCCTCCATACCATCTATAAATTTTTTTCAATAATGCCATGAGCACCATGCTAGGCATAGAAGGATTCGAAAAAAGAAAAAAAAAAACAGTCAATACCAATCTCTTTTCGCTATGCACACTACGCTATGCAGACAAATTCGATACCCTCGGACTGCACCGACACGAAAATTTTACTCTGGGCAATATCTTATGACCCAGATATCCACGTCCTGGAGTTTCATCTTCCTTGATGCATAGAGCAGATCCCTTGGATCGGTCCCTCCTATCACGGCACGCCGGTCCCATGAGCTTCTGACTGCCGAGCCAAAGAGGACGATGTCTTATTCGCCTGCGGATCATCGACCAGAACAGCCGTCCCCCTAGCGGATGGCTTCTCTCTGGATAAAGGGGCCTCTTCGTGACCTGTGATCCTTTGCCCCGAACCGCTTCATACCTCCCCACTGCTCCCGCGCGTGCTGTCGGTTGGACTTGGAGAAGATGTGGTCGAGCTGCTCCAGCGAGTACCCCTTTGTCTCGGGAAGCAGGAAGAAGGCAAAGAACCAGGCAAAGACGTTCCAAGCGGCGTAAAAGCAGAATCCGCCCGCCGGCGTCATGGCCAGCATCATCTTGGGCCAGGTAAAGTTGATGATGAAGTTGAAAGCCCAGGTGACGGCCGTGGCCGATGCCATACCCAAGGGTCGTACCGACAGCGAAAAGGCCTCGGCGCTGTACGTGAAGGGCACGGGGCCCATTCCCGGGGAGTAGAAGAGCATGAAGACGTAGATGCCGGTACAGATGCTGGCGAGGCGTGCATCCTGATCCACGATGTAGAAGCTCGCCCCTGTCCAGAAGAGGGAAATGGCCAAGACGGGGAATGTTGACAGAAGCAAGCTCCGTCGTCCGAAGCGGTCGATGGTGTACAAGGCCGGGATGGCACCGACAAAGTTGGCGACGCCACATCCTAGCGAGACGGCCAGGGATTCCGATCGGGTGAAGCCAGCGCCCATGAAGATGTGGGTGCTGTAGTATGCAATCACGTTGACTGCCATTGTCAGCAATACTCTCCCCATACATTCAATAGCCAAGAAGACAGAGGCAAGGGCTGACAGCAAAAAGGGGAGGCTTCAGGGGGCATCGGGAGGAATTAGGGAGCATCAAGACGTACCTCCGCAGAACTGCTGCATGAACATCAAGAACCACGACGCCTGTGCAGCTCTCAGGTTTCTCGGCTTGAAGAGCTCCCTAAGCGTGCTCCAGCGACCGGAGCCCTGGCTATGCTTAGCCCCGTCGATATGCTTGTGGGCGAGGTACAGGTCCCTGAAGGCGAGGACGTGGTGGCATCGGAGCTGTACGAGAGAGTGGAGGGCTCCGACAAAATCCCCCTTGTCGAGACAGTACCTCGGGCTCTCGGGCACGAGAAAGACGACGAAGCAGACGATCAAGGCGGGGATGGCCGTCACGCCCATCATCCACCGCCACTGGGTGTTTTCGCCCCAGGTCTTGACGTCCTGGAAGGCCATGGAAGCAGCATAACCCACCATTATGCCGAACGCAGTAAACATCTGCCACAGCATCGTCAGGCGGCCTCGGACGCTGGGGGGCGCACACTCGGCAGCGTAGACGGGCGTGGTGGCCGAGCTGGCCCCCACGGCCAGACCAAGCACCACGCGCGCCACTGCCAGGTTCACCCACGTGTCTGCGGCGGCTTGCCAGAAGGATGTGGCCAGGCTGACGATGCAGGAGACGAAGATTGTGCCCCGGCGACCGAATACGTGGTTGAGGGGCTGGTTGAGCCAGCATCCCAGCAGGGCGGCTGAGATGAAGGGCGCACTGTTGACGAAACCCCGGAGGAGGGGGTCTTGCATATCAAAGTAGGCAAAGTAGAAATCCTATTTGCCTACTTGTCAGCTCTCCTCCCTCACCACATCCAGACCACGCTCTCCTTTCGGAGGAAGGAGAGAGAGGATAAACTGACCTGTGCCCCATTCGTGACAGTCAGATGCATCCCCTGAACCACGGCACAGAGAGCACACAGTCCAGTCTGCAACCACTGCGAAGCAGCCAGTGAACGAACGGGATGCTCATACTCCAGAGCGATGACTCGCCTCTCCACATCGGACAGGCGGATGTTGTTGTCGCCGTCGTCGCGGATCTGACCGTCTGCCGGATCCTGACGAGCGGCCACGAGGGCGCCCTTGATGAAGAGGCAGCGATGGTCGCGCAGGTCGTGCGTCAGAAGGAGATAGTCTACGTCGTCGATTATATCCTGCGTCGACATGCCACCCAGGGGACTCTCGGGGAGGGTATCGAAGGTTGAGGCAGCGATGGATGCTCCATCCTGGGAGGACATTATGGGAGGGGGGCTGGGGATCTTGCGTGGGCAACAAGATGGGTGAGAGGGAAAGAAGGAAGAGCGGGAGGAAGAGGATGAAAAGGAGAAGGAATGGAAGGTTGGAGCTGAGTATCAAGTTTACCTACGAGAACGACGGACAATGGGCTATCACAAGGGGCGAGTAGGCGCGCGTCCTTGTTTATATGGCATCTTTACGGTGCCCATGGTGTCGAGTGGAGCTGTCTACTGTCGGGGATCGAGCATGTCGAACAGATCATGTGGCTGGGTGAAAGAGGCCGTTGGCACATGTAAGATGCTATCGTGATACGGGAGCTTGGAGGAGTTGGCAGCTTGAGTCTACGGATAGAGGAAGTAGGTTACGGACACGACAAGATCTGGCGATGGATAGGGTGATGTGTTCTTAGGGCTTGCCAGGCAAACAAGAGAGGACTTCTATGCCACGACTGACCAGTAGAGTGATTAGGAGCCGTTTGAAGTTGAACAAGGGCCGTCCGTGTACTACGGAGTTCGATACTCTAGACACAATCCCGTGGCACTCGCTTCGTTACCTTGAAAACTATTACTACATGGACAGGTCTGGTGGTGCCTCGGTCATTAGTGGCGTAGTATGGAGGAGGATGGAATAGTGCATACGCAGTGCTGTACTGTTCAAGACACATGACCGGGTGAGACTCCTCGGAAGAATCAATCGATAGAATTGAATGAAGTCTCGTGTGTTCCATATCCGATGTTGGTGAACACGGTCATAGTATCGTCACACAACCAATTGTATGAGTGAAGGATTGAGAGTAGCGTCCAGGTTTTCCAAAGATAAAATACTTACCCTGTATCTATCCAATCACTCAATCGACTAGATCTGTCGATATGCACTCAATCAATCTGGCATCTTCAACACATGGCAGACAGGAATGATGAAGAGATGAGTTAATTAATATCATTACAACACGGGTACAGAGAAGACCAAACGAGTCATTTGAGTCTCGACACACACAGAATGGGGTGAAGAGTGACAGGGAAGCACGTGGGCGGGCTGTGCTGATGACCGTTGCCGTGACAACGCTCGTTTGTTTGGATTTCAATTCTCCATCAAAGTCCTCCCTCGATCACATATCAAGGTGACGGCACCCCACAAGATACCCGACGAACGGCCCCATCGGACAACGATAGCTCTTCCTCTCTCTCTCTCTCTCTCTCTTTTCTCTCTTCATTCTACTGCTAGTATATGTAGTCTTGTGGTGGTCTAGATCTGTCCTGTTCTGTCCATTGTTGCTCTTTTTCCGTTGTCCTTCGACAGGTTAGCTCCTCTCTTCTTCTTCTTCCACTGACCTCTCTCTATCAACAGCAACGGCAGCAGCAACTTCTTTTTCCTACTACTTCCTTCCCCTCTACTTCCTCCTCACGCGCATTGCCTCTCTGACGGCTTCTCTAAAGGCATACGTAGGCCGACGACATATACAGGTTTACTCCCAGAAACCGACACATCCGAAATCACCTGTTTCGGTCTTGACATTCCAAACCTCCCCTCCCTCTCGCCTCATACTGCCATGGATCGGCCGAGCACTCCCTCGCGCCCTCCGGAGTATGGCTACGGCTACGGCTACGGCGTAGACGAGGACCACGACACCCCCACCGGTCAGAATGCCGCTGGTGTGAGACTGTTGACATCTGTCGACGGTCTGTCCGGTCTGTCCGATGACAGCCCTTCACCGTATGTACCACTTTGCTCTCCACCTCAGTCTCCCCTCTCTTCTTCTTTTTCTTCTTGCTCTCTGCTGCCCACGTCCCCTCCTCCTCCTCCTCCTCCTCTCCCTCTCCGTCTTCCCACACCAACTCTCTCCATCTCGAAACTGCCGCCGTCGCTGGTTGCTGCCAAGAGTCACACCGTTCTCTCCCAGCAAGTCCCTAGTCTCTCTCCTCTTGGCTAGCAGCAGAAGAATAGGAGCAAGGCTTCCATGACACGCTCTGTAAAGTTGCAGAAGCGCTCAGACAGACTTGCTGCCCGTGTCGAGTCTGTCCAGGACGAGGACCAGGTCAACAATATCAGCTCCAAGCGTATCGCTAGCTTGGCCAAGCAGCAGCAGCAGCAGCAGCAGCAGCAGCATCAGCAAGAGTTCCATCGTCATCATATAGGTGGCCGGCCAAAGATCATTGTCCGCACCTTTTCCCCAACCTCTTCTTCTTCAACAACGGCAGCAGCAGCAGCAGCAGCAGCAGCAAGAACTATGGATAGAGACTACGGCAACAACAACAGACAGACACCGCCGCTTCCAAGTGCCAAGACTCCCAAGGAACAGCATCGCTTACATGGCCCTCGTGCGAGAGACAGATCAAGACATCAGCAGCAGTACCAGCCCAGCAACATGTCATCGTACACCCGCACGGCCTCTAGCCTAGGTGACGTGCCCAGCATGCCTCCCCCCGACTCCACCTACGTCCCCTTCTCCAACCGGGAACCCAGCGGCGGCTCTCCCCAACGCTCGTGGTCCCCCAGCTCAGAGTACACGCGCCCCCCGCCGACGAACCTGTCGTACGAGCCTGCCGACATCAACGGAAGTCCCAGACCCGGCACGCCCTCCTCACGGTACGGCGGCAGCCCCCGGCGTCCCCTCCCGCCCGCGCCCCTCTTCTCGAACCCGGGAGCTCGCGTCTCTCAGCAGACGTTTGCCGACGACGCGACCGTGTCGATCCCTCTCAGCGACGGCGTCGACGGCGATGATGTGTTCGGACCCGAGTCGGACATTGGTCACCGGCCGCACGCCATGCCCGGCCACCTACCGGGCGACCGCGACTCGCACGTGTCCAGCGATCAGGAGACTATCAACGAGATACCCGGGTCCTACGAAAAGGTCGAGCACTATGGCCCCGCCCCCGATGGAGCGCAGGAGCGCCGCGGCGTCCGCGCCCCTCAGATGTCGAGGAAGGAGGTGCAGCTCATCAACGGTGAGCTGGTGCTCGAGTGTAAGATCCCCACGATCCTGTACAGCTTCCTGCCCCGACGCGACGAGGTCGAGTTCACGCACATGCGGTACACGGCCGTGACGTGTGACCCGGATGACTTTGTCGACCGGGGGTACAAGCTCAGGCAGACGATCGGGCGGACGACGCGCGAGACGGAGATCTTCATCTGCATCACCATGTACAACGAAGACGAGGTGGGTTTCACGCGCACCATGCACGCCGTCATGAAGAACATCTCGCACTTTTGCTCGCGCAACAAGTCGCGCATCTGGGGAGCCGAGGGCTGGCAGAAGATTGTCGTCTGCATCATCTCGGACGGCCGCGAGAAGATCAACGCTCGCACCCTCGACGCCCTAGCCGCCATGGGCGTGTACCAGCACGGCATCGCAAAGAACTACGTCAACAACCGCGCCGTCCAGGCCCACGTCTACGAGTACACGACGCAGGTCTCGCTCGACTCAGACCTCAAATTCAAGGGAGCCGAGAAGGGCATCGTCCCCTGCCAGATGATCTTCTGCCTCAAGGAGAAGAACCAGCGCAAGCTCAACTCCCACCGGTGGTTCTTCAATGCCTTTGGCCGCTCCCTCAACCCGAACGTCTGCATCCTGCTCGACGTCGGCACCCGCCCCACCAGCAACTCGCTCTACCACCTCTGGAAGGCCTTCGACACCGACTCCAACGTCGCCGGAGCCTGCGGAGAGATCAAAGCCATGAAGGGCCGTCTGGGGTCCAACCTTCTCAACCCGCTCGTGGCCTCGCAGAACTTTGAGTATAAGATGTCCAACATCCTCGACAAGCCCCTCGAGTCCGTCTTCGGCTACATCACCGTCCTGCCCGGCGCCCTGAGCGCCTACCGCTACCACGCCCTGCAGAACGACGAGACCGGTCACGGGCCCCTCAGCCAGTACTTTAAGGGAGAGACGCTCCACGGCCAGGACGCCGACGTCTTCACCGCAAACATGTACCTCGCCGAGGACCGTATTCTCTGCTGGGAGCTAGTCAACAAGCGAAACGAGAGATGGGTCCTCAAATATGTTAAGGGTTGCAAGGGAGAGACAGATGTACCTGGTAGGTTCCTCCCCGACTTGACTAACCAAGCGGGTCCAAGGAAGAGAGCGGACAGCGACAACGAACTAGAGACACAGAGACTAACGGTTTTGGCTGCCAGACACGATTCCCGAATTCATCTCTCAGCGTCGTCGCTGGCTCAACGGAGCCTTCTTCGCCGCCGTCTACTCCATCGTGCAGTTCCGACAGATCCTAGGCACGGACCACACTCTGGCGCGCAAGGTGCTCCTCATGATGGAGGAGGTGTACCAGACTCTGCAGCTCCTGTTCACGTACTTCTCGCTGGCCAACTTCTACCTGACATTCTACTTCATCTCTGGCGGACTGGCGGATCCCGAGGTGGACCCGTTCGGGCACGGCATCGGCAAGGTCATCTTCATCATACTGCGGTTCATGTGCATCCTGTGCATATGCTCGCAGTTCATCCTGTCGCTGGGGAACCGGCCTCAGGGTGCCAAAAAGATGTATCTGGGCAGCATGATCATCTACGCCGTCATCATGGTGTACACGACCTTTGCGATTATCTGGATCGTGGTGCGGCAGCTGACGGAGAAGGACGGCGTCAAGCTGACGGACGGCGTCTTCGTCAACATCATCGTGTCCGTGGTGTCGACCTTTGGCCTGTACGTCAGCATGTCCCTGCTGTACCTGGAGCCGTGGCACCTGATCACGTCGTGGGCCCAGTACTTCCTCCTGCTGCCCAGCTACATCTGCCTGCTGCAGGTGTACGCCTTCTGCAACACGCACGACGTGACGTGGGGCACCAAGGGAGACAACGTGATGCGCAGCGACCTGGGCCAGGCAGTCGGCAAGGGAGCCACGGTCGAGCTGGAGATGCCATCGGAGCAGCTGGACATCGACTCTGGCTACGATGAGGCCCTGCGCAACCTGCGAGACCGCGTCGCCGTCGTCACTCCGGGGCCCTCGGTCGCCCAGCTCCAGGAGGACTACTACAAGTCCGTCCGCACCTACATGGTCCTCGTGTGGATGATCGCCAACGGCCTGCTGGCCATGGGTGTCTCCGAGGCCTACGGCGGAACCGACGTCGGCACGAACATCTACCTCAGCTTCATCCTGTGGAGCGTTGCCGGCCTGGCTCTCTTCCGCGCCGTGGGCTCGACAGCCTTTGCCATCATCAACTTTATCAACATTGTCGTCGAGGGTCGCGTCCGCATCAGTCTCAAGGTGCCCAAGTGGCTGGGTAGTTTCGGTTCAAGGCTATCTGGTGCTGTTAGCAGCGTCGGATCAAGTCTAAGGAGTTGATTTCCTTTTTCTTTGCCTTGGCCGTTTTTTTGCCCTTTTTGCTATTTCATCTTTTCTGCTTTTGAGATATCACAGGGAGGAGTTTTGTTATAATATGTTTTGTGTGTAAAAAGGGAAACGTCTAATGTCGTACATTTATATGACCAGTTCAATACCATGACTTTATTACTCTTCTATACCTTACCTCGTCACTTGATATATTCACGAACGCAGCGAGAGCCATGACATTACCACGATTGGCGAGCGCAGCGAGAAGGCCACTCCACAGGAGGCCCCCAGCAGGGCCCCCGGAGGGATAATACGTTCAACAAGTGTTTGAGGTAATCTATCCTAAGTATATAGTTCGATATTTGGTATGCAAGAATTGAGGGAGGGGAAACAAGAGGAAAAAGCCATGTCCATTGCGCCGGCAGGAAAATAAAAAAAGGGGGGGGAATGTAAGAAAATGAAACGTTGGGCCTGGAGTCCTTGTACATGATATACGTCAATCTATTCCTCTTCCTCGTCGTCCTCGGGGATCTAAAGTTGATGTCAGTCAGTTTTTGTCTTGAGAGGAGCAGAAAGGAGAAGGGTAGACAAGAGAGAGAGAGAGAGGAAGGGAGAGAGAGAGGGAGGGGGGGGGGAACAAACATTGTCATGAAAGTTTTGGCCGTCGGTAGTAGCAGTGATGATACCAGAGCGAATGCAGAAATCACCGAAACGCTCACCATCCTGGCGCTCGAGAGCATACCTCTTGAGAAGGGGCTTCATGATGGCGAGAATCTCGTCCTCCTTGATGCTCTGACGGTAGAGCTTGTTGAGGCGCTGGCCGTGGTAGCCGCCGCCGAGGTACATGTTGTAGGCGCCGTAAGCCTTTCCGACAAAAGCCACCTCAGCGAGCCAGGGGCGGGCGCAGCCGTTGGGGCAGCCTGTCATGCGCATGACGATGGAGTCCTGGCGGAGGCCTACGTCCTCGAGGCAGCCCTCCAGCTTGGAGATGAGCACCGGCAGGTAGCGCTCCGACTCGGCCATGGCGAGGCCGCAGGTGGGGAAGGCCACGCAGGCAGACGAGCTGAGGCGCAGGCCCGAGAAGTGCAGGTTGTCCAGCTTGTAGTGCTTCATCAGCTCCTTGATCTGCGGCAGGTCCTCGTCGGCCACGTTGCTCATCATCAGATGCTGGTTACCCGTCAGGCGGAACTCGCCCTTCAGCACCTTGGCGATCTCGCGCAGCCCAGTCTTCATCCGGAACTCAGGCGTGTCCTCGATGCGGCCGTTCTCGATGAAAAATGTGAAGTGGTTCAGCCCGAACTCGTCCTTTTGCCACCCAAAGGTGTCGACGTTGCTCTTGAACTCAAACGGACGCTCCGGCTGGAATTTGTCACCCCACAGCTCCTCCACCTTGGCCCGGAACACGGGCACCGTCATGTCGTCAATGGTGTACTTGAGACGCGCATGCTTGCGGTTCTTACGGTCGCCGTAGTCGCGCTGCACCAGCATGATCTTCTCGCACGCAATGTGCACCTTGTCCGTGGGGCAGAAACCGAACATCCGGCCTGTCTGCGGGTACGTCTTCTTGTTGTTGTGCGTTGTGCCCATGCCGCCGCCGGCAAGGACGTTGAAGCCCTCAAGGCCGCCGTCCTTTCCCTTTATGGCGATGAGACCGACATCGTGCGCATACACGTCCGTGTCGTTGTGCGGCGGCACGGCGATAGTGATCTTGAACTTGCGAGGCAGGTACGTGGGACCGTACAGCGGCTCAAAGTCTTGAACGGCGTCTCCCGCCACCTGCATCTTCTTGTCGTTGTCGTCCGTCAACCAGATCTCGTGGTAGGCCGTCGTAGACGGCAGCAGGTGGTCGCTGATCTTCTGCGACACGGCGTGCACCTCGCGGTGGAACTTGGACTGCGTGGGTAGCGAGCTGCACATGACGTTGCGGTTGACGTCGCCGCAGGCGGCGATGGTCGTCATCAAAGACCGGTTGATGGCCTGCATGGCCGGCTTGAGCTTGCCCTTGACGATGCCGTGGAACTGGAACGTCTGGCGCGTCGTCAGCTTCATCGTCTCGTTGCCCAGCTCCATGCTGATGTCATCCATCTGGATCCACTGCTTGGGCGTCGAGATACCGCTGGGGAGTCGACAGCGAATCATGAAGGAGTAGGCGGGCTCGAGACCCTGCGCCTTGCGCTCGTCGCGCACGTCACGGTCATCCTGCATGTATGTGCCGTGGAACTTGGTCAGCTGCTGGTCCGCGGCTGAGATGGCGCCCGTCGTGGGGTCATTGAGACCTTCGACAATGGTACCGCGAAGGAAGTTGGACGCGAGCTTGATGTCCTCGTTGGTGATGGGCGGCGGCTCGTCGGCGAGGCCCTCGACATTGTCCACGCCCAGGGCGGTCCAGATCTTGGGCTCCCACTCCGAGTAGCCGGTCTGGAAGCCGTCGGGGTCCTGGTCGTCTCCCAGGCCCGTGTCTGCCAGGTGCCTGGCGCCCAGGTTGGTCAGGACGCGGTCCAGGTCCTTGGCGGGCTTGTTGTAGAAGATCTTGTCCTCCTTGCGGGGCCAATAGTGGCTGTCGCCCAGGCCGAAGACGGAGAAGTTGACCGTGGCGAGGTCCATGTCGGTCGTCTCCTTGATGGCCTCCCAGAAGGCGAGACCATTCTGGGGGAACTCGCCCTGACCGGCCGTGGACGTGATGAAGACAATGTTCTCCTCGGACGGCAGGTCCTCGAGGGGGTAGTCCTCCATGGCCATGACGGACGTCTTGAGGCCACGGGCGCGGCCGCGGTTGGCCAGGCGCTTGGCAATGGTGGTGGCATTGCCGTTGTCCGAGGCAAAGAGGACGGTGAGGGGGGCGCCCAGGAGGCCCTCGAGCAGTTGGTTGTAGGCATCCTTGGCCTTGCGCTTCTGTTGGGCACGAACCTCGGTGCCAAAGTCCTTGGCGAGGCTGGAGGCGAATTTGGGCTCCTTCTTCATCAGCTGGGTCAGCTGGTTGTCGCGATCGAGGAATTTCTTGAGCTCTTGCTTGATGAGCTCCGAGTCAAGGGAGAAGTTGGGCTCGCCCTTGGTCTCGTTCTGAGGATTCCAGCGGTACAGGGGCCAGTAGCCGGCGTCGACGGCCCTCTTGGTCTCCTGGAGGACGGTCAGGGCCGAGTCGGTCTCGCCAAAGTAGGGTAGGTAGGCCAGGACGACCGAAGGGCCGTCGAAGCGGTCAGCCTCGAGCATGGCCTGGAGGACCTGGGTGTAGGAGCTGTAGACGGCGGTGGAGGCGACGTAGGCGTTGCCAAAGTTCATGGCGTACAGGCCAATGTCCTTCTTGCGGCGCTGGGCGTCGGCGGCGGCCTTGGCCGAGTAGGGGGTCGAGTCGATGATGAGCATGTTGACATTCTCGCCCGAGGCCAGGACGTGGTGAACACCGGAGTTGCCCAGGTCGTAGGCCCAGGCGTCGGAGCCTATCAGCCACATGGACTCCTTACGGAACAGGGCCTTGTTGGCTAGCAGCTTCCTAGACAGGGCTGAGCCGTCCGTCTCGAGGCGAGCGACGACGTCATCGGCAAGCTCAGATGACTTGGCCGCGTCCGAGGCGCTCAGGGCCCAGCGGGCTAGCCAGTTGCGGGGACCATCGGTGATGAAGTCGTTGCTGCTGGCAGCGGCCTTGGCCTCGGCGACAAAGCGCTCGCGGAGCTCCTTGCGGGCCAGCAGGGAACCGAAGCCGAACTCGGGCCTGGCGACGACCGCCGACGAGATGCCGGCGTGGGTCGACTTGACGGCGTTGACAATGTGGGTCCTCTCGCCAAACAGCTGGTCCAGGATCTTGGTGTAGGCCGACTCGACTTTGGGGGCCTCGTCGTCCTTCTCGGTCAGGACCTCGGGAGCGTTACGGACGCCGACCTCGAGGTTCTGGATGGGCTTGGGCAACGTCAGGTTCTGGATGACGCCGCGGATGGCCTGGACGGTGACGGTGGGGTCGACGTATCCGACCTGGTAGCCGACGATGTGCTCGACGCCGCCGGGGCCGCTCTTGAGCGAGGTGAGGACATCGATGAGGGTGGGACCCCAGCGCGTCGTCTTACGGTGAATCTGCTCGAGGACAGCGATCCTCTTGACCGAGGCGGGGATGGCCTCGACCAGCCTGGAGCCAATCCAGGGCCTGTACAAGCGCGGGGTGATGATAGCGGCGTGATAGAAGACGTCTTCAGGCTTGGCGGCGTCGATGACCTGGGCAAAGGAACCGGCGTCGGAGCCAAAGATGAGGAGAGCGTTGGCAGCGTTGGCGGGGCCTGTATACTCAAAGGCACTGTAGGAGCGGTCGACGGCGGCCTGCAGCTGCTTCCAGATGGACGCGGCGGCGTCAAAGATGTCGGCCGAGGTGATCTGGGAGGTGAGGTTCGTCTCGACGGTGGTGGCGACAGAGACGGAGTCGCCCGACTCGCTAGCAGTGCTCGTCTTGGCCGACGTGTCCTTGGAGGAAGCCGTATCGCTGCCGCTGACGGCCTTGTCGGTAGGAGCAGGCGGAGCAGAAGCGACGCGAGCAGCAGACTCGTTGTCGGAAGTGGCGGTGCCAGCAGCGACGGCAGCGCCGGCCTCGGGGACGTTGTGCCAGGCAGTGGCGACGTGGCCATCGTCAGCGTAGATACCGTCGGCGGCGATGCGGGCAGCTTGGAACCTCCTGACGATATGCAGGTCGAGGATGTCACGGACAACGGTGGGGTCCTCGGTGTCGATGGGTTTGTCGTCGGCCGAGGTGGCCGGGGCGAAGAAGTGGATGACAGCCTTGCCGGTGCGGATAGCGAGGGCGTGAGCCGTCAGGGCCATGTCCTGTGCCTCCTGGAGGGACTCGGAGTGCAGAAAGGTGCATCCCGAGTTGCGAATGGAGGTGATTACCGAGTAGTCCGCAAAGTTGCGGGGCTCGAGCGAGACGTGGAGGACGACGGGGTAGTGGGCGAGCTTGTAGAGGTGAGGGACCGAGGCGAGCAGGATGGACGAGTTGGTGGTGACTGAGACGAGGCTGCCCGAGCGAATGGGGTCAAAGACGGAGAGGAGAGGGTCGGCATTGTGCCTGACGGAGAGGATCTGAAGGGGGGGGGGGAGGAAGAAGAAGAAAGTGTTTGTCAGTACTCGAAGTGGGGGATGTCGAGTATAGAGATAAAAGGTCTATCTTACCTCGGGGACGGCATCGGCTCGACTGGCGACGAGGCTGTGGTCCTTACGAGAAGCATAACGCTTCAGGTGAGAGGAGAAGGGAGAGTCGGTAGCCAGGGAAGGCTGAACCGAGATGATGACATCGCTGGAGAGGTAAGCGATTCTCGACACTATTGAAGTTGGTCAGCATTTTTTGTATTGTTTTTCAGTGTTTCACATCTCGCCACCATCACCATCATCATCACTGGGGAGGAGGAGGAGGAGGAGGAGGACAAAGGCATGGAAGGAGAGCAAAGACTTACCAGCCTCTTCAGGCGTGCGAATCTGATGAGACACAGCAGCAGCGTCCATCTTGGAATTGTCGACGGAGCTGGACCGAAAGAGAAAGGCCATGATGGAGAGAGAGCGGGGGGAGGGCCGCTTATGAGAAATCCGGGTCTCTGCGAGTGGAAGCGAAAAGCCCACCAGGGCTCGTGGGTAGAATGAACTTGAGATCCACTAAGGGGTCGCTCGTTTCCTCTTTTTTTCCTACTATTTTCTTTTAGTTGGTGAGAGGAGGAATGGGTCAATAGGAGAGTGAAATGTCTGGTTGCCCTCCTACTAAGGAATTACAATGGGGACTTGGAAAGGCGACGGCGGCGGCGTTGGCCACCAGGAGAGAGAAAAATTGACACTCCCCGCAATCCGGCCGGAGGAGGCATTGCGTGATTCTAGGAAAACAGAGCCAAGCGGCGGCTATACGCTAGCCTTATTTATATATAGTGTTAAATGCGGCACACAAATCATCAGTTGTGACCATTTTAAAAGATTGTGTAGATGGTGAAAAAGAAAACGAAAAAGTTGGGGAAAAAACAGGAATGAAAAACTAAAAGACTGTAATGCATGTGAATTGGCAATGGCAAGAGTATATGAGCCGTTCCTTCCGTCTGTTCTCGTTGTTCCTTCCTGAAACACTCACTACTTACATCTCATCACTATGAAAAATAACTTTCCTCTAGGAGCGAGAAAAAAGAAAGAACGAAGAAAAAAAAACCCCCAATCACGTACTCTTTAACCAATTGCGTCTGCCCTATTCGCAACCCTCCTTTTCCTTAATCCCTCCCCCGGCGTCCGATTCCCGGCTGTGGCGATGCCCCGCTTGTGGCCCGACAGACCGACAAAGCCGTAAATGGCGAAATTGCCTTTGCAGTCTCCGAATGCCGGACCTGGTCACATGAAATCCCACGAAATGTCCGGTTTTTTTTTTTTCAAGAGGGAGAGAGAGAGAGTCACTATGATCCTACAATCGTTACGAGTGCTGTCATCACGAATACGCATGTAGGATAAAGATTATGCATCCAACACCATCACGCCAATTACTAATTCATACCTCTAGGACCCTGTATTTTCAATTCCCATTTCCCGACCCGGCCCGTTGACACGCTTGTCGGTCCTTGACTGTCTGAGTCCTCTCGACTTTGCCGTCGCAGGAGAGTGTGTATTATGTAACACTGTATAAAAAGTATGTGTCGACACTGTGTTTTATCGTCAAGATAGCTAGTAGTGTATTGTATAATTAATATTCTGCCTTGTGGTATCCTGTGAATTATCATTATGACATCTGGTGTATTATGTAATTAATATTCTGTCTTGTGGTATCCCTTTTGCTGTGCCCCCCTTGATGATGCGACGTTGTGATGATTGTGCGGATAGTGCAATTGAATGGCCTTGACCCGCGACTGGTGGTCGATGATGTGTTTTCTTTCGTCTTCTCCTTGAAAACCGCTATTTTTTTTTTCGCCTTGCATTTTTGCTGAATGAAATGCAGGACATACCCTGCTTCCAGCGCACTCCCATAGCACAACCGGATTGTATTAAAAGTAGTGACCTCCCTTAAAATTCCATCCTATCCTTCAGATGGAGAGGTGGGAGGGGGGAGGAGCAGAAGAATAGTAGGATGGAATATTCCCCTACGAAAAGTCTCTGGCCTTGGCAGAGACAGACCCCTTGGTAGACGCTCCCTCGGGCGTCCAGCCAGCAAGAGGCTGCTCGAGCCAGTAACCCCTGATGAAAGAGACCATGGTGCGACCGGCCCTGCCCCTGCGGCCCTGGCCGTCGGGCAGGTTCTGGGCAAAGGGCCCGTCGGGGGAGTCGACGACGTCAGCCTCACCGTTGATGACGAGGGTCTGCACGGTAGACTGGATGACCTGGCGGGCAAAGGACATGACGACGAGGGAGTAATAGATGCGCACGAGCGTGTGGGCGACGAGCAACACCATGCTGGCGGCCGTCTCGCGGGGCGGGGCCCCGACGGTGGCCACGGCCACGGTGCCAATGTTGCCCACCTTGGTGGTGGTGGTGGCTGGGTACCAGGTCGATCCGAAGGCCACCGTGTCGGCCGTGTTCACCGTCGTGTCCACCACGTACAGCCACGCCAGCGCCAGGCACTCGACTGCGCTCTGTCGGCGGATGTGCGGCGCCAGGTACACCACCACCCCCAGCGACACGAGCGAGTACACGTACGTCGCCAGCTGCAGCAGCGACAGCTGGTACCCGGTCAGGATGGCCAGCAGACCGTACACGCCCGTCACCTTGTTCAGTATCAGCATCAGCGTGATCAGCTCCGTGCCCGTCTGCAGGCTGATGAAGCCGAACAGGTTCTGTTGTTGCCGTCGAGGATGATCGTCAGTAATGATGGGTCACGTGCGCGCTTCTCCTCCTCCTCCTCCTCCTCCTCTATGATAGGGGGGAATGGGCTCACCTTGGGTCGCGGCACCCGCAGGTAGAGGCTCGTAAATCTTGACATGGTGCGTATTGTCAAAGTCGGTGCGCGCTCGAGTCGGGAAATGCAGAATGAATGAGGAGGGAAAGTAGAAGATGGGAGAGTCTAGAGAAGAGCCCAGGGGGAGGAAATGACAAGCGCCAAGGAGTCGGGTTCGGGGTTTTCGGGACCAGCGGATATTATGCAACGAAATGCAATATCATAGGCCTATTGTTGTGTGACTAATATGAGGTACCTATTCGACAGCCAGGTTCGTATGTGACAAGTAGGTACCGAGTGTTATGTATCACGTACATGTAGAGCCAGGGTCAAATCCAAACAGCCGCAGCCCAGCATATCTGTTATAGAATAGACACAAATTTCGTCCTCATTTCTACATTAGCTAGGACGTAATTTACATGTCTTCCATCCCTCTGATTGTCGAACTGGTCGTGCGATAATCACACTAGACAGGGACACATAAGCTGAGCAGGTTGAACTCAAGCAGCGCTAGATGTCCTAGCCTACCCTGGACCTATCTTCTCAGGGGCTTCAGTAATATATCATCTACATGTACTACTTGATTTACCATGATTGTCTAATAAAACAATGCCATATAATAAAGATGAGTACTACCAATTATACGGAGCACAATAGATAAGAGCCTGCCTCTAAATCAGGTCTAACATTCTCCTTCACCTCGGGTGTTGGCTACCAGTATACTTGATACAAACATCCCATACCATCTACCACAAGCTGAACCACCCTCATCCCAAGCCAGACAGATGATACCACATTCGAAATATTGAGATCAAGTACTGAAAGATAAGAAAAAAAATATATATATAAACCCCGTTTATCAGATTGCTGCCTCATAATGCCAACCTGCTCTTCCTCTCCTTGTCTCTTCTGTGTCCGAAGATAAGTGTATGCTGCTACTTCTCCCCCTTTTCTCCCCGGTCCAGACACCCCTTTCCCCTTAGTTGGTCACTATTGCACCGACCAACATGTACCTAGGGACTGAACTGGATAAAAACATACACCAAGATGGAATAAAAAAAGCTTCCGTTTAATGTACTCTCTCTCTCTCTCTCCTTCTCTTTGAATGCGCGTACCCTAACAGGCACATCCCTCCTGAGCAGTCTGGCTCTGGCTCGTCTTGACATCAATCACTACAGCTTGTTAGCATTGTTTCGATCATGACCCTCAAGGAGAGCGGAAAGAGAAATCGATAGAGGGGAAAAAAATTGTAGAAGGATAGGGGAAAAGGAGGGAAGGAGAGAGAAAGGGGTACATACTTTGGCTAGAAGCTTGGGCTGCAGCATCAGACCCTTCCATACCAGGCAGCGCCTGTGCTATCCTCTTGAAGAGGTTCTTGACATTATGTCCAAGCTTGGCACTCGTCTCGACAAACATGAGGCTGTTCCTCTTGGCCTCGTCTTCTCCCTGCTGCGTCGTCACCTCTCGCTTGTCGTTGAGATCAGTCTTGTTGCCCACTAGGACGATGATGACGTCGTTGCCACGCTCGGCTCGCACGTCGTCAATCCACTTCTTGGTGTTTTGGAATGACTTGGCGTCTGTATTGTAGAGGCAATGCGTCAGAATGGTTCCTTTCCCCCCTGTTCTTCCCTTGCCTGTGTGTTTCTTCACCATTCCCTCTCTTTTCAAATAAACATACTCGAAATGTCATAGACGACAACGGCAACACTTGAATCGCGAATGTACGATGGGATCAAGCTGCGGAATCGCTCCTGTCCCGCCGTGTCCCATAGCTGAAGTCGTACCGTCCTGTCCTCGAGGTACATGGTCTATCACAGTCACAGTCAGACTCTCTTCCCGCTCGCTCTTCACTTGTCAATGTTCCTCTTTGGGGTGCATTCTTCGGACCTTGGATAGAAAGTCGATACCAATAGTGGCTTGGTACATATTATCGAACGAGTCGTACATGAACCGCGTAATCAGGGAAGTCTTTCCAACTGTTCTATACATCAGTGATCGGAAGCCATCATTCGCCCTGTCTGAACAGCCCGGTAATAATAGAGAAAAGCAGATAAACATACCACTTTGCTCGCCCAAAAACACCAGCCTATATTGCCAACATCGTTAGTGCCAACCAAACCATTGTATCCATTCTCTCAGCACCTACTTGAATTTCTTCAAGGGGTTGTTGTATGACCCTCCTGCCTGCGCCATCTTGGAGGCGGTTCCGTATGCGGTTGTTGCTGTGCTTCAAACTAATTCGCTCCCCGGTTCGGACGTTGGTGTCGGGCGTCAGGGGGGGTCGTCAACCGCGGGGGGGTGGGTGCGCGCGGGGGAGGGGGAAGGGAGGAGAGGACAAAGCAAGTGAGAGATGAGCTGCGTCGACGTGCGTATCCTTCGTTGGTAGATAAATCTGGTGAGAGGAAGAGAGAGGAACAGAGCAGGTCGAGAGTCGGTGTAATGTGCTGAAGCTTGGGACAATGGGCGACGTCGTTGATAATGTCGGAGAGCCAAGCTGTACTATTGACGGACAGTTTACCTTTGGGTACTGCTATTCACCGTAATACGCCTTCACGTGGGTGAACGGTGACCAAAACGGAAATTACGGTGGGTCTGGAAAACAGATTGATTACCTGGTTCCGTTTATAACGGAGACACCGTACCGCAAGCTTGGGGTCTCCTGTTAGGTTAGCGCCTTCCGTCTTTGTCGGTCAATGGCCTATGGCACTTATTACCCCACTAAAAAAAAAAGTAGATTGTGCCTTCTTTGTTCGTCAAAACCTCGTCCGCGCCTTCCTTTTGTGTATCACGTCCTCCGCCGTTCAGCAAGAACAGGAACTGCATCCTCTGCCTGCTGGACTTCTCCTCTTCCAACACATTAGTCAAAATGCCCGTAATAAAGGGCCCATCATCAGGGGACGCCCCGAGTTCCTACAAGCAGCCTTCCCGAAAGGGCAAGAAGTCATGGCGCAAGAACGTCGACGTCACAGAGGTTCAGAAGGGTCTTGAGGACCTGAACGAAGAAATCATTCGAGGGTGAGTCTCTCTCCATACCTCTTCACCTGTTTGTGTTTTCTCAAAACTCGCATACTGACAATAAACAGTGGTGTCATCAAAGAAAAGGAAGCTGCAGACCTCTTCACCCTCGACATCAAAGGCGACATCCAGACGGCCAATAAGAACAAGTCTGCCAAGAAGACTCTGAAGTCGGACGAGATTCTCGCTGAGAGGTCCTCAGTTCCTGCAGTAGACACGCGCAAGCGCCCTGCTGCGCACTTGACAAAGATAACAGACGGCGTTGTTTCCACCAAGCGTCACAAGGCCGACTGGGTCTCCCAAAAGGAACTGGGCCGTCTGAAGCGTGTGGCAGATGGACAGCACGACAACACCGTTGAAGTGACGGATGCTACGTTTGATATCTGGGCGGAAGATGCCCCGACTGCACTGGAACCTAAGCAGGACCCCAAATTCGACTTTCTCCCTAAGCAAGCAAAGCCCAAGGCCCCCAAGTCCATGAAGCAGAAGCCTATCTCTCTGTTGGCTAGCAACAAGCCTATCAAGGCGGTTAAGGCGCCTTCGAGTGGCCACAGCTACAACCCTTCCTTCGAGGCTTACGAGAAGCGTCTGAGCGAGGAGGGTGCCAAGGCCGTGGAGGCAGAGCGCAAGCGTCTCGAGCAGGAAGAAGCCGAGCGGGTCAGGGCTGAGGCTCTGGCTCGATCTGCCACCGAGGCCGAGGCCGCTGATGCACGTGCCGAACTTTCAGAGTGGGAGGAAGATTCCGAGTGGGAGGGTTTCCAGAGTGACGCCGAGGGCACTGTCGCCGCGAAGCGTCCAAAGCGCAAGACCCTGCAACAGCGCAAGAGTGCGGAGCGCCGCAAGGCAGACGAGCGCCTGGCCAAGCATAAGGAGGCCATGAAGCAGCGTCGCAGACAGGAGAACCGCATCGCAGAGATTGCCGAAGAGGTTGCAAACAAGCAGCAAGCACTCCAGACCCTGGAAAACAAGGACTCAGATGCGGACGACGACGACGACGACGACGACGATGAGAAGCTGCGCAGGAGGCAGCTTGGCAAATTCAAGCTGCCGGAGAAAGACCTGGAACTTATCCTCCCCGATGAATTGCAGGGAAGCCTGCGTCTGCTGAGACCCGAGGGCAACCTTCTTAAGGACCGGTACCGCAACATGCTCCTGCGGGGCAAGGTTGAGGCTAGAAGACACATTCCCTTCAAGAAGCAGGCCAAGCGTAAGGTGACGGAAAAGTGGACGTACAAGGATTTTGTCCTTTGAGCCTTGGGGTTCATTTTTTATCTTTCTGTTTCCTTTTCACATCTTTCTTTCCAGAGTTACTATGTAGATGGGCAGGGGTTTATCAAGATGAATGACAAGGTTGCTACTGGTACTGGGGTACGTACTGCTGCTGCTGCGAAGGCGTTGTTTGATTATAAAAGTCTTTTTTGTATTGTTGCATTCAACGAGTATATATATATGAGGTATTGTTCTACAATTGTCTTCTTTCCAATATTTTCTATCAATCGACTTGGTGGCTCATATGACTTTAGACTCTGAATGACTTTGTTTCCTTTATAACCACAAAAAAAAAAAGGGAGTTCAACTCCAAGGTGTGAAGAAAGGAGCGTAACTCCAAAAAAAAAAAGAAACAAAGAAAAGTATCAATGCAATGCCATTTCTCTTCCCACCCAACACTCATTTTTAATAAGGACACGCAAGAAAAATGACATAGAAAAAGACAAAAAAAAACAGATTCTACTCAGTATAAAAAGAAAAGTTATCAAGTGTCTGAAAATCACAAGGACATGCGCTTAGAAGCTCATGAGATCTAATTGTTACCGGTTAGCTTCGATTCAGGAATGTAGAGAAAGAGGGAAAAGGAAAGTGACAAGGGAAGAAATTAGGAGGGAAACTAGAGAGGCGAAAAAAAAACTCACCCCGACCGAAACATGCTCGCTTAGCCCAGTCCATCGCCATCAAACTACGAGTACGCAGACTGACGCTCTGAGCAAAGTAGACGGATCGCCAGGTGTATACGGCCCACAGGCCACCGGCCAAGTTCCAGCCCTCACCCAGATCAAAGACGGCCGAGTTTCCAATGTAGGCCAGGCTGCCGAGGTGCTTGTACTCAAAGGCACTATAGGCGGCCGCGTCGAGGTCACCGTCGCGGACGTCGTTGAGGGCCAGGCCGGCTGACAGGCGGGCGACCTTGTTGAACTTGTGGGCGAGGTAGCGGCCCTGCTGGTGGGCGCGCTGGGCGGTGGCGGGCAGCGACGTCAGCTTGCTGTCGATCTGCTTGAGGAGCTCGCGCAGCTCGCCGTAGTCGAGGGCGCCGTCCTGATCCTTGTCGAACTCGTAGAAGAGCTTGTCGAGGCGTTTGAGATGGTCCGAGGCCTGGGGGAAGCGCTTGCGCACCTCGTGGGCCATCTGGCACCAGTCGCTAAAGTGCAGCTTGACCGTCTCCGGGTCGTTGCCACGACGCCACGAAATGGTGCGCAGGAAGGTGATGATGTGGTCGGCAATATTGTTCTGCACCGTCGAGCAGTCGCCAATGGCGTAGACATCACCCAGGGGAGCACCGTTGAGGCGCAGGTGCGTGTCGGTCTCGAGGGCGTGGCGGTTGGTCTGGTAAGAGCCGAGCTTGTCCGACAGCTTCTTGCTCAACGTCGTGGGGGCCACGCCTGTAGACCAGAGGCAAAATCCGGTAGGGAGCTCCTTGGTGACGACGGATCCGTCCGCCTGCTTCTGGCTAAAGATGATCTTGTCGGGCAGCACCTCCTTAACTCGCGAGTTTGTCAGGACCTCGACCTGGTCACGCGAGAAGCGCTCCTCGGCGTACTTGGACACGGCCTCATCGTACGTGTTGAGGATGTGGCTGCGGCTTTGGATGATGTGGACCGAGATCTCGTTGCGTAGCAGGCGGGGGAAGTAGTGCGACAGGTCTTCGTTCAGGAGATCGTACAGTTCGGCGGCAAACTCGACACCAGTGGGACCGCCACCGCTGATGACAAAGGACAGTAGACGTTTCCTCTCGGCATCGGTGGTGGTGGGCAGGCAGGCAAGTTCACAGTTGCGGATGATGCGGTTGCGGATACCACGGGCGTCGTCAATGTTCTTAAGGAAGAAGGCGTTCTCAAGACCCTTGACGCCGTGGGGGTTGGTCACGGAGCCGACGCCGATAACGAGCTTATCATAGGGGACGTAGAAGCGCTTCTCCTGACCGTCAATACCAACCTGAGAGACCTCGACGAGCTTTTCGGAGAACTCGACGTCTTCGGCCTTGGCGCGGATGAAGTGGCCACCGCAGCCGCGAAGGACTCGGCGGATAGGCTCGACAAGGGAACGCAGCTCGAGGGTACCGACGGTGGCCGAAGGGAGCATGGGGGTGAACAGGAAGTAGTTGGTGGGAGCGATAACGGTGACATGGTACTGATCGGGGTCGAGGTCCTTGAGGAGGGCAACGCTGCCCCAGCCGCCGCCGAGAACGACGAGACGGGGCTTCTGGACCTGCCTGCGGTTCTCTTCGGAGTCGTTGTCGTCGATAAAGGCCTCGGCAATGGGCAGGTTCTTGGGGCCACCCCTCCTGGGGTTGAGAGCAAGCTGAGGCACCTCAATATCGCATTGCGTGCTATACTCCTTATAGGTGGAGGCATCGTAGATGAAGAAGGCGACAATGGCGACACCAAGAACGGACAGAGAGGCACCGATGAAGGCGGCGGTGCGGTAGGCGACAATGACGAGGCGCGACTTGGTAGGGACAGGCGGCTTGCCCGACAACAAGCGCACCAGCTTGCGACCGGTCGATATGGTCGGGCGTGTCAGCGCGGTGGCTCCCTTATCTCCAGCCTTGGGCAGGTTGGCCACTGTCCGCGACTGTTGACGGCACAGGAAGACGATGCTGGAGGATTGGAAGGGCGAGGCCCTAGCCGAGCATCGGATACCGGCGGCCAAGGGGCGCACCACCGGTGCGCGGAAGGCGACGGGGTGCATGGCAGCGGGGAGGGGGAGGGGGATGATGCTAAGATGCGATGATGCCAACGAAGGAATAGAAAGAAAAAAAAGAGGGAGAAAAAAAAGATTAAGCTCAATGAGCTCAAGACGAGAAGCCCATAGACCAAACAGGGATTGAGAGGGCCGGATTCTGCCTCAGGCGACAGGACGCCAAAAAAGGGTGGGTGGATTGATAGTGGTAGGCTGTAATCTGTACTTGTAATAGTACCGAGTACTCGTATCGTAGAGGCGCTGGGCACATTTGAGGCTCTGCGCTTGGCTTGGTCTCGTTGCAACGCGTTTGGAGCGATTTTTTCTTCTTTTTTTGGTGGGACGCCCTCGGGAGACGACCTCGCAGATCCGGCGGAGCCAACCAGAGCTTGCTCGGAGATATTGGGTCAGGGTACGGGGATTGTATCAAGCACGAGATATATGTAATATGTATATTTATTATGGAGTCAGACGGGGGGGGGGGATAGATAAAGATAGAGAGAGAGAGAGAGAGAGAGAGAGAAAGAGAAGGAAATAAGGTGGCAATCACGAGAGCGACGAGGGCTGCTCCTGCCATGCTAACCACTGCTGCTCCTTCCTACCAATGCCAATCCAGATGAATGAGCTACGAGCAAAACGAGGACGTTGGTGCAAGTGCAGCCCATCCGCGCTTGCCAGTTGTTTATTTGGCTAGGCTCATGGTGAATCTCTGGCGTCATACATGAGCCCCAGTATCCCATTTTGGGTAGCCCTGGGCCCTGGCCCCTCTCCTAGAGCCCTTCTGGTACGCTGAGTATATATGTATGAGCGGATACCAGGGTACACGGGTCTCATTCGCTTTCAGCCATAATTGCAGCCATTGCATCGGGTACCCAGATAATATATATACTTTGACCCTGAACCCTTCCCACGTATTATATGTCCTAGCGCCCATTTCATCCCGCCGCTGCCGCAAACCTCTCAAGTTCAAGTCGGAGTCCCGGGCGTTCAGGTGGAGAAAGTCCATCCTAGACCACCGAGGTAGCGCCTTCCCCCCCCTGGGCTGTCATTATGTATTTATTACTCGCAAAGCCACTGGCTCTTGCCGTAGAAGGAGCGAATCATTCTCGGCACTATTATATATGTACTCGTAATGATTTTTTTTCTCTCGCCCCTTCTTGGACCGCAGCAAGTGGGTAGGTATGTGATGTCCGGCCCCGACTCCATAGTACCTGCCCTCTTTTTAATTACAGTGTCCCACGTCCCTTCGCTTCTAAGCTCGCCTGTCCGTCGGTATCCGCGATGCCGTCTCGGCCTGTCCCCTCTGCTCACCGCCGATAGAACATCTCCGTATTACGAGTGCCCTCGGTATTCTTTTGGTTGCTATTATTCCCGATCATGATACAAAGGGTACGCGCGTTATCAATCTCTACGTTGTAATTCGATCTGCAGCATAGCACTCCGTGACCGTACTATTATATATATATATATATGTACATGTAGCATTATTACGAGTAAAACAATAGCAGTACGTATATCGGCCGTTGGTGCCTCTGCTCGTATACTCGTACTATGCTCAATTGTTGCCGTTTCCATTTGATGCTCGCATCCCAAGGTGAATATCTACCTGTACAGATGACAACACTCCCGGCCCTCTTCCCCATCATCAGCACCGGAAATATCGCTGCTCGACCCATCGGGGCTCCTGGTCCGCCAAAATGTTGCACACCACCACCGTGATCTCCGGGAACACCGTCGTAAGTCGGTGCAGACCCACTCTGCCGGCCGAGTACGTGGCCAGGACGATCCTATCCAGGGCCACGCCGTGATCAGCCAGGACCTGCACCGCCATAAGGGCCGCCCCGCCGCTGGCCATCTGCGTGTCTAGGAGTAGGACGCTCTCGTGCTCGTTAATGTCGTCGGGCAGCGTCAGATAGTGCAGCTCCGGCTCCCCGGTCGAGTAATTGGACTGGATGAGAACCCGACCCGTCCTGCAGTCCGGTATCGTCTTGTGCAGCGCTGACTCAAAGGCCGACCCGCCCCGGAGCACGATCACAGCGCTGACCTCTCCCTTTGGTGCCAGTCCCTGGTACTTGTATCCCTGGGGGGTCTCGATGACTTGGGACTTGAAATGGACGTTGTTGAGGGCTCTGTCGAAGCCTCTCCGTCAGTGAATCTGTCCCTTCATGTTCCGTCAAGGTAGAGAAAGAGAGCACGGCCCCTCTCCTGCAGACAAGGACAACAGGGGCAACTCACTGCTCGATTATCAGACTCGCCAATCGGTCAAAGTAAAAGATGAAATCCTCGGCATTGGTGTCAATGTCCTGTAGGATCGTATGCATAAACCTGAGCTGCGCCGTGTCGGGGAGTATAACGACCCGGCTCGATAGAGGTCGATCTTTGGCTTCCATCTCGAGCTTGGACAGGGCATCGCGGTGATGCCTCGATTTTTCAAACAGCTTGCGCTCAATGTATTGCACCATAATGTCTGCCATTTGTCAGATCCATTTCTATGAGTCAGGCACTTGACCGTGTCTTGGGATGAAGTGAACATTGGAGATGAATATCGGAGTACTTACCCAGTGCCACTTGGTTCTCAATACCTCTAGGGACAATCAAGTTGGCCATCTTCCTCTGAGGTTCAACGTACTGGATAGAATCATTAGCCGGGTTCGATCTTCAAATATGTCAGGATGGTTCCAGGTAATAGTTAACCACCTTCTCAAAGTTGGGCTTCACATAGGCAAACCACTGCTTGACACAGCCTTCGATATCTCGCCCTCGCTCACGGACGTCACGAATAACTGGGAGGAGACGTCAGCATATACAGATTAGAACATACGAGAAAATACCATCCGTCTCAACTTACTACGTCGTGCAAGACATGTGTCGCCGTCTGCCTCACAATATATCTATCAGGCGTCGCCGAGTTAGATGTTCGTGTATCACAGCAGTTCCCAGGCATTTAATCGAGGTATGTAGTCGAGATAGTAGGAGGGAATCGATCTCAAACATACCCCCATATCCAAAAGTTCGAGGACCCGAGGGTCGTACAGAGCAAAGATGCCTTCGAGAATGAGGACGTGCGGTGAGTAAATAGAAGTTGTCCGTTCTAGACGCTGATGCTGCTCGAAGGAATACACGGGGATCTCGGCACGCTTCCTGCGAGTGATTCCACCAATTATTAACCGGTTGAGGCCAAGTATATGGCAGACTTGGATTGCAAAAAACCTCTTACCCGGCCTTGAGGTCCCGTAACCTCTCGACGAGAATGTCAAAATCGATGGCCTATTTTCAATGAGACAACCTGAACTTTCGTATGTATGTTTTGAAGGGAGAGAGATAATATGTCATACAGCTGGCGAGTCAAAGTCGTATTCATTGGCAAATGCCAATTTGGATTGCTCAGGCGTCAGAGTCTTGTAGAAGGAATCCTATACAACTGTTAGTACACGTCCCCTACCCCTCTCTTCTCTACGTCTTCTCTTGGGTCGGCAATATTCGTACCATGGACAAGATAACAACCCAAGGAAGATTGAGTTTCCGAACAATGGCCTGGGAAATGGTTGATTTGCCCGAGCCCGAACTACCAGCCACGGCAATGATACTCACATCCGCCCATGGCGGCGAGTAAAACGACCTTTTCTGTATCGTGACATGGCTCTCTAGCTCAGTCATTTTTACGTCCCAGACCCAAGGTTCTCCTTGCTTGGTTTCGTTTGGCCTGTGTCGTTGTTGACGACGACCGATTCTCTCAAGATGGAATTGGTTATCTTCGTCGTGCGACAAAAAGTCCCCACCACACCACGGTAAAAAAAAAACAAGACGGTAGGTGCAGAAAAAAAGGGATATGTCACAAGAATATGAAGGAAGTCAAATTGTGCGGGTGAGGAAGCGGTCAGCGAGGGCGAAGAGGAAGCAAGAAAAGAGCCCAGTATAAAATTGGGCTGGGGTTAACGAACACGAGGCTGGTGAAAGGTGGCGATACCAGCAGAGATGCATGATCCTGGACTGAAGGATCGTGGGAAATCGACGAGGGTTGTGACGTTGATGGTCAGTACGAGAACGGAGGGCCACCGTTTCTGCGTTAATCTACCGTATATTAAAACGTAAACAGCGCAGTTCAACTGAGCCAACTGTCCTTTTTTTCAGTGAACGATGTGCTGGAGAACTACTGTCACTAAGAGGATTGCACGCTCATGGGTCGTCTAGCTGAGCTGTGATCGACGTTTTTGGGGTTACCGTATAATAGTATGTATATATCTTCATATGAGGACGAATAAGAAAGACTGTTGGCAGAGAAGACACTTATTGACACCACGAGACTGATTTCTCACTTTGCATGTGACCGTCTTTGTGATGCTCGCATAAGGGAAAACGGAGCTTGGGATCGAATACGGGACGCCAATGCCTATCATCAGCATGCATCGGCTGCTGACTCATCTGCTACTAGCCGCAGGGCAGGGCTCCAGTGTATAACTTCATCTAATTGGTCGGGTGCTTCTTCGGCCCGTAATAACTCCCCTCTGCTCCTGTCAAGCTTCAGTATTTTTTCTCCAACTCTAGTTTCTCTTCTTTATCTTCCTTTCATCACCTTTCAGAAAAGCTTTCTGTCTGCCCTGGGATTCTTTCCTGCGCAGCAAACGTATCCGATGCCGCCCACTTGAATAGGCACCCCTTTGTAAAACTTCGGTGCCTGTCACTGTTGTTTTTCAACAATCTGTCTTTTTCTCTCCCAACCGTCCTCCTTCCCCGCCTCTCAGCCTCACTCAGGCAACGTGCTGGGCTGCCGACAGACTACGAGACGGAATAGGGCGTGACTCGCTGACAGAGACACTGAGCTCTGTACATTTCTATAATGTCGTCGTCTTCTACAACCACACCGGCCAAGCACGACTGGGAGCGTCGGGTATGGGAGGCTAAGCCCCCGAAAAGGTACGACTACTACATCTCCTAATCTTCATTTCCTTGGCCACCGTCTCCCCCCCAGACCAACCCACGCGACTATATGATGATTGCTTTATCAATGGGAATCTCTCCTAGATATCAATGCGGAGAAAACGATATCACTTCTTCTTCACCTGAATCTCGCGTCCTTCTTTCCTTCACTTGAACCTACAGATCATCCTGTCTTTTACGGTGTGACTAACAACGACCCTATAGTGATATCAATGCTCTGATTATGCACTACTTCAATGTAGAGGGCTACCCCAAGGCGGCTGCCAATTTTGCAAGGGAGGCCAACCTTCCGGACCGAGATGAAGAGGATTTCCTGCAGGCTCGGTGGGATATTCGGGACCATATCTACAATGGTAGGTTTGAGGCTGCCATTGAGGCCCTTAATGATATCAACCCTTCGGTATGTTACGCTACCTCTTATGCCACTCTTGTTGTCCTTCTACTCTACCACCCATACCCTGATGATTAAAACATGAGTTTATACATGCACCACGCTTAGGCCTCCGGGCCGTTGATGATAAACAACCACCTTTTATGAACAAATCCCCACTCATCAAAATTTTCTTGCTTGGATTTGCAAAACATGTGATTCATGTTCTGACCATGAATTATAGATTCTCGAGGAAGACGAGGGCCTCCACTTTTTGCTGCTCCGGCTCCAGCTTATCGAGCTGATCCGGTCATGTAGCGCGCCTGACGGTGACGTCTCGCAAGCGATACAGTTCGCTACGGAACACTTGGGCCCCCGTGCACCGGCCAACCCTCAGTTCCTGGAAGACCTGGAGCTGACGATGGCTCTTCTCATGATCCCCCACGACTCTCTGGAGCCGCAGCTGGCTGCACTCCTCGACCCAGCTCTTCGTCAAGACGCTGCCGAAAAAGTCAACAGTGCCATCATGGCCAACCGCTCCCTGCAGACAGCGTCGGGTCTTCGTACGCTTCTCAGGATGCGATGCTACACCGAGAACCGAGCCCGTGAATACGGCATACCTATCCCACCTAAGCTCGATATCGGCTTGCGCAGTGAAGACAATGATGGTTCCAACAATGACACACCTGAAGTTGTGATGACGGTCTAAACGGTTTTTTTTTTTAATGATGATGCTTCTCGTTTGCGTGTATAATGATTCCATGGCGTTGGTCCTGAAGGAAAGGGAACCACTGCCTCATGTTTTGATTACTGCTTTTTGAGCGACTCTGGAGGCAAATTTGGGATCCGCTCGAGGCGTTCTTATATTTTCTACTACCAGTATACCAGCCCGAGGGCAACAATGACACTGTCTATACAGGTCTTGCACAACTCGTGAGTGCCACGATGCTTTATACAACTACATTATAGTTGATATGGTATGACGGGGAAAAGGTGATAGTGATTGCGTCTTGTATGTACAGTAAGTGGTCAGCTGGGATCCGTGGCTGGGCCTTTGCCCCCCATATTGATCTCTTTCTAATACCTCTTTCTCCCTTAGCAGCTACAAACAGCGATCCTTTTCTTGTTTTATCTCTACCTGGACCTGGCCTCAAACGGTTTACTTGGTCCTGATGTGCTTGAGCTTTCTCTCCGAGTAGAGAAAGTTGTTGGCGTAGGCCTTGACACCAAAGTTGCGCTCTTTGGGTTCCTGGACAAAGTACTCGTAGCCTTGCCTCTCAGCGAAGCGAATGGCGGCCTCCTTGGTGTTGAAGTGGATGTTGGTGCCCTGCATGAAGTCGCCAGACGACTGCCATCCCATCAGAGGGTTCTCCCACCTGTGACCCTTGGGGAGAATGTCCCAGTCCATGCGCCAGTGGGTGCTGCGGAAGGAGCCAGATTGGGTGGCGGGTTTGGCTTCCTTGTAGATGCTGTGATGGATGTCAGCCATGTTACCGTTGTCGCATCTCAGTGTGTTTCTACTAGAGATGAAGTAGTTTGGAGAAGAGACAGACAAGTAGGGAGAAACATACCGGACGGTGCGAGCTTGGAGCTCCAATGGTGCACCAGATGTGACGGCTGCAGGGACGACGTCCTCTGTACCATCCTGGATACGCTTCGGGACAGGGGTGTAGGTCCTAGAGACAGAAGTCCAATCAGTACTACTATATACATGCATGCATAGATACATCTCTCTCTGAGCTTTGAGAGTAGATTGGCGAGAGACGGAGAGAGAGTTAAACGCACGACGTAGCTTTGTCGGGAGCGATGGAGTAGTCTGGCTGGCTGGACTCGGAAGGACCAGTAGGCACAGGCGTCGTAGCCGAGTTGGGAGCAGCAGCAGCGGCGGCGGCAGTAGTTGTCTTGAAGCGAACGGGGGAGACGGAGGGTGCGACAGCCGACCGCAGGAGCCTAGCTGCGCCCTGGGAACGGATTGAGGCCATGGTGACGGTTGATTGACGGGTGAGGGATTCGACTGATGCAATTCAATCCGGGTACTCACTAGGATTGAGTAGTTCGAGAATATGGGGTTTGGGGCCCGTCCGTGGGCTTGACGTGGAGTTGTTGTGGAGAGGATTACTCGGAGAGAATGGGGTAAGCTTTGATTGGATGAAGCGGAAGAATATTTTCCCCGGGTTCCGATGTTCCACCGTCTGCGGCTTTGGCCTTTTTGAGTCCTTTTTCGGGGAAACTCGTCGCTAGCAGCAACCGAAGAGAGAAGATAGAGAGAATCCCTTTCCCTTAAATCCACCACCATCTCAATTCAATCAACCCGCAGCATCTAGACATCTCCCCCCCCACCTTCAACCGCCAATATGAGTTTCGTTCAGCGCCGCGCCCTCTCGACCCTCATCCCCCCTAAGGTGCGTGGTTTCCCCGAGGGATGGTCAATCTCGAAATCCTTGCTCTTTTCGGGTCAACGGGAGAGAGAGAGACTGGACAACCCCCCCCCTTGCCCCCTCCTCAAAAACATGATGATGCTGACTTGGCGGTTACATAGGTGGCTTCTCCCAAGGTACGATGCCAAAATTCCCCATTCGATCCCTCAATTTGAAGCCCTCCCCCACAACGCGCAATCGAGCGCGCGCGTCCGAATCGTCTTGTCAAAGAGGGATATCCCAGCTTGCAGGGATATCGTGAGCTTCCATGCGGCGACATTGGATATACTCAGACAATTGGCTTGGCTCAGAGGCTAACGTGGGTTCAAAATAGGCCATCGGCGGCGCTCCTGACGCTCTGCGCATGCAGCGTGTCGTCAGCTTCTACGAGAAGCTCCCCCGTGGTGCCGCCCCCCAGGTCCAGGCCAAGGGTCTCCTGGGCCGCTACCAGGCCAAGTACTTTGGCAAGAACGCGTCGGTGAAGCGTACGTTTTCTTCCCCTTCCCTTCTTGAAGTTGTGGGGACGAGATAATTGGAACCTCCTTACTGACGAAGCTTGCAGCCGTCATCCACGCCCTCGTCTTCCTCGTCGGCATTGGCTACGCCCAGAACTACTACTTCCACCTCCGTACGTCTTTCTTCTACCTCTCCTCTCTTTCCTCACAGGAGTACTGACATTCTTCCAAGGTCACCACAAGAACAACGCTCACTAAATGGCTCGAGATGGATGATGGAAACTCGGATGGGACGTCGCCATTTTTATCACCGCCACCACCTTCATCAACAACAACAAGAACAACAAATCCTTCCTCCGAGTGCGGCAAATGGCTGTGTACATAACCTGGAACTACTAGAGCGTGTCTTGGCGCAATAACAAGCTTCCCTTTGTACCTCGTGTCAAAGTGTCAACTGTGACTGGCTTCAAGATGTGTCTTTTCTATCTCCTCATCCTTCTAGAGCCAAGCTTCGGTAGCCGTAAGACACGGCATAAACTGTATTAGTGTACCTAGGTGATGATCAAGCCAAATAATATCACGATTGTCCACTGGCGATGCTCCTGACATATTTTTTACTCTAGTACTAAGCAACAAATGTCTATCATGAATGGACGGCAAGCTCTGCAAATACAGCCGGTGTCGGCTGTATCCTCGGTTGGCTGCAGAATTGAGCTCATACGTACATGCTGGATGCGGCGATTTCTGGGCAGGCAGTGCTGGCCAGTTGTCCGGCAGTTACTGTACACTACTACCAGTAGCCTCCATGTAGCTGGTGGGGGATTATAGCGAATCTAGTGCTGTATTTCCAGGCCATTTAGCGGGTTGCTACACTGTAAGCACAGGGATAAACACCCCCCTTCCGCTGACAACTGGCCTTTAGAGAAAAAAAAAAAGAAAAAAGAAAGAAGGTGCCCATGTGTGAATTGGCCGCCTAAGTAGTGACTTACAGTGGTGGACAGGCCCAAGGGAATCTCGTATGCATCCACTTATAGCGCACGTAGCGCACTGACCGGTGGCTCTTGCTTGCCTACCTTCCCGTGCCCAGTTGCACCTGCCGCACCTGCACTGCAAGAACTGCACAGCAAACCTCGTCACAGCCGCATGGCCAAAAGCCTTTCCTCTCCTCCATCGTCTCCCTCGCAATCCAAGCACCTACCCCCCCTCTCTCCCCCCTTCCTCCCTTCTCTCCTTTCTCTTTTTCCTTCTTTTTAGTACTCAACTTCATCGCGGCCGCAGCTGAATCATCGGTCCAATAATCCCTTTTTTTGATCCGATCGTCTATCGACCCACGAGCGTTGCGTGATACCCTTCCCCGCCGATTGTACATCAGACCAACCGCCGAGGTTCCACACCCTCCCCCAAGGCCACCACATCGTTGTTCGCGCGAGTTGGTCCATCTAGCTTTATCTTACGCCTCGCAAACCCCCAAAAAATTGTCAGCTGTCTTGCTCAGCTCTCACGCGCTCAGCTCAAATCTCGTGTCTCCAATACGAGTGCCCCACGGCAATCGAGTCAACGTGTCGCATCATCCACGGCGCCCCTCCACGACGTATGATGGCCACAGCGCCCACTGTTGATAGTCCTGCCGATGTGTCTACCTCGCCAAACCACGAGCTTGTGAGTATTCAGAGATGGATAAGAAGAGATGGAACGCCCCTCGGATGTCGAGCGTGGACACGGGAATATAAACCGTTTGGGAGGAGCTGTGCTTTGGGCATATTGTCGTGTGGGCCCGAAAACTGACATTCGAGGGAAAAAAACTAGTTAAGCACTGCGCAAGAACAACAACAGCAGCAGCAGCAGCAGCATCATGTCGACGACTCAACAGCCCCGGCTATGAATGGTACAAGCAACCACGATGAAGTCGAGAATAAGCGCATCACCAGCGTCGAAGACCAGACAAACTCGGCCGACGCCAGCGCCAGCGGTGGCTCGGATACCGAAGCTTCTCGCACAGACAGCTCCAAGACGAAGGACCATGGCCGCACTACGCCGTCCCTTAAGAAGCCTGCTACGTTCAAGGCCGTGTCCGTCAACAAGACCTTCCTCGCTTCCAAAGCACCACCCCCCGCCAGCATCACCAAGACTAGCGACAAGATCAAGAGCGGTTCCAATACGCCACCTCCGGGTTCTACCTCCCTGTCCGCCGCTCGCCCACGCTTGATTGCCAAGACCGGCAACGCACGCGACGCGGCTTCTCGCGCTGCGGCCATGAATGGAGGCAAGCCCGCCTCTGCCCCGGATCCTAGTGCCGTCTGGAACAAGAACAGGCGTACGTTGAAAACCCCCCTTCTCGGATAGAGAAGCACGCTGCGTTATGCGCCTCACCCGTTTGACCTTCAGCTGACAAATATCCTTTTGGTCCCATCTCACAGCCGTCCCAGCTCCAGACCCAAAAAAGTTGACCGATGATGAGCTCAAGAAATATGGAATCCATGTCGCTAGCCGCCTCGAGGAGGAAGATACGCAAGGGCAGAACAAATGGGCCGATCTGGACGATGATGACGAGGACTGGACTCCCGAGGCTATTACCTGGACCGACGGTACCAAGACGACCCTGCCCCATAACGAAGAAGGTCACGGCCATGAAGAGTCGCCAGGGGCCCATGGCGCAGAGCCAGATAAGGCAGGGCCACCTGCTCCCTCCCCAGCACCAGCACCAGCACCAGCACCAGCAGCCGCTGTTGCCTCCGTTACTGCCGCCCACCCGAAGCCCGCTGGTCTCCCCTCTGGTCGGGTCATGGTCCTTAGAAGCGCTGCCCCAGAAAAGCCTTCGCTAGTGGCCAAGCCCCCGTTGCCGCAGCAGCCAGCCAAATCTCCCTGGGCCACACTCCCCCCCGTGGATAGGACCTCTCCGTCTATCCCTGACCATTCGGCTCCCTTCTTCCGCGGAGGTCCCGGGGAGCCCATGACCCTAAGGAACAACAACCACATGGGCTACCCGCCGCCTCCGACCAGGGAACTTGCCGCTGACGAGTTTGGTGGTCGCTCATCGTGGCGTGAAGGAGCGTCACACGGGAACCGAGAGCTTTTCAACTCCCAATCTGGGCGCTATGAACCCGTCCCTGATGGCCGCGGAGCCTTCAGGGCAGACCAGGCCAGACACACGTCGGTCTTGCAGCGGCCTTCGGCTGGTGGCGACCACCCTGCTGAACCGTCAAGCGCATTCCAGACCCGCAGGACCAGCCACGATGGCAGCCACTTTGCAAGGCGACGCGGGTCTTCCAACGTCAGCGGTGGGAGCGGGACCGTTTTCCAGCGCCAGGGCAAACTCCCAGACGGGTATATACACCCGCCTACTGACCCAGCCGGAATTCAGAGATCTTCTTCGCATGCCGGATCTGTGGCAAGCCCCGTCTCGCCATCAGTCATGCCAGCTTCGCACGGCAGATACCCACACCAAGGCCAGCATGGATACCCCCCCGGGCCATCACCAGGAACCACCTTTGCTAGCCTGAATCAGGACCCGCCGGGAGGGGGTTTCCCCCAGGCCCCGGCGCCGCAGTCGATGGACGATATCGAGTTCCAGAGAAACCTCATGCGAGAGCGCACAGAACTCGCTCGTAAGCGTCGACAGGAACAGGAGGCTGCCGAGGAGGCTGCCAAGCGTGAACGCATCCAGAAGAAACTCGATGCTATGGGCCCTCCGCCCAAGAAAAAGGGCGACAAGCCCGAGGCGTCCCCGACCAAGGAAGAGCTACCCAGGCCGACGCAGATCCAGAAGAGAGTCCATCCCGACCCCCCTAGTACACCGGCTCAGACCCACGCCCAACCTCATGCTTCGGGTCAGGCCCAGGATCAGGTCCCCGCTCAGGGTCCTTTGTCCTCGGGAGAGCCTGTAGACGGAGTAGACGGAAAGGCCGGTCCACGCCACGCGGACAATGGCCTGCCTCATTACTCGGCCCCGAGACGTGCCTCCCACGGCCAGGAGTCACGACAGCCCCTCTGGGCTGGTGGCCGCTCTGACCGCCTCGGCGGTTGGGTTCCCGGCGCCCCAGCGCCTATCCGCAGTGTGTGGGGGTCCCCCAACAACGACCGCGGCCTCGGCAACGGTACATTTAACCCTGACCTAGGTCGTATACCGGGCTCGCAACCTGAGCCCCAGGGGCAGGCTCAGCCGGGCAAGGGGCCGGCACCCATCGGCCCGCCTGTCGCTCCTCCAGCAGAGTCGCCCCGAAGCCGTCCCGCGCAGCCGCCGCCACCTGGGCTGATTGGATCGCGCCCGTCTCGCTACACGGCGCCGGGTTCGGACCTCCTCTCTTCCAGCAGGTGGGCCAACTCGGTCATTGAGAGCGATAAGAGGCTGGCTGCTGAGCGAACCGCCACCGACCGTTCTACATCGCTCGAGGACACTCAGCCATCCATCAAGGATAAATGGCGCCCCGTCTCCGTCGCCGGCGACGGCTCGAGGCTCGCCATGGGCGGTAGCGGTGTTCCGGCGGCTGGAGGAGAGCTTCCTGCACACACACCTGCAACCCACACCGGTGTCATCGGCTCAGGCACTGCCAATAGCTCTATCCTGTCGCAACCAGGACAGGGCCCGTCTTCACAGGCAAGGACATCTCGCTTCTTCCCCTCTAGGGATGCCAGAGTCGATGGCATGACTACCCACTCGTCTCGGTCCGCTTCCCCGACGCCGCCTCCTCCAACCTTGGAAGGCCACCCGGTCTACGATGGGAGCACCGTTCACCCTCACGTGTCGCTTCCTAGGCCTCATCCTGTCGTCAAGCTCCCTCCCTCCGTGGCTCAACCGCAACCGCCTCGCCAGCAGCCTCAACAGGCGCATGTTCGCCCTGCTCCGCTGGCTTGGGCGACCCAGACGCCTTACACAGGTGGCACGGCGTCATCTCAGCAGCAGCAGCCGAATAAGCAGTCCCGTCTATCTGGCGAGAAGGCGGCGACGCAGAGGGATTGGCAGAAGAGGATCGATACACTGCTCAACAACGACAACAAGCACGCGTCGCCCAAGCCCATGGTTGTCGACGCCTCGAGCAAGAGTGCGCTGGATCAAGCTCTGGTCGAAGATGCAGCCACCGTGTCCCTGCCCACCCCGCTACTGCTCTCTGACGGCGTCGTCCCCGCTGCCCTGGTCCAGGACAGCTCATCCAAACCCCTGGCTGAGGAATGCTTCAACGAGCCCGAGATTGGCTCGCTGCCCCTCGTCAAGCTGCCGCATATCGTCCCCGACGCTGCCTGGCAGCCAGCAGAGGTGCCTGCCAAGTCTCTGCCCAAGAGGTTCGTCGTCCAGGCTGCCGCTGCGGAGCCTTTCCACTTCGTCATCGAGTCGGGCAACAGTGTCGGCGCTGTGAGGATTCACCTGCCCGGTATGGGACCGGCCAAGACTATTTCAGGATTCTTCCAGTCGTCTAGCAGCCGAGGGAGTCGAAGCGGAGGAGGTGGCGGCATCGGTGGCCATGGAAAATCCAGCAGAGGCCACCGTAGTACCCACCGCAACAGCGAAAAGACGGACCCGAGCTCTCACCCTCACCCTCAGCGTGAGACTGCGCCTGCAACCCCTTCGTCCAACAACAACAACAACAACAACAACAACAACAACAACAACAATAACAACAGCAGCAGCAGCAACAACCACGGTAGCGGCAGCAATGGCCAGAGTCATAACCACAGCGGACGTCGTGCACGCGGAGGCAACCGCAAGACGTCCGAGAACTGGAACAACCGCCGCGCCCAGAACCAGTCCTCCACACAGGCATAGGTTGCTACTCTAGACGGGACAAACAAGGCAGAAACAGAAGAGGATAGCAAACGGCGTCAGATCAAACGTCATTGCTACTACCACGGTCGAAAGCAGCCTTCTCATTACAAACAAGACAACAATGGCATCAAAGCCACGACATAAACAGGAAACATTGTACAACAGCAAAAACTCTTTTGAAGAAACAACACTGCAAGGAGAGAGGGAGGAGGACCCAGGGAGGAGGACCCAAGGCCAGGGCCGTTGTCATCACATCCTTCCCTCCCCTTTTGAAGCGGAAAAAAGGTTATATATATGCTATGCCAACCTTGTTCTTTTTTCATAGTCGGGATCAATAAGTTGTCCCTTCTATTTTTGCAAGGGAAACAGGGAGAGGGAGAGAGAGTTCCGAGTATTTATGTTTCTTTCCCTTTTTACTTTTGTATCAATGAGCGCCGGATTGCAAATAGGGGCTTTTTTTTTGTTACCATCCAGGAAGCTCCCATTACAACATAGTTCCTTTTCTTACTTACCTTTTTCCTTATCACACTCTTCTCTTTGATTCTACCCGGTTGTCTGATTCCCTTTCTCAAAGCCAGGAAAGAGATGCCTATCTTTTTTCTCTGTCTCCCTCCAGTCTTCTTGTTTCTTCCTCCCTATTCTTCTTGTTCCTCCTGGTCAAAGCTCTCTTCCAGCCGAATCAACGAATCTTATTGACCGTGTTTTTTGTGTTCTTTCTTCCCCTCTTTTTTTTTCTAGTTCCTCATGTCATTTCACGAAAGAGAAAGGTAAAGAGAAAAGGGAATGAGAGGCGTTGGTAACGGATATGGGCAAGAAGAAGAGGGAACATGCGGTTTTCGTCTAGTTATTATACGCTCTTTGGGAGACTTGACCTTGGGAACCAGGAAGATGTCGAGGGTCAATATCAACTTGATTTGCGTCGATTCATTTTGTGACAAAGAAACAAGAAAATGAAAAATGTATCTGACAGACATATAAATTGCCCAACTCCTAAACTCCAATCCCTTGACGTGGCGAGTCGGACGTCCACCTTATCATATAAAACATGCCGTCATTGATACAGGCCCAGCCTGTGTTTTTCCCCCTTTATGCCATCATTTCTTACATATTTTTTTTTTCTATCAACGACGATGAAACACGACAAATTAGAATTCCTCAACTGCGCAGTTGGGATGGAGCACGAAGACGACTTGAGAAGTCGAAGAGGCAGATGTACTCGGTTGATCGCCATCTGTGAGACCTTCGCCACGGAGAGCCATGAGAATGTTTTCCTGTGTATTGTTAGTATATACACGTGAATACCACGAGAAACTGAATGAAAGTAAGAGAATTTTGAGAAGGATAGGCAGAGGTGGGAAACGCAGTCATACCTTGACCATCTTCTTCAAAACCATATTGGCAAGAGCCTTCTCCAGATGGTAATCTTCCTCGCCGTCGAGCTGATCCTCATTCTGCTCAAGGTACCAGTCTACCAGGACCTGGCCGTTGACGCCATCTCCTGTGCCGGCCTCGTCGTCGTTGATGCGCTGGACAAAGGCGTTGACCATCTTGATGTACTTTTCGTACGTGATTGTGAGCTTGCGCTTCCCTCCTCCCTGACCGTCAGTGGCAGTGGCAGCAGCAGCAGCAGCAGCAGCCGGGCCGGCAGCGGTGTTGGCAGCACGCAGGAGAGTCTGGGAGTCTTCCTCTTCCTCTTCCCGCGTCTCCCTGTCGACATCATCGTCAGCCATGATCTCGACGTCGTCGTGCTCGACCGAGATGATGCTCGACCTGAGGAGGGTGTAAGCCTCGTTGACCATGTCGGGCGTGATGTCTTCGGTGCAGTTGACCTTGGCGATGGCCTCGGACAGACGGATCATGGACTCGAGCTGGCGGACCGTGATGCGGTACGAGTTCTTGCCCACGCCGCCCTGGCTGTCGTCGGCGCGGAGCTCCTTGTACCGCTGGACGAGGAGGTCCTTGGCCTCGGGCGTGAACTCGGGCCGGAACGTCTTGGCGAAGCGGATATACCGCTGCAGCTGCTCCGTGCTGAACTCGGGCTCCACCGCCTCGTCGCGCAGCTGGTGGATGGCCACGATGTGCTCGGCCAAGTGTCGGTCCACCTGCTCGTTGCACTCGTCCAACACGACGAAGAAGAGGTCGAAGCGCGACATGATGGGCGCCGACATGTTGATGTTGGCGCGAAGCGTCGTCTTGCGATTGTATCGACCGCCCACCGGGTTGGCGGCGGCCAGGATCGACGTCCGCGCGTTGAGCGTCGCGTGGATGCCTGCCTTGGCGATCGAGATGGTCTGCTGCTCCATGGCCTCGTGGATTGCCACCTGGTCGGCTATGTCCATCTTGTCGAATTCGTCAATGGCGCACACGCCATTATCTGCCAGCATCAGCGCTCCTGCCTCAATCGTGAACTCGCCCGTCTCCTCGTCCTTGACCACGGCCGCCGTCAGACCGGCCGCCGACGATGCCTTGCCGCTCGTGTACACGGCCCGGGGCGCAAACGAGCACACGTACTTGAGAAACTGCGACTTGGATGTCGACGGGTCGCCCACGATGCAGATGTTGATATCGCCGCGCAGCTGCATGCCCTCGGCCGTCGACTTGTGCACGCCAGACACGAGCTGCAGCAGCAGACCCTTCTTGACGTACTCGTGCCCGTACACCATGGGCGCCATCGAGTTGACCAGCCGCGAGTAGATGCCCTCGGCGTGCACCATATCTCGCAGCTCCTCAATCTCGGACGGGTTCATCGACGCCAGCACCGCTGCCTGCGCTTCCTCCACCGACTGCTCCGTTTCGGCCGCGTTGTTGTGCGTCATGGCATTGACAATGTCTGCCGCGCTGTTGGCCGCCGACTGGCCCGACGACGTCGTGTCGGGAGTCACCATACAGGCAAGGAAGGCGAGGCGATAAGTGAGATCGCGCACACCTAGGGCTTTCAGACCCGTGATACCGCTGCCGCCCGCGTCGTCGCCACGTCCACCGTCCCGGTCATCGCGGATAGACGAGGGCTTCATTCCGGGCAGACCCAGCTGGCTGACGTCGGGGACGACGATGAGAGCGCCCGTGAAGACGCATTTCTCACCGGCTTTGGCGCGGTCGACAATCTCGCCGCGCAGGATGACGTCCATAGTGCGGGGCATGCTGCCCGTGGGGATCTCGGAGCTGTTCTCCTGGATGCGCACCTTCTGCCAGTCGACAAAGGTGCTGTGGCGGATGTCGAGGCGCCACGACACGCGGTTCTGGCACGTCGCGTTGGGGCATTGCGTCGGCTCGGTGTAGCGGAATGTCTGTTCGACGTTGGGTACGACGGTGCGGCAGGCCTCGCAGTTGAAGGTGGCGAGGGACAGCTCGGGCCGCACCTCGGACGTGCGCGTCACCGTTCCCGATATCGACAGCAGCTGGCCGATATTGGCGGACCGCAGGGCGCGCACGCGATTAACCAGCGGAAGGTTGTAGAAGGCGATGGAGAAGAGCCTGTCAGTATGCTGGCGGTCGCCCCTCCGCTGCGACGACGACACTGAAGTCGGGTCCGTCTGGCTGCCGGAGCCCATGTGGCTGGCGGCCGACGTCGTCAGGTTGCTGGCCGAGTTGGGCTGACGGTGCTCGCGAAAGTACTGCGGCTCGAACTTGGCAATCATGTTGTGCAGGGCCGTCGTCAGGAAGGGCATGAAGCGGTAGTACTGGCTCACGATGGCGTCGGCCAAGCTGCCGTTCTGGTAAGAGTTGACGTGCTGGAAGTCGACATACAGCGTCGACAATTGGTATGTGCGCATGCCCTTGATCTGGGCCACGTAGTACTTGTCTGTGGTGACGGCGCTGGAGGCGGGGGCGCCCGACATGTTGGGATCCTCTGTGTAGCTATCAGATGCAAACGGTTTCCTTGTCAGCACCATTGCAGAAAGGGAGAGAGATGGGGGGAGAGTATAGAAGATAAGAAGATAGAGGGCAGTAGCTCACTTCTCAAGAAATTGCTGAAAGTTGTCCTGCACCATCTTGCCGATGCGATCCTCGACAAGCGGCACATTTGCTGCATCTGGCCGTCGCGAACTGTGGGGGACCTGATCATCTGCGAATCCATCCTCATCAATATCACTGGCAGCACCGATGCTCTCAGATGGGGGGCCGCGAGGTCTGGCCGAAGACGAAGAGGGGAAACCCATGGCCCTGGGGGTCGACGCCGCCCGTGAGGGGGCGTCGGACATGGGGAAACCAGCCTCGCTGGAGGCCATGATTAATGGAGAGATGGATAGGGAATGTATGAGGGATTAAAGAAGAAGGAGGAAAGAGTCAAAGGAGAGATATGGAGGCTGTGATCGCAATGGCAGAGAGAAAGAGAGAGAGAGAAGGGTAGGAGGCAAGGCGACACCCTCGTGGATGGTGATGGGACGGCAGCAAAGTTGACGATAAGCGGGAGATCAGGGAGAGAAAGATTGGAATCAGGGCTAAATTGAGCAACGCGTCTAGAACACGTAGATGACGCGTCGAGGGGCTTGCAGTTGACGCGACTTTAATTGATTGCATTGCACCAAGTCGATTCGTTGAGTTCTGATTACCCTATAGGTTCGGCCCTGGGCTTCCTGCTGGCGACAGCACACGACGATCCGTAAATGTGAATACAGCGGTCTCTGCCTACTAGTGCATCCTAGGTCGATACATGTGTCTGATTGCTTGATTCAAAAGGACAAGAAAATCATCCATGAAGCTACTTACAGATGTGAGTGCGGCAGCAGTTCCTGGCTGCTCGGTCAAGCATTCTTGGGTGCTACAGCCTGGGCTCGGCAGCATATGCAGCTAGATTCTCTCTTCATGCGTATTCATACAGATAATGCTTATGGATGATTCGTGAGTGGAGAGATCAGAAGCAGCCACTTGATTAGTTTTGAACAATGAATTCATCCAAGCTGTCCTCATCTTTGTCATCGTACAGTCCCAATCAATACCGGACGGGAATAAAAGTGTAGACAACGTAATCCAAATCATATCTGCCCCGAGTATAGAAGCTGCGGCCTCTCTCCATATCTAAATCAGAGCATATCTGCTCCTTACTTCTGTGAGTTGCCTCCCGGCTTGGGATACGCATGAATCTACCATAGGTCAGCATGAAGAGTCTCCAACGGACAACTCCCCAAGAAGGGAAATATCACCAACCTACCTTTTCCGAAACCTGCAGCCACTCTTCTATACTTCTGATGTACGGATCTTCCTCTGACAAAGCGACACTCTCGTGCCCCCAGACAACGATGCTGTCAAACTCGGCCGTGACCCGCAATGACCCCGTCTCCGCCGGCTTCTCTGCATCCGCATCTCCATCTTCCCTCGACGCCTCTTCTGACAAGGGTTGACCTGCACCGTTGGTCTGCTGCTTCTCCTTTGTCTCGCGCTCGGCTACGACGCCTCGGTACTGTTCGGGGAGGACTGTCGTCTTACCCTTGAGTCGCCGACCGCGGAAGTAGGCAATGTTGGTGCCGTCTATAGCGGATTAGCCAGAGAGATATGCATCCCTGCGTAGAAGAAGAGGACTCACCTTCGGTCGTTGTGGGATTCCAGTAGCTGTCAATGGAGCCGAGAGGCCCGTCGTGGTGGACGTGACATGGGAGAAGGTTGGCCACTGATTTTGGAGGATGAGCATCGGCCTCTTTGATTGATAGGATTGGTTGAGCCATGATCGGGTAGTGCTTAGTGGAGGGTACGCCGTGTGCAGCTCTTGAAGATCGAAGATGGTAGATAGTTGAGGTTGAAGCTGGGAGACGCGTTTTGCGCGTAAAGTAGAGTGTGTGTGGGGCCTATATTATGTGACAGATCCAACAAGCACTCGCATATGCCATCTGCCATCTACCGGCATTATTGCATCATTACATCATGACTTAGTTCTCTGCATTGTGATTATCTAGTGCGAAGTAAAGTAGCTGTATTGTCCATGTATATACGGAAGAATCAAAAGCAAATATGGCTATGCAGTAATCTCTTATTCCAGACTTCCTCTTTGAATCACCCTCGGACATCAATCAACCACTGCGCTTCTTCTTCCCCTTTGCTTTCCCTTGGCCCCCGGCCACCGGCCTCGACGCGAACCGATTCGCATGATCCGCATCAAACCCAGACTTGTGCTTCCGAAACAGCAGCATGGCAACCCTGGCATCCTCGATACTCGAGTGGGCACCTGCCTGGATCTCGACCCCCAGAATCTCCTGCGCCAGCGTCCTGAGGGCCGGTTTGCGGCCGTGGCCGTACCTCTTGAAATCCACAAACCTCGCCGTGTCGCGTATGCTGGCGGATGGGTGCGACAGCATGAGAACGTCGAGGTCATGTTTGAGGTCATGCCCTACGAGGATGCGGCCCTGGAGGATGTCGGCGACGACCTGTTGGACCTCCTTGAACTCGCGGGCGAACCACATGTTGCGGGACGTGATGCCGCTCACCGCCGTTCGCCAGTTGGTCACCTTCTCCATGGGCTTGACGTACGAGTCATAGATCTGCTTCCCGTGGAAATCGACCAAGCTCACGCGCGCCAGTACGGACTTGTAGCCCCCCTCGCCGACCCCCACCATCTCGCAGTCCATGGCGACAAACTTGCCCACCTCTAACCCTTCCGTGAGCCCGTGGTTGACCTTGTCCTTTGCCGAGGCTAGCACCAGTGAGGGGTCCTTGGTACCCAGATCGTACGCCTCTGCTATGGCCTCGGCAGAAATGCCATTGTCGGCCGCCCAGAGGGCTAGAGACGGCGACACGCCGTGTTTGCCTTGTTGGTGGGGTGTCTCTGTGCTCTGTACGCCGCCCATCGAGCGGGATGATGGACAGGGCCCAGGCCTCTTCGCCCTCTTTCCCTTCTCCTTATCCGATGCTGCTGTTCGCGGTGCTGGCTTCTTGGCTTTTGGTGGCAAAGGTGGGACTTTGAGCTTCTTAGGCGCCGGTCCTGGCGCAGTAGCCTTTAATTTTCGTTTCGATGACGATGGACTGGATGATGTACCGCTCTTGAGTTCTGCTTGGAGTTTCTTCCAGTTTGAAGAGAGCTCTGCCATTGCGTTATGAAGAGCTGTTTGTGTTCATATTATTTCAGCTTTCTCTCTTCTCCTTATTTTCGTTTATGAGCTTGATCTGGTAAAAATTTATCGTCTTGTACCTAGATTCACATGATGATACTACGAAGCCTGTGTCGTTCAACCTTAGATATTCAGTTAAACTGTACTATGCAAGTACCGAATAGTTACTTATCCCATACTCTACCCACTCACCGCCCGCAAAATACGCAGCCGCTTCTGGGCGCGTTTTCTGCCGCTGCCCCTCTAAAAAGATGACATCGACTTATTGCATGCACATGCGATCGATGAGAAGCGCACTCCAAAGTTCTCCATCTCCCAAGCGCCATCATTTCCATCCAACAACACCAGCACTTGACCATCTTTCATCATGGCGGCCGGCCCAACAAAGGGAGAAGCGACCGTCGGGTCCGATGCGCCCCGCGAAAAGGGGAGAGCAACCCCCGACACGCTCAAGACCGGTTGTATCGCGTGGGTCGAGAAGAATGGCCAGCCGCGCCGTGCCGAGATCCTGAGTATCAAGACGACCAAGAGCGGCAAGCAGTTCTACTGCAACTTTGACAACTTCAACAAGCGTCTGGACGAGTGGGTGCCCTTGGCGCGCATCGACTTGGAACAGGATGTCGAGTGGCCCAAGCCAGAGGAAGCCAAGCCCAAGGACTCCAAGACGAAGAAGGCGACCGAGAAGAAGGCCCAGGTATCCAAGAAGGCGCAGAAGCGTCCGGGGAAGAGGGATCAGTCTGCAGTAGCGTCTGAGGCCGCAACCCCCCGTCCAACAACAGGTGTGTATATCCTATCAATGCGCAGGCATGTGGTTGGGCAAAGGAGGTAGCAATGATACGTATGCTAACACAACCTCTGTCCAGTCGAATTCGTCGAACCCGCAGATGCGCGTAAATCATTATCCGTCGGCCCGGATGGCGACAGCAAAGAGGCCAGTGCAACACCCGTCGCCCAGGACGGTGCAATAGCAGGAGCAGAAGCAGAAGACAAGGAAGGTGAAGTGAAGAAGGAGGATGGCTTCAACCGAGAGCAGGAGATCGAGAAGCTCCGAACATCGGGGTCCATGACGCAGAACCCGACCGAGGTTTCGCGAATAAGAAACATCTCCAAGGTGCAGTTCGGAAAGCACGACCTGTTCCCGTGGTACTTCTCACCGTACCCGGAGATCTTCAGTCAGGAGGACGTCATCTACCTGTGCGAGTTCTGCCTGGGTTACTACGCGGACGAGGTGTCATTTGGCCGTCACCGACGCAAGTGTTCGCTGCAGCACCCGCCCGGGAACGAAATTTACCGCGACGAGTACATTTCCTTCTTCGAGATTGACGGACGGCGGCAGCGCACGTGGTGCCGCAACCTGTGCCTCCTGTCCAAGATGTTCCTCGACCACAAGACGCTCTTCTACGACGTCGACCCCTTCCTCTTCTACGTCATGGCCACGCGATCGGACAAGGGCTGCCACATTGTCGGATACTTCTCCAAGGAAAAGGAGAGCGCGGACGGGTACAACGTCGCGTGTATCCTGACCCTTCCGCAGTACCAGCGCAAGGGATTCGGCCGTCTGCTCATCCAGTTCTCCTACGAGCTGTCCCGCATAGAGGGCAAGCTAGGCTCTCCAGAGAAGCCCCTGTCCGATCTCGGTCTGCTGAGTTACCGACAGTACTGGTCGGAGAATATCCTCGACCTGCTCGTGAGCTACAATGAAAAGGACGAAAAGGCCACCATCGAGGGCATCTCGACGGCCCTGGCTATGACGACCCAGGACGTTGAGCACACTCTCCAGGCCCTCAGGATGCAGGTCTACCACCGCAGCGATCACAAGATTGTCATACCCGACAAGCTCATCAAGCAGAGGGAGAAGCAGATGGGCAAGAAGCGTCGGGTCATTGACCCTACAAAGATTCAGTGGAAGCCTCCTGTTTTTACGGCGTCGAGTCGGACATGGGGCTGGTAGATGGCGTCTATGTATAAAATCAGTATTGGAGGGATCACTGTTTCTTTCTGCTCTACTACGCTTTCCTTCCCCCACGATGTATATATACGATAGCGCAATTGATGATTTAGATACCCATACAGTACTCAATCAGTAGGTATTGCCAACAATTACTACGATACTACCAGTATGATGACTGTTGCTGTCATTCGTCAAACGGTGTTAACTCTGATCTCTCTGTTCGGTCACGAAGCCCCACCAACCCCCAGCGTCGTAATTACTGTACATAATATATAATACGTAGTAAATCCCACGTTTCACACCTTGGAACTATTGAATCCCCATTCTCTTTTCTTCTCTCACCATCCCTTCCTCCCCCCCTGCCCTCTCTACCTTCACCGCCGGCGTTGAGAAGGAAGCACACATATACCATGGCGCTACGTCTTCTGCGCTTAGGACTGTTGGCTGCCAGCGTGGCGAACGCTCGTGCCGACGGCCAAGAACCTCTGGCCGGCGACCTGGACTATGTGGAAGCATGCCCAGATTACATGTCGTATTCAACGCACTCACAGTAGGTGGCCTCTATCTATATGTAATGTATCTGAACAGCTACTCGCCTGCTCTCTTGTCTGGTCACGATAATGACTGACCGAACATAGCAACCCACTGTCAGAAGGCAAGCTGCAGCTCCCTTTCCAACGGCCCGAGAGGCGATGCCGAACGTTCCACTCGGACGAGATTGAACGCGTCATCAGCGACATGACGGCGCGCATACAAGACCCTGACCTGGCGCGACTGTTTGAGAACACGTTTCCGTCGACGACGGACACGACGGTGAAATTCCACACGGCCGGCGGGACCAAGGATGCCGGGTTCTTCCGCTTCGGCTCCTTCAAGGTGTTTGGCGACGACGGGGCGTGGCAGGGGCCGCAGTCGTTCGTCACCACGGGCGACATCATAGCCGAGTGGCTGCGTGACTCGGCCAACCAGCTGCGGCCGTACCAGGCGCTCGCGGGAAAGGACCCGGCCATCTCCAAGCTCATCCTGGGCGCCATCAACACGCAGAGCGAATACGTCATCGAGAGCCCATACTGCAACGCCTTCCAGCCGCCGCCCATCAGCGACCTCCCCGTCTCCAACAACGGGCAGGACGACCGCGTCCAGCCCGCCTACGAGCCCAGCTCCGTCTTCGAGTGCAAGTACGAGCTCGACTCGCTCGCCCACTTCCTCGCCCTGACAAACGACTACTACGAGCATTCGGCATCCACCGACTTCCTCCACTCGCGCTGGTTCAAGGCCGTCGGCACCATCGTCGAGGTCCTCAAGCAGCAGTCGGCACCCACCTTTGACCCCGTCAACGGCCACTTCCTGCAGAACCACTATACCTTTCAGCGCACGACGGACCTCGGCACCGAGACCCTCAACCTCCACGGCATCGGCAATCCGCTCAACAGCGGGACCGGGCTGGTCCGCTCTGCTTTCCGTCCCAGCGACGACGCTACCATACTGGGCTTCTTCATCCCCGCCAATGCCATGATGTCCGTCGAGCTTAGGCGCACCGCTGACATGCTCAAGGCTGCCGGCAAGGCTGCCCTCGCCGACGAGCTGGCTGGCTGGAGCGACAGGATCCGCAAGGGTGTCATGGAGCACGGCGTCGTCTCCCACAAGAAGTATGGTGACGTGTTTGCCTACGAGGTCGATGGGTACGGCTCCTCCATCATGATGGATGATGCCAACTACCCTTCGCTCCTGGCCCTGCCTGTCATGGGCTTCTGCGAGAAAGACGACCCGATCTACAAGAATACGAGGAAGATGATTCTCGACCAGGGTGGTAACCCCTACTATCTCCGTGGAAAGGAGTTCAGGGGTATTGGGGGTCAGTTCTTGCCATGCTCTCATTCCCTCCCTTTCTCCTTCTCAACCATCCCTGGGCGACCCATGCTGACACATTTACAGGGCCGCACATCGGACTCAAGAATGCCTGGCCCATGAGTCTTCTCATCCAGGCCCAGACATCAGACAGCGACGAGGAGATTAAGGAGTGCCTCCGGCTCGTCCTCACCTCGTCCAAGCTCGGTCTCGTCCACGAGAGCGTAGACGTGAACAGGTCTGCGCAGTACACTAGGAGCTGGTTCGCTTGGGCCAACGGCGTCTTCGCCACCACCATGCTGGACCTTGCCAAGAGGAAGCCTCACCTGATCTTCGGAGAGGGGGCGGCGGCGTATCACGTTTAAGCCGTAGCCACCTGATTCTCTCTCTGCTGTACGTCTCTGCCATGTCTTGACGATGTAAAGGAAGAAAACAATTGGTATTTAGCGATGTGGGTAATGGCAGGCGTCTACGGAACTCTACGGCTAAGTGCGAATGTTGTTGTTTTACCAGTACTATTGTCCTCTTGGGGCATGAAAAAAAAACTTGAAAAGACTACATCACTGTCCATTGGGAGATTGATGAAGGTTCTTGGAGTCCAGATCAGGACACTGACAGAAGTGCCTTGTCCTCTGAAGAGGTCAGCACGGGCCGCAGGAGACATAAAAGTTTCACTGGCAACTGGCATCAACGTAAGGATGAACTCGGGGGAGGAAGCTCCAAGGTTGCAGCTGGGTGGTGTGAGCTTATTCAATATAGAGGCAGCATGGGGAAACGTCATGGCTGAAATTCCTCTGACAAGAAGAGTAAGGGCAGGTTGCCAGTCCTGCGCACTTGCACTTTCCCATCAGCACGCCATCCATGTTATTATGTAAGACAGGGAAGGAGCATGTCAAGGAGGGTGTCATTTGGAAACTGCAAATAAACAGCATCATCATCAGTCCCTTTATGAGCTTCGAACAGCTTCTCGTACAGGCACCTTGCCCCTTGGGGTGAAAAAAAAAAGACTCTTGTGAACTGCTAAAATCTTCTTACCAGCCCTGATAAATCACGCCATGTCTTTGTCTCCAAGAATACTATCTGGGGAAGAACGCGGCTTCGTTGTGGAGCAATAGTTCGCGCTTTTCCGTGCGGGGACTCATCACAATCGCCAGGTGCGTAATTCGTGATGCCACATACAGTAAGTCTTGTCGGCTTTGATATCGAGACGGTATAAGACGTTGACCATCTATTTAGTCATCGGCTATTGTCACGGGAACTACAACGTTGAACTAATTGAGGAAAAAAAAAGGGGAAAGCCCTCAACCGTGAGCAGTTATAAGCGAGCGGGTTTAAATACAACAGGCCGACATCGCACACCCCCACCATCAATCAATCTAGATCATGGCGACCACCCGTTTCTCATCACTCAACATCCATATCAACATGTCGGCGCCCAAGAAAGCGATCAACCTCCTCCGTGGCTGGCCGTCACCCAGCTTGCTGCCGGCCGGCCTTCTGTCGCAGGCGGCCCAGAGGATCCTGGCCGATCCGACCGTCTACACGCCCGTGCTGCAGTATGGGCCCGATTGCGGGTACGGTCCCCTCCGTGAAGGTCTCGCGTGCTGGCTGGGACGCCACTACCGTGTAGACCCAGACCCGGAGCGCATTTCTATTACGGGAGGTGCCAGCCAGAATATTGCGTGTGTGCTGCAGACCTTTACTGACCCCGTGCTCACCCGCGCTGTCTGGATCGTCGCTCCATGCTATTACCTCGGCTGCGCCATCTTTGACGACGCCGGTTTCCAGGGCCGACTTAAGGCCACACCCGAAGACGAAGAAGGCATTGATCTGGATGCCCTGGAGAACAAGATTCGCGCCCTAGAGGAGCAGGAGAAGGATCTCCCCAAGTCTGAGGTTTGTTCTGCGCGCCTTATCGACCTTGCACGCTGGAACTAACATGCTCGACAGCCCTTCAAAGATGGAAGACTGGGAAGGAAGATTTACAAGCACATCATTTATGTTGTGCCGACTTGCTCTAACCCTTCTGGCAAGACCATGTCTTTGCGCCGTCGCGAAGGTCTAGTACGTCTGGCCCGCAAGTACGACGCCCTCGTCATTAGCGACGACGTCTACGACTTCCTGCAGTGGCCCACGGCACCAGGTGCCAAACTTCCGCCGGCGTCCGACGCACCCCCTGAGATGCGCCTCCCGCGCCTATGCGACATTGATCGCGCCATGGATGGCGCTGACCTCAAGGGCTTCGGAAACACCATCAGCAACGGCTCCTTTAGCAAGATCGCCGGCCCCGGTGTGAGGACGGGCTGGGCCGAAGCCTTCCCCGCGCTGATCGAGGGGCTCAGCATGACGGGATCAACGAGGTCTGGCGGTTGTCCCAGCCAGCTGTCTGCTGCCATCATCAGCAGCCTCGTCAACAGCGGCGAGCTAGAATCCTACATTGACTCGACGACGCGGCCGGCGCTGCAGAAGAGACACGGCATCATGGTCGACGCCATCCGCCAACACGTTTCCCCCCATGGTGTCCGTGTGCGCGAAACGTCCCTGCTCGGATCCGACATATACGGCGGCTACTTTATCTGGTTCACCCTCGAGGATGGGCTGTCAGCCAAGCTCGTTGCCGACGTCGCCATGGAAGAGGAGAATCTCATTGTCGGGTCCGGCGACATCTTCGAGGTCCACGGTGACGAGGACGGTGCCCGGTTCGACAGCGAGATACGCCTGTGCTTCTCCTGGGTGGACGAGGAGGATCTGATCGAGGGCACCAAGCGCCTCGGCGAAGTCTTGGGGAGGATACGCGACAACAGACAACAATACGAGAGCCGAGGTCCTCGTCAGACAGATCCAGATTTCGTCAACTCGTTGAAATAAAGGACCACTCCATGATGCTATATGATGAAAAGAAGAAGAAAAAGAATAAGAAGAACGTGAAGTATATGTGAGACATAGATGCTGGTAACTTGGCATTTTGCATCAATAAATCAGTAGTATTGCTACTTTTTAGAGAAGAAGGACATGATGTTCCCTTGGCCGCCCTTGGCAGGCGCCTTCTTTGTTTTCGAAGCCGCAGAAGTAGAAGATGACGTCGTCGGTGTTGAAGCAGCCTTCTTAGCTGGTGGAGGTGCCTCGTCCTCGGAGAAGGATTCCCATCCAGGTTCCTGAATTGTGACTGCGCAAACAAAGGTTAATCCCTCATGCTTCGAATCGTGGAGAGTGTAAGATATAGAACGTACCCATGTATCCTTGTTCGTCCAGGATACGCTTCTTCTTCATGATGCGACGCTTCCCTCTGCGCCGACCGTTCTCCGTCTTGACCACCTCCTGCGGCTCATCGACCGACTCGTCCTTTGTCTCAGGCTCCGGCTCAGGTTCTGGTTCAGGTGCCTCGTCCATCTCCTGATCTGCCGGGTCAACCTCCTCCATCTCTTCTTCCTCCTCCTCTGCCTCTTCCTCTTCCATCATACGTCGCAATTCCTCTTCACGCTGCTTTCTGCTCTTCCTCCCCGTGCTGTTGTCGTTTCTGTCGTCCGTCTTTGTCTTCTCCTTTGTGGAGATAATGTCGTCATCATCAGCTTCACCGTCATCTGAGAGTGCCATGGCCGTGTCTTCCTCTTTTTTCACCTCGGCCTTGGGTTTGGGCGGCTTGGATGCTGCCTTGGCAAAGGATTGCATGATGCCTCCCCTCTTTGAGGCGGGGCCCTTGGGGGCTGGTGTGCTCTCCTTGGAGGAGTCTCCTCCCGCGCCGAGCTCCTTCTTGACCTTGCTGGAGTTGGCGGTGGCGGCAGTGAATGGGTTAGTCTTCTGCGGGGCCGCCGCCGCCGCCGTGGGGAGCTCAGGATTGGTCTCTGACTTGACTGCTGGTGCGGGCTCGGTCTTGACGGGCCGGGGCTTTGCCGGCGCTGCTGCTGCTGCCATCGCGGGACGAGCCTGGCGCTCTCTCCGGCGGACATACGGGTTCTCGACGGCGCCGTACTTCTTGGTGTCCCTGTCCTTGGCTGTGTACTCTGCCAGGGAGCGTGACAGGTCTGAAATGACGGCCAGGTCGCGTTGGGGGTGCGGCGCCAAGCTGTATATGTGGATGGACGAGACCTCTTGGTACTCGGCCATTATGTCTTCAATCCCGGCATGTAAGCCATATGCTGCGTGTGTGTACGCTGTCTAACATTAGTCCACTGACCTTTGAGCTTGTCTTGACCGACGAGAGTCAGTGTGGTTATGGGGACATCCTCGTCGTTTTCGGGCATCGAACTGCTCATCTCGATATCTCCATCTTCCTGAGTCTTCTTCTTGATGCCGGAGAGCAGATAAGTGGCGTAGATGGACTCTGGCTTCTCGGCATTCTGGTAAGAGTGGTAGTCGTAGAGCATCCTGGGCCAAGTTATTAGAGAGATGTCTACGGTTTGGGTGGCTGTAAGACAAACTCTTTGGCAGTATTCAAATGAATATCGAGAACTCTGCTTAGAAGGCGATATGTTATCTATCGCGGGGTTAGCAAACTTGTCCTGATTGATCCATGTCATCTCATATCTCAGCGTTGTCACTTACTGGCTGCTCCTCGCTGAGGAGCCGTTCTGCCAGGTATTTCTTGTATTCATCCATGATACCCTGCCCTCGAACCCTGGTCCAGTGAAAACCGATCTTCAAACAAGAATGTCGACGGTGAAAAAAGAACGGATTATTTCTTAATGAGAGACGCGTCGATGGAAGGGACGCGTCTTCACGTGATGGATAATGGACATTCAGTGGATCGCCTCGATTAGCGAACACCTACCAGAGCACAGCGCCATTCCTCTAATTATGATACCCTACTAAACAGATATATGTATCTGACGGGGTGGTACTAAGTGGGAAGGCATGTAATCGTCATCGTCTTAACGCGTCTCTCCTAGCAATACGCGACGGCGGCCACGACAGAAATCGACTTTTTTGGTACATGTTTTTCAAGAAAAGGCCAACAGTCATCCGCCAGGAAAAGTCTACATATATTCCCAGAATGGCCAATCACGATGTCGCCGACTCAACCGACTGGCTGTCGACGTCACTCTCGGCCCTATCGGCGCTTGAATCTGCCCTGCGATGCCAGGTCTGCAAGGACTTTTATGAGACGCCAATGATTACGTCGTGCTCACACACATTCTGTTCCCTGTGCATACGACGAGCCCTGTCGAACGAGAACAAGTGTCCGCTGTGCAGGGCGTCGGAGCAGGAGATTCGGCTGCGGAGCAACTGGTCTATGGAGGAGGCGGTCCAGTCATTCAAGAAGGCGAGGCCGTCGGTGCTGGAGCTGGCGCGCAAAAAGATGACGACAATCATCACATCCAAGAGGAAGGCGACGGTACCGGAAGGAGACGAGCAGGCTGCGCCGGATACAAAGAGGTTACGATCGTCAGCGAGGCTCAGCCAGAAAAAGACCGAACCGGCAGACGACCCGGAGGACGAAGAGAAGCAGGACCAGGAGGAGATTGTCATACAGGCGTCAGATGACGAAGACTACACCCCAGAACCCGGTAAGATATCCCAGGTCACAGAGGGGGGATGAGTAAACAAGACATAAACTAACAAATGACCCAGCCGATGGCCTTGTCCCCTGTCCGAGCTGCCAGAAGCGCATGAAGGAATGGCAAGTCTTCCAACATCTAGAATCATGTCCCGGCCCCGTCAAGCCAAGACCGCAGCGGCAAGACAACACGCTGCAACCGGGCACTCCCTTCCCATCATTATCGCACCGCCAGCAACCCGCCCACCCGCTCGAACGTCTCCCCTCGCTCAGCTACTCGATGCTCAAGGACCAAGCCCTACGCAAGAAGCTAGGCGACCTGGGAATCTCCAACCAGGGCCCCCGCGCGCTCCTCGAGAAGCGGCACAAGGAGTGGGTGACGTTGTGGAATGCCAACTGCGACGCGGTCAAGCCGAAGAGGCGCACCGAGCTGCTTCATGACCTCGACATGTGGGAGAGGACGCAGGGCGGGCGGATGTCGGGCAGACAGTCCACCGTGGTCATAAACGACAAGGACTTTGACGGGCCGGCCTGGGCGACCAAACACGACGCCTCGTTCAAGGACCTCATTGCCAACGCAAGGAGGAGCAGTGCGCAGGCGAAGAACGGAGGGGGACAAGATGCTCCACCCCCAACCGAGCAGACCAACGGCGACGAGAAGCAAGAGCAACAGTATGTGGCAGAGCATAACGGTCCTCCGTTTGCCGAGGTGGCGGGGGATCAGCACAGCCAACATGATCCTGTACTTCTATGACCCGGGTAATAGGCATTCTTTGTACTAGTCTTTGCATATAGAAAGTGATGATGAAAGATAAAAGAAGGGCATCTTATACGAATCAATAGAGAGCGAGAGAGCCATGATACATCAGCTGCCCAGTGAAAACAAACAGCCCCGTTGATGAGTATCCCATAAACGCCAGTCCCATTCACGATTGCAGAAAGTAAAGTCGGTAAGGAATGAGATGATGCCCTCATGCACGCTCCCTCTGTGGCTCGTCGCGCACGGACAAGTTGGCGATGCCTGTCGTCGTTGTGGGTGACTGCTCCTTCTCCCCGCGCAGCAGATCCTCCTCTTCTACCGGCACGCCGGGAAGCTGGCCGATCTTCTCGAGAGCCTCCCGGGCGTCCTTTTCGTCCTCCTCCTCGCGACGGGCGGCCTTCTCCTGGGCCTCCATGGCGTCAAGCTCGTCGTCGAGCTCGTCCTCGTCGACGGCGACATTGGAATCGGCCAGGATGCCGGCAATCTCGTCCGTGTCCGCCATCTTCTCCCTGAGGCTGTCCATGACGCCATCGACCCTTTCGGCGCCGCCGATCTGGGCGTTGAGGTCCCTGAGGACGCCGGTCGACGACTCCATGACCTTGACCAGGGTGACGTGGTCGGCTGCTTGCTCGATCTTGACAGACACGGCCTCTAGCTGGGCCAACGTGGCGTAGCGGCTGGCGAGCGTCGACTCGGTCTGCTTCTTGGATTTCAGGGCAGCCAGGGCGGCGACGCGGTTCTTGCGGGCCACGGCCGTCTTAGCCTTGATCTCCAGGTCGTCGACACGATCGTTGAGCAGGTCGACCTGGTGGCGCAGCGTGGCCGAAAGGTCCTTTATGGAGGCGACCGTCGTGTCCTGCTCGGTAATGGTGGGCGAGGGGTTGCTGCTGTCTTTGAACCGGAGCGTCTGCCCGTCGTACGCGATCATGCCTTTGTCGCGCGACAGGAACAGAAGAAACAGATCCATATCCTGGTCAGACAACGTCTTGCTCCGCGACACGAACACCTGCTGGAACTGTTTCCTGGTGAAGACGCGGTCCAGCATCGACAGCGTCTTGCCCGCCATGCGTTCCGACAGCTCCCGCGCCAGACCCTCGAGGTTCTCGAGCACCACGTACTGGCCTGTGGGCAGTGTGTCCTCCCCCCGTGCTGGGTCCGTCACACCCAGCTGCCGCATCGTCCACCCCAACACGGACCAGGGGACCACCCCCCATCCACGACGGTATATGCTCTGCGGGGCCTTCTTGAATTCTTGTAGGTCCACCAGCTCACGGGCAGACACTGCGTCCCGCACGACGGTTCCCAGGGCCAGCGGCTGTCCGTACTGCTTGCTCTCCAGCTGCTCCAGGAGTCCGCCGTCCACCTTGGCCACCAATGTGCTCGAGTCGTTCGTGTGTCGTGCCAGCAGGCCCTGCGATGCAAGGTGCGAGAGGGCGTGTCGCCATGCTGATAGATTGGCCTGGTACCCATCTGGGTTGAGGGTCTGCTGCGATCGGAAGTCGGAGTAAAGAGCTGGCAAGCGGCCTCTATATGATCAGAGTGTGTGTGTGTGTGTGTTGTCAGCAGTCTGTTTTAGTGTAGGGGGGGGGGGGGGAAGGGGGATGCCTTTGCGGCTGTTGTGGTGACGGCATACTTGCGAAAGTTGCTATCGTGCTCTGCCAGGTAATCAAAGAGTTCGCCCATGATGGGCGACGAGACGAGAACACAAGGCTAGGTGGCCTCTATCAGTAGTTCGATCAGGATAAGAGAAGCGGGAACAGGATGAAAAGGAAAAGAGGAGGAGAATTGAGCTTGACGATGTCGAGACTAAGTTTTGGGTTGCTAGGCATTTACGTGGGGGGTTTTTCTGGTTGGACGCGACACGAGCATAAGGATAAAACAGCAACACGACGTCAGCTGCCGACATTAAATTATCCAATTCTTCGTCTTCCGTACTCTTTTTTCTTTTTCTTTTTCTTCCTTACTCATGATACAGAGGAGGTGAAACTCGAAGGATCAGCTCGTCATAAAAAAGGACAATTGTATATTCTTTGACTGACGCCTGAATATCTATTATCTGCATTGCATCTTGCCCAAACCAGGTGACTGGAGAAACAGCGAGAGTGAACCACCCACTACAAATCTATATACAAGTGATTTTAAAGCCCAAAACCTGGCAGAAAGGGAGAAATTATGGGGAAAAGGAACGAGAAGGAGACAGAGGGAGAGAGGTTAAGCCATGATTCTAACTCTTATCAAAGCCTGTATATCCCTTATCCCCATCTTGATTATGGTCAGCAGCAGTAGCAGCAGCAGCATCGCCGGTTTGCAAGGGAGCCGTCTCAATAGGAACAGCATGCCTAGCTGTGCTGGACCTTCTAGGTCTAGTATCGACCATTGCCTCGCTCTCCTCATCTGTCCCATCATTCTCGTCGTCTTGACCTCGTGAGGCTGCTTCCTGTGCTGCTCCATTGTAACCGCCGACATCGTGACCGTGACCGTGGGCGCGGCCAAGTTTCTCCGTGACTTGACGCTGCAGCGAGTCGAGGAAGAGGCTTGCCTCGTGGAAGTGCGATATCCCCTGCTTCGACGGCAGGAGAGCGTACATGTTGTGCGACTCGTCCAGACATTTCCGTGCGGGGAGGTAGCGGGACTGGCGGATCCACGCGTCTGCTGCCAGGATGCTCCACGCAGCCGACTTGCGACGGCGACCGCCCCAGTTCCACGACGAGCCCACGCCCTCCTTTGATCCGTAGCAGACGGCCACGCGCTCCTTGATGAGGGCGTCACCCACGGGGCCCAGGATCTTGGCGTCGAGGAGACGGAGACCCCACCGGCTGGCGTCGTCGATGTTGGTGCCGCCGCGGAGACGGAGCAGCTCGAGCGTGAGGACGAGGGAGCGGAGGGCGCCGTAGGGGGCGCTGCACCGCGTGCTGTACGAGTAAAAGGCCGACTCGAGCATCTGGTCGACCGTCTCGCGCCGGCTCTTGGCCGAGATCTGCTGCGGCTGGATCAGCAGGCTGACAGCCGCCATCTCGTTGCAGGCCGCATGGTACTTCCACGCCTTGAAGTCGGCGTAGTCGGAGCGCAGAAGCTCGTACGTCGAGTGCGCCAGCTTCCAGTCGCGCAGCATGAAGGCGTAGTCGGCCAACTTGCGCATCACCGCCTCGGGCGCGTCTGCCCGGAAGAAGCCCGATGGGTCATAGCTGTCCTTTGACGGCCCGCCGGCCCCCAGCGATGACCGCGAGCTGCCGCCAAAGTTGAACTTGCGAGACAGGTTCATGAACCGGCCCGCCAGGCCCCTCCGTCGCGACGCCACCTGGTCGTTCCAGATGGACACGTGTCGTTCCATGGTCGGAACTATCGACTGAGCTACCATCTCGCGCACAAATGTGCGGATGGCCGTGGCGTCTGACTCGAAAATGTACCGCGTTGGGGCCTCGAAGCCGTCGCTGCCGTCGATATTGCCACCATCTTCTCCCTCTCCATCCCCCTCGCCCTCACTCATGTGGATCTCGGCCAGCTCGTCATCCGCCGACATCCAGTCGCTCCGGGGCAGCGGGATGCTGTCGTCGTCCGTCTCGGCGCTCTGGCTGGTTCTCAGGCGGAGTAGGTGGCAGTGTAGGCCCAGGTGGCGCTTCATCTGCTCAAACAGCGCCGTCGATTTGGTGATGTCGTCGTTCTCCTCGTCGTGCACAAGCACGTGGTATCGTAGGTAGTTGGCGTCCACCCAGTCGGGCAGCTTGTCGGCGCCCTGGCTAGTCTCGCTGTAGAGCTGCCTGAGCTCGGCCACCGAGTCGTCCGACCTGGCGCTGACAGCTATGATGCACGCCACTGGGTGGGCAAACGTCTCGTGCGGCACAATTGGCAGACCCGATAGCAGCCTCCGTAGGTAGAGGGAGTAATATGGGGACGATGCCAATGACTGCTCTGCCTCGTTGTCATCGTTGTCGAAGCCGACAACTCCCTGACCCGTATGGCGGAACTCGTCCTCGGCGTACGACAGATGCTTATCGACGACGGCCTCGACGTTGGCCAGCGTCTTCTTTTCGCCGTCCGTGCTCTCGTATCTCACCTTGCGGCCCTGGTTGGGTAGCCTGAAGCCGGATACGGCGGGGTCGGGGTACTCGACGTTTGCGCCAAATTTTGTGAATCGGACTGAGAAGTCCTCTGCTAGCTTGCTGACGCCGTTACTGTCCCTGATGGCTAGCTTTCCCTGTATATGCTCGCCAAAGGGGCGGAGGAGCTCCCAGAGTCCCCGACGGAAGCCCTTGGCCGCGGCAATCTTCTCGACGTCGGCCGACGCACGGATGGCGATGTGGGGCACAAATGCCGAGACTATGATATTGAGCGGGTCGCCAGGCTGACTCCCTACCCCGCCGTCTGCGAACGGCCGGCTGTAGGCCGAGTCGAAGGCTGTGCCAGATAGGACACGCGACGGTGAGGCCCGCCCAGCGGGGGACATGGGCCTGGAACCGGGGGGCGACAGCGTCGAAGCGTACAGCGAGGCGGCGGACGGGTTGGATCGGCGGAATGACAGACCCGTCTCCGAGTCGAACATGGAAGACAGCAAAAGAGGCTCGGGCCCGGACACGGGGCGCGTCATGCCGCCGTAGGGCTTCTTTATTGGGGCCGCGGCGGGCAGCGCCTGGATCGGCTCCGTCGTCGGCGAGGAAGCGTCATCTCGGGGGTGCGAGGATTGTGGCATAAGTACGGTGTCGTCGTCGCCGTCGGACGGGTGCTCTCTGCACACCACGTCGACAAACGAAATGGGCAGTCTCGAAGGTGGGAGGATGGAGCGTCAACGGTTCATCTGACGGTGTTCAACGAGTGTCGGCGAGTTTCTGGCGCCCAGCCGGCATGTTCGGAGCGGTTGCTGTCTCTTCTATATTCAAGGAATGACTTTGTTTAGCGCATGAGGTGCAATGAATCACGGAAATCCAGACGAAAAAATAGAGAGAGTATCGTCTTCTTTGTCTTGAGAGGTTTGAACAAGCTTGGGAACTGATCTGTCGATGCCTCGCAGACGAACGTTGGTGAAGGCCGCCCCACATTGTTATAACGAGGTTTCCAATGTCAGGGCCCTTCACTAGATGCATATACAACCACAAGCTGCAACCTTGGGCGATCGCCAATCGTCTCCTCGGGGTTTCAATTTACAACCACTACACACGGCACGAAACAAAACCCGGAGAAGAATTACCACTTTGACCCACCGCTCTCTAATCAATTGTTCTTGAAGGGTGTCGGCCTTCAGTCCTGGGAACCCCCCATAACCTCCCACGGCACGTAGACCCTCATCGACAATCACCATGGCTCCCGACAAGGCAGACTACCTAGCTTCACGGTATCTAGTAGCAGATGCCAAGCCGACCAAGAAGCGCAAGTGCAAGGGTGGCGTGGCCGCACCGTCCCAAGGACTGCTGATAACCGACGACAACGACGACTCGAGCTGGGTCAAAGCCCGTGACTCGGACAACGATGACAACGACGCGGGACCGGTAACGGTGACGGGCACGAGCAGCGAATTCCGCAAGACGAAGAAGAGCAACTGGAAGAGCCTATCCAAGGATACCAGTAACAGAAACAGCAACAACCAGAACGACGAGGAAGCCTCAGCAGCGGATGCCATCCTCGCCTCGGTAGCGGCCGAGACACGGTTACGCTCACAAGATGATGAAGCACCGGTCATCGAGGGCGAAGACGGCACCAGCTCATCGGTCAAGATGAGCGACGGCACGCACGCCGGACTGCAAAGCGCAGCAGCGGTATCAGCTCAGCTGAAGCGGCGCCAGCGTGAGGAGCGTGAGGACTTTGAGCGACACCGTCAGAACGCCCAGGAGGCCGAGACGGTGTACCGCGACGCCACGGGCCGACGGGTTGACATATCTATGAAGCGGGCCGAGGCGCGCAAAGCTGCCGCCGAGGCGGAGGAGAAGGAACGGCAGGCCAAGGAGGCCCTCAAGGGAGACGTACAGCAGGAGGAGGCTCGCCGGCGCAGGGAGCAGCTCGACGACGCGAAACTCATGACGTTTGCGCGCGGCGTCGACGACGAGGACATGAATCGCGAACTGAAGAACCAGCAGAGATGGAACGACCCGATGACGCAATTCATGACCGCCGACGAGGCCAAGTCGTCGTCGGAGGGGAAGAAGAAGAAGGGCGCAAAGGGTTGCAGACCTGTGTATAACGGCGCTGCTCCGCCGAATCGATACGGCATCAAGCCCGGGTACAGATGGGATGGTGTAGATCGTGGCAACGGCTTCGAGGCTGAGCGCTTCAGAGCCATCAACCGTCGCGAGATGAATAAGGGGTTGAGCTATTCATGGCAGATGGACGAGTAGGGAAGCATTGTCGTGTAAAAATATACTATATCGTGTAGAGCAAGAAATAAACTGAT